CAAAAAAGTTGAGTTGTATGGCATCTTCCTGAGTTATTTGATGCCTGGTCAAGTGTTTCCTTTTTCTTACTGTCAAATTAGACACAAATTTCAATATTGTAATTCAGAAGTATTGTTGTCAATTTTGTTTCTCAGGTTTTGGGAGGTTTTGAAGCATCAAATTATGTTACTGAAAGGAAATGGGCTAGTGCTCCAGATGGTACTCAGATACCAATATCAATTGTTTACAGGAAGGATCTCATAAAACTTGATGGATCGGATCCATTGCTACTCTATGGCTATGGCTCCTATGAGGTAACAAAAGAATTCATAGATTAAACTAGGCACGAGTGATATATTTATATTTTTTTGTTTTTACTGCAATCATTATATTCCAAATGTGATTACATTGAGAAGCATGTCTTGTAGAAAATTTGCGAGATGTTTCAAAATACCCCTTGAGAACTTCTAATTGGTCAATTAATCAAAGTACAACCCTGAAATCTGAAGCCCTTAAAGATATGTAACAAGAGCCATCTTTGTGATTGCAGTCATTCCCTGCGTTATAGTACTAGAGATTAGCACCAAGATAAGTTTCTGAATTTTATATGTAACTGCTCTAGTCTTCCTTTTCAGCAACATTAAAGCCATACACCTCGGGAGAATCAGGAGTCGAGAGATGAGTCCTGATTCCCATTTCTTTTTGTCTGCCTTTTTTAATGCATGAACATCAGATGTCTTCTTAAGAAGCTTACAAGTTTTCTTGATATAGCCTTATAGCATCCGTTTGGATTAGTAATTAGCATGTAAATTTTGTCTCTGGCCTATGATGCCTAATTCTGATCACAGTTCAGTAATTCTTGTGCATATACGTTGAAGTTTGTCAGTGGCCTTTTGGCGTCTTTCTTCTACAGGTTTGTGAAAATCTTTAGAATCCTAATTTCTTGGTGAGAAAAAGCGTTAAAATCCTACTTAAAGCCAACATCTTGGGAGAAGATGCTTTTTAAGGTTTTTGTTTCTGTGTTTCTGATGGATTTCTTGTCTACCCTGTTTTATAACTTATTTTTGCAGTAAGATTATTGTTTCCTACAAAAACAAAATAAAGATCCTAAGTAAAGCCACATATTATGCTTTTCAGAACCTTGAACTTCTTAATGTCGGGTTACTCTTCTGGCTTTGCTCTAATCACTCTGGTGTAACAACTTGTGGACTTTTGTCAAGATAGACTTTAGTCTAGCACATGTAAAATGCTGCAGGAGGCAATATCAAGCCATTGGGATTTTTTTTTTCTTCACTTGTATTCATTTCTCTCTCAATGACTCAGAGCCTTATCTTGTCAACAGGTCTGCATAGATCCCAGTTTTAAAGCTTCAAGGCTGTCTTTGCTGGATCATGGTTTTATTTATGCTATAGCTCACATTCGTGGGGGTGGTGAAATGGGGAGGCAGTGGTATGAGAATGGAAAGTTACTAAAGAAGAAAAATACTTTTACCGATTTTATTGCTTGTGCTGAGTATTTGATGGAAAAGAAGTACTGTTCAAAAGCAAGATTATGCATTGATGGAAGGAGTGCAGGTGGATTGCTTATTGGTGCTGTTCTTAATATGAGGCCTGATTTGTTCAAGGCTGCTGTTGCTGGAGTGCCCTTTGTTGATGTTCTGACGACAATGCTTGATCCAACTATCCCTCTCACGACTTCAGAGTGGGAGGTATTTTTCTTTTCCTCATGAGATTCTTATGTTGAATTATTAACAAGGTGAAAGAAATGAAGAAGAAATTCCCTAGTAAAATTGTTTGTTATGAATGCAGAAATACTCTTGCTATGTCTATAATTGGTGAATTTTCTTGGATGCCGTAGCTTGCTTGTGATGAACATCTAGTTTTATGGACCATCACTTGGGCATTGTTAACTTAATCTCCTTAGGGATTTAATGATTAACTGGGGTGGATAATAATATAATGATCACATCATTTTAAACATCACATAAATGCAACACTAGTTAATTGATACTGTCATCAAACGCAACTTGTATCCTTGTATGGGTCAACTTGAACTTGACATCACGATTTTTCCTTGTTCTTTTCTTTTTTTTGCGCTACAAAATTTTTGGAGTTCATCGCTTGAACTTTGTTTAAGTATTCTTTGGTTTTCCAGATCTACCTAATTATATCCATTTGCCCCATCTTTATGATCTAAGGTGACTCTTGGTGACTGCAGTCAGCTTGCTACTATTTCTTTTCAAAATGTATGTTTAGATACTATTCACTGATATAATTTTGTTTCTGCAGGAATGGGGTGATCCACGTAAAGAGGAGTTCTACTTTTACATGAAGTCGTATTCCCCTGTTGATAATGTGAGGACAATAACCTGTTCTGTACTGCTTTAATCAGTATCGTTATAACAAGTAAGCTAGAATAACCATAATTTGGTATCATCAAAGTGATCATTTACAGACAACAGACAAATAGGCAAAATTAAAGACCTTTCTCTATTCTTCTGTCCCTGATAAAATTGCCAAGCACTAAGTCATGAATTGTAATACATTTCTAAAATATTTTTTACCTTAATGATCTAAGTTTGGCATTATTTTATGCAGGTTAAGGCGCAAAATTATCCAAACATTCTTGTTACTGCTGGTCTAAATGGTAGGCACAAGATCATAACACTTTTGCTTCTGCAATTTCAATTTCTTCATTATCTTGAAATAGTTGGCATTGCCATGAAAGATTGCAGGGTGCTCCCACAATATAGTTCGTTATTATCTTGAAATAGGAAATTGTCAGATAATTTCTTTATGTATATAATTAAAATCTATCGGAAGGCTTGCGGTCTGGAAAAAAGGAACCCTGTTTAAAAATATTAAGTCGTATTGTACCATGCTGAAAAAGTAGGGTGAGAATGTAATACTTTGATCTTAACTTTAACTGTAGAAGGTTTTAAATAGAGTCTAAGCCTAATCAGTAAATCAAATCAAATCACTTACACGAGGAAGTTACTTTACACTGCTAAACAAATACTCACGTAGAATCCTAGTTAGAAATACTTTTATTCTCCAACAGCAACTGAGCACTGTTAAACACATTTGAATGTTTAAGTCAAATCATTATGTTTAGAGGACTTCATGGGTAGGGCTTATTGGATGTTGGTGGCTGATCCCATGGATGAGACTCAGCTGTGTAATGGAAAGAGGGAAATTTTAATTTCATATCTGATAATGCTTTTTTTCTCCTGGCATTCCATTTGAGACACTGGCTTATTGCAACAGATCCACGTGTGATGTATTCAGAACCTGCTAAATTTGTGGCAAAACTAAGGGATATGAAGACTGATAAAAACATCATTATGTTTAAATGTGAATTTGGTGCTGGCCATTCTTCAAAGTCGGGGAGGTAAAATTCTTTTGGCTATAATTTCTGAAACAGAGTGGATTATTCATTTGAAATAAAATTTTATTATCTGTTCATTTTAGACGTAAATGCGAGTCACAATTTCACAAAGGTGAGAGGAACAATTGCTTATAATTAAAAACAGCAAGAACTCTATGGCCTTAAAGATCGTTGAAGTCTGAAGTATTTCCATGCATTCTCGGTAAGGAACTAATTCCCCATTCTTGTTTGTTTGGTGCAGATTTGAGAAGCTTCAAGAAGATGCCTTCATATATACCTTCATTATGAAGGCTCTGGATATGGTTCCTGCCCAAGGATCTGGGTTGAATTAATTAGACTGCTCCAGGTAGGAGGATGTGGTGCAAATAATATAGTATTTTTTTTTTTTTTTTTTTTTTTTTTTTTTTTTTTTTTGGTTTTTGGGTCTAGTAGTATGGGAATCTGGAATCGGATTGGTTAAAAAAAAATTAAACTCGGGTTGAGTGGGATTTCAAGTGCTCCGCTCCATCTCTGACTCGTTTACAGGCCTGCATTGGAGACTTGCATTTTTCTGTTGAATGTGACTTATTTTATGGGTAAAAGTTGAATGCTACATTATTAGAAGGAAATAACGACCAACTATAGGGAAGTGATTCTGCGTGTGCCAATCCAACTACACAAGCAAAACAACCATTTTCAAAAGCTAGCAAGGTTGGATCAGTTCAGTTAGTCATACATACTTATTGGAGGAGAAAGCCATAAGAAATTAAACGTTCAACTGAACAGAAGAAGGTGAAATGGGCTTTATATTCAGAGTTCAAACATTTCATTTCCAGTTCAACCCTCCCTCGGTGTATGTATCGGTTGCTTAGAATACTCTTTCCTTCTGACCCAAAAAAAGGAAAAAAATAATCCTCTTACCTACCAGTCCTTTTAATCCTCTACAATCCCGAGTTGTGAGGGTGAGTTATCCTTGCACCTCTCTGAAGTTTAAATTTATTTATAATTGGCTTATTTTTATTTATTATTTATTTTGGGTGAGGATTGAATGAGGGTTGAAGTGTTTGGGATATCACTTTTTGCTATCTTGGCTAATGATGCAATGGCACGTGAGATAACTGTTCTACGTGTCGTCGTATTATTGGCTGGGTGATATCACCGTTACAAGTAAGTTTTTTGGGTTTGTGTCACCAACACCATCCGTGAAGTAGCAGGGATAGCAAAACAGTGAACCTTGTTACAAGTATGTTTTCCTGGTGATATCACCGTTACAAGTAAGTTTTTCGGGTTTGGGTCACCAACACCATCAGTGAAGTAGCAGGGATAGCAAAACAGTGAACCTTGTTACAAGTATGTTTTCCTGGTTTGTTTCACCATCTATGAAGTAGGAACCCTTTTCCAAACTGCATAGAGTCATCAACAAAAGCTGAGGCGTAAATCCCGACAAGCAAAGTAACAAACAAAACAAAACAAAACCTTATCTCTTATCTCTTCCCAACAACAGAGCTTTCACAAGAACGGAGTCTTTTTACGTCTCTCTCTCTCTCTCTCTCTCTCTCTCGTTGTATTGTAGCTTTTCCCTTGGCTTGATTGCTGATTAGAAAGAATTTAGATTACCCAATCAAATTTATAGAATTGAGCAGCAGCAGCAAAAATGCCATCTTCATCGCTTCGATCTTCTTCGGAGTCGGAGAGCAGCAGCCAGGAGTACCTGCAAAGACTCTTAGACTCGGGCCGCCCCATCCTCCGTGGCGAGCTGGAGGCGATCGACGAGAATTTGCCTTCACTTGTGGGTGTGCTGCGCTCAGTTGGAGCAGGTGAGTGCTGACACAAGCATGGCACCTTTCTTGAACACCTGGTTGGTTGACATATACCGCATTCTCAAGATATGGAAAGCCCAAGATTCTGTCTGCCTTTGCGGCCTCTTTCACTCTGCTTATTCCAATTCCTATGTCAACCTCGCCATATTTGATCTCTCAATAGGCCGTGAAGTGGTCCGCAGCCATGTTGGGGATGCTGCAGAACGCTTGATTCACTTGTTCTGTGTCGTCCCAAGACAGTCTCTAATTCACGATGACCTTTTGTTCCACTACACAGACTCGGAGCTCGTTGAACATCTCAAACAATCTGAGGTATCGCTTGCTGCCCCTGCCACTAATTCCAATTCTAATAATCAGGATCAGATTCAGGAGGATCACTCAGCAGCGCCTTGGAGTTGGAGGAAGAAACTGCAAACTCTTGTTCCTGCTAATGGGATTACAGTGAAGCACATAAAGACCGGGGAAGATGTCTTGGTCTCAAGGAGGGTAGTTGCAGTGTTTCTTATGATGACAACGGCAGATTTCAGTGACCAACTTTTTGGTTTCCAGGACGAGCTGTTTGATAACATAGATGGCCGCCTTGAGTTCAAGGGCAACAACTATGCAGCTCTGTGGCCTGGCGATGGCAAGCCGGGGCTTTGGATGAATTCCATATCAAGAATGGCTGCAATATACACTCTGATCGTGAGAGAGGAAGCGATTTTTGTTCAAGAGAGGAAAATTACTAGTGCTACTGCAACTGGAGACAAGTTGGACAAATCTAGAGATGAAGATATTGAGCTGGTGGTGCCACCGACAAGTGCACAAGGGTTCTGGATGAATTAGCTGCAAGGGATTTGTACTGGGAAGCTGTTTGTGGTATGTCATCGTCGTCTAAGAGAGAGATTGTTGATGATGGTAGAGGAGCTGATGATGAGGAAGCGACGGTGGTTCTGTTGAGGTCGTGTGTTGAGAGAAACCCTTTTATTGGGGAGCCACATTTGGTGTTGGCTCAGGTTTATTTGACAAAAGCAAAGTTTGAGGAGGCAGAGAGAGAGGCAGAGAGAGGGCTGACTCTGATGTTGGAATGGGGGAGTGCTTGGGACAAGAGGATGTCTTGGGAAGGATGGATTGCTTGGGCAAGAGTGCTGCTTATGAAGGCAAGAGACAGATCATGGCCACAAACTTCCTGGGGCATCCTCAACTTGGGCCTTGTCAAGTAGACACTCACTCACTCTTTACGCACATCCACCCATCCGTCCGTCCATCCGTCTGTCATCTTCATATATAAATAAACAAATAAATAAAAGCTCTCATGAGTCATGAATCAGTCCTCGTACGGTACCTTGAATCAACAAAGGGCATGCACCTCCTCGAGCTCCAGCTCCAGCTCCAGGTATGCTGTGTATCAGTTGTGTATGTGTGTGTAGGAATGAATGTTTTCCAGGACAGGACATATGTGGATGTTTTCTGGACATATGTGGATGTTTACAAATAATGTTTAGTGTCGTATATATGAAGAAAAGAGTGATGTTTTTGTGTTGTTCATCAAGCAACATAAGAGTGACGTTTTTCTTCTCTCTTGCCAATACATAAGCATCAGTGTTTGCAACATAATTTAACCTTGCAAGAGAATATTACCATATACATATATGGCCAGCCAAGCGGTAATTGGAGGAGTGGGAATTCGAACACAATACCTCAAGTGTAAGGGTAATTGCTCTTAATCATTTCAGTTACGAGGCCCCGCTAATAAAGTTTCCTTTTTTAACATGTCATGTTGAACCATATAAACTTCGAACGTGAAACAAGAATCATGTGGTAGGACCCTCTAGGTTTTATAGGTTTACAAGATTAGTTTCTTTGCCTGCCTAAAATATCTTCTTCAACTTAAAAAGACTCCGAAATCTAGTTTTCCAATTCCGCATAGATTCAACATCCTAGTCAACATTGTCGATCCATATACATGCAATGGGGGCCAATTCCCCTTTAAGCGCAATCAACGCAACCTAATCTGATTCAGGTTTGGTCACTCATTTACGAGGAAACCCAAATCATTGAATTTATGTTCTTTGACAAATAAAACATATCATTTGATTTGAGACACAGATTTGGTCCATGGATGAATTTGGTGTCCACGATATTACTTACACATATAATTTGATTTGTAATAATGCATCAATCAAATTTCGTTCTCTCAAAAAAAAAAAAAAAAAAAAAAAAAAAAAAAAAAAAAAAAAAAATACTAATCTTTATAATTAAATATGAAAATTCTATTTTAGAATTCCTCATTTTCAATCACCATCAAGCTATAAATGTTTGTTAGGCTTATTGCTTTTTTTCTTTTATTTTATTTTCTTCCTATAGGACAGGACAATGTAAGAGCTATCACCTGCCCGTTCCAGTCATGCCCTCCAGTAGAGAAGACATAAAATTTGAATTCTATTTGTGAAAAGTTAGGAGAGAAACACAAATTAAAAAGACCAAATAAGTCAAAACCGAAGGACGATAGTTTGACAAACATCCCCTTAATAAGTCAAAGCTTCTCCACTGCAGGCATGTGCATGTCAATTGGAAATTTGGCATAGCGGACAAGCGTTACTAGAAATTCATTTTCTTGTGTCGGGATTTGAATCTCTTATCTCTGATTAATTAAAGTAGTTTACAACATGACACAGTAAAAAAATAAAAATAAAAACAGAACAAACTTAATTAATTAAAATTAAAGATGTATGGTGGGAATAACATTAGCATTCAATTTAAGACATATTAAAGCACTTTTGCTAGTTAGAATCTATTTAAGACAGATTAAAGCACTTTTTACTGGTTATAATCACTAAAGCTATCTTCCAAATTAGGAAAAGTCAATAATCATGAGCAATCAATGGAACTTCTTGGGAGCAAATAGATATGGTGGTGGTACCGATCAGGCGGGGGTGGTTGCAGCATATCTTAGGTGGATCAAGGGAAGTGATTTTCACACTTCCCTTTTCTATCCATCTAACCATTCTTTTATCATCACTTGTCTTTGTCATACTATTAAAACTCAGATTATACCGTTATAAATGTTGCAATTGATTTGCTTAGGAGAAAATTGTCCAGCTAGTTGACAAACGGTGAAAATTACTTTCATATATACCTTTATTAAAAGGGGTGTTTTTTGTGGTTAATTTCGATTTAGTACCCTGAACTCTTACCTTTAAAGCATATTTGTCCATACACTCTCAATTTTAACAATTACATACCCAAAACTTTTCAATTTTTTGCCATCTGGTTCCGACATTAACTTGGATATCAAAATTTCCGTTAATTGATTGTGTGGCAGGCATGAGTCTCACCTATCTGTTTATTTCGATATCAGTTGAAAAGTATTTTCGAATAATTAGTGTCTTCTTGCCTATGAAGAACACATTGCACACATTAATACCAAACCCTTTTCTTAATAACAAAATACCCTTCAACTGAATTGAAATAAGTAAATAGATGAGACCCAGGTTTGTCACACAAGCAATTAACGAAAATTTTGACGATGAAGTTAACGTCAGAACCAGATTGCACAAAATTAAAAAGCTTATGGTATGTAATCGTTAAAATTGAAAGTGTATGGGCAAACGTGCCTTAAAGATAAGAGTTCGGAGTACTAAATTGAAATTAACCTCTTTCTTTTTTGGCCTCAGTACAATATGAAGTAAATTAGAAGCAACCAACCAACCAACCCAAAGTCACATGAAAGTAATTCCCTCGCAACTTAGAAGTCAGGCGCTTTTGAACTCCAAGCCAAACCAGCAGAAATTATAGCCTTGTTCTTTGGCGCAAGAAATGATTGTTGGCACGCACCAGCAGCAAGAAACTTGTGGAGGGCGACGAGCGCTGCAAAAGAAAGGGTTGATTGATTTCATTTCTTTTAAAGTTCAAAAAACAAAAAAACTAAGCAGCAGATTTTGAATCTAGTGCGCTCCAACGTTCAAAGTGCAACTAGGATCCTCGTGATCATCAAACGGTCAGAATTTTATTTTACATGTGAAAGTCTTTAAATTGATTTTCCCCCTCATCTTTCATCAAACATTCTATTTCCTTCCCTCATACAGCTATTTTGCTCTTTTGGCTGTTACTAGTATAAATAAAGAGGGACATAGTTCCCTTGAGACACTGTCAATCCATCCATCCCACATTTTTATTATTACCATTATTATGTATTCTGAAACACACTTCCACATTCAGATTGTTTCCATTTCCACCGTCTTTTTTCATCATTAAACCTTCCTGTCTACGGGAAGGCCTCAAGAAATAGAATAAGCCCGTGTCTGCTGCTTTCAAGCTTTTCCCACCTTTTCCATTCTAAATTATAATTTGGGGACCATCTAGCAAGCTAGATTTCAACCCCCCCCTGTCAATCAGATCCCCAATACACTAGAAATTTCCATTTCTTTTTTTCTTTTTCTTTTTCTTCTAAATAATCAGATCGTTCATCATAGGATCAAATTGAAAATGCCAGTCGTGGTCCTGAGATGGGTTTCCAACTCCAACCAAATGATGCTAGTGTTATCACTAATATTGTATTGTATGTTGTCAATAGTGCTAGTGTCCTCGTCTGAAGCTCAGACAGAAACTGGAGGAGGAGGAGGAGGAGGAGGAGGAGGAGGAGGAGAAGGAGGAGGATCCCCTGTTTGCGCAGAAGCAGATAGAGCTTCCCTTGTGAGCTTCAAAGGCAGAATCATCAAGGACACAACAGGAATTCTTTCTTCATGGATAGGCAGAGACTGCTGTGGAGGAGGTTGGGAAGGTGTTGAGTGCAATCCAGCTGGGAGGGTTACTGTGTTGCAGTTGCAGAGACCAGCTACAGCTATTGGTGATGCTGCTGCAGATAGAGACTCTGGCCTTTACATGAAGGGCACTCTCTCCCCTTCTCTGGGCAATTTGAATTTCTTGGAGGTAATGGTAATCAGTGGATTCAAGCAAATCACAGGTCCAATTCCTGAGAGCTTCTCTAATCTCGCCCACCTCACCCAATTGGCCCTTGAAGACAATTCCCTCGGAGGGAACATTCCTCCAGGTTTAGGTCATTTGTCCTCCCTCCAAAGCCTCTCCCTCAGCGGCAACCGTTTCAGGGGTCAGATTCCCCCAACCCTAGGCCATCTCACCAATCTCGTCCAAATCAATTTAAAAAGAAATTTCCTCACTGGTCCAATCCCTCCCACTTTTCAAAATTGTCATGCTTTGCAGTATCTTGATCTCAGCTTCAATATGTTGTCCGGCCTCATTCCAGATTTCATTGGTGGCCGCTACTTACCAAACCTCACTTTGATTGACCTCTCCAATAACCAGTTTTCTGGTCAGATGCCGATTTCCCTCTTCAGCTTGCCCAAGCTTTTGGACCTCTCTCTGAACCATAACCAGCTGACCGGCATAATCCCAGTCCAGGTGGAGGGTCTCAAATCCCTTACCAGTCTTTCATTGAGCTCCAATCGCCTTACCGGCCACATTCCCATTTCCATTTCAAGGTTGCACAACCTCTGGTACCTAAATTTATCTGCCAATGGGCTTTCAGACCCTCTTCCCTCTACCCTTGCCACGGGCATTCCTTCTCTCTTGTCAATAGACTTGTCTTACAACAAGCTCAGTTTGGGGAAAGTTCCAGATTGGATCAGGAGCAGACAGCTTCGAGATGTTCATCTTGCCGGCTGCCAGTTAAGCGGAACCCTCCCAAGCTTTGCAAAGCCTGATTCTTTCAACTCCATTGACCTCTCTCATAATCATTTTACTGGTGGAATTTCAAACTTGTTGACCAACATGTCAAGCCTGCAGAACCTCAACCTCTCCAACAACCAACTCAAGGCTGATCTTTCAGAAATCAAGTTGCCCGACACCCTTTCTTCCCTAGATGTACACGCAAATCAGCTCACCGGATCTCTCTCAGGGTCGACAGGAATCTTAAATGACAGGGCAAGCAGCTTTTTGGAGTTCGTAGATGTATCCAACAACCAAATTTCTGGCGGCATCCCAGAGTTTAGGGAAGGCTTGAGGCTGAAAGTGCTCGACGTAGGAAGCAACAAGATCGCTGGTCCCATCCCCAACTCAGTTTCAAACCTGGCTCAACTTGAGAGGTTTGATATATCAAGAAACCAGATAACAGGCACCATCCCCACAAGTTTGGGGTTGCTGGTGAAGCTTCAATGGCTTGACGTGTCCATCAATGGGCTCACTGGAAAGATTCCAAACAGCCTACTGGGGATTGAACGTCTCAAGCACGCAAGCTTCAGGGCAAACAGGTTGTGTGGGGAGATCCCACAAGGGAGACCATTTAACATTTTTCCTGCAGCTGCCTATCTGCACAATTTGTGCCTTTGTGGCAAGCCTATGCCTCCTTGCAGGCAGAGCCAGTAAGAAGCTGACTCAGGTGCAGGAGCAGGAGCAGGAGCAGCCCATACCATATCACCAGTTTCATTGAGACATGATCATAAATTAATATAGGAAATAGGATGTCTACTGCAATTGTAACTTGCAACTTGCAACTTGCAAGAGCCAAGCCCAGCCAAGAGACAGTCACTTATTATCTGTTTCTTTTTACATGATTATCCTATTCATTTAAAATTTAAGAAACCTTGTTTCCATATCCATAAGGTGTTTTACTTAAGCTTAACATCCAGACAGAGCATATAGAAGAAATCATTTGCTTCAAATGCTTACGAAAATGCACTTTGTAACTTAAAATGCAACTGTTCAGCATCATTCCAAGTTCCAAGTTTCAACCCCACAAGACAATGAGTAAGCGAGGCACTAAACATTTCCTATTTTAACACAGAACAACCAAAACTGCCATTATATCTATTCGAACAAAACCAGACTGAGAATTTACAAGAATCCAGAAACATGTATTAGACACCATTTCCCTAAATGGAGGACACATTCATTAAACTTCCTTCTCTGAAGCTTCTTTCTCTGAACCTCCTTCAATTTCATCCTGAATAACCAACGAAACAAAAAGAAAATATATCAAAATTTAACCCAAGAGCTGAGCTACAATTATCATAACACTCAAAATTGAAGAATGAGCAATAGTGAGAGTCTTTACATCCCCAACTTCTGCATCTGCATCAGCATCGGCATCGGCATCATCAGTCTCCATCTCCAATGCTTTTTTATACTCTGCTTTAAGCTCAGCTGCCTTATCCACATAAGGCTTCTTCTCCTAAACACATTTGACATCCGACACAAGAAAATATAGTCAATTCACCATTTGCTGTCGACAAGCAACGAAACAAAACCTTAGAAAGACAAAACGAATACAAAAACAACATAAAAAAACAAAACAAAACCTCGTCAGTCATAGACTTCCACTTCTCGCCACCCTCCTTTGCAACCTGAAATCCGTTTTTTAAGTTACAGCGTTAATGCCCGAAATCATCAAAACATAGCATACCATACATGAATGGAGTTACATAAGATTGAAAACATACCGTCTTAACAAGCTTCGAATCAGGATTGGCTTCCTTGAAAGATTTCCTGAAATCGTCCCTGCAGTATACAAAATCCTACCCCAATTAACACCAAGCAACGTCACACATGCAACCATCATACAAACTGACAGTGCTGTACATTGTGCATTATTGCATTCACACACACACACACACAGAGAAACAGAGGGTTAGATGAGATTTACATGAAGAGGAAGAAGGCAGTGAGAGGGCGCTTGGGTGCATTTGGATCTTTGTCCTTCTTGGCTTTCTTTGACTTGGGCTCTGATGTAGTGGACCTCTTCCTGCAAAAATTACAATTTGACCAAATCAAGAGATAAGTAAATCACACAAGTGCAAGAGCAAGAGCAAGAGCAAGAGCAACGCAAATGAAGAGAAAGAGCCAGAGCAATTTGGGCATACCTCTCTGTGGGAGACTTCTTATTCGCTTCAGGCGGCCTTTCCACAACTTGAGAGCCTGAACGAACAAACACAAGTAAAGCAAACCAAATCAACCAAATGATATAATATTCTCCCCAAAAAAAAAAACAGACAAGATAAAAAGCAAAACCCACTCAGATGTAACTTGATTTTGGCATCAAGGCTACAGCTGTGCATGCTGATGAGTGCCACTGGGACATTCCTGTTGCACTCCTCGCTGCAAAATAACCCACAATCTAGTCAATATGTTGACTAATCGATCTGCCCTAAAAAGTATAAATTCCTTTGCAGCCAAGAAAACAAAACCAAGGCAGGCATAAATGCAATAGAAGTAATTAAACATGGAAAATAAAGAAGAACAATAGAAATGGGGAATTAGAAAGGAAAAGAAAGATAAGCGGAGAGGAGAGATGGGAATGGGTACCATCGGGCAAAGGCGCTGCCATCCTTGCCACGAACAAGAGAAGGTACACTTGACTCCTCCGTGGCCTCCACCCTCTTCCTCGCCTTGGTTGGGTTCGATTTCATTGACCCACCTCCCATTTCTTCTTCTTCTTCTTCTACGAAAGTATGAACGCTGCCTGAATATCAAAGGGTGAAGTGAACCCAAAGCAAATATATATTTTGATTTGTTTCAGTTTGAAATTTGATGAAAACCGAAGAGGGAAAATTGGTTGCCGCCAAAACAATTATTAGAACCCCGCCATCTTCGATTGGCGCGGATCGATGACTTGTATATGTATCTACCGTCTGTTTCCCCATTGAGTATTGACTGACGGTGTAGATTTAACGACTTGTCTCTCTCTGGTTTTGATGAGATAGTTGGGTTGGGCCTATTCTTAGAGCCCAAATTATATGCTGCTTGATACTGACATTCATACATTGGGTTGGGTTGGGTTGGATTGGGCTGGGCTGGGCTTTATGATGTTCATCATTCTTTCATTTCATACGCAGCCCCATCAAGCCACGATGGCATGGCATGGCATGGCATCATGGATAGGAAATGGTCGGCTTTCTTTTTCGAAAGTAGACAACGGAAAGAAAGAAAGGGCAAAAAGTAAAGTAACAATCCAATGTCGTTGGAACTGAACTGAAGTGAACTCATACACGACACAAACTCACAACTCAGCCCATCATCTCTCAGATAGTGGGCTTCTTCAAGACTCAGCCCATCTTCTTTTTCTACTGTAACAAACAAACAATGGTTCGGATCTGGATTTATGATGTTTTTTTTATATATAAAGAAATTGAATTAAATAGGGCGTGAAAAAAAATGATTATGCGAATACAAAACAAATTATTTATTAACTTTAGTTAAATATGTTGAAGGTCCTCCTGATCAAAGTTTTTCAACACCAGAACCAAAAAGAAGCACGTTGAAGACTTTTTTTTTCTTCCGTATTTATTAACTTGGGCACTATTTTTTAATTTTTAATTTTTTTTTGGGTGATACTCTCGTTCGTAATACAAGATCTCTTTCCATCCCGGTTCAAAACAAAAAAAAAAAAAAAAAAAAAAAAAAACCAAACATTCAGCATTGTTCTTAAACGCTACCGTTGGCTCTCTGTCTCCGTCCATCTTCTTCCACTGTAAACCCTATAAACAGTGGGGAGCACTGCAATGAGAATCAGCCATTACAACTTTACAGGTATGGTTTCCCTTTCTCATTCCTATTTCCTCTGTATTTGACCGGGTAAAGTTTTGAACTTTGGGTTCAGTTTCATGAACCAAGAACCAAGATGGCTTCGCTTATCATCTTTTCTTTTACCCACTGCATGCTTTGTTTTAACAATTTATACTTTTTCTTAATGGGTTTAACATAAATATTGTTGGGCACTTGTTATCCCTACGGAAATCGTTGAATTCTTGAAAGGTTTGTAGGGTTTTTAATTAGGTATCTCTCTCCCTTTTCAAAGTTTTAGCCTTTTGGTTTTACTAACATCAGTGTTCACTAGTTAGCAGTCTACAACACTTTTTGAGTTCCTGCTAGGAAACTACAGAGATAATGCAAAAACATTAAGTTTGTCTATATTATCTTAGTCAATCAATTGAATTACTCTAGTGGATATATGCCTAGTTCTTACCACATATAGATATCTAGATATAAAGTCAAGTAGTGACTAATGAGCAACTGATAATGCAACTTCCTCAAGGATCTCGCGTTTTCTATTAGCACATGATTTTGGTATACTTGTGTCGTAGGAGAGGCTTCCTTAGGCCTGCTTCTGTATCACTCTTATCCTGTCAACAGCAAAAGAGTGTGGTCCTATGCAATGCTACTAACCTCTGGCCCCAAGGGTTCATCAGCTTGCATTCTCTTTTTCGAAATCTACTTCTTTTTTATTTATTTAATCAAGATCAACCTAGTTTCATTTATAATTAGAATCAACCTGCTTATATTATAGTCAATCCAGAACTCGATTTCATTTCTTTTGAAATTCATGTTAAATGGCACTTATTTCCTTTTTGTTTCTTAAATGTTATATGTAAACTTAAATTAGTGCTGACCGTACTTGTATATGCTGTAGTCTTATCAGTTCAGCCAATAACATTTATGACCTTATCCTACTGACTTGTAGTCCAAATGATTGCCTGAATTTCATGCACAGCCATGTAGTGTTGTATTCCCGTTCTTATCTTTGTAAAATACATTGTTGATATGCAGTGGTTATACATACATACATACATATATTTGAGGGACACCCTTTAGGGTATGCTATGAATTTTTTTTCAATGATCCAAACCATCTATTTTTTAGGTCTTCATTCATAGATCATCCTTGCAAAAAATTAGACAAGTCGGAAACCGTTTAGACATCCAATTCTGTCTTCCAAAATCAATGGACACGGTGCTTCTAGAAAGTACTAAAATTTCAATAAGTCAATTGAGTGGTCAAATGATATCGGATTCAATTGATTTTTTGCAGAGATGATCTTTGAATGATTATCTAAAAAATAGACGGTTTGGATTAGCGAAATACAATACGGAGTGAGCCCTACAAGGGTGTCCTTATTTGAGGGATCCCTTAAGAAGCTCGCTGTATATATATATATCTGTGTGTGTATTTTTAAGATTCCAGATAAACTAATCCACCTTCCTTTTTGCATCTGTTTCTATGAACTTCAAAATATTTAATTCCCATTCCAGAGGTTTCCAAAATCAAGTTTTTTACTGCGGCTTAATCTGCTCAACTTATTAATCTCTGATTTTGAAGGAGGAGGGGATGCAGCTGCTTAGATGTTTGGTCATGCGGATTATCTTCAAGATTTTTTTTATTCATCTTGGAGATATTGCTCCTTTTTAGGTGGATTGGTTGGCAGTTTAATCTCAAAGAATTGCGCGGATGTGGTGAGTCATTTTAATAAATATGTTGCTCCTCTGGTTATGTTGCTGCACCATGAGATTTCAGCAATACTTTGTGATTTTAGATTGGCTTACCTTCGAGAAACTCTCTTTCTAAATTGGTTGAAGAAAGGGAAACTCAACTTTCAACCTTCATGGCTCAAAGGGATTTTATAGATATTAGTTCATCTGATAGTGAAACAGAGAGGGAAGAAGGGGAATCTGTCAACAGTAGAATTCTTCCACCTTGGGCATCTGGAACTGGCTCAAATCCGAGTAAAGGTTAGGCTGGGTTTTGTATTTTAAGAGCCTGCCCATGTTTAAAGTTAAGTTTATGTATTATTAATTACATGAGAATTAATGAAATTTTCAGATTATGCTGGGCAGTCTAGAAAGGTGCCTTCTCCTAGAAGAGCATATGCTTCTAATGGAAGCTCTCCTAATTTTAATCACCATGCACAGGTGAAACAGAAGTTTCATCCCAGTTCAAGTGATGACATAAGAACCTCAAGTCGACAGGCGGCTCGAGCACATTTTGGAAATGTGGAACAGCCTCAGAATTCACGAATCGCTAATATTTCTGTTAAGGACTATGAGAAAATCTCATCCCAACGGGATTTGAAGAGGACCCTTCCCCCATCTCTGCAGAATGCAAGAGATAACATGGCCCACAGTCAGTTTGGTGATACTTATGGAACCAATGGCAAGGGATTTATGAGAGACCATTCTACCAGGGGCAATGCCAATGAATTTGTTAGGCCTGAGAGCAGTGCGAGTAGGGTCCTGCCTCCCACTTTCATGCATGGAAAGTCATTTTCTACTTCACAGTTTGCTAGTTCAAGTGACCCCGCATACCATCCTGGCATAGGTGAAGAAAGGGTCACTGATAGTGATGAGAGACTGATATATCAAGCAGCACTAGAGGTATTTCTACATCCATAACATTGTTCCAAATACCTGCAAAGTGTAAATAGGATCTGGATCTTTTCTTGTTTTATATGAGTCCATTGCGTACTTGGCTTATTTTTGTAATTTTTGGTATGATATGTGTTTTGTTCTTGATTATTTTGTGAGATTTATTAAAATAAAAATGGTTAGTTATAGAATACCTGGGAAGAGCCTTGTATGTTTGGAAACCCAAGAACGGGACCAGCCATGTGTGGTATCGCATTTTTAAAAATGAATGCTGTTTGGTAATCTTATGGTAATTAAAAATTCGTTTTCATTGTACGAATTTTGGGGTCAAAACCAGTTTGGAAGGGAACATAAATTTGGTCCTTTCTCATGTTCCATCTTTCCTTCTTTCTCTTTTTATTTTCTAAGCCAGTTTGAAGTGAACCTACATAGAGTGAGTTTTGAAGATCTGATTACTTCTCAGTCTATTCCTAATCCCGTTTTACCCATTTCTTTTTACTGCTATGCCACCTCCTTAGAATTTGGTGAAATCCTTCTGCTACTACTAAATTGTGACTCTGAAGAATGAACTTGTTAAGCAAATAGTAAACTTATGACAAACAAGTCTTTGTGAAATGGCTGAAAATAGCAGTGTTCATAATAGTTACTAATGCAGCTTTCGTGATATCTTAAATATAATCCGTGGAATAAGATTGGTCCTAGATATTCTTATCCTAGTTTGACACCAATGAATCCTCTTTGAAGTGGTAAGGAAGTTTGGTTCTTGCAGGATCTCAATCAACCAAAAGTTGAAGCTACTCTACCTGATGGTCTTTTGTCGGTCCCTCTTTTACGACATCAGGTGTTTCTCTCTATCTATTTTATTTCGTTCTATCATTTTGATGAATATGTGTTTTTTAACTCAAATAAATTTGCGTCACAGAAAATTGCTTTGGCATGGATGCTTCAAAAGGAAACTAGAAGTCTGCATTGTCTAGGTGGAATCTTAGCAGATGATCAGGTAATTCAATAATAGTCTTCTGACCTGTAGCTCTAGCTTATTTTTAGATACTTTGGCTAACGATTTTATATGTATGCTTTACATGGATTCATAACGCTTTTATCTTACAGGGCCTTGGTAAGACTATCTCAATGATTGCCCTTATACAAATGCAGAGGTTTTTGGATTCACAATCAAAATCTAAAGATTTAGGCAATCATAAAACTGAAGCTTTAAATTTGGATGATGATGAAGACAATGGCAGTGGTGGTTTAGATAAAGTCAACAAGACTGAGGAATCTGATGATATTCGATCAACTCCAGAAGTTAGTACATCTGCACGGTCATTCAAAAAGCAGAGGCCAGCAGCGGGTACATTGGTTGTGTGTCCAGCAAGTGTTCTTCGACAGTGGGCTAGGGAGCTGGATGATAAGGTCGCAGAGGAAGCAAAGCTGCGTGTCCTTATTTATCATGGAGGCAGCAGGACAAAGAATCCTGAAGAACTGGCTGGCTATGATGTGGTTCTCACGACATATTCTATTGTAACCAATGAAGTCCCGAAACAACCTTTAGTTGATGATGATGAATCTGATGAGAAAAATGGGGAAAAATATGGAATATCTTCTGAATTTTCAATTAATAAGAAGAGAAAAAAGGCTCCTGTTGTTAGTAAGAAGGGAAAGAAGGGCAGAAAAGGAATTGATAGTTCCTCTTTTGATTGCGGTTCTGGTCCCCTTGCAAGAGTGGGTTGGTTTAGGGTGATACTGGATGAAGCTCAGACAATTAAGAATCACAGAACTCAAGTGGCTAGAGCCTGCTGTAGCCTTCGAGCCAAAAGAAGGTGGTGTTTGTCCGGCACACCTATACAAAATGCCATTGATGATTTATACAGCTACTTCAGATTTCTGAAATATGATCCCTATGCTGTATATAAGTCATTTTACAGTACCATTAAGGTTCCAATATCTAGAAATTCAATCCACGGTTACAAGAAGCTCCAAGCAGTTCTGAGGGCTATAATGTTGCGTCGAACAAAAGGTGAAAATTTTGTTCTGGTTATTTGATTTTGATAGTCAGTAGTTGATTTTATGGTGTAGTTTTTCATCTAATAAATTTATTCTAGTTCTTTAGCTATTGGTTTGTTTTGTACAAATATGTCATTGGTAGTTTTTTGTGACTACATATGTTGATCTATTAATAAAATGTCTGCTATGTTGTTGTTCCAATACTGTGAACTAATGCGGGTGTGCTTGTCTAGTTTGAAATTTTGGACTTTGAATTACTATTTGGTGCTTATCATACTTGGTTATTCTACGTAGGAACATTGATCGATGGCCAACCTATAATTGAATTACCGCCAAAAACAATACATTTGAGTAAAGTGGAGTTCTCATCTGAGGAGCGGGCCTTCTATACCAAGCTAGAAGCTGATTCACGTACTAAATTCAAGGTGCATTCCATTTTGTTTTATTTATTCTACTTGAGGTAGTGCTGTCTGACTGTTTTGTACTGTATTCATCTTCTTTATTTTTGAAGAGGTATTCATCTTACTTTTCTTTTGAGAGTTTTTTGTTGTAATTGGAAAATGCTGCTAATAGATTTATTAAAGGAAAAATATATGTGTGATGTTTCTAATGGGCCCAATACTACTTTGTTGACTTTTTGAGGAAAATTATATTTATTGCAAAATGGTACAGGTAGGAACTCCATGGTATAAATATAACCAACCTGCAGTTTTGAGGAAGATTCTTTTTGTGATCTCATGAAGATTCAATCCGGGTTTATACACTCTAGTATGCTGATTTCTTTTGTATCTTGCAGGCATATGCTGCTGCTGGGACAGTTAATCAAAACTATGCAAATATCCTTTTGATGCTTTTGCGCCTCCGGCAGGCTTGTGACCACCCACAGCTTGTTAAGGGATATGACTCTGACTGTGTTGGGAAAGATTCTGTGAAAATGGCAAGGCAACTTCCTAAGGATATGCTTTTGGATCTACTGCATCTCCTGGAAACTTCCTTGGCCCTTTGTCGTGTATGCAATGTGAGCTTTCTTTAAACCTACCCCCTCATTTTTCATTTGTAGCTTATAAAATCCTGTAAATCTATATATACATAAATTATGTTGAGGAAGATTAGAAAACATCTGTTTTTGGATTTGATCAGCTACATCGTGCACAGCAGGGAGGCTGTGATGACTCCCTGTTAATTTTTGTGATGACTCCACATCTTTCTTCTGCTAGGATATAGTTTTAGTATTATATACTTTAATTATGCGCTCAGCCAATTTTAGGAGATACACGGTGCTTGCTTGTTATTCCTATGTGAAAATGGTCTCAGCGTTTCAGGTTAGTTTGAAATTGAATCAACACGATTTTTTTTCTTACTTTTCTTATTTTCCGGTGTTATTTTTCATATGTTAATATATATGCTATTGAGATGCAAATGTTGGGTTATAGGAAGTGTACTGTGAGTTGCATGGGACTTAAAGAAAGTTACTTTCTCCTTTTCTATTTTTTCCCCTTATAAATTCCTAGTCTCTTGACACTCACTAACATGTGTGCCAATTGACTTTTTCTATTGCATATTACTTATATAGCAATATAAATTGAATTAAATTAAAAATAAGAAGCAAATTTTAAACTAAAATTATGTTTGATGAGTTGATAGACTTAAACTTTTCCTTTCACTAATTAACATTTTGTTGGTCGTGCGATAACTATTTAATAAGTATATGGAATGGTGTCATTCTTAATCCTGACAACCATAACTTCATGCCAAATTACAAAATAAAATCTGATGCATTAGGGGACAATAGGAAAATGTTTACCCTTCCAACGTCACGTCTCACATCACTGGTTTTTCTGCCATGGATCTTTTACACCTGTAATCACCTACCTGCAACATCACACCTCACATCGATGGTTTTTCTGCCATTGATCCTTTTTCTCTCTCTCCCTATCCTGGCTTTACGAAGATAGAACACTTAGCTTATTTAACTGATATTTTTTTGCTCGTGTTTTTTTTTAGGTCAGATTTTTGTTCTTAGATAAAACCCATTTGCCCAAGAATCAGTTAATGTATACAACAACCATCTTGCAAGCTTGTTAGTTGTTAGAACGTAGTCTTCTTTCTAGTTTTTATTTATTTTTTTTAATTCTAAATTTTAAGAAATTGCCTAGGACAGTTCTTAGTTTTGCTTTTTTACCATTTTACCTTTTAGAACTAAATTTCTCTTGTCTAATATTCCGTTTAACAAAGGGCATTTTATGTGTTTTTGAGAGTTTCACCAAAAGTTGCTTTTCCCTTTATATATAGATACATGGATGTAATGAATACTTTATCAATAAATATTCCTCTGCATCATGATGCTTTATATTTGAAACCAATGTTCTTCCATTGTGTTTTTGTAACTTTGAAAAGAAAAATAAAAATTAACATGTTCAACTAATTTTTGGGGACTGCACTGATGATTCTCTTTGAAAATTGAGTGTCAGAATATTAAAAGAATATTGTGCAAACATTGTGTGCCTATTTAATTCTTCTTGTATTTAATTATTTTGGCAGGATCCACCTGAAGACCCTGTTGTTACTATGTGTGGCCATGTTTTCTGCTATCAGTGTGTATCAGAATATTTGACTGGTGATGACAATATGTGCCCTGCTATTGAATGTAAAGAACAAGTTGGTCCTGATAACGTCTTCTCCAAATCCACTCTCATAAGTTGCCTATCTAATGATCTTGATGGTAGTTCAATGAATTCTCAGTCGGATGAGAAATCAATTGTGGTACAGAATGAGTATAGTTCATCTAAAATCAGAGCTGTTATTAAGATTTTGCAGTCTCATTGCCAGTTAAACGACTCAAATTCGGAACTGTACAACTCTACTGGACGCAATGGAGACCCTTATTTTGGAACTGAAATCACAGATAGTAGCTATTCAGGTGTTGATGTTGTAAAGCACACAACAGTAGTTTCAAACTCCCCAAATGATGGACCAATAAAAGCAATTATTTTCTCCCAATGGACTAGCATGTTGGATTTAGTTGAAACATCACTGAACCAATATTGTATACAGTACAGAAGGCTGGATGGTACAATGAGTCTGGCATCAAGAGACAGGGGTGTCAAAGATTTCAACACTGATCCTGAGGTTTTGGTCCTTACCTTGATAAATTGCTCAAAATAATACATAACTGCTTCTGTGTTAGTTCATCATTTTTTCTTTCTTTTAAATGTGCAAGTTGGGTTTGACAAAAATAAGGGCAAGGTGGGAAAACCTGAACCTCATAAGGATATTTTGGTTAGAATGCGTATCTGTGGATGTGAGATGTTGAAATAGCACTGAACTATACGTGCTTTAGTGTTGTACTTTTATATGAAGAATTGTTAACACTGCATGACTAACCCGCTTACCGCCTCAATCTGGTTATTAATTTTAACATCTTCATGGTTGAAATATATTGCAGATCACTGTTATGCTTATGTCCTTAAAGGCAGGAAACCTTGGTCTGAACATGGTTGCTGCATGCCATGTTATCCTTTTGGACCTGTGGTGGAATCCAACTACTGAAGATCAAGCTGTTGATCGGGCACATAGAATTGGACAGACTCGACCTGTTACTGTAACACGTCTCACTATTAAGGATACAGTGGAGGACAGGATTTTAGCTCTACAGGTTTGATCTTTTACTTACTATTGCATATTGGATTTGTACTGCTGCTGTATTTTTTTCCCCTCTAATTCTGATTTCCATAGGATGGGTTCCTTAAAACCTTATCTGGTGCAAGAACATTTTACTAGTATTAAAAATAAATTCCTGGACTCAACATAATTACTTTTGGTTGCTCTCCATGTGTTTCGTTCTTTCTCTCACTTCTTTACAAGTCTTCTGAAACCTTCACAAGCCTTTTTTTAATCAATTCCTATAATCTGAAAATCAATTTGATCAATGGTCCAAAATCAGTCTGAGAAGAGAACATTTCCCTATACATATGTATGTATGTATACGTGTGTGTGTGTGTAAGAGATAGATAGAGAGAGAGAGAGTAATAGGTAAGATCTCTTGTTAGATGGTCTAAGCTACTGTGTTGTCTTCGACCAAAAAAAAAAGCTACTGTGTTGTCAAACTCTAAATCAAATTCATGTCTGTATGTCTGGCCTTGCTTGATAGCATCACTCTATTCATTATGCTAACAGTCAGGCTTTTGAAGTTTTATGATTTTAGATAGCAGCCAGAAAGATTAAATAGAAAAGGAAACTATTTTTCTGTTATGTTTATGTATCTTTTATGCTCTCCGATGAAATACTGTAGACATATATGTCAGACCATAGTTCTAATACTTTCTGTTTTACTCGCTGTTCTGCAGGAAGAGAAGAGAAAAATGGTTGCGTCTGCTTTTGGCGAAGATCATAGTGGGGGATCTGCCGCACGTCTGACAGTTGAGGATCTCAGATACCTATTTATGGTTTAGAACACGAGGCTCAGGCTCAAGTATTTTTGCTGTATCAAGGGTTGTCTAGAAACAATTATAGAGAATTATGAATCAGGATCCTGATTAATGAAGGATACATGAAATATGTGGTAGCAGAGCCGGTTGATGTAGGCTCTGTCATGGGTGTAGACAGATGTGCATCCTAACCTGCGTCCGTTTTTTGACTTCCCAGGCCAAAGAAGGCATTTTTTGTTCCCCTCAAGTGCTGAGTAGCAGCACCCGTAGGGCGGCTGTAAATATTCTAATCTATTTTATTGTACAAAAGACTCTAGCGTACCTTGCTTTGATTTAGTTTTGTTCATATAATAATGAATGTAAAATGTTGCTTATGTGATATTAATGCTTGCTGCCTGTTCACAAGAGAGAAGATCAAATGTTGTAAACAACAGAAGAAGAAGAGGAAGAGGAAGGAAAAATATAAGATACGGACCTCATCATCATCATTGGTTGTTACTTGCCATTGGATGGGACATTTTCGATTTGTCTAGTTGAGTTTTAGGAAACGAGTTTGGTGGAGATGGAATGCAATGCGGAGTGGAGGAACGTGAAAAGTGTCGAAGAAAGAGCTGACCGTAGCTATTAGTGGTTTGGTTTCCCACTGGAAATAAATACTACTGCACTAGTTAAGCAATAACAGCAAGTAATCTTTTTTCATGTCTGGTTTGTTTTTAGGCATTGTTAGGGAATGAATGTAAGCTGAAGGAAGGATTAGATTTGTGTGAATAAAAAGGGGGACTGACATGACATGCTTGCATGGGTGCCTGGGTGCCTGGGTGCCTGGGTGCATGGGTGGGGTGCCGTGGAAAGGAAACTGGGTTGTGCTAATTCCGAAAGAAAAAATTCAAGTATATCCCAACCCAAGCCAAAGGATTGAGGAAAGCAGCAGGTCATGGACAAAATCCAGTCAGTCGGTCAAATCATATTATTACTTTTGTTTTGATTCCCTTACTTTTTCCCACATTTCACCAACAAATACTGACTTTAGTGGTGGTGGGCCTATTAGTATTGTGGGGAAAGTGATCTCACAGGCATGTCCTGTATTCATTCATTCATTCTTCTGTATTGACACTGCATTGATGATTCTTGATAAACCTGATTAATTAAGTCATTAAAATCAGAATGAAATGGTCTCTGTGTGTAGTAGTATCAAATCAAAGATCAACTTACTTTTTATGGTATTATTATTACAAAGTAACTTCATTTTTGGTTCCTAATATGATATCCCTGGCCCGGCCTGGCCTAATCTGAAAAGTAAAATAATCTAGTCACTTCACTTATAATGAATGTTGCAAAAAGAGGAAAAAAGTGAGTGAATCAATGAATGAATGAATGCCTTTGTAAAAGTCATTGCTTGAATGCACTCCAACTTGGGTCACACGCACCAAAGCCAAAGACCAAAGGCCAAAGGCCAAAGGTGGTGATTGATTGTTGGTGTCACATGTCCGAAACGGTGGTGGCTCCCTCAGCTCATGATCACGACTCCAACACTACAAACAGTCAGCAGCATGCTCATACTCTCACGTAGAAAAGTTATCACACATGACATATCATTATTGCTGACCGAGTTTAGCAAAACAATCCGTTTCACACAATCGTTTCTCGTTGAGTTTGGGCAAGGAGAAAATAAATAAAAGGGCTGTCTTGGATCCTCATTCCTTTAGTTGTACGCATAAAACACACACAAAAGAAAGGCAGCCCGAGTGTAGTCTGGTAGACTTAGTAGTCGTGAATGCAATAATGAATGACCTTTGTGATTCTTTTGAGGACCGTCTTCATATTCATTTAATAATTCATAACTACCCCCCGAATTTTCCGCCCTTTTCAGTTTTTCTCTTCAAGTGAAAGGTTAAAAATCGAAAAGGTGAAAAGCAATACTTTTTTATTTTTAGAAATTTGGTCCTGGTCCATAAGAATATTACTATTACATTTGTCACACATTCACATTCACACACGGACAAAAGCCACCCCTCCATGATATCAAATACATATGTATTCTAGTAAGTTCTTCACCAACCTACTTCACGGTTTAACTAAATAAAAGAGAACGGCTATCTATCATCTATAATATAATCTACTAAACTGGAAATATTAATTACCATATATAATTTCATATATATGTATTAAATTAATAGCTAGGTACCGTAATGTAATATTTAGCAGACATTGGGTCCGAATCCCACAAAACCATTGGCTCCATCGAATGAAATCTGGATGCCCTCTTGCTGAATGTTGCCTATTATGGAAAGCCCGGATGGGGAAGGAGCAAATGCAAAGCAAAAACTGCCCTTGTCATCCACCGGAATTAGAAAATTGCTGGCCGGAAGGGTGAGGATGGGTCCACCCGCACCCGAGAAATAAAACGAAACGGTTGGCACCCGAACCGACACGAAACCGTTGAGGTCGTAGCAAGTGTCAAAGATGGAGACTCCGGAGGAGAGGCGAGGGAGGTTGGCGGTCTGCTGAACAAAACTGTCCCGGAACGCCTCATATGCCACCGTCGGGAACCTTGTGACGGCGGTGCCCGTGTCCATCACAACCCCTCCTTCGCTTTGCCCGAATATGTCTTCCGATATGGGCACCCGCATCCCTCCAACCCCAAGACCCGCAAGCCCCACAAAATAAAAACTCGGGGCCCGTGGGTTCCGGATCAGAGGGACCCACGCAGCACCCACGGGCATCGCCTCACGCCCGAACTCAATAGACCCTCCTCCTCCGCCGCCCAATTCGCTTGCTGCTGCTGCGTCGTCAGTGTCACTACCAGTACCACTGCGGCGGCCCCGGCTGACTAAGCAGTAAGTAAAAGCACCGCCGGTCTGGCCGGCGAGCTGACCCACAAAAGACATGGGCCCACCCCCAAGCCCCAAAAGACCAGCGGCTCCCACAAACATGCCCCGATTCATATGGCCGCAGCCGATGGCCACGTTCTGGATGAGGGTGCTCCCCAACGTAAGAGTCTCGAGGGCAAGCGTGCCCTCCGTATAGGACCCGTCCCCGTAGGAGGCCTCGTAGCGGCATCGACCCGCATGGCAGCCAGGGTTCTGGAGGTGGCCGCAGACTGAGGAGCTGCAGGAGACCCCCATATAAGAAGCAGAATGGGCTGGGTCAAAGATCGGATCGGACTGGTGGTAACACTGGCTACAAGGTTGACACTGGACCCAAACGATATCACTTCCGGAGTCAATCACTATGTATTGGCTTCTTGGAGGGCTCCCCACTCCGATCCGAACGAAGTATTCTCCACTCCCTTGCTCCATACCCGACACCACTTCCGACCCGAAACCCTTCTCCTCCTCCTTCTCCTCCTCCTCATCAATGGTGCTGCTGTTGCTGCTGCTGCTTATACGATGACTTAGGCGCCGCATAAGGCTAGCAACCCTCTTTGCATCCCTTTTCATGCGTGCATGGAAAAGGTGGGCATGGGTATGGCCGCCGCCGTTCCAGTAAGATTGTAATGATATCGTGTCTCTGTGAACCACCTTCACCTTCCATTTTCCTCCTCCTCCTCCCCCACTATCGCTAGTACTGGCAGTGGTGGTGGGGCTGCTGCTGCTGCTGCTTGTGACGTTGCGTGCAGCTGCCGTAGGTGGCCCGATATTCATTTTGGTCCCCGCGATGGTTTCTTTTACGTTCAACTCCTGAAACTCTGGGTAAGTAATAGTACTGCGGATGGTGGAGGTAGCGGTGGCGGTGGTGGTGGCGCAGCCGCTAATTAGGAAGAAGAAGAGCAGCACTGCAGCCATTTTAACTAGTACCGCTACTGCCTGCTTCAAACGTACGGCTACCATGGTTTCTGTTAGCCAGCTAGCTTCAATTTGACAATGTAAATTAATTAAGCTGGCTATACCTTGCTTGCTTTGGGTTTGAAACAGTGATTGGGAGGTGGGAATATAGGTTGTCTCTATGAGGCGGTTTGGGTTTTGGGATATGCATATAATATATTATACATATATATAGCACTAGAGAATTGAGATGGAGGAGGGCAGCAAAAAGGTCAAGGCCTGGCTAGCTAGCTAGCATTGGAATAATTGAGTGAGGGTGAGGCCCCATTGGCATTGCCCCTCATCCATGGGTTAGAGGCAGAAAAACTTATATGATATTGGAATACCACTATTTTGTTATTTTTTGCCAATCACGTTATGTTAAATGAAGAAGTTATCACGGCGTGACATAGCGTGATTAATCAGAGATAGCAAAACAGTATTATTCCTATTACACATAAGTGTTTCTGATTGAGAGGATTGGGTTTTGTTTTTGTATTCTAGTTTTTGGATTAATTTGTGACAGTTGTAATTATGAGAGGAGTAAAGTGTACGATATATCTTGACTCCTGTGCTTGCTAGCTTTCTTCAACTTTAATTGTCTTTCTTTTGCCTTTTTGGGCATCAGTCACTCATGCGTATAGATAAAATCAAATCAAAACAGATAATCAATTAAGAATTGTGTATCTAGATAAAAGGGTACGTACGTAATTGCAATTTTGTGATTTCGGAACCTTTGCATAGCTTCAGACTCTCAAAGACACATTAATTAGATATTTGAGATATCTTGTAAAATGTTTACATTTCGTCACGAGGCACACATTCATTATCAGTTGACAATTACAAACTTTGTGTACATGCTAAGCTAGCTATCTTAAATTTGTGTGTCTGCTTATTCCTTGGTAAAGACCAAAGCCAAGAATTCATTCTCTCTATATACTACTTTAGTTCAGGTCCTTGAGCTGAGTGGAGCTTTAAAAAGTGCGATAGGAAAGGATGAGTATTACTATTTCCTATAGAGGCTTATAACAAACAAAAAAATAAAATAAAATAATGAAGTAGTGCATGCTAGCCTTTTCAATTAGCTTTAGGTAGACAGTAATTAATATTAAGTAGACGAATGAGTGAGACCGACGACATTAATTAATTGTTAGCAAGACATAAAGAAAGATGAGTGATATGTATATATAAAACATTCTCTTTCCCTGCATGCATTATTATGTAGTAGCTAGACTAAGCTTGATTATGTATAGCCTAATAAGAAGGTTTACTCACGCTTTTCATTATTTAAAATAAAGGAGTGAGCACATGTTAAATATATGAGTTATATATATAAAAGAGAGAGAGTTTCTATTGAGGGATCCCTCAAATAAGCTCATTTGAAGGACACCTTTATAAGGCCCACTCCGTATTGTATTTCACTAATCCAAACGTCTATGTTTTAGATAATTATTCAAATATCATCTTTATAAAAAAATTACTTGAATCTGATATCGTTTGACCACTCTATTGCGTTATTAAAATTTTAGTACTTTTTTGAAGCACTGAGTTCATTGATTTTATAAGATACAGTTGGATGTCGAAACGGTTTTCGATTTGTCTAATTTGTTGCAAGGATGATCTATGAATATAAACTTAAAAAAATAGATGGTTTGGATCAATAAAAGGAGACCGTATATATAACATGTCGAAATATTTATGTAAACTTTCTCAACGCAAATGTTCTTGTTCCTTGTATTAGGGAATGCAAAATGAAAATTGAATGAAATCAAGGGTAGAATATATATATATATATATATATATATAATCATCCTTAAGCGAACAATTTCAATATTCGATTATTAATTTTCAGTTGTAAAATTAAGGCAGCTCTTGACCAAATCCAATTCCCCATTGATTGACTCGTGTAGAGTTTCTCCTGTGGGGGGGGTGAGTGACGAGGAGTTTTATTTTTATTTTTTTTCTTTGTGTCGATACCAGCCACTCACATTTTGTATACATATGCATAATGATTGCATAAGATGCATGAGTACATTGAGTAGTTGAGTACTCCGCCATGCATGATAAACTTTTCCATCGCACTATGAACAAAACAAGCATGCACAACAGTAACATCAATTCATGGCCATTCCATTATTCTAGTGGAAAGTATATGATTACTAAACACAGAGAGAGAGAGAGAGAGAGAGAGAGAGAGAGAGAGAGAGTTCTATCCTATCCTATATCCTATAAATTGTTGTCCCCTACAAACCACTAAGCAAAACTCTCCACGAAGAACTTTGCATGCAATGGAATACGACTATTTAATAAAATTTCGACCTCAATTAATAATAAAAGCCAAAAATAAACGCACTTGGGATGAAAAACTAACAAATTAAGTACGTTGATTTGATTTGATTTTAAAATTCCTGCAAAAGAAGATTGCAAGAGATTTTCCTTAGAAAAGTTGAGTTTCTTTCGGGTGCACACAACACAAGTTCTTGCAAACATTTGAAGTTAATTTAGAATTGGCACGACCTTTGTCCATGAACGAGTGAGTGGATTGTTAGTTTAAAAGGCAAATTCGTATGTAAATCGACTATAATGGCGGCTGAGGTCACACTCTCTTTTGGCACAATTCATTCACAACTACATGATTAATTCAGCCTCTGAGTCTGAGGCTGAGGTTGTGGGACCGCAAGAGATTAACTAGATACGGAGGGAGGGATAATGAATTAATACGACAACACCAACCAAACCGATAGCGTAGAAAATTAACAAACAAAGAATAAGTGGGATTACCACACAGAATATAATTAATTTATTAATTCCAATAATTGTAGCATTATAGCACCTAAAAGTTGTCCTTACTTTTAATTAATTAAAATTATACTAGTCTTATCATCCTTTAATTTAATCTATGCCGCCTCTGTCTCTTCCTCTAAGTGATCTCTCTTTTCTCTCACTCTCGCTCTCACTCTCACTCGGTGTTATGCAGCTTATGATTATGAAACCCCATATGCATGCATGCATGCACTGGCTTCACATAAGAGTTTTGGTATGCAATGCATATATTGATATATGTTATGTTGACATTAATTGTTTCCATAAACATGTAATTGTTTAGGATGATACAAATGCTGAAATAAAAGAGAACGAGATGGATCGAAAGGAAGAAAGAATTTGACTTCATATTAGTTTCTCATCATCAAGTGCTTGTGCATCATCACATAATAGAATACTAGTTTGTTGGGGCTGCGGCTGATCATCAAGGCCAGTAGAATGAGATTTGAGTTGTTCAACGAGGACCAACAACTCAGAACGCATTGTCGATTCCAAATAATTATCAACATGCTTCATGATGTTCGGAAACCGAGCATCATCGTCTTCGTCATCCACATGGGTAGTAGTAGCACTAGAGGCCGCCGCGCAGTACCATTGACATATGACTCTAGCAATGGCCATCACATATAAACCACAATCATAAAGATTTGTCTGCCGCGGTGTCGGTAATTCTCTAAAACAAGGCTCATTGTTATCATCAACATAGTAACTACTAGTACTAGTACGTGGAGTATTCAAGTAACCATGATGATATTGAGGCACCCAAGGGGCTGCTGCTTTCCTTTCATCTTCATCATCATCATCATCATCATCATCATCATCGCGATCATGATCACCAACCCCCTTGACCATCAAGTTGTAGAGAAACCAATGCGGCGCCCTGCACATCATCCCAACCCTTCTGATATTCCTTGCCCTTTTCATATTTTTCTTGTGATGATTACCTCTAAATCGAATTGTTGAAGAAGAAGATGATGGTGTAGTAGTAGTAGTAGTAGTAGTAGTAGTATCAGTAGCTTTAGAATTAGAAGAAGAGGTGGTAATATTAATTCCTCCTCCCACATGTTTAACTGCTCCATAAAGTTTTCTGGCATCGCAATGATTCAATCCCCCCAAGCTGTCATAATGCACAAATGTATTTGATTTTCTGTAAAACACCAGCAAGCTCCAATGTGTTCCCCCATCAATTTGGCTCACGTTTTTATTATTATTGACCGTGAAAATAACAAGTTGCTTTTCGGCTACCTTATGAGACTCCTCAAACCCTTTCAAACTCTGAGAATCGAGGGAATTTGCTAGCCAATATGAGAGTGTGGGTGGAACCAGAAGGATGTCATCTTTGGATTTCGAGTGGATTTGGGTATCAACATCATCATCATCATGCACATCTGGTAATTGGGAATTAAAAAGATAGCTGAAGTAGAATTCAATAAGGCTGTCATTTAAGAAATGTGGGCCTCTAAGCAGATCCAAGTCACAACTTCTCAGCACAACCTTATCATAAGTCAAGCCCCCCTCCTTCTCCATCAATATATAATTAAACTTATCTGCAACACAAGTCTATAATCATAAGCTAGCTTAATGATGAATCCATGTATACCAAGATTTCAACCCTAATAATAATGAATCCATAATTTGTTGACTGTGGGAGGAAATTAATTAGGACAAATAATTTGGCTATCAAACCTAAAAGCTACCTAGCTGCGTACTAGCTAGTCCCGACATCAAATAGTTACAGTATGTGCATATATAGAAATAAAATATATATGCCTATGGCCCCCGTTTGGTGGGCCGGATTGGACAGACCGCGTCATGGCATCCATGAATACTAAGATAAACACATAATAATGAAAAAGGCATACAAAACCAAAACAAGAATGATCGAGTATGTACCTTAAATCTTGAAATTAATAAAATACTGGTGAATCTAGAGCGAGAGATCGAATAGCTTAGCTAGAAAAATAGCTGCTCCTGCTGCTGATGCTGTTTTAAGAGTAAAAAGGAGCCTTGCACAACTTTCTGGGTGTTACGGGAAAACCAGAAAATATATATATATATATATATATTAGGGTTTCCTACCCCCATAAAGGAGACGGGCAGGGCAAGGGCAGCCAATTCATAGGTTTCTTCCGCTCTCTCTCTCTCTGCTTTGTCGTTGCTAATTAACTCTAGCAAACTCGGTTAATTGTTTCCTTGCAGGAGTTGGTTTGCTTTCTTTTAGCCTCTTCCTAATTAACTGTCGTACTTGATACCTTGCCTAACAAGTCTCACTAACCTAACACTAACAGGAAACCAAATCAAAAGGAAATTCCTACACTTATCAATTCCACCTCATAATAAGTCACGTTATTTAGATTGTAAATTCTGATTCCAATAAAAACCAACTTGAATTTTTCTTTTTTCTTTTGACGTTTAATTATTTTTTACCGCGTCATGTAATTACATTAGAATTTCAAAAATATTAATTTTAAAAATCTCGAAAAAATCATATAAATTTTTAAATTTTAATCAATGTAAAATGTAATGCAAAGATGGGGATTCAGGGTAGAAAAAAACACAGGCCATGACATTGAACATCAACTTCCAAAATCTTAATATGAATAGAATAGAACAAATGGTCCATAATTGTAAATTGCTACAGATGATTCCACTCACAAAATTTTAGTTACTGGTGAGGTCGGGGTCAGTACACCATTGCACACTAGAAATCGCAAATAACTTGACAACTTATATCTGTCTCAAATCTCAATTCTAATTCAACCTCAACAATATACTAACTCCACATTAACATTCTTAAAGCACAAACAGGGTTAACATCACATCTTTCCTAAATCAATTCGCCTATCTCTCTTTACTAAGTAATCTTTCTTCAATTGTAAGGAAAAGTTATCGCAAGGTCACCCAGAAAGTTCTGCAGAGAAGCCAGGTCTGCAGAGAGTTTGGGGCAGCAAGAAGGGCACAGGTTAAGCAATGTAATGACTTGTCCATGCTTCCCTTGAATAACCACACAGGAAGTTATTAGTAGAATCACCTCATTACAGACTCTTTTACAAAGGATCTTCCACCTGAGCTGCAAGAGCAGAGATTAATTATGAGGCTAACATTCAAGACATCTGTGATTTTACCAAGGTTAAAGAACTAAAGTATTAATGAATTGTAAGATGAGACTCACGCATATTCAAGGTGGATATTCATAAATCGACGGTTTTCTTTGCTTTGTGATAGTGTTACAGAACCTTCAATGAGTTGATCTTGCTCCACCTCTATTGGGTCATAAAAGTATAGCACAGTCTGCAATATTGCTTCATTAGACAGACTGAGAAAAGTTCACAATAACATATGAAAGATCTGAGCAAAGGGGGTTGCTACAAAAAACTTATCAAGTTATGATGAGACTGAATGATATTTTGTTTTCTGGCAAAAACTAAACACCATTTTGTACTGAGAATGTTTAAGCATCATAAACCTTAACAAGTTCTGTTATCACCTAGCTGGGTAGCCCAAAGAGTGGGTTAAATAAGTGTAAAGATACTGTACCTGTTGCCAATGCGTTGGGGGGGTCCTCAGGTGCAGTGGACAGAACCAGTGCTTCATTGGGATTTGCTCGTTTCTTCCTCTGCTGACCATCCACTGGATGATTGCTAATAAGTGAGGATGGTGCATGATTATTTGTACCAGCTAATGCAGGCCCACTGAATTCGACATCAAACCAAAACGCAAACCCATGTAGTGGAGCTGTAAATTAAGGAATAGTTACAACCACAACAGCGTCTACTGAATAAACTGGGATAAATACTATAAGAACTCCCTCCTCCAAAAACCCACAAATGAAAAATCCCAAAACCCCACAAAGACGAGAATCTGGTTTTAAATCATAAGAATCCATTACTCCTTCCTGGGAATTTCTTGAAAAAACAGATTCTGGATAATAGATTAGACATCTTAGTTTAAAATTTTTTAAAAAAATTCAACCAACCAACGGAAAATACTCATCATGTATGAGATTCGCAAAAAAAAAATGTATGAATTTTAGACTCGAATTTCTCTCTACATGGTAAAGGTCCTCCTGAAAGTGTTCAAAACAACACAGCGAATTTGATAGTTTGAGACTCATTTTTCATATCATACTTTTGCAAACTCTTCACTCTCCCTTCCTTAATCATCACATGTCAACTCATGCAACTGAGATGTGCAAGAAAATAACATGAACAGGGTTTGTCAATGCACTATCAGAAAATAGCACAAACAGTGTTTGTCAATAGAAGTTTCCATTTCCAGGTTTCTAACTGTTCTTTAATTGTTTTCAAGAATTTAAGAAATTTTAAAAGGTCTGAAGAAATAGCTATTGAATTTTTTGGGTTGAGAAATGATGAAACTGAAATCATCAAAAATATGTAGTGATAACAATAATGCGACCAAAGAATTGAAATATGTACACTTGCACGGACACACACCCACATATATGGGAAGGGGGAGAGGGAGAGAGAGAGAAAGAGAGAGAGAGAGAGAGAGACCTCGCATCATTGATTTGAATTTATAGTTTGTTGTAACAGATTCCAACTCATGAAGTGTGATTGTATGGCAGTCCACTTGCTTAACCTACAACCAATTAGTAACAGCATGATGCTTTAGATTGTATATTTTCTACATACACAAATAGAAATACTAATGAGGGGAGCTCTTCAGAGATATATCTACCGTACGGTATATTTATCTTCTAATTAGAGAAACCCTGATTTTTTGAACCCTTCGTCCAAGAATGAGAAGAGAAGTAGTGAACTGATTCATTGACTTACCAGCATCATTTTCTCATAAGAGTTAATGGGAAGTGTATAGCAAAATAGCAGTTGAAATCCTTATATTAAAGAGATCTTATGGTCTCAACTAGTATCAAGCAAAAGGAATCTAAGTCATGTAAGTGTTTCTTTGACTAAATAACTTAACATTCACTCAACGAATGAGTAATGTCCCCACTTCTGGAACTAATAATTTATCTTTTGATCTATTAGCAATTGGTTTCAGACTGCAAGCTTCTTGCACAAAAATAATTGCCACTGCATCTATGGAAGAGAATGCGAGTATTTATAAATTTTCAGAAAGAAGATATACAGTCTCCCATAAAAAGAAAGAAAGAAAACAAACAGGAAATTAGAAAAGGAAAACATCAACACTGGTAGCGAAGATTATGATTATCAAGATATTCAAAAGCAGAAAAGGGGAAAAAAACCTATACACCACACGAATATGTGCAACTCAATTCAGAACACTCACCACATGTGGCCATGTCAAAACATTCTCACCCACGATTGTCTCAACACATGGCTCTTCAAACGCACACTGTTTTGCCAATGGTAACATGGCAGACACTGCAACAAGTCCAATGAAATAAAATAAAAATGTTAGAGATTAATGATTCCATACATGTACTCACTGACTAGTAAGTAAAAGTTCCATGTATACAAGTAGAATGGTATCTAAATGAATTCTGCTACTAAGCTCACATCAGGATATATATATTTTAAAGCCATCAACATAAGGCTTAAGTGAGCTTGTTGATAGTCATTTCTTTTATCATCCGGAAAGGGGAAGCACTATTCGCGCTCCCCACAAACACTACTGCACTGGAGTGTGGGAGTAGTGCTCCCCTACTGAAAATTTTACTTTGACAATGTTCATAAATGAGATATGAATCCAATTATATGCCAATAACAATTGAGAATATGATGACAATATATATGATGTGTACTCACTATCAATTCCATAAACATTGCGCCAGAAATCAATGCTTTCACTGTATCTATCAGAATGTGTGATGGGTGCCATGTACAACTGCAAGCATACAAAATAAAAATCAGCATGATAGAAACAAATTCATTTGTCAACAGCTGCTATATTATAAGAACTTGTTTTTTTATTATTTATAAGAAACCAAAATTTTATTTAAAAAACCAGAATTTACAAATTGGTGAACAAGAAATCAATCAAATATACAACCAGAATCTTAAAACTAAGACACCTCTCTACCACATTTTAATTGAAAAACTATATCTCTACGATACCACTGGTTTCCAATCCAAATAGATTAAATAAAAGGTAAACTCCCTAAACTCTGAAAACGTAGATGCCCACAAGGATGCCCAAGGCCGAATATGAATCCATAACTGATCCCAGCTACTTAAGTTGATAATACAGAAGTTAACAACACATAAAGCTGGCACAAAATAAACATAGCATGATTGTAAATTCAATGATATCAAGGCAGCAACAGTGTAACAGGTTTCACAACTAAAGATGCAAATGTCACAATAATTGAAAAAAGGAAAAGAAAGATACCGTTGCACTTGAAGGAAGTATTAGACCTCCAGGTTTTAGCCAGCGATCTCTAGCCGTGATGACACTTCCCAGCATGCTCTAATAAGCAAGCATGCCAACAAAAGAAAAGGAAATATATCATAAGGTTGCAAACCACAAAATATACCCATGGGTATCTGTATGCTGAGGTACAATTTTAAATGAGTCATAGCAATACATCAATATGCAATCATGAATAAAATGTTAACATCTACCTCATACAGAAGCATGTAGCCCATCCACTCTGAAATTATGACATCAACCTCTTCATCAATATCAACATCCTGCAGAACGATCATTTTTAGCCATATTGGCATGTAAATTTGTAATTCAAATCAACATCAACAGAAATATCTCTCTCTCTCTCTCTCTCTCTCTCTCTCTCTCTCTCTCTCTCTCTCCTCTCTCTCTCTCTCTCTCTCTCTCTCTCTCTCACGCAGATGACATTATATACTGCTATACATTGAAGGTTTATGGCTCTAACCAACAACTAGCATCTCTTAGTGCCTCAATTTTCTACACAAACTCACAGGAAACACCCAAAGAACTAAACGCTTCTATCCCATCAGTCAGGTATGAATCTCATGCTACCTATTAGTTTTAAAAATACTCTTATCATATTTCAAACCCTGCTTGCGAGCAGAATTTTAATAATAAACAACTCTTTGAAAAGCAAAATCAACAAATTGTCCTGGTCATAGAAGCTTACCTCAACTCGCCCATGTAGTACAATGATTGTTTCAGATAGATTGTTTGCTTTCACAACTTCATTTGCCTGGTTACATTGCATCAGAGCTTCAGATCTTAAGGATAATGAGACATTTTACATCAAGCATGCACACTTTAAATACCAGAGGTTTTTCCTTTCTGGGAGGAAAAAGGCCGGAATAAATAAATGAATAGAGATTCAAATCACATGCATAAAAAGTAACAAGCATTACTACAAGAACATACCTGCACTGCAATGTCACTTGCATCAACAGCATATACCTGGTTGGTTGTAACACAATACATAAGAGAATCTTATACATAAGGAACAATAATGCCATGATGAGACACAACACGGAAGTGACTAAACCAAACTTACAAATATTAACCCCAGTATAAAGGAAAAAAAGGAGAAGAAAACCCAATTTTATTCATCAGATGTCACTGGAAAAGGAAAGGCAGAGATGGCAGCAACAATCATGAAATGAAAAGGCATTATGGGTTTGTAGCATTATGTTAAAACCCATGCATTTCTGAACCATTTGATAACTGTAGTGATTGGACACTAAACTAAACCCGCAGTTAAATTAAACACACAACATCCTTCCAAACCCAGCAGGTTTCCCCATGTAAAAAAAGATAATCATTACAAGTAAGCACATCCAACTTATCAAATATTATCTAAAAAACAGCTTACACGTTTTGCACCGGCTTGAGCACAAAATATAGAAAGAATGCCTGTACCACAGCCAACATCCACTACAACCTGCAAGCATTATTCAATTGAGAATAAAAATGAAGAAGTTATTATATAAACAAGGTCAATACACGTCAGAATATGATGCCCCATTATAGTATATTCTAATGTATAAGGTACATCTTATAAATCCTTCAAAACAGATATAAACAGAAGGCAATACCAAAGTAAAAAAAACATATCACTTCTCAACTACTATTACAGCTACATTACTTTGCCTGCTATAGAACTCTGGTGCTGCATGATTGCCGTCCTATAAGTTTCAGTGCGTACACGATCCTGTATGACGAAATTTTGCCACATAAGTCAATAAATTATATAAGAATAACCATAACAATGTTTGTCCAAGAAAAAAAAACCATAGCAATGTGTTTCCAACGACACGGCAGCAAATGTTCCCTTTAAATTTTGAAAAGACAAAGACACAGAACCTTAAACAACACATAATGATGTTATGGCCCAAATCCTTTTACAAGGTTTCTTATTCGCATTCCCACTTGAGATGCATTCTCATACAAGAAGAAAACAACGTGATGAGCAGTAACAACAATAGAATATCTCATAAAGCTAAATTTCATTTCCCCAGCTGCCATGAACCCCACCGGAAACTCAGAGCATAGAAGCGGAAAAAAAAAAATTGAAATCCGAGACTAACACTAGGAAATTTCGTAATCGATTCTGAAAAAAAAAATATATATTCAAAATGCACCTTAATCATTTCTTCGTGGATACCAACGTGGGCGTAGGAGTGGAAATAGGCCATGTCGAAGTCGGTACAAGGCGCTCCTTGTTGTTGTTGTTGCTGCTGCTGCTTAACATGCTCAGAAACCCTAAGCCCGCCAAAATTACCACCACTGCTAAAGCTCTCTCTGAGCTCACGTGACCTGGCACGTGTTCCCCGGCGGACTTTATCCCTCATTCCGTGCTGTTGTTGCTGTGGGTGGTAGCCGTTACTGTAAGCCGGGCTCGAGTTCATTGTTTTGGTGCCCGCTCGCTCGCTCGCGCTCACTCACTGACAGACCCAATTTTGAGGGAGATGAAATAAAGCGCCGTTTGACGTTCGCATTTTTCACCAAATTTAAGTTTTTCTTTTCTTTTCGTCTAGTTTTTTTTTATAATTATTTTATTTTTTTAATAACTCAGACCGCGTTTTATTTTGTTGACTATACGGTATATAAAAGCCCTTGAATTTTTCAAAATCCTTAAAATCCAATGAATATGTGCGTAAATTCTCTTCCCTAATCGCTTGTATTAAATAAATAAATAAATAAAAACTTGAATTTGTCAATTAAAAAAAAGCAATTGAATTTAAAACATTTTTATTGTACCTCTAATAGTATAATAAAAACACTAATTTTTTAGTGCTTCTAATAAAAATGTTACTCTTCTAATGAATGTCTTCAATATATTTTAAAAAACAAATAAGAAAAAATGATTTTGTTACTTACACACCTATTTTCTATCTATCTCTCTCTTTTTTATTTTTTATTTAATAACTTCCCCGGGGTGAAACATCCAACACATACATTCGAGGGAAGATATCATAGGGCTTTTGTTTTGCTAGAAAAAGATAGTATAGGTTGGGGCCAAAAATCTAACTAGTTATTCTTCTAGTGGTAAGTTTCTCTATTTTGCATAAATGCATTATAAGTTTGAAATTTTCATATTTCATATTAAAGGAAGTTTATGAAAAGAAAATTTAAATTACCAATAATGTTACAATAGTATGGCCGTGATATATTTTGTACATGTGTTATAATATGAATGAACAAAATGGTTTATTTTCCCTTTTTCAGGGAATAGTATAAAAAATATATCTATTTATATTATAACACATGTATAAGATATATCACGTGAACGTACTATCATAGTATTCTACGAGTTTGAAACATAACATAACATTCTCCTTTACTTGTATAAATCAATAAACTTTTTTTTTTCTTCATGTTTATTGATAAAGAAAGAAATAGGATTGTTGATGGTTTGCCTTGTTTGGGTTGGGCCTCACGGTGTTCGTTTGGCTTAGGGCCAGTTTGGCATTGTTGTGCTGTGAAAATAATCGCTGTCAGATTTGTTGTAAGAAAAATCAGCTGTGAGAGAAAGCAGTTTGGCGTTTGGTTAAATTTTTGTTAAAAGTGTTGTTGATATTGATTTTACGCATAATCAAAAAATGATTGCCGCATAATCATTAAACCCAGCGCCTATTCGAAATTGATTCCTGCATAATCAGAAAATGAAAGCACCTCATTAGCTGCTTTCCCTTATAGCTTTATCTCACAGCAATTTTTAACAACAAGTGATTTTCTCACAGTTTACCAAACGGATTGGGCATTTCAAAATTTTTAAAAAATCACTTATCACTCAAAATAAGCAATGCCAAACTGGCACTTGGCCTTTTCCTTTATTTTTTTGGTTTGGCTTAGCCTTTTATTTATTTATTATTTGTTAAGCTTAGCCTTTTATTTTTGCGCCTTGTGTTTCTTCCCCTTTTTTTCTTCCTTTCCCTTTTTGGCTGCACACACCCACTGGGCAGCTGAGGTGGATGTGGATCCCACCGTGACGGTGGTGAGGATTTCACTGCCGTATCCACCAAGAATGAAGGAGACCTTTTCTTTAAAGGGTTAAACCCAAAACCCAAAACCCAAAACCCTCAACTCACAATTCTCTAATTCACTCTCTCTCTCTCTCTCTCTCTCTCTCTCATCTTCGAATCAGAAGGAACTCAAAGCAATGGCGGGTCTTGTACCTCCAGGTACTACCACGCGAAGCGAGGCTGCGGAGACGAAGCCTATGAACGAGAAACTGGACTACACAAACCTGCCTTGTCCCATACCCTATGAAGAAATCAACCGTGAAGCTCTCAGTTCAGTATCAAATTTTTTTCGTTTTTTGTTTCTTCACTTTTTGGATAATGACTCATGGTTATAATTTGTTCTATCCCTTTGTGATTCCATGTACCAGTCTGCTGAATTTAATTTAAGCGTCCAAGTTGCTCTCTTTTGTTCCTGTTTGCTCATTGTTGATATGCCTTTTGTTGTGTAGTGTAGTGTGTAGGTATGGGATTGTTAAAAAAAGACAAACTTTTGACTAATGAAGGAATATGAATTAGTTGGTTTATTAGTACAGGTTTTGAAAAGCCGAAAAGCCTAACTTTTGAATCCCATGTAGGTGCTTATAACTCCTTTGTGTTTCTCAGGGTTTGTTGTTTAAAAGTTTTTGGTTACCGTGGTCAAAGATATTACCTTTATGATTGTATTGGTTTCGGGTAATTTATATGCTGAACCGTCTGTTGGAACATTTGGTCTTCTGTTGTTGAATTGCTCATATATGTGTTACAGTGTAATTAAAAGTTCATTATTCTAGTGAAAGCAAAGGTGCCTTTTGATTCTTTTCTGATTCCTAATGTTATACATTTAACCATCTCCTGATGCTCTTGGTTGAGGGTGCTCTCATCAGTGGTACTGCTACTGCCTGACTGTATTTGTGAGATTAGTGTACAGTGTTGGATGGGTTTAGAGTTTAGGGTATTTTCCATCATTTTGGGGGATTTGACATTTTTCAGGTTCTTAATACTTTACTTTTCTGTCAACCAAACAGTGGCATAGATGTTCCAGGTTCATTCCAATGAACCAAGCACTACCTTAGTTTATTTCTAAAAGAGAATGGTTGCAATGCATTCATTGATTAAGGAAATTGCATATTGGCAAGGGGCTTGGCAGTATTTTGCTGACTTCCATCTTTGATTGGCAGTGTCTTTACGGCCAGAATGTTTTGAGGGGATGCGATTTGATTTCACTAAAGGACTCAATCAGAAGTTCTCCCTTAGCCACAGGTTTTTGTATTCTCCTCTTTGAGCCTTTATGCATTCCATATCAATTATTTATATTATTTTGTATATTTTATTTACTCTTTTCACCTCCCATCAGTGTACTCATGGGACCTATGACAGTTCCTTCTCAGTCTCCTGAAACCATAAAAATCCCTACTGCTCACTATGAGTTTGGTGCAAATTTTATAGACCACCCAAAGGTGGGTAGCCATTGCTATTTTTACTTATCCAGAAACCTCTAGTGGAAATGGCGGAAGAAGCATTGATGGTTATATTTCTTTTCTTTGTGGGGGTTGGGGTAAATTTTTAGTTGATGCTTTTCGGGAGGGTATTAACAGATGGGAGACTTAATGCTAGAGTGAAGTGTGACTTGACTGACAATCTTACTTTGAAGGCTAATGCTCGGGTAAAACTATTTTTCATTTGTTTTTTCAATTAAACTCTTCCTTCTTTTTTTTTCTTGTGTAAAAAAAGTGGAAGTATTTATGTCACTTAGTTATTTTAATTTTTTTTTCCCAGCTTACAAATGAGCCGCACATGTCTCATGGCATGGCCAGTTTTGATTACAAGGTCAGGTCACTCTTCTCATCATATTTTTAGTCTTTTAATATATGAAGTTATTTATTTACTTCACATTTTATATTTCTTGTAGAACTTCATTACTATTGAAAATCATCTTTGGCTACCTCTATTTTTAGATTAAATAAATCTGTCCATCAGAAAAAAAGTTTGCAGAGGGGTGCAGGAGTATATTCTTTATCTATCTTCCATTAGCCTCACTATGAATGGTTACAAGATAAACACCAATTATCCCCATGTTGTTGTTCCTATAGTTGGGAGTTTATTTTGATGTAGTGGTAACCATGACAGATTTCAGTTTACACATACTAGATTGCCTTCAGCTTTGTTATAATTCTACAAGTTTTGACATTTTCCTTTCTTGGTACAGGGCTCAGACTACAGATCCCAGATTCAAGTGGGAAATGGGGCCTTATTGCAAGCAAGTTACATCCAGGTAAGGATATTCTCCTTTTCTTTTTACCCTCCAGATAACGTGGACACTGCTACCAAACAATTTAATTTCGTGTCCATGGTTTTTTTTGGGATAATCATATTGGTATCAAACATATCTTAAAATAGTCTTAGAGGTCCAGATTTATTGGGATACTGACAATATATTGTATGATACTGACCTTATCGTAATTGTAGTCTGTTTATTGATCTCGAAGGTTAAACTCAACAACATGATTGACTGAAAATAGGCTCTGTTTTGGTAGCCGCCTTTTTTATATATATTGATTTTTCAATATTCTTGTGATAATTGATTATAGTCAACACAAAAATGCTGTACTTTACAAGGATAGAAATGTTTTGTAAAACAAGGCCACTGCAGATTTATGAAATGTTCTTAGGATTATTCTGATAAATCTGTCTACGTTCTCTATATTCTTGCAGTCGGTGACTCCACATTTCTCTTTGGGTGGTGAAGTATTCTGGGCTGGTCAGCATCGAAAGTCAGGCATCGGTTATGCGGCGCGGTTCAACACTGAGAAAATGGTATTCCAGCTTGGTTTTCATATCTCCTCACATGTTTGAAGCCAGATGATTTATGATCCTTATCATTATGCATCATCATTTGTGCATTATCATTATATTTGTTTGACAAATAACAGAGCTTTTACAGAGAAAAGGAAAGAAAAAGAAAAAAAAAGGTACGAGAAAATAATGAACTTCTTGTTTGCCTTAGAAAAGAGAACAACTAAAAACTAACTGCACAAACTGAGAACAATTAGAATATTTTTCCCCCATACATCCTCTGCCAACAAGGAACTCCAATCTTTATGCAAAACACAGACTAATGCCCATATCTTAGTAAGCATACCAGATACCAGACTTCCAAATCATCTTAATAGGTTCAAAAGTCAAGTCATTATTGTTGAGTACATGCAAACCATTGCTTACTCTTTCCCAGTGATGCTGCACAAGATTGTGCATTAAGTTTCTGTAAATAAAGGAGGGAAGATATGGGGTGTTGAGTTTGGTATTTTCTGCTAACCTCGTCAATGGTCACTGTCAAAATTTCCTTTTAAGATTTTTCATTCATTCCAGTGTACAAATATATTTTTCTTCATCCCATTATAATCATAGAGACTGCTTTTTCTTTTTTCCGTTCTTTTTGGTTTTAATTGTGGCATGCATAAATCTGAGCGAAGGCATTTTTTGTGATGCTCAATGTTCTGCCTGCAGGTTGCCACAGGACAGGTTGCTAGCACTGGAATGGTTGCTTTGAGCTACGTTCAGAAACTATCCGAAAAGGTACATAAAGTTATGTTATTAAGAACTTTAGGTTATATCTTATCTATATATAGTTATTATACTGTCGTATTTGTACAGGTTTCACTAGCATCAGATCTCATGTACAACCACACGTCAAGAGATGTCACAGCAAGTGTTGGCTATGATTATGTCCTCAGACAGGTAGACTATGCTATTATAGTTGTTAAAAAATGGAAAGACACATATATATCTTCGTATTTAATGACAGGAAACACTATAAGTGGGTGACTTTGGTCTTTAACACGTCCTCCCATGCCAATTCACGTTAACCTATTTGCATTATTTGGAATTTAAGAAATCATATACATACCTAACCTATTTCTTCCGTTTCTTTCAGAGTCGTCTTAGAGGGAAGATTGATTCCAATGGCTGCACGGCTGCTTTTCTTGAAGAGAGATTAAGTATGGGTCTTAAGTTCATACTTTCCGCAGAGGTGAGAAATCTGCTAGTTTAAATTGATTTATAGACCATTTTAAGACGATATAAGAATAGCAAGGAAATGGATATTTTGAAGCTAAGAATTGATTATTATGCCTGTATTTGTGTGTTTATGTACATGCCAAACTGAGTTTCCTTGTGTTGTGTGATCTTCTGTTCCCACCATTCATTTCATTCAAATTCATGGGCAGTGGAACTGTTGAAGTTTGTTTGTGTACTGGAAAGTTGAAACACGGAAAACCTGAATTTGTCTTCAGCCTCCTGCATCTTTGAATTGAGTAATTAGGCTTTGTGGGGCGTGGTCCCAGTTAACCAAATGCCATCCATCAGCTATGATTAGATATTTGTTGCGGGGGTTTCCTTACTGTTATTACACTATTGAGCATATGAAGCTGAATATTCTATGCTAGGAAATTGGCTTAACTCGCATGCATATAAATGCTGGAGCCTTTGTCTTTGATGCGGTGATAATGTTTGAAACTTAAACTTCTGCCATACTGCATTATTATGGATCCTTCCACTCATGCGTCGAGTCCCGTTAGGGTATAGGTTTGTTGCAAACTTGCACGGGTGGATGTGGTGGAGATGCATCTATTCTTGATCTTTCCAAATCATATTTCGTAACATTAACAGCATCTCCAAAATTTATATTTGCAGATGGATCACAAGAAGAAAGACTACAAATTCGGGTTTGGGTTGGCGGCAGGAGAATAGATGCAAAAGCTGAAGGGCTGTTACTATGAAATTTTATAAAAGCTCATAATTACTACAAGAAGAAAGACTACAAATTCGGGGTAGGATTTGTATTTTACTCATCTGGCAGTTGAAGATGGTTTGGCTCAAGTTGGCAGAACTAATTCAAAATATCTGTAATTCTACAAGCCATGTTATGGTTATAACTAGAACTTGGTGAATTGTTGTAGTATGTATGGTACTGCTGTGACTTTTATGAAATAGATTGAGAATTTTGTTCTTCTCTCAAAATATATTTTCCCCCTAAAAACACTTCAAAAACATTTAAAGGTCTTTGTTATGTAAGGGTGTCTTTATTTGGTGATCCACAAAACACAATTTGAGCGTCTATTTAATAATTTTTTTTAGCGTCTATTTAATTTGTTGAGAAGTTATTTTGGGTTGAGTTTTTCAAGTGGCTTTGAAAAAAAAATTATTATTAAAGGAAGATTAATCTAACGCAGGGATCAAGCAAGCTTCTATAAATGCCTCGGAGTTGGATTGGAGCATATGAATCGGAGAGAGAGAGAGAGAGAGAGGGAGAGAAATGAAGAGGAATACGAAGAAAGAAACAGAGAGGGATGAAGTTGAAGAGTTGCTGCAAGCAGCACAGGACGATATGCTCCTGAAGCTATCTCTCAACTCTCACTTGTCCCGCGGCGTTTCTCTCGACGACGCCGATATAGGCCGTCGCTTCGAGGCCCTCAAAATGAAAACTGTTATTACTGGAGCAGCACCAGGAGCAGGAGCAGGACCTGCTGCTGCTGCCTCTTCTGTCTCCAAATCCAATTCCAATTCCATTCAAGTGGATGAGGAACTAAAGGAAGTCCTCGGTGACGACCTCTCCACCAGATTCGCCGCCCTCAAGGCTTCAGTTCCTATGCCCTCCTCCGATCCTGCCGTCCGGTCGTCCGCATCATCCTACTACGAGATCGACAACGACAACGACGATGAAGATGAAGTTGAAAAGTTGATACGCTGGGCTAAGGATGCCGCTCGCCTCGACCCTTCTCCACCCTCCGACGATGACGACGACCAAGACAAATCGGAATCTGATGATGACGAACACCACCACCACAATCCAAAGGGGAATGGAACCGATCGTAAATAGGAAAATACTTTGTGTTTCTTTTTTCCTTTTTTATTATATGTAATTTGATAAATTAGATTTATGAATAAATTATGACACATTGAATCGTGTTTGTAAATTGTAATTGGATTTTTTGGCCCCGGTTAACCCGACTAACATAACGTACAAAATCTAACCAAAACAACGACAATGCTCCAACATGCCAAGACATAAAAATTGAGCTCAACTTCTGATAAATAACAATCATGATACCCTTTTGTTCACTAATCTATTACATGTAATGACAATTGTAAAGCAGCCTACGAAATAAATCATTCTCCAAAATGGGCCTCATTCTGAATAACTAAGCCATGGTTGAGGAGTGTAGTTTCATATTTTTGGAAAGGCACCAAACCCCGTTGAGGTCGTAGTGGAAGAAGTCTGAGGTCCAATCAATCTCTTTCATACTCGAATCCTATATTAACAAACAAAAAACCCAGAACAAAGATTTTGAATCCTACCCAAGTTGTGGCATGGCAGCAAGTATCCTGCATCTATATGTTACCAAAAGAATAAGGCAGCAGATCCGGTAATGAGATTAACGGAACTCATCATGGAACTCATAGTCCTCTTCTTCATCGTCGTTGAAAATAGCGCTGTAAAATACATAAGGGTTCTCAATCATTTCTGTCAGCGTTAGACGCCCATCTTTATCTGTATCTGCCTGCAATTTACAAAATTAATACACATACAACCTTTAGAATTAGCTAAACCCCAGCCAAAACTTATCAAGTCATAAAAACAAGCGCAGATATGCTATGGTACCATCAGTTTTCTACCCTTCCAAGCTTCCTTATGCAACCCCCAAATATAAAAGAACAACTTCTATCTTTTCTTTCTCTTTTTTTTTCCCTGGTGGGATGGGGTGGCACAACATCTTTACTGTGAAACTTCATCTGATGTCTCATCTATAACTCTTCAATAAATTTCAGTGACACAAGAAGGATAAGATTTTGGCAGTTCTTCAGCCTAGTGCATGAAAGTTTTACAAAGTGAGGCATTGCAAGCCAAACTCTGTGCTTGCAATACTCTTTTTCAAAAACTTATCTAAGCTTTCTGCCAGCTCAACCACTCCAATTTTTTCACAACAGCTGCATGGTTAATAAGCTGATAAACCACCATCTTATATGTACTAGCCTGATGGCAAGAAGAGAAGAACTGCCCATAACTTCACAATCCAACTACCAACATATAAATTGCAAGCTGTGCCCAGTCTATAAACTGCAAGCAACTTCAGAGCTCTAATGATCTTCAATTTGCCTTTTCCATCATAAGATTACACTAATCTTTGAATATCACATAGCTTACAAGATAAATCAACAAAATTCTGACACTTGAAGATGCTCCAGAAAAAGAAATACTGACTAGCTAAAGAAGGTCATTCATTTTTTAATACTTCAGTTATGTATAATTTCACAAGCCTTTCTTGTTTTGAGATGATTAATTCATCTTAGTAAGCAAGGAGAGGAAGCCCTTGCTGAACACTGAGAGGTGACTCAAACTTAATTTCATGTTATTTCCACATAAAAAGTGCTACTAGATCAACTCATAGGAGCCATACGTGCATATATATATATATATATATATATGACACAGAAAGCACAAACTAATTGATCCATCAAAACTAAGAAAGAAAATAGTTTTCATTTGTAAAATGATTACCTGTGATATGATGTAATCTGCTTGTTGTTTTGCATAGTAATGTTCTGATGGATGTATCTTTCCAATAATAGGAAGTAACTCTGCATCTGACAAATATCTGCGGATAATGAAAGGTGGAAACAAGTAAAATGATTAGCAAAAAGGAAACCCTTAAGTAGCTCAGAATAATTACACATAAATAACAGCAGCTTAAGAAGTACCCGTCACCATCTTTGTCAAGCTGAGCAAACAAATTTCTAGCAGGGGCCTCCATCGAATCATCAAACTGATGTGAGGAATTGTGATTTTCTTCTTCATAGTTTCTCACCAAATCAAAGAGGCCATGAAAGAATTCTTTGAAGTTGATCTTTTCATCTTTGTCTGTGTCCCTTTCCCTAAGGAAAGCAAAGGAGAGAACATACAATCAGAAAAGCTAAGCTAAGCGACCATGTTAGAATGACATCAAGCACAACGACAAATAAGATTATGTAGATGTCTTTCGTCCACAGAGAAACACAAAAATTTGAAAGTTGAAGCAAAAGAAAATTCAATCTAGTTGCTTGAAAATTCTCCTGCAGCTGATGCTGTGCCATAAACTATATCTTACAAACAGATGTGGATCATAAGGATAGGACAAACTAGAATTTAAGAGAAGAGAAATTAATATCACCTTACTTCCTCCTTGCACAACCACTGAAGTAGCTTCGGGTTTTTGCTGTCCGCTGGGTGTAGAAAGCTAGAAAAGCATAAATCATGGACATCAAGTTGAAGAAGGTATTTCAAAAAGATTTTGATGTAAAACAGTAAAAGGAACTTGATAGAAAGGCAGAAGCTCACTCATTGAACTCAGATATATTAAGAAGACCATCTCCATCTGCATCTGATGCATTGAAATGCTCCTCTTTCCACCAACCCATATCATAGCCAAACGAATTGTTATCTGGTACATGGAACAGAAATCAGAAACAAGGAGAAATTGACATGAAAATGAGGACCTAAACAACACAAGATACTTTTATCAGATACAATACTAAGTTTCTTCTCACGCACTTTCATTGGACCATTGGTACTATCTAGGAGCAGTCGAACATACTGAAGAATGACCCTCGTTTTACAATAATTTAAGAGGTTGCTTGCGGAAACCGAAATTCAGAAATGCCACATAGCATAATAGCAATAGATTGAATTTCAGCAGTAAAGCCAATCTATTAGCAGCAAATAGATAGATTTGGAGGAGCAAGATATGAGCAATAACCAAAATGTTTGCAATTTAATTAACAAAGACAAGAAAGAAGACACATCCTCTATCTTCCATCTCCATGGAGTGAGAGAGAGCAAAACAGATCAAAAGCGAAAAGAAAAAAGACATGAGTAAGTAAGTAGTGAGTGAGTGGAGTGGTAAGGTGACCTGCATTCTGCACCCAACTTGGGGGCTGATACTCGGCAAAGGAAACAAAACCGTCACGGTTCTTGTCATGAAGCTCCATATCCCTTTGAGTGCGATGCAGTACTTCCTTCTGAGCCTGCTTCAAATTCCACTGAGTCAACTCGTCCTCAGTGATGAAGCCATCAGCGGGGTCGACATCAACCTTAGGAAACAACAAGAGCAACCTGTTGGTGACGTTGAACCTCTCTTCGTCGTTCAAGTAGTCCTCCGCGTTCATGAAGTCTTCCCACTCGGGCTGAGACTCGGCGGCGGGGGCGGAGTCGTTGAGATCGAAGTGCTGCTGCTCCCACTTGCGGTCCTCGAGGCGGCGCTCGATATCGGCGACGAGAGGGTCGAAGGGGATGGGGTTGTGGTGGTGCAGCGGAGGAGCGAAGGTGAAGTTGGACCGCAGCTTCAGCCGCCGGTGACGTTGGCTGCCGCCTTTTTTGGGGGAGTGGGAGATAAGCAACAGGATTAGGACTGCTATTGTTATGTATATGATTACTGATACTGACGCCCTCGCCATTGCTCTGATTTTCTCAATGCAAGGCAACTCTCAACTGAACTGAACCCAGAAAACAGAGAGACCTTGTTGTTGACTATTATTTGGACGAGAGGACTTGGGAGAAGAGAAGGAGGAGACTGAAACCGAATGAGGTTTGATGAAGGTGTCTTTGGAGAGTCGGGAAGTTGTGGATCTGCTGCTTGTTTTTCACTTTTCTATTTTTTTGATAAGATCTACCGCATTCCAGTTTAGTAGAGCGACCACCCCCACCTTGTTCCAATTAATAATATTAATATAATTATTGATGGATGTTAGAACAACTCATTAATTAATTAATTAATCTTTTTCTTTCTTATATTAGCAGCATGATTAAGCAAATTAGCAAAATAAATCGACCCGCTCACTTACTATTCAAGCTCAATGAAGCCCAGGCCCAAAAGAGATTAATAACAAAATTAGATTGAAATGGTGGACTCAAACTCAACCCATGATCCAATTCCAATTTCCAACCCAGCAGATTTCCCGATTGGGATCTGGGATCATCAAATTTTATTAATTTTTTGCCTTTCTGTTTTTTGTATTTTTATTAAAAAAGAAAAGAGTTTAAGACAAGACCAGAGGAGGAGGGCCTGGAGGAGGAAGTGACGGAGACTTGGAATGAGAGAGGAGGGCAAGAGTGCTAGGATCTGACTGAAAGTGGGAGCCTAGACGACGCCGTTGCGTTTGCAGCGAAAGAACAAGGGAATATGTTGAAATTCTTGAAGGGAGTGGTGGGTGGATCGGGGACTGGACCCAAAGATCTGCCCTACAATATCGGCGAACCTTACCCCTCTGCTTGGGGCTCTTGGACTCACTTCCGGGGCACCTCCAAGGTCGGTCGTCGTCACCTTCTCTCTCTCTCTATATATATGTGTGTGTGTGTATGTATATAGCTTTGTATGTATTTATGTATGCATGTTTCTTCGTCAAGTTTCATCATGCCAATGGTGGATGTGGATGAGTCTTGAGTGGATCTGAAGCCTGAAGAAGGCTGGTGATGTTTTGTTTGGGATGAAAGAATATGAATGGAAGGGTTTGTTTTGGCTTTCTTTTGAATAAATAAACACTTTTCAGGACGATGGGTCTCCGGTGTCCGTGTTTTCTATATCTGGAAGTAATGCTCAGGATGGCCATTTGGCCGCTGCTCGCAATGGTGTCAAGCGTCTCCGTACTGTGAGTCTTCTTCTGTTTCTGTTGTCGTCAATTTATCATTTCATTTTGCTATTTTGTTTCATAATCACATATGCAAATGCAAATTGGTTCATTTCTGATTTTGTTTTTCTCCTTTCAGGTCAGACACCCAAATATCTTATCCTTTCTTCATAGTACTGAGGCTGAAACTTTGGATGCTTCTACCACCAAGCAAACTATCTATATTGTTACCGAGCCTGTTATGCCACTCTCTGAAAAGATCAAGGAACTCAGTTTACAAGGTATCCAAAGGTATTTCAAACATAAACTACCTGCTCCCCTTCCTCTTTTTGTTGTTGTTTTTTTTTAATAACACCATCAACAGTATACACACACACACACTTTCCTTCTTCAGAAAAAGTCGTCATATCTTCTACGATTTCTTTTCTGCCTTGCCCACACAACATGTCATCTTATGAGTTGCTTACACGTCACCATCTTATTCTAAATTTTGTATGTTAAATTTTATTTCTCTTCCTTACTAGAGCTTGTCTTTTCTTTTTCAATTATTCTGCTACGTAATTTGTTTCAATATGCATATCTTTTGCTTTTCTTTACACAATTGCACATACAAATCTTATAAATAGACACTGCGGTTCTCACTAAATCTCTAAAATTTACTTAATCTATACATTTTGTTCCTTGATGTTAGGGATGAGTATTTCGCGTGGGGACTGCACCAGATTGCTAAAGCTGTCAGCTTTTTAAATAATGATTGTAAACTTGTAAGTTTTCATAATCGGAAATACCTGCATTTTGCATGGGGACAGTGCCATAATCTCTCTCTTTCTCTCATATATAATTTTTAGTTGTTGTTATACTGTTTGACTAGCTTTTGGCTACTGCAGGTTCATGCCAACGTTTGCTTGGCCAGTGTTGTTGTAACTCAAACTTTGGACTGGAAGCTGCATGCTTTTGATGTGCTATCTGAGTTTGATGGCAGCAATGAGGCTTCTGCTGGACAAATGCTGGTAAGCATGTCTTTCAGATTTATTTCCTGAACGGTTGTACAATAAGTTTCTATTTTACCTAGCTTCTCTCAAGTGGAAGAGCTTGCTTTTCTACTCTTAAGTTTAGTTATTTTTTCTTGTTTGAATAGTAATGGATGGAATGCTGCTTGTTTCCACTAAGATATATTCTTGTGGATATTTGTGCTTAAAAAATTGCTTAAGAATAGTCAGAAGTTGGGATGTGTTTCTCACCAGTTCTTATTTGCCTTCAGCAATTCGCCTGGCTTGTTGGACAACAATACAAACCCATGGAGTTGTTGAAGTCCGATTGGGCGGCAATCAGAAAGTCTCCACCATGGGCCATTGATTCTTGGGGCTTGGGTAAGTCTGTTGTGGTCTGTTCCTCACAACATGATTATTGGTCTTTTGTGTTAAGTTGATCAATAAACGAACTGTTGATGCAGAACTTAATTAATTCTTTTCTGGAGATGTAGAAATGACTTTTAATTCCTGTTACATGTGTACTGGATCTGGCTATTTTTATCAATTTTAGTGAGAAGGGTCATTCTTGTCTAATATCGTGGTACAGATTGAGTTGCTTTTTCTTCATTGTCCCATTGTTTTCAGGATGTGGTATAGGTTTTTTGTGAAGCAAGGTTGAGTCAGGTGATTCCATGTTCTTGTGCATCTTTTATGAAGGAATTTTGTGCTTGTGGTGGAGAGAAAAAAAAGGCTGGTGCCTTGTGGATTTGTATTGTGTTGGAAAATGACAATCTTTTGGGTTTTTTAGTAGGAGAGAAATGGTAGGATTTTTAGGGCAAAAGGTGGAAGGAAGTGGATTTTTTTTTGTGGGGCAGGGTTATGCTTCTGCTGTTGCTGGGGATTTTGGTATTCAATAAATTTAGACACATTCCATTTGTTTTATCTTAACGTGGATCGGAGGGATGATGTATGGTAAGTCAGTTGTTAGAGTTTGAAGGCTTTTTGTTGCCTGATGTAATACCGATTTTGTACTGCTAAGGTTGTTATATTGGCTTTGATTGTATTTTCAGTGAATGCTGATCCACTGTTGCTGTATTGCTGACTAGTTTATATTAACGAAATTACTATGTTTCTCGTTAAAAAAAATTATACTGTCATTCATATGAATTTTATTGCTTATTAGCTGTTGAGTTTCATATTTTGTTGCTGACCTGTGAGTTAAATACACTTCCCTTAAGAATCTAAGTTCTTTGTTTAAACTGATAGGTTGTCTTATCTATGAACTCTTCTCTGGTCTGAAGTTAAGCAAAACAGAGGAGCTGCGCAACACTGCTTCTATTCCAAAGGTTAGTAGCCTTCTACTGTACCTTATTCTTTTTAATTTCTCTTGAAAACTAGAGTGTTAACTGCGTATTTTACATCTGTCTGAAATGTATTAATCCTTTTGAAGATTCAGTTTCACTTGCATCTCTCTATTTTCTTGTCTCACAGTCTCTGCTTCCAGATTATCAGCGGCTCTTGAGCTCCACGCCTTCTCGTAGGCTGAATACGTCAAAGCTTATAGAAAATAGTGGTGATCTTTCCTTCTTAACTTGAGTTAATTGCTTCTTATGTCTTTGAGAAATTATACTCTTGAGAATATCAGTCTGCTTCATGGTTTGAGGATTGATTGGTATTTCATATAATATTATATAGCATCTATTAGTTTCCTGTCTTGATTATCATCTGTGGCTGTCTGTGCATGTGTAATACATTATCTGACTTTAGGATTGTTTTAAGGTTTCTTTTTTATATATAATTATATGCAATTGTCCATACATATATGATTTTTTTATTTATAAGTATTTGACATATAAATCATAATTATCTAGGTACTAGAAACAACTTTATCAGTGCATGTTCATGAATCTATAATTTCAAATATATGGTTCTATGACAAATTGTTTGTAACTATGCAAACGTTTCTTGACCAAAGTGCATGGTAACCTTACAGTAATGAATCTTGTATAAGCTTTCAAATTTTCGCTTTTTAAATTATTTGGTCAAATATAAGCTTTCAGATGAGTATAGGGTGTGGTGGGACACTAGTTATAAGGCATGGTGGACATGAGTGTTAAGTCTCAAAGGGCCCGAAACTCCCAATTTTAATGGGTGTCCTACAAATGAATGTAGGAAATATGAGAGGAACGCTAGCCCATTCTCCCAAAAGAGGATTGGAGTTGTATGCATCATGCATGTGTACCATTTACTTCCCAGAATATTTTATTTGCCCCTTCTATATTCTATACCTCGGTGGTTTTACTATATTATGTGTCGTAGTATTCTTTTTCACAAACATTTTCTTTGGTAGTTTAATTTTTTTCTTCTTTGACTAAGTACTGCAACAATTGGATTTGCAGAGTATTTCCAAAATAAGCTGGTGGATACAATACATTTCATGGAAATTCTAAATCTGAAAGATAGTGTTGAGAAGGATACCTTCTTCCGCAAGCTTCCAAATTTAGCGGAGCAGCTACCCCGCCAAATTGTGCTGAAAAAGGTGTGAGTTTCGGAGTGTTGTGTTTTTTCGACTTTGAAAAATATAATCGACCTTTTTAGTATCAGATTATAATCCTTCCTCCTGGTTTCTACAGTTACTTCCTTTATTAGCTTCTGCTCTTGAATTTGGTTCAGCAGCTGCACCTGCTTTGACTGCATTGTTGAAAATGGGTGCCTGGCTTTCAACCGAAGAATTCAGTGTGAAGGTCATACTGTTTTAGTACTTCTTCATAAGTCCTTTGCTAGTTGTGGTTTTATTTTTAGGTTTGTAATAATCTGATGTGGGTATTTTTCTTGCGTATATATTTAGGTGCTGCCAACAATTGTGAAACTATTTGCGTCCAATGACCGAGCTATTCGAGTTGGTCTCTTGCAACATGTCGATCAGTTTGGAGAATCATTAACAGCACAAGTTGTTGATGAGCAAGTATGAAATCAACAATTAATCATTTTTTTAACGATCAAACAAATTCTAGCTGGATTCTATTGTCAACCCTGTTAGTCTTGCATCTGTTCATTTCTAGTTTGTAGATTCTAAATTTGCCTGTGATGCTTGAAATTAGGTTTACCCCCACGTTGCTACTGGGTTCTCTGACACATCTGCTTTTCTCCGGGAACTGACTCTTAAGTCAATGCTCGTTTTAGCTCCCAAGGTTAGTGCACCCAGTTTTATGGTTGTGTGGTTCCTGCTTTGGGTAATTTATATTATAAGTTACTTGCTGTTCCTGTGAGTTACTTAGGACAATCAGTGTTTGTGAGTTGCTGTTCCCTGTGAAAGATTTTCTTGTTATTTTAATTTACTTAATATTATTTTAAAGAAAATATGTCAACCTTTGCTCCCACATAAAATATAGCTCGCACAATTCTTTGTTTCTCTCCCTCGAGGGTTGTTGGAATTGGAATTTGGAAAATTTGGTGTTAATATTTTCCGAATTTTTATAAGCAGGTTTTGTTGCAAAAATTTTTTTGGCAGACGTTCAAGTTCAGACACAGGACACCAACCATGGCCCTTTAACATGGAAGTCTGGTGGTTGTGCATCTCTACTGTTTAGTTAGAAAGGGCTAATAGTATTTGGTTTGCTTAGGGATTGAAAGGGAGGAAGCAAGAATAGATAGAACAATAACATACTAAATGAAATCTAGAGGTGGGATCACCAAACTTATTTGCCAGCTTTATATTTTAGTATTGATTTTTTAAGGGGAAATTGTATTTGGTCTGTTTTGGCTTCGAATGATGGAGGAAGATAGAACAAAAAACATACTTCATGAGATCTAGAGTTGGAGTTGTGGAACAATTTTCAGCAATGTTTTTATTTAAACAGCGTAAGCCCAAGCTCAATCTTTCATGGGCTTTTGATGAATTGCTGTGTTTTCCATTGTACTGAATGTTTTTCGGTGACAATTTTATGTACTTATCCATTTAATGTGTCCATCTTGATCTTCTTCTTGGTGGATAATAATAGTCTTTGTTTTAGTTTAAGATGTGATTCTATCCCTGTGAAGTGTCGCATTATGTGATTGTTCTCATCTAATGGGTTTGTCTATCTACTTTGTAGCTTTCTCAACGTACCATTTCAGGGTCTTTGTTGAAGTATCTTTCAAAGTTACAGGTATGGTATTAACTTCTGAATTGACGCCCCTGATTTAACTATTAAAATGAATGTTCATAGTGTTGATTTTCACATTGTGTTTCTTCATGTTGTTAATTGTTTCTGTAGATTTTCTTTTGTGAGTTTATGTGTTTGGAACATAGAATATAGCCACGATTTGTCTCTTATTTTGCATTCCTTTACCATTTTAACTTATCTCTGTCTTGCAGGTTGATGAAGAACCAGCAATTAGAACAAACACCACTATATTGCTAGGGAACATTGCAACCCACCTGAATGATGGGGTTAGTATCATCCATTTGCCACACCTACTGTTTCATATGCATACTTTCTATTTTTTTTTGTTCTTCCCTTAAGTGGTAGATGGGTTCTATGGGTCATTTGGTAATGATTTGTGAACATATATTGATAAAATATTTCTGTCTTAAGCTGATGGTGCTCATATTTAAATGCAGACAAGGAAAAGAGTTTTGATTAATGCATTTACTGTCCGTGCATTACGTGATACTTTCTCACCTGCCCGAGGAGCAGGTATTAGAATTTTCTCTTTATCCATGTATTTTTTTAGCCAGGTTCTTTTTTAATAATGTTTTGGGGTTTAGACATGTGTGCTTTAAATTTGTCCTTACCTTCATTTTCCTATGTTGGTCAACTCTTCAATTTTATGACATGTAAAAAAATTATTCTGGCAGGTATTATGGCTTTATGCGCCACCAGTTCTTATTATGACAGCACTGAGATTGCAACTCGGATTCTCCCAAATATTGTTGTTCTTACCATTGATCCCGACAAGTGAGTATGCTGCAGATGATTTCTACATCTCTCTGTATTTTATAAAAGATGCTTAGCATTTATGTGATTTTCTATGGTGACATGTTCTGTGGCATGCTAATGGTCACCTGTTCTACCGTATTTTAATCTGCCCTTGATCTGGTCAATTCCTACAATTTAAATAGGGCTGTGTCATTGTTCCTAGCAGGAAGTAAGCATCATGTTTCTGAAAGAAACTGCTTCCCCGTGGTTTTAAAGTCACACTTATGTACTCTGAGATTCTCCTACCTCTTCTTGTCCCTGGACTTCTAAAAGGGATACGGTTATTGGTCTAGACGTTTTCTGTTATTTAAAAAAAATAATGTCCAGTTATAACCAAATAATTTAGATTCTCTTTGTGGTCATTAGAAGGTCATCCTCTTATTGATGCTCATAGACATAAAAATCTTTGGACATTTCTTCAGTATGTTTTTCTGAATAACTGTATATACCTTGAAGTATTTTATTTTTTAGAGTTTAACATATGAAAGAATTTTACTTTCTTTTCAAATTATTATTTTCTGTAAGTTTTTTAGTGCCTTGTGGATTCAGTGAAAGAGAGGAAACATGAATATTCGGAATGCTAAGGGAGATATTGTGTTAACAAATTTAATGGTTTTTCTTTCCCTTCTTCTTCCCTATTATTAGGATGTTTGTAAGCCAATTACAGGCTCTCAAGTCTTTTCTTGGGTGACCTGTGTGTTGTGTGATCTAAGCAGACTTTGTAGAGAAGTTGTTTATAACTTCACTCTTATAACACTTAGATCTGTAAAAGATTACATTTTTTTGTATCTGTCCTACTTGGAATCCTTGTAACAGGGATTATACCTTTTTTGCCTTTGAAACAGTGATGTTCGCTCAAAGGCCTTTCAAGCAGTTGATCAATTTCTACAGATAGTGAAGCAATCCTATGAAAAGGTGTGTGTTTTAGAATTCTTAATTCGTTTGATTCTATTTTTCATATCTTTATGTAGGTGATGGTTGTGTGTGTGTATCATTTTTTTGTTGGGGGGTTGTTGTTTGTCGGACACCTTGTGTATATGAAGTTTTCATTTAGTCGTGAATCAGTTTCTGTTCACATTCTATGATGCAACACTTGGTGTGTGAAGTTGGCCGTTACTGTCCATCGTAGTTTCATCATGTGGCACGCCATCGTCTTGTGCAGTTTCCATTGTGATTGTTTATATCAGTGAACATTCGTTGCAAATGCAAATATTATGTATAGATAGCGAAATCTTTAGGGAATAAGGCAAGAGGAAATTTCAGAAAACTGATGTTTTCTACATTTATCTCTGCAACAATGTGTCATATTGATAATTTCTTTTTTTTTCTTTTTGTTGTCCTCTGTAGACAAATTCTGGAGATACTGCTGGGGCTGCTGGTCTCGGGATCTCATCAATACCAGGAAATGCTAGTTTACTGGGGTAAGTTGACTTCTTTCTAAGAGCTTTAGTCTTGATATATATTTTGCTGGGTTCTGTATTATTTATGTTACAAAGCTGTATATGATACTTTGTTGTTTCGGTAGTTATATAGACAGGATTTGAGAACAGTAACTTGTTTCGGATAAAGGGACTTATATATATCTTGAGAGATGCCATGGAATTTCCATAAATACCAATCTGTTACCTACCTCTCATGTGCCTGTTTTGTAAATATACCTTGATGAAATTATATCCATACTTGGTGCTTGTCTTATCATCTCATTTGCCAAGTACTATATTAAATTGCATCTGCTCATGTGAAATTTTTCCTAGTGTTCTCTTGAAGTCAATAGCCAATGAAATGTTTAATTATCATGCAGATGGGCAATGAGCTCCTTGACTCTCAAGGGTAAACCTTCTGAACAAGCTCCACTTGCTCCTGTGAATATCAGTACATCTCTTACCGAAACGACTTCCAATGCAAGCTCAGGTACACATCTTGATAACTTGGATTCTTTAAATGTGTTTAGCTTGTTGGATATCTGTAGGCTATGGTTTTTTTTTCCTTTCCTTTTTTGGTAAATGCCACCCCCTTGAAAAATTCAAAATTTTCACATACATATGCCAAATTATTGTATCAATTTTTAGTCAAGTCAAGCTTATTATATGGTTTGGAATTTAATGTTTTATAGTGTATATATTATATAAAAGCGTCCATGCTCCACTAATTAGTCTGGCTAGCAATAAGTGATCAAAGATCTGAATTTTAACCAGATCCGGCCAAACTAAGAAGATTCAACAACCATGCGAAATAGAGCCATCGTTCCATATTGGAATGTCTTTCTTAGTGTCAGTTTAGGCATACTTGGATTAAGTTTTGAATGCGGGAGATCTAATATGCCAAGTTCCAAATTCGGTTTTTTAAATAATCAACTGCAAAAAATCTAAGTGGGGTTGTGTTCTCCACATCAATTTGGTTCCTTCCTCCAGTATATAAGAGATGTGGAACTATTTATTTCTTGGTTCTGCTTCTGTTGTTTGATTGCATTTCTCTCGTCATTCTCTTGTAATCCTAGTGGTGGATACTCCAAGCACAGCACCTGCCCATGCAAGTACCACACCAGATTTTGCGGATCAACATGTACCAGAGTCCCCTACATCGACAGATGGCTGGGGAGAACTTGAAAATGGAATTGACGGAGAGCATGAAAGTGACAAGGATGGTTGGGATGATATTGAACCTCTGGAAGATCCAAAACCATCTCCCGTTCTTGCAAGTATACAAGCAGCTCAAAAGCGGCCAGTCTCGCAAACTGTTTCGCAGCCTAAACAACAAGGTAATCACTTTGTTTTAGCTTCTGTTATGTGTTCACATAAAGACTGAATGAATACAAAATATTGCAGAAACATATAGAAGTTTACTGGTTATAACTAAAAATGCAGTGTACTGTTTCTAAGGTGTGTTTCTGAACTCCAAATGTTATTAAACCAATGAGAATTGTCGTGAGGTGGATAAATCTAATATTGTTAAGGAGTATTTGCTTAATTTCCCATATTCCTTTATAATGGCCTACAAAGTGTCTGATAACCATAATATGTATTGGTAGAACCTTAACATTGCCTTTTTTTCCCAGTTCATCTTAGTTTGTAATGTGTCCTCCTTTGTTAATCTGGCATTTCATTATATATTTTTGGTGTGTGTTAATTGGAATATTTTATGTGTTATTTTTTAGCAACAAGTTTGAGACCGAAAAACACAGCCAAGGCTATCAAAGATGAAGATGATGATTTGTGGGGCTCCATTGCTGCCCCAGCACCCAAAACAATTTCAAAACCTTTGAATTTAAAAACAAGTGGAGCAGTTGATGATGATGATCCATGGGCTGCCATTGCTGCTCCCCAACCTACCACCAAGGCAAAGCCCCTAGCAGCTGTGAAAGGTCGAGGAACCAAACCTGCTGCTCCAAAACTGGGTGCACAGAGAATAAACCGGACGTCTTCTTCTGGGGTGTAAATTATGCAAAAGAACAAGAGAAAATTATGGGTTAAGATAAAAGAAATTTGTGTAAATTTCCCCCCCTTTTGGTGGCTGGTGTTCATGTTATAATAGGACATTTGGTGCCAACAGGAATTGCATTTGCACTTTCTCCAACTTGTTATTGATTTGTAATGATATTCTTTTGTTTGTTTCAGTTAGCACAGAAGCAGCCATCTGTCATGTAATTTCTTTCAAGTTCTTTCTTATGGTCTAAGGTTAGGTGATATAGATGCAGCAGTAAACTGGCTATCAATTTTTGGGCCTGTAAATTTGGGATTTAATTCGTCACATTGTTGTAGTAGTCAAAGCCTTGGAATTTTTGTGTCTGACCCTGAACCCAGGGTTTAATTTTCCTCGTTTTAACTTTTTTTCTTTTTCTTTTTGCACATTCCTCGTTTTAACTTTGCTTATGTAAGTTTTGTGCCCGACTCTGAACCCAAAATTGAGTGTTTATTTACTTATGGGCTCAAATGTGAACCCAATACTCTCAGCCCAAAATAGGCTCTGACTAGTAATCTACCTATGGGCTCAAATTTTGTTAACTAGTGGAAGGTACTCATGGTCTATTTAGGCCGATTGACATGCAACGTCGCCTTTTTGCTATTTTGAAATGACATCCTAAAATTACATGTTCCTGCGTTAATCTATATATATAAAGCATAAGTGAAAAGTAGAGAATGATTAAACAATCAAAATGTCAAAAAATGTCATTGGTTAATGCAAACATTAAGAATTGAAATTATTAATTTAATGAGAATAATATGGTAAATTCACTTTGTTTCATATTAAAAAAATAAAAAATAAAAACAAAATCAGATAATAAGTCTTTTATGAAACATAAATACTTATGTTATTTTTCTTAATTCTAAAAATAAAATAAAAAATAAAACCAATTAGCACATGCGTGAAGGGGCTAGTGTTTGTGAATTTTTAATCCGTTCAAGCTATAAACATGTACCCGCTCAAAAGAGAAAAACATACATGTAAGGCCATCAAAGGTGAACTTATATTGTATTGTTGATGTTTATCTAATGAAGTATATATTCGATAAATAATATAATATAATAAAATAAAAAAGAATAAAGGGGACCTCACATGTCTGAATAGATTGTGCTGTCCAAAATTGACCACAAATTAAAGCATTCAAAGATGTGTTATGCTTTTAGACGCAATAATGAATTGCAGATTGATGAGAGAAACGGGCCGCATTCAGTCCCAAGTTAAATCATGTGCTTGCTTAACTTGTGAACTTTGATGCGTTTCTTTTTTGATTTGTTATTTTTGAAAGCCGTGAACTTTGAAGCTTGAACATGCGCTGATGTGTCAAATTTATTTTAGAAAATAGACGGCTTTGTCGGTGCTTGTATAATTTGTGCAAAAAGCCCTCCTTTTAAAATTATTGCTAAATTACTCTCTATAAATACTTCATATCAGTTTCTTTTCCCCTTGGCTATTTTCTCCCAACCACTTGTCTTTATGAATCAGTGGCACTATGCTCCCCCCCCCTCTCCCTCTCAACTGAATCGAAAATCCAACCCCGAAATAGTATAGTTGTATATTGGGGTATCTTTTGTCTGTCGAAGAACTATTCATACCAACAAAAAAAAACTAAAAAGATTAGTAAAGGGGCTCGAAGGGGACAAGTGTGGAAACTTTAACAATTTATTATTACAATTGACATTATTGAGTGCTAATTTATTTCAACCTATATTGTGTTTTTATTAGAAAGAACCGTAAGTATGCCAAGTTTAACCATACGGTAAGAGCATCTACAATCATGCTCTCTATTTTTTAGTTAAATTTTAGCTAAAAACATATAAAATTTATTTTAGAAGCTCTCTATAAAATTTAAACTCCAATTATACTCTCTAGTTTAGGGAGTCATAAATTTTATAACTCTTTTTTAATTGGTTCATATCTATTAAAAAATAATATAAAAATTAATTAACATTAATTAAAGGTTTGAAATACTCATTAAATAAAGCAGCATTAAATTATAGGGAGCCACTATGAGTCATTTCTCTCTCCTCAGATTTAAAAGCTCCTAGAGGTCTCCCTATTTTAGAAAGTGAATAGTTGGAGTTGTACTTTTCCAAATCCTCCCTAAAATTTGTCTAAGGAGGTGATTTAGGGAGCCCATTGTGGATGTTCTAAGGAATGTACTTGTTGTACAAAACCATATTTACTTCATATGCATAGCTTTACTTGAATTAATACATTTCTCACTTGTATTAATTTATCTGTAACTTGAATTAATACATGCGCACTTGAATTGATTCATGTTTTAATATTCCTTTGTTGCTGCATTTGTGCCCATACGGGGCCCATTGGTGGTGTTGATGCTTAAAAATGTACAATCACTTTTAAGCCCAACTTACAGATATTGCGTCACCTTCGGCCTCTTTGACTTTTCGGCATATAAGGATGATCTACAAGACAAAGAGTAGTGGTAAGACTTTGGACACCGGTGTGGTACCGACCGAAGGCTCTCCGGTGCTTAAGGTAGCTTAAGGACAAAGTGAATAGCAATTTGGACAAAGTAAGGGTTAAGTAGTCAAATGTAATAGTTACCTTATTTTGGGGGCTTGTGTCCTTATTTATAGATCTTGGAGGTGTGCACCTCGAGTGATATTTTGATGTGAGACTGTGAGCATCGCTTAAAAGGCTACCACATGTCCTTTGTCCAACCTGGTGTAGCAGGCGCCTTCTTTAGCTTGATTAGTATGTTGGGTTGACAAAGGCTCATCTTGCTGATTGTTTGTTTATAGGCTAAGATGCCGAATGCTCACCCTACCGATGTTCTGTTTACGGGTCTTAGTGTTTTGACAGGACTATGTGGATCTTAGTGTTTTGACAGGTGTCGCGAAATGCTTAACCGATTAAATATGGTATAAATAGGTGTCCCGTGTTTAATTGGATTATGCTCTTCATTGGTAACTCATTTCTTGGATTGACGTCCCTTGACATGAGATTTTGGTGACTCTAGATACGCGTGCACATCGTTTGAATTCATCCAAGATAAAACAATTGGCGATATATGCACACTAATATAGCGCCATCATATAATGGCATAAGGATGAAGTGAAGAAGACAATGAAGGAGCAAAGAGACAAGTGGCTCGGAGAAAATATGGAAGGCTGAAAAAAGTGATGTGTGGACAATATAAAGTAATTATAGAGGGTATTTTAGCAAGAATTTCAAAAGGATGGAATTTTTGGACAAATTGTGTAAGCGAGCGGCAAAGCCGCCTATTTGACTTTATTTGTTCACTTCTTCAATAGCAGCAACTTGCACATTTTGTGTGGACTAAATTAGAAAAATAAAAATAAAATTGTTGTGCTATTGGAGCATTCCAATCACGGTTATTTTTCTCATATTGTCCTATTTCTTCACTCACCTTATCTTCTCACCCACCATGTAAATTTGAAAAAACACAATCATATCTTTCCACCTATCAATATTCCTAAAATACCCATTATTCCATTGAAACCTCTCATCTTTGTTCTCTCTTTCACCGGAAATCATCGCTTTTCATTAGACTTCCAAATCCAGTCCAGAAAACGTCGAATTTTATCATGAAAATTGAGCCAAAAAAACAAACAACCTAAAAGCTCAAACAAGAAACGAAAGCATAAATCTTTCTTCTTGTTGAGAGAAAGAAAGTATTCCGAAGAGTTGGATTTCTCGAAGATGAAAGCAAAAATGAAAAAAATGAATAAAACAACGTCTTTTGAGTCTTTGAAAATTTAATTTATCTTACTGCGTCTGTGTCTACACGTGTTATGTATAAAACAATATATATAATTTGATTAGTAAAGAAAATTTGCTTGAATTAATAATTAAAGGGTATTTTAGGAATAATGGTGGAAAGATAGGATTGTGTTTTTTCAAATTTACATAGTGAATAAGAAAATATCACATAGGATAGTTTGCCTAAGCACTCGATATATATTACCCTAAGCACAATAATTTCCAAATAGATTATATAAACAGGAGCGTATGATATGTGTGATTGCAGATTTCCTATAAAAAAAGAACCAAATAAAAAAGAATAAAGGAAAAAATATGTGATTGTCAACCTTCATAAAAGGGGAACTAGATGATTTTTTGCCATCAAAGGAAGCTTTAATTGCGGATGAGATCTTCAAAAAATACGAAACATTTAATACTTTCCGAAACTTAAAATCAAGATAAATCTGTTTAATGATATTATTAATAATTAGTGTAGGACCCAAATTAGTAATGGGTGTGCCTCCGATGTTTATATAAGATAGGTTATTTGACTATCTTTTGTGCAACAGTGCACAGTCCCAGAACTGAAATGCCTGCAAATGAATGACCAGCAAAAGATTGAAACTTTGAATAATTTGCTCACTTTGCAACCGAAAAAAGAGGAAAGGTGATGTTTTGAGATACACCCATGTCACACTTACTTTCAATTATATTTTGTTTGCTCTGCAGCTGCACATAGTTATCCTATCCCGACAACATATAATACTGATTTTGTTTGTTTGGATACAAAGTAAAGAAAAGAAACGGAAAAACCCAATTATTCATGTTCATCGTCTCTCTCCCTCTGTTTTGTTTTTGTTTTTTAATCTGTCAAATATTAATAGGGGTATTGCGGATTCCACAGTGTATAGCAAGTTGGGATAAAATGGGTGAGCCTTTTTCAATCCCAACTGTCCTTGTATGTGCAAGTAGTTGTTGGGGATGGGACCAACTGACCCATTCTGCAGTGCACCTCCTCTGTAAATATCTCAGGATAACCCATCAACATCATTCATAATTTCTTTGCCTGCCCTTGTAAATTTCCACACTCTTTTGGGGCTTTTTTCTTAGCCCAGACTTTGTTTCCTTTGATGGTTTTATTTTTGGGTTTATCTAAATTCTGGATGCTTCTCACTTTGTTTTTATTAGGCTTTTGATTCGGTTTTATTGTTTTTAGTTTCTATATTTATGTAAACTTACAGTAAAATATGCAATCAAAGTAAATACCTGAATTGTCAAAATTTTCACTTTTGGTAAAATACTGAGAAATACACCACACACAGAGGGGAGAGAGAGATAGAGAGAGAGAAGGAGGTGAAGCAAGGTCTTGCACACTCAAAGGTTAGGTTACTTTCCTGTTAATACAATCTGATAACACTGGTTCTGAAAGTAAAGTTCTTTGCTTGTTGGTTAATTTTATAGTTAGTACCATGCACTGTATGTTTTATTAGGCAATCTCTCCGTCTCGTCTCTCTCTCTGGTTAGTTTAACAGCATTTTGTTGGTCTCTAGAATCACTGTTCTGAGTCAGGGTGGGAAGGGAAAGATCCTAAGGTAGGTTTCCCCAAAACAATGGGTGAAAAAAGGGGATTTACCAAGTGGGTGCATTTACGTAAAACGTAGAATTGACTGGATGAGATTTCTACTCATGGTTGACGACCGGAAAATCTTCTACCACTCCATGTGGCTTTTCTTCACTGAGAATAAGGTGGGTAATTTTGGATGGGGATTCACCAAATATAGTCTGGCCATGGATTCAAAGTGAGCAAGGTTTAGCAGAAAACTGTAAAATTGAGTTTCAAAACAGTGGGTTGGAGTAGCAGATAACTCCTTGTGGGCCTGTGCTGTTAAAACTGTTCATATCAGTGGGGCTGCTGAGAACTGGGATTTGTTTTGTTAGAAGTGAAAATGGCAGTATGATTACTATTCTTGTCCATCAAAGACTTCTGAGTTTTCTTCTGTGTGTGATTATTTCGTAGTATCTTTCATATCTCACGAAGTAAAACCCTAATTACCATTCTACTAAATTTACAATCGCATTGAATTCTTATTCGTTTTTAAACTGCCATTTATTGCGTCTTTGATATTATGGATTTCAGAGATTTCTCATGGTCTAACTGAACTTTGTTGCCTTTTCGTTCATCAATAGGTCAGCAATTCAGAGGTGTCCAATTATTGAATTGTGGAGCAAATCACCATTGAAATCTTCGCACGCTTCACTGAGTTTAGCTTCTTTGGCGTTCTCTGGGTCTGTTTATTTTTGCTCTTGCTCACCTCTGTGGTCTGACGCATCTGCTTCCCATAATTTAGCCCACCATCAAAGAAGCTGTTACTGGTAACCCACTATTGAAATAATTTAGATCCAAGTCCCAAGAACAATTCTGGACAGTTGATAGTTTCAGACCAGGTGTAGCATAAATCAACAGGAGGAGTTTGCTAGATTACTTTTTTCTCTTCTTCCAGTGGGCTATATTTTGGATAGTTGAGTCAAACAAGACTACATAGATGACCGTGGATGAAGCAGGTAGTAGCTCCTTGTGGAGTCGAGAGCAGGATAAGGCATTTGAGAATGCTCTGGCAACTTATCCTGAGGATTCTTCAGATCGGTGGGAAAAAATTGCAGCTGATGTACCAGGGAAAACCATAGAGGAAATAAAACATCATTATGAACTCTTAGTTGATGACATAAACCAGATCGAAGCTGGTTTTGTGCCACTGCCTTGCTACAATTCTTCTTCAGAGGGTTCGACAAGCCATGCCAGTGACGAAGGAACTAATAAGAAAGGTGGACATTCTGGAAACTACAGCAGCGAATCTAATCATGGAACTAAGGCTTCAAGGGCTGATCAGGAGCGCCGAAAGGGGATTGCTTGGACAGAGGATGAACACAGGTGAATATATTATTGTTGATTTAATTATTTTCTTTCCCTAATCATAGGTGGCACTTGTGGAAGTATCTAAATGAAGCTAAAGATTTGTTATTCTTTCCAGTCCACGTCTTTTTTATTTTTATAATTAATAGTAGAAATACTTTTGGGATAACTTTACTTAATTTTTACAAGGAGTTTCATCCCTGGTGCAACTTTATGATCTTAAGTGTGTTTGTCCAACAATTTTTTCTGAAGTTGCTTTATGGCGATGATAGTTGGTAAACTGTATTGAAGAACTTCCATATCAAAATTATTCCATTTTTGTTATTTCTATTAAATCCATGGCATGTTTCAATAATTCAGTATTAGTCTTCAAGCTCATATCCAGTAGGGTATGACTGTGGTACTATAATCTTGAAGGATAATGGCATAAGTAAAGAAAACATGGTTTTTTCATATTTAAATGCATGTCTATCATGGCAGTTGACTCGGCTTATCCAAAACAGGACTTGGTATAGCACAACCTTTAGGATAGGTTGCCTGAAATGAGAAACCGTTAGTTTATATGCATGTAGGTTCCTTTGATCTGAACTTTTCTTTGGGATTTGGTGACTACTGATGGATCACCTGTATCCTAATATAATGATTTTGGTATATGCCTTGCCTCAGCTTTTGGCATATTGCACTACTACATTGGGTTGGGCTAAATATTTAGAAACTAATGGTTCTCAACTTGGCACTGGCATGAAGTGACTGGGAACTGCCGCACCTGCTTGACTCAAATTGTGATTGGCTGGTAATTATTTTAGCAGAAATATGTGATCCGTAGATTTAGATCTGAACAGTAATTGTGTTCATCATAAAATGGTATACTTATGGAAGTATAGAACTAAGGTGTCAAATTAGTTATAATTTGCCTATTTCTGGTTGGCTTTAGGATGGGAACTTGTCTTTTTGTACTCCTTTCCTTTTCTTCTCCTGTTTACAAGTTGTGTCTTATATAAGTAAGAAATTATATAGGCTGAACTTTGAACTTGAGGTTTTGCTCTTCCTCAGAATTGGATATACTAGAAAATCATTATAAGTCAATGAGTGCATGATATATTAGTTTTAGTACTTTTCTGATCTAGTGTTTTGATTGCCCTCTCCTTTCTCAACAGTTATTTTGCAAGTGCATGTTTCTTTTCTCCCCACTACCAAAAAAATGTTTCTTTAGGCTAGGCTGTGTTGTCCAAAATGTGAGGTTTTTAAGAATTAATGAAAAATCCATATCCAAGTCTGTTCAGAGTCTTTTCATTTAAACCAGCTGATCATGTTCGCAGACTTGTGCCCTGATCTGATCCTAGGACATATGTAAGCCATATGTGGTATGATTCCAGTTCTTGTTATCCAGACTGCCATTTTTTCTCTCTTTAAATGAAAATTCAAACAGTTTTGCTTGACTTGTATATTTCAATAAATTTCTGTTTATTAATAATGCTTGATAAATTTTCTTTCTTCAGTTTTTAAGTAGGCATTTTGGTAGTGTTCATCTTTCGTTGTCACCTGGGTTCTTATTATAGGGTTCAAATTGAAAGCTTATGTTTCTGGTGAGGGCGTTGACCCCTCTTGTGAGTCTCCAACATAGGGAATCTCAACCAAATTTTCCTGATCGTGTTCCATTTCTTTTATATGGTTCCAAGTTGGCCAAGTGTGAAACTTTGGCGACTGTTAACTTCACTGGCTTATCTAATGGAATGTGGTCCTTTTGCCACAACTTCCTCAACACGTCCTGGACACTGCCATCTTAGACCAACCTTGCAATGTTTTCTGACACTTTGCTTCTGAGAGATTTTTAAAAAATAATGACCATTGCCGGTGCAGTCAAAGTGTCAGTTTTCTTGATCGTTTAATAGCCGCATTAAGCTTCACAGTATTTTTTCAGCTATGCCTTCAGAGCTGATCTTATTCGTGCACCCAAACTTACATGAACAATTTCGGATTTCTTTCTCAACTCTGGAGCGAAATGTGGATATTGATTATGAAACTTTGTATTAAAGTTTGAACTTGCAGAGGTCAATGTTGACCTTATACAGTTGTTGCAGTTATTGTTCATTAAGCCTGTTCTAAATACAAACTTAATTGAGAAAAGTGAAAATTTGTTGCCTGCATAGATGATTTCTGAAATAGACTGAAGTAGTATTATGTGCAAAATATATTCATGACTTGCAAGAGATATATTTATGTTGTAATTTACAGTTTGGGAGTTACAATCATTTTAACTGTGGATAAAAATCTAATACTCTTTTAAGAAGGATGGTTGCAATGTTTAATGATATCAAACACATATTGTGTCCTATGAAAAACATCCATTGTGATGGTATTTTCTTGGTTGTGAGTTCTCTGTTGTACTTGAGAACAAGTTCTTATGTTTTTTTTTCCTGTTCTTGTTCCATGACAGGCTATTTCTTCTTGGTTTGGAGAAATATGGGAAAGGTGACTGGCGAAGCATATCTCGGAATTTTGTGGTAACAAGAACTCCTACGCAAGTGGCAAGCCACGCACAGAAGTACTTCATACGTTTGAATTCAATGAACAAGGACAGAAGGAGATCAAGCATTCATGATATCACCAGTGTCAACAATGGAGACATTTCGTCACCTCAAGGGCCAATAACAGGTCAAGCAAATGGTTCTGCAGTAGGTTCTTCTGGCAAATCAACCAAACAATCTCCTGCTGGGCCTCCAGGGCCAGGGGTTGGCATGTACGGTGCACCGACTATAGGACAACCGATTGGAGGACCCCTTGTATCAGCTGTCGGCACACCTGTGAATCTCCCTGCAGGGCCTCCACACATGGCATATGGTCTGAGAGCCCCCGTACCTGGAGGAGTTGTTCCGGGGGCACCAATGAACATGGTTCCCATGACATATCCAATGCCTCACACTTCTCATAGGTAATGTGATATTTGGCAGTAGCAGCAGCAGCAGCTTCAGAATGTAGTGTACAAAGAACAGAGACCACCACCCTTGTAGCTTGTGCTCAATGTTGGGATTTTAGGATCATTTCGCTCTGAGCCTGCATGTTTTAGGTATTAGCAAAGCACAAGTTGTTGAATGTTTTACCATTACTAGTCTATTCTTGTACGAAATAAGCCATTTCTATATGGGGGAAGAATTACATGAATGTGTATAGGCGGCAATTGGGAAAAAGATGGCGATATTTATTGGCAGGTAGAAGTCCTAGTATTTGTTGTCTTTGATGGAAATCGTTAGAGCATTGGAAGGCAGTGAAGTGCTAAAGAGCTGTTGTAAGGCAAAACTTGTGGAGGGACGCTTTGACATTTGAAATATTATTTTGGGTAGCAATAGCACATCGTTAGCATTGATGTATTGTAGAATTTGTGTCATAAATCCAGTATTCTTTGACTGCCATGCCATCTTTAACAAAAGGCTTTAAGTTTTCACAGGATAGTAAAAATATCGCATGTGAAGTGACTACGTCCCCCATCTTCCCTGGTTGGTGTTCTTTCATCTGTTTGATTGATCTAGGTTTGTTTTTAATTTTTTTTGTTTTTTTTTGTTCAGTTGAAAGACAGAAGCAGTATTGGGGTAGGGAATTTGAACACAATATCACTTAGCCTACAAGGAAGCTCCTTGTTCATTGATTTAGTTTAGTTTTTTTTGTTTTGGTGGAGTGTTTTGTGGGTTGATGATCTCGTTTTGGTCATTGCCTGGGTTTAGGGCTTTTTTTTGTGTTGCTGCTTTCTTCTTCTCAGGCATTTTTTGAATTGGCATTTGGGGCCTTGCCTTTCGGCTTTATGAAGTGGTTTTTCGACCCAAAAAAGAAGAACGAAACAAAATTTAATCGAGTTAAGCAAAAATAAAGGTTGTTCCTTTCATATGAACATTTGACTTGGCGGCAATGTCTGCAACAGCAGCAGCTGGAGCAACACCACACCCCTCCTCCTTCCCTCACTTATTCACAAATTCAATCATAAAATCAAGGCACTCCATCTCTGTCACCCGTAATTCAATAAACCCTAGCTCCCCAAATACCCCCAATCCCACTTGGACCGCCTCTGAGATCGCCGACGCTGTCAATGGCAGGATTGTGAAATGGGGTCCTCCTGGAACCGTTTCTACAGACACCAGAACCCTTCAGCCCAACCAATGGTTCTTCGCCATTGCCGGTCTAAACTTCGACGCCCACGATTTCATAACCCCGGAATTATCCCGTAATAAAGGCTGTGCCGGAGTTATCGGCAACCGGGTTTGCGAAAATTGGGACAAGGGCTTCGTTCAATTCGATGGCAATACTGTAATTTCATTGACGAAGATGGCAAGTTATGCGAGGAATAGGTTCCATGGAGAAGTGGTGGGAGTGACTGGGAGTGTGGGTAAGACTAGCACAAAATGCATGATAGCTTTGGCTCTTCAAAATCAGAGTTCAAGAGGTTTGGTTCTTCATGTTCATCAAAGTCATGGGAATTGGAATAGTGAAATTGGGGTGGCTCTGTCGCTAATTGGGGTTCCTGCAGGAACTGGGATTGTGGTTTTGGAGATGGGAATGAGTGGGAAGGGGGAGATATTAGAGCTTGCGAGGATGGCTCGGCCCACTATCAGGGTCATTTTAAACGTGGGCGCTTCCCATTTTCAAAATTTCTCCAGTTTAGAGGAGATAGGCATGGCCAAGGGGGAGATTTTGGCCGAAGCAAAGCCCGGGGATGTTTGTGTTTTGAATGCTGATGATCCACTTGTTATGAACCTCCCTGTACCACTTGGTGTAAAAAAGGTGACCTATTAATATTATTACCCTTTTCTTCTTCTTCTTCTTCTTCTTCTTTTTTCCTTTTTTCTGTGTGCCATTACTAAATTGGTTTGTTTGTTGTTTCTTGCCATAAGCAGGTGCTCTTTGGTCATAGAGTGGGGTGTGATGTTCGGTTGGTAGCGTCAGAAAGCACGGATGGAGGTCTTGGAGTTAGAGTTGTCTTACAGAATCATCAAGAGATGTAAGCCCCTCGTAAACATTTCTCATCTGATATGAAATAGAAACATTGTGAAATCTTCAGTGTACCTTGTTTATACCATGAAATATGATGATTCTTTCTTGTTTACATAAATTTTATCGAAAATATTGGACAAAGAGCTTTGTAGATCATCACAACCTGTCAGATATTTCATTGCATATCCATTGCTTTTTGGTCGAGTCGAGTCACTGCTGTTTTCATCAAGACATGCATTGAGTGCTCTCCTGCTCAAACGTATCATTGAAATGGTGGTTTCCTTTTGCAGGGTAGAATTCGTGATAGCTAGTCCAGGTTTGCATTTGGCTCTCAATGCATGTGCAGCAGCAGCAGTTGCGACCCTTTTGGGAGTCTCTCTTTCTGAAATTGGAAATCACCTGTCAGCATTTTCTCCTGTTCACATGAGGTCGGAGCTTGAAGTTGGTAGAAATGGAATGAAAATAGTGAATGATGCTTACAATGCCAATCCTGTGAGCACCAAGGCTGCCATCGACTTACTAGAGAGTATTGATATTGATTGCGGAGGCAAAAGAATTGTCGTGCTTGGCGACATGTTAGAACTTGGTGCAATTGAGTTGGAGTCTCACAAGATGATTCTGAAGCGCTGCTGTTGTAGTGCTCATATTGATTTAGTTGGGCTTGTTGGGAGGAGGTTTTGTGCAGCTGCTAAGAATCTCAACTTGCTTGAAGACAGAAATATTGTGTATGCTCTTGACTCGGAAACTTTTGCACAAGAAATTGTGAAGAGGGTTAGTTATAATGATGTTGTTTTGGTAAAGGGTAGTCGAGCAATGCAAATGGAGAAAATTGTAAATGCAGTTAAAGCAATGGAATGTTGATGATTGATTGTCCAGTCCAGTCCAGTCCATACCAAAGGAATGTTGATTTGCAGAAAGGCAGGATGCAAGCACTTATACATGGTAATTATTTCATTGTTGCGGCAGGTCAGATCAGATCCCTCCAAAAAATTTCTTATGTTTCCTATTTCAATTTTCATGGATGGTTTGGTGACAGATGTTGTGGTGTCAGCAGGAGGACCTCGTCAATCGGGGCTCATATACTTGTCTAAACTTGAAAAGCTCCATTCCCTGTACTAGGAATCCTAAATTATTGTTGGACGTAATGTAATTGGCAAATCCTTCAGTCATTCAAAACATCAAAGTAGAAAGTTTTATAAATAAACAACATAAAAGTTGTACGTACACTGGATATATTTTTGGTGTTTCCGACAACTTGGTGCTGTTGTGGACATCATAATTTCTCTAGTTTATAATGTCTTGGTTGGATCATCAATGCAATTGTCAACTTTGAAGCTCAAAAACGTCATAAGATGATGTAGAAAAGCTGAAATAAGATGTTACACTACTAGTAATAATTGAAAGCACGAGGCCTGGTTTTTGGTTTGGTTTGGTAATAAAGCTAGAAAATGAAAATAGCATGAAAATGCATGTGGGTGGGGAATGGGAGCTGATGCGTCTTTGACGTGTGTTCCCCTTTTCTCCCAAACACAAAAGTTGGAGTATCCAGTTATCTCCCCCACACTTTTTGCTTGCTTTTGCCTTGCTTTCCTATGCTTAGGATGAATGGATGGGGATCTTGGATTTTGGAAACAAAGGTGAAGATCGTATATTTATCTCTCTCTCTCTCTCTCTCTCTCTCTCTCTCTCTCTCTCTCTACTTTTCCTCCTAGCCAGTCTTGTTTTCTTTCTTTCTTTCTTTTTTCTCCTGGAAAGGGAAGGGAACCAATCACATACACCTGACCTGAGATTGAAATTTGAAATATAAAAAAAAGGTGGCTTTTGAGATGATAAAAAGGAAGGAATTAATGCCAAATGGACGATGACTCTAGTCCAGATAAGCATACACGCATTTGCCCTGTCAAAGATGTGATGTGACAAGGCTAAGGCTAAGGCTAAGGCTAAGGCTTTGTCGTTTGACCAATTAACACGCTTCACTGGAATGGAATGTGGGGGTGGGGATATGTGGTGGATGGATGGTGGCCCTCCTCCTTGTCCAACTGCCGCCACCTTTTCTTGCAACTGCAATTTCTGTGAATCAAAGTCTTCCCCCAAAAGAAAGAAAAAAAGCTGTCAGCTTCTCTTAGATTGTTAGCAGCACATTGCATTCCCATTCCCTTGGAAGTTGGAGGTTGGTTGATGGACAAAAGCTTACTCACACTCACAGGAGGCAATATTTGGTTTTGATGTACTAGTAATCTCAGATAGCTATTAGCTAAGCTGATACCAGTCTCCAACATCATCATCGCTATATCTATCTATATGTTCATCTAAATCTCATCTGTCTTAATGCCTTGGCCTTCATTAGCATGTGATTTGGCTCATGTCACAAATACTGAAATCTCTTTTCCCTTTGCTTTTTCCCTTCCTCTTATCTTATTAGAGGGCGTGGTCGTGGTGGCATCACAAAGCTAAATGGCCAGCTCAAAAGGTTTCAACGACACATCCTCATACACTACTACAGTTAGACTATGAGAGAGAGAGAGAGAGAGAGAGAGAGAGAGAGAGAGAGAATACGCAACTAACGCATGCTGATGCTGACTTGTTCATTTCTTCTCTGATTGAAAAGCCTTCCCAACCCAACTAATCAGGACAGGATACTGTTTCTGCTACGTACTTTCTTTTTCATTTCTTTCTTTTTTTGTAATCCTTGGGTTTGGGTCGGCCAATTTGCAATGCCTTTGCAAATATAGCAAACTGCCCTATACTCTTGAATCTTGATCAAACAAGGGGATGCTGAAATGTCTTTTCTTAAAGCAACCAAGGCAAAGATACCATCTTTCCCATTATCTTTGTTAAAATATTATCTTTAAGAGTCTACCTGTGCCTTTATTCTCAATTGATGAGCCATACATGACTCATGCAACATAAAGTTGAAGATTCACCTACTATTTTCATCCCTTTAAATACATATATATAAATCTATCTATACATGCAAGCATACATACCTCAGTGCTAAGCATCACACACTTCCTTTGTTTTCTGATACTGCATATACCTAACTTAGCTACCCTACTCGCTCTTCACAAGTCAAGTTATTCTAGCTACAACTGAATTAATTCATTTTGCTACTTGCTCATCAAATATGAAGGCTTCACTTCAAGTTCAAGTTCAAGGACAAGTTATTGGAATTCCAATCAACTCAGCAGCATACACCTTTGAGAGCTCGCCAAAGAGACTTCTACCTGATCCTGCTATTCAATATCCTGAAACTGGGCCTTCAAAACTGAGACCAAGTAAATTCTTTTCGTGGTTTTTTACCCCTTAAATCCATTCATTGGATTGTGTAATTCATTAACTAATGATATATTCCATATATTGTCCATTGCAGCTGGTAGCAGAGTTAACTCAGTGCTTAAGAGAATGAACAAGCTTGGGAAGAAGGCAGACAGTTTCGCGCATGGAGTCAAAGAGCATGGTAAGGGTGGATCATATTCAAGTTCTTAATACTTTTCTTGCTATATAATTAATATATCCTAATGTGTCAAATGGGAAAGAGAATTTAGATATCTAATATTGGTTATAAAAAAAATGAATGCAGTGAAACTGGGGCCCAAGATCACAGAGACAGTGAAGGGGAAGTTGAGCCTGGGGGCTAAAATTATTCAAGTAGGTGGGTTGGAGAAGGTGTTCAAACATGCATTTAGTGTTAGATCTGGGGAGAAGCTGTTGAAGGCTTCTCAGTGTTATTTATCAACCACAGCAGGTCCTATAGCAGGCCTCCTCTTCATCTCCACAGACAAGATTGCCTTTTGCAGTGAGAGATCAATCAAACTCTCATCACCAAATGGAGAACTGATTAGAGTCCACTACAAGGTAATTCCTTTTAATTCACAAATTAAGGACAATTTACTTGTCTCTCTCTCTCCCTCTCTCTCTGTCTGTACATGTGTGTTAGAACTTACCTCCTCCTAGGCTTCTATTCTATATGTTTCTGTCTAACATGTCTAGCTATTTATTTGTATCTTTTGCAGGTGGTGATCCCAGTGAATAAGATAAAGAGAGTAAACCAAAGTGAGAATGTGAAGAAGCCGTCGCAAAAGTACATAGAAATAGTTACTGTGGATAATTTTGACTTCTGGTTTATGGGTATCTTGAACTACCAGAAAACTTTGAAATATCTCGAGGAGGCAATTTCTCAAGCTTAGAGAAAATGCAATTGATGTGTGCTAAAAAGCAGTCTCATTTGTTTCCCTCTGCTTCATCAGATATTGTAATTATCATGCAAAGCTAGATAAAAGAGAGCAAGCTCAATACCATTGCGGACAATGTATAAAAAAATTTCTTTTCTTTTAATGAGAAAATACTCTTTTCTTTGAAAATCACGTGGCTATTCATATTTGATATTATTTCATACAGACAAAATCAGTTTCTTCTCTTTAGTATTGGACAGTTCCTTAAACACCTCTTTAAATTTTGTTATGTTAAATTCTTCTTTATATAAAATTCCATGCAAATGCTGTGCTGAGCTAGGATGCGAATTCATAATTCATTTGCAAATGTGCCTACTCACTTGCACCTCCAACTGAATATGAAAAAATTCACAAATTAAATAAACACAATGAAACTTGTATTCCTTCAATTTCTTGCAGTATTGTATAATTCATAGATCACAGAGACAGAGAGAGAGAGAGAGAGAGGAGAGAGAGAGAGAGAGAGAGAGAGACATGCTTTAACTTGCCACCAACACAACACCAGCGCCTTCCTCCCCTATAGGACTCAGACATTGCAATAACTTATTCATAATATGATTTTTAAGTTCATCCAAATGGGGTCAAATATTGACCTAAACGTTACTTGCAAACTAAGTTTCAAAAATGGATCCATTTTTCTGATATATTATAATTACATCAATTTTCCATCATCCATTTTTGAATGTTCTTTAAGAAAATCCCTAAAATCAACTTTAGAATGCAAGTTGGTTGGTTGGTTGGTTGGAGCCAAACTTTTTGTTGTGCAACTGCTTGCTTTTCCCCCCTTCCATTTCTCTTATTCACCAACTAAAAGAGAGATGACATGGGAAAGCTAAATTGCCAGCCCAAAAAGTTACAAAAGAATATGTTATGACGTTCCAGATATCGCTTAGCTTAGGAAGGAAGATACAGTTAAAAGGGTTTTTCGAGTAATCAGGTTTTCTTTAATTAACAATCAGGGTTTTTCAAGAACTAAATCCACACTTTCCCCTGCTTTCTCAATAATCTCTGCCAACGGGGTCTAGCATAATGTAAAAAGTGTCTTGACTTGCAGACTGGTCATAGGTTTGAATCCCCACAGAATTATAATTGTGTGTGTGTGTATGACAAATCCCCCTTTCCTGTAGTTTAGATTATTGTTTGTACTAAAATAAATAAATAAATCTCTGCCGCCATTGACTGTATACATTATTATATAATTCCCATTACTTACAATCTGTCTGTGTTCTGTACATCTTGATAAGAAAGAAAGAATTCTCCACAGAGTAGGATTATAGTGAGATTCAAATCCAGATAAGATAACAAATTACAACATTAATTATTTCACCCCATCAGATCCCAAAGAGGGAAAAATAAAAATTAAAAAAACAACATTGTTCCGCCCAAAGTACAAAGCAATGGAAGATATTGCGCAAGTGTGTCCACACCCCCCAAACTGACTTGACGAGGAATCCATTCTTTCAGAACTGAGAGTAACTTAATAGAATGAATGCCGATTTTAGGAACATGTGAAATTGTTGGAACCCCCAAACATGAGACCCCCCACTTCTTGTTTTGTACATGATAAATTTACAAATATGTATTCCGAGGGATAAATACACAAGAAGCCAACATTTATCAGAAAGGCTCACAAATCTTGATCGGCTGAATGCCAGCTCTCAAAGTAACAAATTTCAAGCTTTTGAGAGCAGCGCTTGCTTTGAACTCGCCGTCACAAATCTAAATCTTCATCGGCTGAATGCCAACTCTCAAAATAAAACGTCAGGCTCACATAAGCTCCCCGTGAAGTTCACTTTACAAGATTCAGAAAACTGCAATCCCGCTTCATCACAACCTGCCGTTGTAATGTGTGGGCATGACCTCACATCCAGGTATTCTAGAGAGTCACATTTGTCCAAAAGCATGCCTATGCCTGTCACAGTTATTTTTGGGCAGTTGCTGACCTTCAAAACTTTCAAACTCAACTCATTTTCTTCACCATTTAAACCCTGAAAGGCAGCATCTGTCACCTCCTCACAGCACCCAATGTCAAGAGCCTCGAGGTTTGTGCACTGAGCAAGGATGCAGCTCAAAGAAGAGTCAGTGATATTTAAACACCAATCCATCCTCAAGTTCTTGAGATTACTCTTACAAGAAATAGCCAGCAATTTTATTGATGCATCAGATATGTCCCGGCAGCCACCAACTATTAGAGTTTCAAGATTTTTGCAGAATCTGGCCAAGGATAATATAGACTCGTCCCCGATTTTGTAGCAATCCAACAACTTCAGTGTCTTCAGAGAAGATGAGCATGCCATGGAGACACTGGAAACTCCAATATCTCCAATATTGCTGCATTTGTTGACATCTAAAAATTTAATCCGTTGACATCCATTTACAAGATCAGTAAGTCCAGAGTCAGTTATGTTGGTGCAACCTTGAAGCCCCAACTCTTCTAAATAGTGACAATTCTTTGAAAGGGCTCGCAATAATCCATCAGTAACAAATCTGCAGCCAGCAAGATAAAGGCTCCGAAGGTCAGAGCAGCCCTCAGCAACAGCTGATAATCCTTTGTCTGTTAACTTCCTGCAATATGATACATCCAGGGACTGTAGTGATGAAAGACCAGATCCAACGAAAAGGACACCAGAATCTGAAATTCCTGTCAAAGAAAGAAATAGACAATACATTAATCAGGTCCAAATGTTAAATACAAAAGACAACAAGCGTAAGAGTTTCAAAAATAAACAACCATTTCTTTCTTTCTTGAACGTAAAATGAAATAAAAAGTCATCAAGTAAATAAGTTCAAAAGAATTGTTATAATCCAATGCCAAAGGACATCTCAAATTCTGGCATTATAGCTACAGATTCAAGAATACTGCACAAGTGAAAGGAACCTCATCTCCCCTCAAAGCCAAATCATGAACAGAAAAATTAATTTTCAGCAAAAAAATACATAAAATTGGAGAAACTCATAAAAAGCCCCAATTCAATTTGTAACAAATAGTCAACTAGCACAAACCCATCAAACAATCTCAAAGAACCATCATAATTTTGCAAAATCTCTCACAATGATAAAAAAAAACAGATATCCAATATGTAAAAAAGAATATATTTTCATCAGAAACAGTGAAGTACGTTTTTCCCAATCAATAAAAACAAACAGAAACCCATGAAACAAACCGAAAATTGCTCCATACATGAAGCACGTCCCATGTCCAAACACCACACACTCCAAAAAGAATACCTTTGCAATTCTGCAAATTGAGGACTCTTAAGCACTTAAATCCATGAGCAATAACACGGAGATCAGAGTCAATGACACCAGGATAGAAGGACCTCGAAATGGACTGGGAGAGGTCCAGTTCATGAAGCCTGGAGAACCTGTCAGCCATTCTGCGAAGCATATGAGGCCCCGCACGTGCCGAAAGCCTCTTCCTCTCCGTGCTCTGCAAATGAAGCCACCTTTTGCAGACCAACCCGAAGACCTCCTTGTCCCTCTGGTTCTCCAGCTTCGCTAGCACCGACCGGAGCTCATCATCCGTCAATGCCTCGTTTATGCATACCGTTATTGAGGAGGAATCGGCTGAAGAAGCCATTGATGGAGGAAACTGGTGGTTGCAGACCCTAACCCCAATCGTGAATAGAGATTTGGGGCTCAATTAGGATCAGGGTTTATGAAGGAATTGGGGGGCAGGGAGCGTTGATTGGTTGAAAACGTCTTTTTTGTGTCTATTCGGTTGGGTTGGGTGGTTGGTGGAAATATTGAAAAGCGGGTCGGGGTGTCAATGTCATCGTCTTCCTTGTCTATCTTTTGGTGGTTGTGTTGATACTTTGCATTTTTGTAAATAAAAAATAATAATGATACTTCGAATTCAAAATATGAAAGTGGAGGAAATATTCCATTACCAACCTTAAGACATGATTACAAGAGTCATCAAACAGAGCTTACATTTTAAATACCAACACAACAATAACATTGCTTTGTTTGTTATTATTACATATACACCCCCCAAAGATTCAATAATTCTCTCACATAGAATTATGTCATGTATTACATGGTTCTATAACTTTAGGAATAGCTCCTAGAGACAAGTAGATTTCTTGGTAATTTTCCATGCAGATCAAACTCAGTGTTATATAATAGGATAATACCGTGTCATTTGTCATATTGCTTGCTATTAAAGGGCTTTTCACAAATAGACCCATTCTAACATAACATATTATACAAAAACTTTTATCGGGCAGAATGAGTTGAGTTTTTTCACATAAGTCGTCATCATATATTCTTATATTAACATATTTGGTTAGTGGTTCAAGTTGCCAAGCAGTAGTTACCAATTTTCAATAAGATAATACGAAATTAAATTATAAAGCTGCCGCGCCTCCAATAATTTGAATTGTATTCCTAATCATCACCTTGAGTCAGTCGATGCCAAATGGCATTAACAACTGTATTTTGTATTCAATGTGAACAAACTGTTTGTATATTTGTAAGTTTGTAACATGTGAACACAAATTGAGGGCTAAGCCTCCTGTGGCAATCAACAACCTACCTTCCCTACAACAATGAACTAATTCATATGCTGCACGAATTTACAGCATACGAAGAAGAAAAAGAATTAGAGTCACGGTTTGTGACTCAAGAGTTTTTAAGATAAATGAGACTCTTTGCAACAAGTAAGCACACAGTCCTCCAGAAACTGGGTTAGCTCAGAAGTGTACAGTTTCGGGTCGTTTCTGAAATGATCAACATGAGGTGTGGACACAAAGTTGCAAGCCCTAACCTCATGTCCAGCCCTCCGTTGCTGCTTTATGAATGATTCCACCGACCCTGCAGGAATCACCCTGTCTGCAGAGCTGTATATATATAATTGCGGACAGCTTGGTTGTCGGGCTGACAATAACCCCACGACATCAGAAAGCCTCCTGTAATGCAATAATATTCATATTACTTTCCATGCAAAGAGGGAAAAGTTCCTTCTTGGAAATACCAAGCATTACAAGTACTCTGACATGCTACATTGGTTTTTCTAAGATAAAAAAGAACATCAAGGGAAACGTGAAGCATAGAAAGCAGCAGGAAGATTCAAAACCACCTCAAAGAACTTATCCAGAACTAAAAGGACGAAGAAGAAGAAGAAGATAGACTACCTGTTCACTGTAGGAAGATTCAAAATCACTTCAAAGAACTTCTCCAAAACTACTAGCAAAGCTGCTTCAGTTACTGCAGGTTTGGGTGCCACTACTCCCTTGGTGCCAACCAAAGCATCCATCCCTGACTCATTTGAGTCTACGGTTCCATTTGCTGCTACACTATGCTTTTTCAGAAAGGCTGCTGAGAAACCAGAAGCCCAAACCTACACAAGGTCAAGAATTAGTTAGCATACTCATCTAAGAACCAACAAAAGAAAAAACCTGATCCCAAAAGGAAGCATGCCACAGAGATTATAAATGTCCTGCTCCCTCCAACTCATCCAGTCCCCACATAGAGAAAAAGAGAGGGAGAGAGAGATTACAGAGAGTGCAAGGCAGTGACAAAAAATGAAGGACAGTAACTGGAATGAAAAAAAAAGATCAACAGGCATTGGAGTTCTAAGACTAAGTGCTAAGCACAAGGAATACTCAGCAGACAAACTTTCTTTCACTATTCTTGTAACATTTTGGCTTGGCCATAGTGATAATGTCCGCTGCTACAATTATATTAAGCCAATTACAATATTGTTATTGGTCAAATCAATATTCTTTAAATGACAGCAAAAGGCTATCTCTGGTACCAGAGTATGCGTGGATAATTTTAATCTTTTAACTAACATCAGTAGACAATTTCTGCTTTACTGCAACTATCCTTTACCTGTGGGTCAGGTGCTGCAACAGGTGCAGAATCCACAACGCAACCCCGAATCCTGCCCATTAGAGAAGGATCATGCTTCTGGAACTGCTCCAACATTACCCCATACCTGTAACATGAAACCAAACCAACAAACAGTGTAAGATGGTTACATAAGAGAATGGGGAAATTGCATATGGAGTGTATGTATAAGAGAGAGAGAGGGGACAAAGTGGAACTCACGTTAGCCATCCAGTATTGCTAAAAGTATGAAAAACCAGATTCTTTCCATGCTCCTCCTCTAACCAATCAGCCAAATGTCTCACAAGCGAGTTGATGTGCTCTTCAACTTTCCCACCAGGTTGGTATTTGAGAATCTCAGACATCGGCAAAGTAAAGGTAATTACATGAAAACCCCTTGAGGTATACCAGTCGGCATACTTCTTGAGATGTTTTTGCTTTGCTCCCAACCATCCTAGTAAAACCACCACAGTCCTGAACTTTGCCGAGGAGCAACCAGAAGCACCGGAAACATCTATGGCATTTGGCTCAGGTAAATGCCATCTGTACGAGACTTCAGAGGGGGAAGTGGATATATCATGCTTATATGTAGTTGGGTTTGCTGTTTTAACCAAGTCTGCAGACTGATACAAATTAAGAAGAACAGGTGAAGATGCAACCGAAGAGTATAGCAACTTGGGAACAAATTTGCCGCCCAAATTGGGAGTTGGGAAGTTAATATTGGGCATAGGTACTCGAATTCTAGAGATAAAGGACAAGTTTGCAAGCTTAGAAACCGAAATGTGAGAAACCCAGGATAACTTTGAATCTTGAAAGGTGTTATGCAATGAAGAATGTGATAAATCCGAGGTAGAACAAGCGTCATTGGATCTGTGAGATGGCAATTTATCAGAGATGTCAGTAGAAACTGAAGCTACAGCAAGAGCAGCAGCCGCAACCAAAGGTCGTTGAACGATCCCAGACAAGGAAGCCATATTGGAAACGCAGCCCAAAATCTCTCATGCCAATATCAAGCAACCCCCATTCAACAACATATAATAAGCCGAGCAACCAAATTTGGTGAAGACCCAGAAAGCCTGATATTTCAAACACGAGAATAACCTGCAGAAATTAATGGGAAAATGACTATAACCCACCAAACACCTACAAATATAATGCAACTCGAATATATATATATATATATATGTATATATGTATATGTATATATGTGGGACTAGGATCGTATCCAATTGGAATAAGGAATTCAGACCGAACAATTAAAAATATTAAACGGAATAAAGAAAAGGGCGAGTCGGCAACAAACAAGAATTAGAATTTACATGCGCCAGGCATGGAAAACACGCAAGAATTGATACTGAAAAGTGGTATATTCGTTCATTGTGAAAACATATTCTAACCTGGTTGCTTTGACTTGTCTTCAAAAAAATCGGGCTGTCAATGTCCGTTGACAGCCCGATTATCACCACGCGCAGCGGACACCGACCCAGAAGCTTCCTTCGATTCCTTCTTTCTTTTTTCCCTCCGCTGGAGAATGACAAAGCGTCCTCGGATCTTTAGTGGGGTCAAACCAGAGGCTGGTGTTTTAAAGCATAAATAAAATGTTAAGGAATTCCAAATGAATAAATTTTAGAAAGAAAAAAAACTTGGCCTTCTCAGAATACAAGATCCAGTAGAACAGTGCCACGTGTTGTGCGGTTCGCTTTTCCATTTTAAATTTTCGAAGAAATAAAAATAATAAAATAAAAAAGAAGAAAAGCTAAAGATAGTGATTGGGTTTCACGGGACATTGAAAGGCAAATAGTTGCTTACGTTAGCGTTCCGGCAATCTAGGAGCGAGAGCTCATTGGCAGAAGAGAAACGGGGCTTGCTGAAATGACCGTTTTATCCCCATGACAATGATGAGATGAAGGTAACGTTTGTGCGAGTAAACTGATGTAAATTTCAGAGACAAGGAAAGAATACGACATTTCCAGAAAGACAAAATCCGGAAACAGAAATGAAGTTGAGAGGAGAGGCTGACGGCGGAGGAAGGAGAGGGGCTCACCTCAATCAAGACTGGTGTGCCTGTTTAATTCAATAAAGTTTAAGAAAATAGAAAGAAGAAAAGAAGGACAAAGGAACACACAGCACGATATTGAATATTTCTAAAAGGATATTCCCCAAGAAGATTCCTTGAGGAAGCAACAGTCAGATAATGTTGGTGGTGGAGGGGAGGCCCATAATCAGCAGCACAGAGGACATGTAGTAAATGAAAACTCCACGTTTTCCAGTTTCAGCCAAGCAAGCATCATGGGTCATGAATGACGTAGCACAACAGAACCAAACAACTTTTAAAGAAAAGAAAAGAAAAGAAAATGTGGAAAAAAAATGAATTAAACATACTCAAGATTGAGAATCACCAAATTCAATACGTAAGAGGCTCAGGTCCTGTGTACCAACTACATTACATGATGCACCTACCTCGTCCATTTCTATATGGACATATTCCGTGTCAATAACTACGCTACATGATACTAGCTCATCATCTTCACCTATAAAAACATAACACTTCTCATATAGACCCTCCTTTGGACCTAGATTTAACAAACAAGACTTTGGAACTGACAATTTGTTTTTGCCGCAACGAAATCCTTCCTGCCCCTTTGCCATCAATATCAGACGATGTTGGCGACCCAAAAGCTGTGACACATACTTCATATCTCCTACAGCAAGGGCACGTCGAACACGAGTAGAAGAAACCTGTCCTCTGTCTTTCACATCACTCGAGTTTATATTTATAGAGTAATCGTTCTTGTCCATAACAGAATTTATTATATAAGCCCCAATACCATACTCTTCACACAACCTCACCAGCTCTGTGGCATCACCAGCAGCTTTATATCCAAATCGGTAGTTTTCACCTGCCACAATTACCCATTGCAAATCCATTTCAATGTATATCAAGGCTATGCTTCGCTCATACCAAGAAACATAGAATAGTCTGCAATGGGTTTCTTCAAATTAATTTACCTGCCACAACTCCACGCACTCCAAGCTCTTTCAATAACTTTTCAACAAATTGCCGTGGTGTTAGATGTCGAACACTAGAAAATTCAATCTGAAACTCTCTGGGTGCCATGTTACCGCAGTATGGGGCCCAAGAGGAAAGAACCCGCTTTCGATCGCATCTGGCAACTATGGGAGCCCTGTTCAATTTATTAATAAGAATTTATTAAGACACTTTAACTAAGCTAAAATGAATTTCTATTTGAAACTAGAACAACATAAACGAGGAAATGGAATTCCAATGTGCAAATCTGGTCAGAGCCTTTAGATTTAGAGCAGCACATAAGTACTACTTAAGATGTTCAATGGTAGTTTTATACTTCATTAAAGCAAGATACAATTTGTTGTCCAAAAAGAAACATGCAAGATATAATTTGTATAAAACATTCAGAATCCCAACTCAGCTACGAAAACTGAAGAAAAGGGATATAAATGACAAAGGCTGAGGGTGTATAGCAACAATACCTTGGTTCCCAACCCAGTACTTCTGCCATTCCGACAAATGACAAAAGGAAAGGAGGTCCAACCTTTGATGCTTGAATTGCAAGCTCTCGATGACCAATGTGAAGGGCATCAAATTTTCCCAGCGCAACTATTCCTCCTAGGAACAATAATAAAAGTGCATTAAGTTGAGTGTCTTAAGATGATTACACACAACGCATCAAAGAAGTCAATATACAAGAATAAATGGAAAGCCTTATATATGAGGATACAGCAGATACACATTGTATAGGGTCAAAATCAGGCCCAAATGAAAATATGGAAAGATATAGTCCATGAGAGTTGCATCCTTCTGGAGGAGATAATGTTTTTTTTCAGTAGAAAACTTTTTGGAAATAAAGAGGGAGTGCACTGATGAAACTTGTTAAATGACTGAAAATATAATTGGCGATTTCATAATGGTGCAGATTCAAAAGAACCCAACGGAAAGGAACTTGGAAGTTCTCTTAATCCATAACTATACCCAAAAGTGTTCTATGTCTAAAACAAGGATAAGTTTTGCAGCTACGTTGACATAAGAAATCTTTCTACTTATGTGATTCTGTATCTATTTTGTGTCCCTGATTTTGATCAGCAGTTGGACTTGACTTAGAAGGTTAGTTTTCCTCGTCAACATAGGTATCAGTAAATTTATAAAATCACAAGCTATGCTGAAAAACGTGTCCCAGTGTAGGTTGAATAGCAACAAGCAATATACGCTAACGCATTCTTGAAGAAACAGCTAAAAGGAATTCCACCACATAATACGCTAACACATTCTTATGGATATTTGAGTGTTATATTTTACAAGATTAAAATAAGCAACAAGCTTATTTATATAATGTGATAGAAAATGATGGTGAAAAGAGAAATATGGAAAGTACAGGTGGAATGAAACCTGCCACTGAGGTCAATCCTTCGGAGAAAAGCTCACGTCCATCTTCTCGTTGGCTTTGCAAAAGAAAAGGAATCAGAGTTTGGACCACATACAAGCATGCATACATACATATACATGCATGTGTGTAGCTAAAGTAGTCAACATTAAAACCATCCAAAGAAGAATTGAGTAAATTGATTCAGGTTGATTCCTGCATTGTTTTGCTAAACCAAAGTGAATGATACTCTTATAAGATTCCGAAGGTCCTGCCGGAGTTTAGGATGCGATCAAGACAAGATAACTTATTGGGCGGCACTACAACTTCTAAGAAATATCAAGAGAAATAAAGTTCGTAACAGAGAAGGTAGCAAATTGATTTGCACCCATACAAAACGAGAATCGGAAAAAAGTAAGGAAAAAATAATAAGAAATGAAATTCAATCAAAACTTACTAAAGGGCATATGAATTGCAAAGTTCAATGAATTTATATATCAAGTAAAAAATAAATTTATTTATTTTAAAAAAAAAAAGATTGGAAAGGAATGGAGCAGTATACCTAAAACAATTGGAGAGTGTGGGAATGTCGGGAGGAGACTTGGAAGAAACGAAAGAGGAAAAGGGCATTCTGTGAGCAGACAAGGGTTTGAGAGGGCAAGGGCAGCAGCGTAGCTGGGCGACTCTGTTGTTGTAAAACCCTACCCGCCCTAATCCAAAGACAAAGACAAATCCGAAGCCGAAGCCAAAGGCAGAGCCAGAGCCAGAGCCAAGGTGCTGGTGGTGGAGGCGGACGTCGCAGTCTCGCAGTCGTAGATGATTGGAAAGACGAGAGCAGCCACCACCACCACTCAACATTATTTGCCAACAACGCTCGTCGCTCGCCAACAACAACTCTCTAAACAGTGTCCAGACAACAAAACCAAACCAAACCAAACCAAAGCGTCTAACTTGTTAGTTAACGACCGTCAAGTAAGTCGTTCACCGGTTAACCCGTCATCCGCATTTTGCCATTTTTTTTTCTTTTTCTTTATTAAATTAAACTGGTAGGTAAATTGGTAATTAAACATCTGTTATTTCTCCCCAAAAAAAATAAATAAATAAATAACATCTGTTAAACTTGTGAAAAGGACACTAGTTTAGTGATTTGAAGAAAATGCTCCCCAAGAAATGTTCGGTGTTCGAGTCCTAATATCCGTGTTGCGTGTGAAGTTTTTGTATTTTATGTAATAATACATTTATAAAAAAAAGTTCAAATCTGTCAACAGTTGGCCGCCGTAGAGCTACATGTATAATTTCCTCAGTCACAGGCTACTAGTGTCAATGTTTCCTACCCTGTCTGTTGTGCCATATTATGGGAAAGGCCAAGCAAAGAAAGAAACTAATGCATGTCAAGGGAAGGGGAAACGCAATTGGCAAGTGATAAAATTTGGAGGTTTACTGTGTGAACCTGTAAAAGACAATTCGGACGGCTCTGTTTCTTTGACATTCAAGCTCAGCTGGCTTTCTAAAAAGATAATAAAATGTTTGCATATGCTGTGAAAAGTCCCTTCTAGGCTAGGCTAGGCTTGCACTGCTAATTGAAATTTGCATATGGTAAAGAATTCATTGCACTATGAATGGAATTATGAAAAATATACATACTTGAATAACTTGCTCTACAAATTAAGCACCAAACCGCTGGGCAAGCAAGTTGCAACAACAAAACTCGTAGTCACAATTTCTATATGCAACCATTCCTCATCTATAAAAAATAAAAGGGGGATTAGATATAGCATAAACTCTTCTTCCTTTCTCTCTCATCACTTTCTTCCTCATGTTGCAGCTGTATAAGGGTGATCAATAATACAACCCATTTAGAGAAATTTAATTTATCCTCGAGCTGTTCCTCCTTCCCCACCATTTCTTTTTCACCCTGTCAACAGTACCCTCTTCATTTCCAATCTTATGCAAAATCAACTTTGTCTCCCTTAATCTTGCCCCATAATCCTTCTTCCAAGCCTCAAACATCTGCTTCAGCCTTCTAAGCTCTCGGTCTGGGTTCAGACTTGCTTCAACTTGACCAGATTTTACCTCTACCAAGAACTTGGCATCGTCACCAAATACTTGACTCCTCTGGTCAAATTCTTCAGTCAACCGGCTTATAACACTCAAACCTGCACTCATTGGCCTCACTCCATTGCTGTCTTGCCTTCTATGGTTACTTCCTGTATCCCAACTGTAGTCATGATCATCACTTGCATTGACCGATGCATCAGAATTCCTCTCAGAATCATCAACGGCTAGGCTCTTCTTGGCAATTGAGAGGCTGGATTGCAGGGATCTCATTTGTTTCTGCCACACTTCTTCCATGGATTTCATTTTCAATTCATACTCGGACCAGCGGCTTTCATACTGTTGCAGACGCTGGTGGAGGATGTCATTCTCCTCTTCCTTCTCTCTCAGGGCAGCTTCAGCCTTAAGAACACGGCGCTGTAGTTCAGCAAGGAAAGACGACTTTACCAACACCTCGTCTACCTCGTTAGCCTGTTTGAGACTCTCTAACTGTTAATTATGTTCCCAAAAATGAATGGGGGTCTCGATACAGAATATTGCTATCAAACTGAAAATAGATAGAAGAGTCAAGGACTACCTGTGTGCTCCCAGGTTTCAATAATCCTATACCTCCTGAGCATCTTCTGACCGACCAGCCACGAAAAACTGCAAAGATAGCTTAGACTTAACAAGATAATCAAACATATAGATGCAATAATGTAGAATGGGATTGACCTTAAAGATGTTTTCACAATTTTTCATGTGTTACGAAATTAGATAGTACGTTCAGGCTGACTTTGATCTGACAATAACCCCCCAATATCCAATAATTTTGCCACTCTCCTTTTGTTTCTCCTTTTAAGGAGCTAACACCATGCAGACAACACCCTTTGTAGCCACTATGAGTAGGTACTTGTCAGGTTGAGATCTTACTGTTGTCTGGCTGAGAATTTAATGCCACGCATGCTGAGATCTAGTTACAACTGAGGAACAAGGCTAATATACCTGATTGTATCACGACTGATGCATCATAAATGTTCTTGAATTTCCTTCTTTCAATCCTGCTTTTCATCTGCTTTTGTATGATTACAGCAGATCTATGCCTCTGCAGTAAGATTGTGTACTCCTTTCTGGTTTTCTCTCCCCTTACAACTGCATTAAGTAATTTCAAATAAATTTCCAAAATATGACAAAATTTGATATAATACACCAAAATAAACAATCAGAAAGTTTATACATGACTGAAGAGTGGTGATTCCTCTTCTCAGCTCCTTCAGGTAACAGCGATCTTGGTGTCCTCTAAAGCAGCTTTGAACTCGTAAAATACCATGGAGGGTACGGTTTCTAGTGTCCTCAAGCACCCCAATCTGCATCAAATTTCCTCACCACGTTTATATCAGTAAAGATTAAATATATAAAGACTATCAAATCCACGTTCATAACAGCTGATACCAACCAAACCAAGGAAACAGAAATGTGAACCCCTCCTTTTCTTTTTATCTGACAAGTCATAATCAACCAGAAACATGGATTATTTGTTTTTGTTTATTGCAGGAAGGGGGGACATCAATTTACCTGTCCAGTTCGGAAAAACAATTTTGTACAGCCCACTTGATACATCTCTGGTAATATATTGAACTGATGAAGGATAGCAACTGAAACACTTAGTGGATCCTGTGATGCAACATTCTCCAGCAGAAGAAAACCATATCTGATGCAAGATTCAGTAATGACAAAAACAGCAACAGTTATGTACTAGAGACATGTATCAAGTATTTGAAAGCTGAAACAGAAGAAGATATCTTTGTTACCTTCTCGCAAACTTCTGGTGTGACATTCTGGTGGGAAAGCCAGATCTTGATATTCGAACCACTTCTAGGACTCCACAACATCTCAGCTGCTGCAGTACAAGTCCTTGCTCATATAATCCAGGGGATTGAAGATTGTTGGGCTTGATACAACGTATGAAATGTGGAGTGGTATTCTCTAGACGTTTCATCAATAGGAACAATTGACCCTAAATACCAACACAAACAAGTTAATCAAAAGAATACAATGGTCAGATAACCAAACTCCATTTTCAATAGAATTTGTTTTTCACAGTATGTCAGACCCAATGTTTCCTAAAGGATTGGACGCAAAACGTCCACCCACAGTCATGAAAAGGATTTTCATAACCCTTTTCATAACTCTCCTAGAGTTCAACTTTCATAATATTTTCTTATCAAACATCAACACTTGATCTCTCACAAAAAATAAAAAAGGAAAGGAACAAAACAAATAGAACAAAGAGAACAAATTTTGAGCCTAATGTATAAGCACTCCTATATTTATAAATTGCTCAGAGGGAAATACCTCAGCAAAGCAATATGATACATTGCATACATATAGGATTGACTTCACTGTGCAATCAACGGCTTGCAGTGATTATCTCTCATAAGGTTTGAGTAGACAACTGATATGTACTAAGATGCTATAGACTCTACCTAATTTTAATGATTGAGAAAAGGTTCTTGTTAGGGAATAATTCTACACATATAATACACATGCATACTTAACTACGTTATCATGATTAAAATCTTCGTTAAATTCATAATCATGCACTTAAAAACAGGAAGCAATGTACCTTAAATTTTGTTGCAACACTCATCTTCTGGGAGTCTACTCCACCACCTAATTTATACAGGGGACCAACTAAAGGCTTCTCAGGTCGATTAAGCATACTAGATGCAAATATCTGAGGAAGGTGGCATGAGCATGAGGAAAGAAGCTGAATTGAATCCAAATGTAGCAAGTCCCTGTTCTTCTCCAAAAATCCTGTTGTGTCATACGTAACCTGAGTGGAGGACCAAGTGGAACAATCAACAGTCAGGTAAGCAAGATAAAGTCAAATGAAAAGCGCTTTTCATTTCTTCTTTTTGTCAGTACTTTGAGAGCAGAGAAGAATTGTTAGCACCCTAAAACATTTGGTTTTAAGCCAACTGCATGGCTTGGCTGCGTAAAAACTTTTAAACCATATACTTTTTATGGTTTAAAATCAATTATTATTTTTAGTTATCTATTATTAGAAACAGTGTCTTACGAGGTGCGCAGTGAGGTCGAGGAGCAAGGGTTTTCGCATGGAGGTGGCAGCACGACTTACCTGGAAGGAGTGATTGAGGGGCATTTGCGGCGCACTGGAAGTGTGAAACGATAGGGAGGCACACTCAGCTGAGTCGGCCCTCGTCGTTTTGGACCCTATGTTAATTTTTTTTAAACTTCACGCTCGCAACCTCGCCCCCTTCTCTCACTGCAGTGCTCGAGTTCTCCCCTTCCCCCTCTTCGAAAATCCCTAAAATCCACCCTAAACCTCTACATTTCATATAACCCAAGTAGTTTTTCACTATTTTTGGACTAATCAAGTGCTTCTCCATTATTTGTATTTTATTATATATTTATTATATTATTCAAAAGGGTGAAAGGCTTACGGCTCGCAAGGCTCTCGGTAAAATGCCTTGCTTTATGCCTCAATGTCTTACATTGGTTCTAAGTTCTGACTATGATCAAGATAAAAAGTACTCTAGCAGAAAGCAAGAATAAATAACAATGAAATCAATTAATCAAAAGGAGTACCTCTCCTGCATAATGACTGACAGCAAACGCTTTGTCCCGTTCTCCTCTGAAACAAGAATTAGCACTCAGATGCTGCTTAAGCTTGTTGGCGAAGGTCAAATCAGTACCATTTGGGAAAGTGGACTCCTCATCTAACAGGGACAGTAATCCCAAAGGTCTCTGCATTTATGTTACATGAAGTTCAGGGAAATGCACACTGTCAATTTAATTCTCAAATGCTGGAGGGGCAAGGGCTAACCAAGCAACATTAACTTCATTGGTTATCATCATTGACTTAATTATTAAACAAGGGACAACCATAAAGGGAAAAAAGGGAAAGGTAACTCAACAAACAGGATTCACCAACCAGCAAAGTAAAATGTGCTACATCTGTGTAAAATTCTTTCAATGCTTCCACAGGGAACATGAAATATGTACATGCATAAATATAACATATCAGCTCCTCACATATGAACATTAATTATGCATCTTTTGCCCAATTAAATCCTCAATAATGTGCCAAGAGTTTGATCGATTAAATAATCATGCAATAACCATCATCAGCATATAAATTATATGACTAAAATCCATATTAGGACCAAAAAGTCGAGATTTATGAAGTACCACAGATATTTCTATACAGCCCACTAATGGTAGTACAACAACAAAACAAATTTTACCAGTTACTCCATACAGTACAAATACAAAGTACATTACTGTAGCTGATCATTGACAAGCTCAGTACCTTTTCAAAAAGACTAAGGCAATCTTGGTTGTCTTCAAATTCAACTTTTGTCCAATCAATTCCGTCCTGGATATATTCCTGAAAAAGAATAATAGCAGTCAATAAATCAAGCGGAAACACAGAACAATGTCAGGGATCATTTAAGAGTTCCCTTCATAAGTCACACAAGGCAAGCATGATGCCTATATCGTTGGTTTCATAACATATTAACATATCTTGGTTCCTTTACCTCCTTATAACAGTTCTCTTAAGACATCAGTAAAAAAAATTAAATCAAACAAGTTTTTCTAATAAACTGAAATGAGAAATATAACTGGGATGGGATAGTTGGTTTGGACTAGGCTCTGCTCTATGAATTATGGTTTCTAGTTTAATGAAATTTATGAAATAAATAAATCTAAATAGAACTTAATGAAATCCTATGGAACATAAAAAAGCAGGAATAAACGTTCTTTACTGAATTTATAGTTATACTGATATGAAGAAGTATGGGGAAAGTTACCTCCTGCTCTAGTTTGAATAAGTGACGATTGAAGTGTTGTTGCAATCTCTCATTTGCATAATTAATGCAGAACTGTTCAAAACTATTTCTCTACAGGAAAAAACAACAAATGTACAGTTACAAAAAAATATATATATAATACACAAAGCTTCAGTGAAAGCATAGATGAAACATACATCAAATGATTCAAAACCATAGATATCAAGAATGCTGATAGATCTGCCAGTACGCCGTTTTCCTACTGCAAGTGATTTGTTAATTTGTTCAACCAGCCACTCAAAGAGACATGCATAAATTGACTTTGCCAAAGCATCTCTTGTGTCGATGGCCTGAAAGATGGAAAGAAAAAAAAAAGTTGTATACATTAAAGGGGGAACAGATATTAACTCTTTCATGCCTATGTTGTTATGTATGATAAACTCAGCCTACAAGACAAATATTAACTCTTTTAGAAAGTTCTGTTACCTGCGTTAGTGTTAACTTTTGGACAATATTGTCATTACCAACTCTCATTTTTCGAGTTGATAAAGCAAGCTTAAGCTCATCCATGCCACATCCAATCAATTTAGCAACATTGAACAGACCTGAAAATGAAACATGCATTGTTTTTGAGATCATGAAAAAAAAATATCATTGAACCAATGAAAACCAAGACCAATCAATACATTAATATACACCTCATCCATTAAAATAAATCCTCCCAAATAATGCCAGTATTAGAGGGAATAATCAAAACCAGAAAGCACACAGAATTATCAAAACCATAAACCCATCACACACAATGGGCTGATAGCAGGATACATGTTGCATTTGATGGTAAAATAGATGACAAAAGGCCAGGATAAACCTCGAAAAGAAAAATAGATAGCAAAATAGACACAAAACAATCAGAAAGCAAATACATCACAACCAGAGCTATATCTATCTTCCCCCCACCTGCCCTCCTTTCCAGGATGAACTTCAAATCCTTTATACTGGAAGTTTACAGCATGAAACTTTTTGACAATAGAGAAGCAAAGCAAAGTTTCAACTATTTTGCACTCTTCATCTTGCTCAGGAGCCTCTACTGATCTTCTGTTACTAATAAGTTGCAAAATCTTAATTGGCTTTATGTCACCTAAATGTTTTGGGAATTTTTTGCCTCGCCTGAGACCAATAACTGATGTGGTCTATTTTCTGCATATCGGGAAGGAAAAAAAAAGCTTCTGTATAGACATCCCAGCTGTCGTATATCCCACTTTTCAGGAACTACAAACAGTACATCTGTTTATATTGGATCCTGAAGCCATATAAATGCTTCGTAGTGCAAACACCTCTAGTAAACACTTAAAAGAAAAATCATATAATTTTTTTCCATCTATCCTCTGGAAGATTATTACCTTCATCTTCTACAGCTTCAACATGATTTTCATTATCAATCACAATAAATGAAATGTTTCCCAGCCACAAAACTGCCGCAAGCATTGCAAATACACTTTGTTGGTCTTCTTTGTTTATATGGACAACATCTAGAGCTTCCTAAAAATGTTAAGATCCATAGTGAGTCCACATGCACATGATATCAAAATTCTATTACAAAATGGTGAAAAGGGTAAAATAGAAGCCTAGACTGAAGATAGAGATTTGTTATAAAATATATATATTTAAGAGTACCTTCACCACACAGAATTCTTCAGCATCATTAACCCCGGTAATGGAATAACAATTGCTTTGATTCAGATATTTGTACTCATCAGCACTCTTCAAGTTCAGCATCTCTGTGGCACACAAGCAAAGGAACAAAATACTGAATTTCTTAATCCAGCACAAACACGCAAAACATATTTATCTATACACAAGTTAGTCACACTCAAACATGTCTATTATAAGCATACATTATGAGTGTATGGCTGTGAGGGGTGTTTGTGATTCTTACTCATATACTAAACACACATAATGCACATAATGAACCTATAAAAAAAGGCATAACACAGATTTGAGGGAGATATGGGTTCAAACAAAATTGCCTCTAAATAATATAAATATTAGACCATATCTTATACAGTGTCAAATGACATAAAACAGTTAGGAAAGGCAACTGGATATACTAAGTTACTAACCTCTAAGAGCAGGTGGAGCTCCAGCACAAAGCTGATAAAATATATGATAGGACCTTTCTCCCTCAGTGCATTGGACAACCCTAGACTGTTCAAAAGTTCAATTAGTCAATGACTTGTGTAACAAACTGAACAAGTCACAATCAAGGATCAGAGGAAGGAATATTACCTTTTCAAGCAAAACTGTGTCATAAAGGGCAACAGACAAGATAAAAGGTCAGTTTAAATATTATTTTCAGAGAGAAATATATATAATATATGCAAATAGAATTTCACCCAGGAACCTCAGCAGTACGAGCGGACTTACAAGTTTGAATATTGGCACCAGATATTTTTCCAGTTTCACTAAAGTGGATTTCAATCAATTTTCCCTGCAACATAAGCAGAGTCATCAGCATTACTACATCAAGGGCTATAACTTGAATTTTTAACTTGCATATGATATTGCTAATTCTATCCCTCAATAAAACTAACTAACAGAAAGGGGAATTATACGTGCACCAACCATCTTACTCATCACGCCCCAAAAAAATTACAATTCCTACTTATCTTCATGTATTTAATTCTAACTGAACCCTTATCTCCTGCCTTTCCTTCCTTTTCTCCTTTCTCCCCTTCCCATTCCCTTCTTCCCTCCCAACCAAGGTGTGCCTTGTGCTACACCAGCCATGGCCATGGCAGTGTGCACCATGGCCAGACTGGTCAGTGGTCTTCTCTCTTAACTTCATTTCTATTATTAATAAAAATAGAAATAAATGAGGGTAAAATGCAAACTTTGTGAAGAAGGGGATTTGTTGAGCAGTTTAATGGTGCAAAAAGTGCCTAAAAGAAAGAGCATTCATGTAAAAAACTGAGTGCTTACAAAGCGACTTGAGTTGTCATTTCTCAACGTTTTCGCATTACCAAAAGCTTCCAATATCGGATTAGTTTTCAATATTTCATGTTCTATTCCACTTCCACCACCAAGTGCAGCCAAATATTGCATTGCTATCTTTGCTGTTTCAGTTTTTCCAGCTCCACTTTCCCCACTGTATGGACAAGAAATATAGATGATTGGGTGTCAATTAGATTAACTTCATATCCAAATTATGTAAACATCCTATATGGAGATACAGCATTCATTAGGGACGCTGCAATAACATCGCATATCTCATGTGCTACATCATGAACGTTAGAAATGGTGTTACTTAAATTAACACGAGTTCTTCCATATCGAAAGAAAAAGGGTTTTTGTACTTATAATCAAGATGAGAAAAGCAGTATTTAAGACGATCCATGGTTCGGTCAAGCTAATCATTTGACAGTAATAAGCTTCTTACTGTCTTTCTCAGTTTGTCCTATTTTGTTTGTCTGTAATAATGGTGGAGTGCTTTCCTAACTATGTGTGCTTGTGATTGGTATCCTTGATTCTGGTGCAGCTACCATGTACTTTGGATACTTTCTGGTTGTTTTAAATCAAAATTCGCTCAGGAAGTCAGATATGCAACAGTAACATTTTACTGACCTTATAATTATAGACTGGTTTACTTCATCTGGCAAAAAAATAAGACTAGGTAAGAATCTACAAATTAATGGCATTACACAGATATTTTGAACTGCTGAAAATCCTATCATATAATTGTGAAATAGTAAATCCACCTCGAACCATTTCTCGGATGGCTGTGTCTGCAATGGCATACACATGTGGACTTTCAACAGTTTTACGCTTATATGCTTCAATGTATTCATTCCCGTATAAAGAAACTCTCTTAAAGGGATTGATAGCAACCAACACTGGTCCCGCTTTTGTCTGAAACATACATATACCCACAAAGAGATTAATTAAAAGAAGAAAAACTCAGAAGTAGATTTCAAATAGATTTAAATCCAAATTAAACACTTACATAGATCATATCCTGATTGTATCTATACTGAAGATTGTACAACACTGACGGTTCATTTAAGTAACTAAGTTGCATGAGATCATCCACACCATCAAGGATATCTGGATTAGCTGGAACCAAATCTTCAGTTTTTACCTTTGCAACCTACAAGTGAAAAAAATAATATTGAAATTGGCTCAAAAATCAACTGTAATCATAACATCATACTTCTATATTTTCAAAAGGTGTCTTACTTTATCATTGGAGAGTGATATAACAGATTCAGTGCCAGAGGTCGACAATATTCGACCCAGTTCCCAATTTCCATTTGGAAGTTGGAACCAAGATTGTAGCTTCTGAAACATTACATTCAAACATGTAAGATAAATTAATATACTAATGGTAAGTTAACTAAATCAACTCAAATCATCATCATATATGTGTAGTAAATATTTTATAATCATATGGCCTTATCTTCTATCCATAGAAGCAGAACAGGATATATATATATATATATATATGATTTCATGGACACAGAGAAATACTGAAGTACGACTTACAAGTGACAAGTGAAGTGCAAATTTAATATATAAGTTATAACAGTTCTCCTTGTCGCACATGCATGCCATGGATGCACCACACCTCAACACCATTTATCACATTGACTTCACTATGCTACAGAAACGATCAATGCCTCATGGTAATCAGGACACCCGCAACATTCCCCAATTGAACACACATATACATACATATGCAACTATGTATGAGCATATTATTTCATATAACTAAACCAAGAATGATCTTACCTTAGTGTTATTGAAATTAAACCACCAACAATTTTTATGTTTCTGGCACAATCCTTCCGCAACCAAAGAATACTAACTGGCTCTAAAGCATCTATAATATTCACGGCGTGCCCGCATACTCACACAGAGTTCCCAAACTCTCTAATATCTTAGTCAGTGAGAATGTATCTCATTTCCTCATAAGCTTCATTTATCACCCTTTATTGACATGTCAAACTGCACTCTCATATTAGCATATTTATATCGGAACTTTCTATAATTATTAAATATATGTACTTATAAGAAAGGTGCCAACAAACCCAACAAATAAAGTCTCAATGATAAGATGATAAGATGCTACTTTGTTCTATAGCCCATGGCGATTAATGAATGATAGGGATAGGATGCTAATTTGTTCTCAGACCTTCAACCACATTACATACACCATAAACTCATTAATACATACTGACGTTCAAACATGCATCTAAAGGTTCTTGCGTGTTACACAGATGCATACAATAAAACATGCATGCATTTACATGCTTACATGAATATTCCTAACATAAAGATGCAAGTTAACAAAAGAAAAGGGCAAAAAAACCAGCAAATAAATTCAAGAATCTTTTATTTCATTCTACCAAGAAGAAAATTGAGTTCTAATTTCAATTGGATAATTAAATACCTTCTTCACGGCATAAGGGGTGGTGTCACCCCACCTACGTTCCCTACGAGATGAAGATATTGAAGGCAAAGATGGAGCCACAGAATCCAAGTCTTCATCACCCCGTGACTGTCCATCTTCAATGGAGATTGTGTTCCCGCTATATGGTGAATCATCATTTACCTGGTCCATGTCGCCAAGAGCCCCAGGACTACCTTCAACCCCCTCCTCAGCAACATCAATATCCCCTAAACCACCATTTTCTGGAATACTCGAGGAGATGACATTACTGTTTCCCAAATTCCCATCATCGGATTTTCCAAATCGATCAGAAGCTGGTAAACCTGAGAACCTAAAATCAGCAGGCAATGATTTGAGTGACTGGAAAGAAGCTGGTGCCCTGGGTTTCTGTGACATTTCCTCTAAAGAGTTTTTGCAACCTACAAGATCGAATACCAAATATAAACTGGAATCAAAAGGCTCTTTTTTTTCTTCAAGAAAGAAAATAAGCATATCAAACTTTAGCAAGGTCCCACGAGATGACTTATCTAAATAACTTAATGGCGGGGACCATAATTTAAGATACAGACTACTCTGCTTTTCCCTTATCAGTCACCAACCATTGACATGTTCAAACACCAAATGATGCTTACTACGATCTTCAAAATATCTCAAACTACTAACCTAATATAATTTTATCTTTCAACACTCTGGAATAGAGAACTGATTCTTGAGTAATCTTTAGATTTAGCTATTCCCTTATGGCAATGACAGATCTTTTTCTTCAGTGCACTGTTTGGCTGCTGAGAAATAGAACAACAAAGCATGGTCGCAACAAATTGTCTTAACTCAAAAACCCTCTAGTCAACTCAGCGAGTCCAAGACCACTCAACTTTCCAAAGAAGCCAAAACGAAAATACATGGAAACTCAGATTATCCTTTTATTTACTTCTTCGTTTCCTCAAAAACTAACCAGCAAATTCTACGTTCAAAACATACAGAACCACTCAAACTCAAACTGATCCGCTTACCTCAAAGACAAAGTGAAACCCACTTCAGAATTTGACTGAAATCCTCCGACTTGTCGTCAAATACCCTAAAAATGTGCTCAGAGCTCAGTCAAAAAGTTGAAGAACTTAAAAAATCTCTGAGCTTTGACGAGGAAAATTGAGAGAATGTGAAGAAGAAGAGAGATGCATTTCAGGTGAAGCCCTAATAATCTCGAGAGGCTTGTAAAGAACAATCAAGATGTGTGTGAGTCCGACAGTAGGTGTTTGGATTCTGAGAAAGTGAGAAGAGAAAATGAGAGAAAATGCAAAGCGTGTACAGAAACAGCTTTTTGGCTCTTTTTTTCTCTGCTGAACCACATGAATCCATGATAAAAGAAAATTGAATTTTAAAATTTTGAATTTTTTTATAGTATTAAATTTTTATTTTTATGGTATTTAAAATTTGGGGCTTTGGCACCAACCGAATTTAAACCAAAGATTTTAACGGTTCGGCGAATTGGAAGTGCATTGACAATGTTAACCCTTTCCTTTAGTACAATGCCAGCGGAATCCTAAACTGTAGATTCCGCGTATCAATTACGAAGGTTCCCTGTCTTTTATTGGTAATTCCAATTTTGTTAATATCTCTCTCTATCTCTTTTTTTTTTTTTTTTTTTTTTTTTTTTTTTTTTTCTCTCTCTATCCTCTCTACCCATTTTTTTTTGAGCCAAAGTTTAGGAAGGGGGAGGGAGAAAAACTCACACGGTATCTTAGGGGTTTGAACCTAGGACCACTTGAACCAAAAGACCTGAGTCAATTCATCTAACACCTCATCGGTTACTTTTATCCAATCGTTAAGATTTTAACAATTTTGAGTTTCCAATTAAAGGTTTTTATTTTTTGTAAACAAAAGATTATAGAGGATTAACTTGTATTTACCTCTTAATCCCTAGCTCTAGCTAATGAGTAGAAAATAATAGTCGGTCAGATACAATATTTTCTTTTCTTTTCTCTATGCATATTGGACCGTTGAATTTATGCATATAGTTTATATGCATAAATTAGTTAATTAATATGATAGTTTTGGACAAAATTGTATTATGTTGTATATTACAGTGTGTTTGGATGAAAGAACTAAACTTGGGATTTTGATAAAAATCAAAATTTATAAATTGACATGAACAAATTCCCATGTTTGGATTGTTTAAAAACATAGAAATTTCGCGTGGACAAAAACATGGAATTTGGAGGTCATAAATCCAAACTTTAAATTCTATCTAAAAGTCATCATTTCTCAAATTCCAAAAGAATTTGAGTTTTTTTAAAAAGATAACTTTACAAATAAATGTTAAATTCCGTATTTTAAATTCACCACTCAAACAAGAAACTTTACAAAGTCTATAACATTAATTTCCATCATTCATAAATTCCTTTGCATTTTTAAATTTTCTCATCTAAACAAACTGTTAAAGAATTAAAGTACATGAAGTTTATATAGAAAGAAAAGAAGGGAAAAGATAAGTGAAAAGAAAGAAAAACAAAAATGGCATGGATGGGATTTGGTGAGTTGAACCTGAGGGGCAAACTGGTTATTTGAATCATTAAGGGAATTATATTAAAGTGATTAGCTTCACCTTAAAATAATAAAACAAGAAAATGACATGGGAGAGATTCAAGATCTAAATAGTAAATTAGCTCAGTTTGGATAGGGATTGGACGGCCAAGAGGCAAGAGCTGATGTTAATGTGGGAGTGAGAGCATGTGATTACGGCAGCCCAACACCCACCACGTGTAACCTTTTAGTTCCAATCCGCAGAGGAAAGAGAGAGCAAAGAGCCGGCAAGCCTTAGCTGCTTTAAGGTGTAATGCACTTCTACTGTCCCCTCTTCGATCTTGACTCTCGACTCGCCACGTACTCACCCCCTTCTTCTTTTTCGGTCGGAACCACGTATGTAACATCACTATCGCACACTCTAATTTGGCTTTCTTTTTTATTTGATAAATACCACGAGGTATCCCCACATTCAAAAGGTGAAATTAATTTCAGCTCAGAGTTTGGTTTACTTTTAGCCACAAAGTGTTTTAAACGGGCTTCGAACCCCTGTCATTCAGGCACCAAGTAACTGTCCAATTGGAGGTGGTAGTTTACCAAACTCACCACACCTTATAATTCTAATTTCACATTTTTAAAGACGTTTGATATAAAATAATGACACAGCGCTTTCAACAAAAGAAAACTGAATTTATGACCTAATAAAATTAATCAAATGAAGGTATGAGAAAAAGTACCTGAAGGATGGTTTGCCAAATAACGTGGTACTATAGATTGAATGAAGACAATCTAACAGTAGAGGGGCAATGACATATACATATGTACGTATGTATATGGTATGTATGGGTGAAGTTTGAAGTTATCTTAATTTCCACAACAAACTCTTCCTACTCTAATGAATATTTAACAGAAAGAAAAGAGGGCCTTGTTGGTCCAACTGCGTCCTTAAAATTATGTTAATAATTAACATAAGGGTAGTAAGTATCTTGGGGGTCCATATCCAGGCAGCCACATTTTTGTTGTGCCTAGCTTGATCATGAGAAAATTATGGGGTTGGGAACACAACACACTACATATTATTTATTGGATATAAAATAGGTTGATGGTTCTATTCAGTTTCACCTATAAATTCATTAAAAGAGTATTTTAGTATGAAACTGTATGGATGGAATGGAACAAACTTTTTAAACCTTGGTGTATCTATATGTATAAAGCAAAAGGCAGAGAATGGTGAAATATTCAAAATATCATTAATTAATGCAAACATTAAGAATTGAAATTATTAATTAAATTAGGATAATATGATAAATTCATATTTTTATATTAAAAAAATTAAAATTAAAAGAAAAATCAGATAATGGATCCAATTTTTATGGAACACAACTACCCATTATCTTTTTAAATTTTAAAACAAATTTTAATTTGAGGAATACTCTTGTCGGGCCTATCACACATTGTTTCCCAATTTTTCTGACTTTTTGCAAAAATCATCTATAAATAAAAGTTTGAAAAATAAACATATGAATTGTTGAAAAATAAACGTTTGAATTGTTGAAAAAAAATTAGTGGTGTTCCTCAATAAAAAAAAAAACTATATATATATACATAAATATACTATAAACCACTACCACATGCGCTCTGCCGTCCAAGTGGAAGACGCATGATTGAATTTGAGGTGTATATTGGCAACCAAGTGGAATATGCATTTTGTCAGGCAGAGGCAGCCCCATATGTTTGAAATTTTCTGCATGTACGTATTATTTAATGTTATGACATTGTCGTCGATGATCGTATTGTCTCTGTGGTGTGGTCAAACTCTGGACCTGAATTAAATTCATTAAAGGATCATACCCCAATTGAGTTTTAGATATGATATGACGTGACAGGCAACCTACAAATCCAAATAAACAGGTTTCTTAATGGAATGAGGTGCAAGCTGTCGGAGAGAGAGAGAGAGACTACTAGTTATACCTTTTAATAACTTGGGCCCCATGCATCCAAACCAATCCAAGCTCAGCGTATCAGCCTATTTGTATTTGGTATTTGCCCTGCACTGGACCACGCAAATCAACCACATTTTTCAATTAATAATTCATTCTTCTCGTACAATTAAATTATGGCAGTGGGTGAAAATCGGGGTGGGTATGTGATTTCCATCCCCGTCTCTGTTAAGTTTTTTTTTCTTCCCATTTATGTTTTCGTATTCGCAACATTCATATTGGGGATTACTCAACCTGCCTCATTACAAAAGATAAAATCAATATAAAACTACTTTTTAAAGAAAAAAAAAAAAAAAAAAAAAAAAAAAAAAAAAAAAAAGATAATTATTCAATCCATTCCAAAATGATTCAGATTACTTATTAAAGTAAGTAATAGCCCTTAACCTTTTTAATTACGTCTTATATATATTTTTTTAATCTTTAAAGTGGGTGACATGTCAGATATTTTATATGTTTATTGTAAAAAGAAATTTTATATGTTTGTAGTTTGTTAAACTTGAAATGAAACCATCATTGATTCATACTTAATAATAATATCTGAACTATATAGATGAGTTTGATTGATTCCCACATTTGAGACAAAATCATTCTCAGCGTCTAGCACGAAATGAATAATGGTAATGGTATGGTACAACAAACAAACTAAAACTCGCAAGTTTTGCCTTGACTGGACTGGCTTGGCCTGCCGTGCCGTGCCGTGCCATGTCGCGCCCCTACTACAATATATAAAATGGAAATGAAGCATTTATATATGTCAATGTCACTGTCTCTCTACACACAATTTGCGTCGGGTAAATGGGTTAGTAGCTAGCATTATTATTATTAGCTTTTAGAAAGCGAATGCATATGATTATGATATGAATGGAATGGACAGCTGCATGTGTTTGTAGCTCTCATTCGTTCATTCCCATTATAACACAAAGCTGAAGAAGAAGAGAAAAAAGAAACTAAAAAGTTTAGGGAGAGAGAAGAAATCTTTCAAAAGATGGGGGTGGGCACTGGGCACTGGGCGCTGGGCGCTGGGCACTGGGCAATGGCAGACAAATAAACCCCTCTTTCTTCAATTATTAAAGCGAAGAAGAGGCTGGCTTGACTTAAAAGAAACAATGAGTGCAGTGCATCCATATGCCTTTTTATTTTCCATGACAAGAAAGTTGGAAAGTTTTTTTCCACTTCCATAAGTCTCATTCCAGAAGGATCAATCAATCAGGCAAGCAAGCACCTACGGTACCTAACTACTTACACTAGAATCAATCAAGATAGCGATTGGTAATGAACGAAAGCCACTCCCGCTCGTTCACTCCCGCTTTACTTTACTTTAAGGTGCACGTACGGTATGTAGTTACTAGTTGCTACTAGGCTAGCTCAGGCCTTGGGCCATCTGGTTGGTGACATTGACAACAATCAAAGTTCGAAAATTGAAACACCGTAAGGCTAATGGGGAAGGATAGGAGGATCTTTTCAAGTAACCAAAAATGAAGATGTAGCATACTAGCGTAGGAGGAGAAGGAGGAGCTAGTGTCATTGAAATAGCCATTTTTGTGACCATCACAAGTCCGAGTGCACACTGCCAAGGTTAAGTATTGCATTTCACGTAATTTGATTTGAATCTACGTTACAAAAACAAAATGAACAAATTCACCCGAAAGGTTTTGACTACAAAACAGCTCAATTTTCAGCCCAGGAGGTAATGTTTGGATATAAAACTAACTACAAGAAGCTAATTAAGATCGTAAAACAGTGTTTATGCATATGATGCTGCTGTCACCATCTTCATCAACACAACACGTGGCGGCAGCAGCCTTGCTAAGAAAAGGCCCCTTAATTTAATTCACCATCATATGATCAAATCCTCCCCCACCCTGTAGTGCAGGAAGCCGGTTCACTCCAACGTTTTGCAGCAGTTGTTGCAGCCACCTCCTTGTAGTTGGATCTTCCTGTATTTATGCATCATGCATACCATAATCAAAATAAAATCAAAATGGACTCCCACAGGGCAATCAAACATCCAGTTTAATCTATCTGTCAAATAACTAGACCCTGCAATATCAGCATCTTAAAAGGAAACAAAAAGAATCAATAACAGAGATACTTACACAAAGGAAATTATTAAAGGTAGCCTCTCTTAACGTATCTGGAAGGCAATTTCTTAAAGCATCACAAGCCCTGCAAAACAAAACAACAAAGAACAAACTTATATTATTATAGCCCTAATGGAAAATGTATCCAACAAAAGAGAAAAAAGCCAAAGCTATGAAGAAGAGTTGGGTTTTAGAACCAAACCTTGGATTATCTGACAAGCGAAGATAACATCGAATGATATGTTTCAAAAGGCGTGATGAGGGTTGCTCAGCAAGTGCTGTAACCATGCTCCCTAAAACCCGACCTACTGCAAAAAACCGCTCTGCTGTAGTACAATATAGTCCAAGCCCATATCATCCAACAAAATCTTTTGAACTATAAATGTGGCAACCTGCCGTAACAAGAACATTAGTCAGACAAGTAAGAACTAGCCACATCTACACAAAATGCTACTCTTTAGGAATATACTTCAAAAATAATCAGGAAACTCAACTGTTTTTGACAGTTCACTGCCCATTTCCATAGTGCGAAGGCACAGTGGAATTATTTCTGTTGACAGAAGGAAACTAATAACTTCTGTATCATCAACCTGGAAGAAGAAAGAAAGAAAACGAAAAGGCAATATATAAAAATCATGGAGTCATAAGAGATCTATAAAAATTGAAGTTAAAAGGTGTAAAATGGTATATCATTATCCATTTCTTGTATCTCTGCATGCCTCTACACAAGAGGAGGGATGGAGAATGTGACAGGGATTCAGTGTCTTAATTAAACATTCATCATAGAACTCATGGTTATAAAAGCAACCGTTCTATTTGATTTCAAATGACTTAGGCAGTCTGCATGCAAAATCATTTACCACAACAGTGTGAAAGTGTTCCCCCCAATGAAGGAAATGGTCAAGATAATTTATCCGAAAAGAAGTACCTTCACTAGGGCACCAATGACTCCTAAACTAGTAAGCCTTAAGTACTCAAACGGTCTTGACCTGCTCGTTGTATTGAGAAAAGGATACAGATATAAAGGTATATGAGCTGCAACGGAGAAAAGTTCAGAGGAAGAATAATTTAGAGTTGAATAAATTAATGCAAGTACAAGGAACATGTAACTTTACATGCCATAAAAGATAAAAGGCCAAATTACCATTGAGGAACAACATCCTTGTATCTGGGTGGGAAGCTACACACTGCCAGAAAATTTGAAACATAACAGAACATTGTTAGCGTTAAAGTGGGAAGAATGCATGACACTAACTGAGAAAAACAAATTTGATCTTTGAAGTCTAAGAAATGACCATGGTGAGGAAAATAAAACTAGTAGCATAATCATTGTAACTAAATTTCAAAAGATTGGATTAGAAAGACTGTTGTCTGATTTTAATTGACATGAATATGGACCTTCTAAATAGCATTCATTTTCTCAAGCTTAAAAGTCAGCAACTAAGTTAATTAAAAAATTAAAAATAAGAAAGGATCATAACCCTGTGTTTAACACAAGGAGTTGGAAATGTGCTTCTCATTTGGATGAATGACTAAATCTTAGGTATATAGCTAATAACATAACATTAAAAATGAAACTTGAAACTTGAAACTTGAAACAGGAAAGCACGTGACCTGAAGAAGAGCAAGAGCATTGCAAACTCGATTGGATTGTACTGCAGTCAGATTTGGTGGTGATAGAACTGGGTAAATTGAAACTATCTCCTGCAAGTAGAAATGAAACCAACATCAGGATATAACCCCAATAAGCATCCATCAAGAAGAATAAAAGCCACCAAAGAATCTTGCCTGTGGTAATATAGGCAGAAGATGTGAACATCATATGACAAAAACACACAAAAACATGTGCAGAGACAACAAATTGACAGGAAAATCCAGTTTTTAATTAACCATCCATCTAGACAAATAATTTCAAATACATCTTAACCATCTAAAACTACAAAAGCTACCCAAGTGGCAGCATAGATTGATTCTCTAAGCGATTTCCAGATCCTTGTGTTCATTATTATTTTTAGAAAAATATTCCTCCCGTTGAACTATTGCACCCATAACTTTTTCAGATAATAATAGAATAATAAAAATATGTGAACTTTCAACATTCAACATTTGTGATCAAGTGGGTAAACACAAACCAAGTAGGTTTACCTAAAAAATAGAGAGTCAGCAATGAGTAATAAACTTCTAAAGGAACCTCCTTTAACCAACTTTGTTAAAAAGCTGATATGGATAAATATATGACAGGCATACATGAGAGGCAAAACATGATGGGACTACACTAAGCTGCCAACTTAAGTAGGATGCCTGTAACAGTGCAGCAATAGTTCCAAAAAAATTCCACAACAAAGGAGCCAAATCTAGAAACAATTATCTCTTCTAAATATAAAAAACGCAAGAAATGCAAGTTACCTGTATGAGTGCAGCAATAGTACCAAAAGAATTCCACACAAAAGGAGCCAAATCTTGAAATAACTCCTTGTTCTAAAAAATGAAACCAAAGGCACACAGAGTTTATATCGCAGCATACTAATGTTGTAATATAAATTGCATAGCCACCTAAAGGAAAAAACATGGGCACACATATTTTAGGGTTATCAACTAAGACATTGAACCCATAAGAATAATAAACTTAAATATCTGCTGAAAACAAAAGGCAAGCAAGCTTCCCTGTGATCATAAACATATAACATATATTTTTTGAAAGCAACGCAGGTTCATATTACCATATGGCATATGTATCAAGATACTACAAGTAGTTTATGGGTCGAATGTAATAAAGAAAAGGCTACAATTTTGAATGCAAACTTAGCATGATGCAACTACCAAGCTTCTGAATCAGTTTCTAGCTACAGGAAACAAAGGCACTTTCCTTTTGTTAGTTATAAAATTAGGCAGGCAAGTAAAGCAATAACATTTAAAATAGTCAAGAACATCCAAAACTACTACGCCTCAGACTTGGTCCTTTATGATTGATATAGGAAGTGACAGAATCAAAACTTGCAAAGTTACCTTAGAAAGTTCAAGAAGCGCATTTTCTCGAAGATCAGGATTACTTAGGTCCAGCACCAAGTGCTCTGCTGATGCCATTTTACGATCCTTGTTTGCTTGAGCTCCAGCAATGCTTGGTACTGAAGCACTTGGACCTCCGAATGATACATTCATCGCAAGCGACTGGGGCCGGTTTGCCATTAATGCAAAGACCCTAACTTATCACTACTCACGTATCAAGACAGATTTTAATATAACTTGTGGTTAGTCAAACTGCACCTTGAAGTACTTAATTCAACTGAACAATTAAAAGAGAGTGTAAGTACATAAATAATAGGTCGAAAAAGGGAACCCATTCGCAAAGAGAGAGTATGAGAAAGTCAGATGGCTACCATATATTTTAAAATAACATTACTTTCACAGTGCCTATTACCAAAATAACGACTGTGTATGAATCACCATTATAAGTACATAGAGTGTTACCAAACAAAGGTGACAAAATTGTAATGTTTGGCAATCCACAAAACAAAACCTGCTGCAAATTGAGTAATTTATGCAAAATCTTTTCTCTTTCAGTAAGCTTTTAAAAATAAGAAAACAATTTCTTTGTTCAATATTTCAGCATTAAGGAAAAAAGAAAACAGAACATTCCTGCAAAAATAAAAATGATGAATTTTCTCTCTCTCTCTCTCTCTCTCTCTCTCTCATACACACACATGGAGAGAGAAAACGTTGCATGTTCTTTCCAGCAGATGTTTAACCAAGTGAATATCAACCCAAACCAATTCAAGGTCGAGTTGAATTGTAATCGAGAATTGGTTCAGAACCTGGGCTTGTGAATCACCCATAATCGCTCAGTACCAGAAAAGGATTTTCCCTTACTAATAGTGATTGTGCATTTGAAATGAGGGGAAAAAAGAGCATGGATGTGAAAAACCATCAAGAAGACTTAACTGCTGCAGAATTGTATAAAATGAAGAGACAATTAGGTCACCCGATTAAAATTTAGGGCCAAACAACAGAATCACCAAGCATAAAAGCAATTAAAGATTTGTTAACCAGTTTGAACATGGGAAAATTCATAAGAAAAATGCAACTGAACATTCAAAATAGATTGATGAAACCCATCAACCTTTTCAAACAACTAAAAACATAGATTTACTGTTGGAATCAAAACATCAAACATCACACATAAAATAAAAAACTTGAACGGAGGAGACGATGTGGTTGCCGGTTCCTCACCTAAAGAAAGAAGAGCCTTTGGCGGACAACGGATACGTTTGGTGATCTCATCTCTCTCTCTTTTCTTCTGTGTCGCTTTTTGTTTCTCTGGGTTTGGGTTTTGCTTACGTTACGTGCCTTGGGTTGGGTTGGCCCACACTTAATTCTTCGTGGCGCGGCTTTAAGAAGCCTCTCACTCCAGTGCGGGTCCTTTCAGTTTTTAACGGGCCTTTAGTCACACTGGCATCGGCCCTACTAATTTAAGGGGAAATGAAAACCTAACCAAGCGGTATAGCCGCCCGGCTATACTATTTTTTATATTAAAAAAAGGGGACCCCCAACGATTAGCTGCCATGTGTCAAAAGAAGTACTGTGTATAGCCGTGCGGCTGTACTATTTTTAAATTAAAAAAGATGGACACTCTATCAATTCATCGCCATGTGTCACAAATAAGTATAGCCACCGGCTATACGATTTTTTTTTATAACAAATTCATAGTATGGCCGCCTGGCTATACGATTTAAAGACATTATATTTAAGAAAATCGAGTATAGCCGTCCGGCTATAGTGTTTATTTGAAAAACCGGAGTAGCTACACAGCCCCTATGTGCCACGTGTAAAACCTGTATAGCCGCTCGGCTATACTATTTTACTCGGTGGCACAGTATAGCCGTGTGGCTATACTATTTAAAACAAATAAAAACTCCGATTATAGCCGTCCGGCTGTACTATTTTTTAGAAAAAAGGACTCACGTAGCGATTAGGCGCCACGTGTCAAAATAAGTATAGCCGGCCGCCTATGCAATTTAAATAACCGCGCGGCCATACTATAGGCTTATAATCTATTTGTTTTTATTCGCATGATGATGTTGGGGCTTCAAACAGTAATCTTATATGGTGGAAACCAAACACCAACAACGCATTGTCTGCGTGTGTAAACATATAGATTAAAAATATTAAGTTTTCATGTGAATTAAGTCTCATGGACAAGTCTTACAAAACATTGGCTGATACATTCTCAGTCTCACCTGCAACCGATTTATCAGCTAAAGAAGACACCACTATTCTACGATCTAGCAGAAGCAAGATGAGTGGGGCAAGAGGAATTCAACCCTTCCCATAGAATCCCTCGGATCTTCACTTTATAAAAGGCACCCCGGCAGGAACTTGTCTGGCATATTCCTCGTACTGCAACCCAAAAAACTGTCTCAAGAAATACTCTTCATATGGTATTCTTTGTGCAAAGAAGCGCCAAACTACAAGTGTAAATGCAATTGTTGATATGGGATTACAAAGCATTATCTGTGTGCCCACTGACCATATGAAGAAACCACAGTAACCAGGATGCCGAACAACTCTATAAATTCCATTTGTAATCAATTGGTGATGCTCTGAGTGATGAACCCTGATGAGATGCGTGAAGGACCGACCAGCTGTAATTATTGCCATCTTCCGAATGATTTCCCCTATTATAAGCAATCCAAGGCCCCAGTTGCTGACCCACCAGTGTTCCTTCATACCAGGGAACAAAATATATTCAATTAAGTACTCCAGCAAGGAAAAAATCATTGCAACCAGATAGTTTTTGCTGATCAGAAGAGATTTCAGAGTAACATTTGATTTCCCGTGAATGCCAACTGCTAAAATGTATTCAGAACCGTGAAAAAAGATTATTGCCGCAAACATCTGTGACAGCTGTCTGCAGGCTGTGTAACTGAAGACTACTGCCATGCTTGTTACAAAAGAGCGGATTGATCTTTGGCTCTGGTGTACTGTAATGAGACCTAAGAGGAATAACTGCCTCAATGAAATTCTGCCAATCCTTGTCTGGAAGCTGTAGTGAAGAAATAACGAAAGTTTTTGGGTTTTACTTCAGACCTGGAAAAGTTAAACCACTATGTGATATTGAAGCCCAAAATTGTCTCTCAGCATCACCCCAAACATGCTTCAAGAATGACATATTCTGCACAGAAGAACATTAAAACGGTTAAGAAAAGTTGAGAGACTTCATGAAATTACCAGGATGCTAAAGATCTTATAGAAGCTCTTTCATGGTATCAACTATGAAATCATACATGCATATTTTGAACAAAACAAGAAATGCAAGAAATATGAAAGGAGCCAAGGAACTGCTCAACATTGGGTTTTTGTCCCATGTAAGTCCTAAAAGCCCTAACCCTATTAAACCAAGAATTGCTTCAACCCCTTCCTTCCAATAATTGAGTAGCATTTTTTTCACATAGTTAGTAGTCTTCTAAACACTTGTGTGTAGAGTGTAGACAACAACCAATACCGTATGCATCAAAATGATTTATGATCTAACATTTGAAGTTGCAATCACCTTCAATAAATCTGATAAGGGAATAAAATTTAGGCTTTAAGTTGAATGAAGCATTTTTTTCGTCATTTTATTTTCAATTTCAGAATAACAAGAAAACCTAATGCAGTTTTTCAAATTTCTCTTCTTTTTCTATATTATCAAGCAACCAACCAGAAAACCTTTTTCTTTTCAATTACAAATGCATCAAATCTGACAAATCACCTCCCCTCAGCGAAATACAAAAAAGTCATACAGTGGATCAATCAAATTTCAAAATTCCAATTTTTTTATTTCCTCAGCAACCAAACAGAGGATTATTGTCAATTACCAAAGAGAAAAAGATCATCTTTGAACAAAGATTACCTGATGTCGATTGATTGAAATTATTCTTTTTGCATTCTGAATTACCCTGGTGTTGTTTAGCTCCAGCCTCCGTCAAGTGGGTGAGCTTTCGAATTCCAGCAACAAGTATAATTAAACAAAAAATCAAGTAAGAAGCTCCATATAGGATTTATGGAGGCAATAACAGCTCAGTTTCTTTTTGCTAAGAAGGATCTAAGAGTGGCATGTATGAGAGGATTCAAGTAATTGACTGGAGTTTGTTCTTACCAGCGGAAGGGGGAATTTTCGCCTCTTTGTTTTTGGCGTTCGACGGCAGCGAGAGATGAACGAAAAGCAGAGCGATGGCCGGAGCGGGAGATCTGGCAGGAAGGCAGAGGGCTGGCAGTTGGGTGGTGAGTCTGGTGACGACGGCAGAGGTTGAGAAAATACGAAGACGAGGAATGAGAGAACAAGAGTGATCGTGTAACCGGAGGGACAAGCGTCGTCATTAAAGAAAATAAACTAGGGCACTTTTGGCATTAAAAGAATTCATTCAACCCTCCACATGCTCTCACTTGAAAGCAGGTCCTCACCAGCTCCTCAACGTCAATATCGTGGTCAGGGACCAATGTTAAGCAGATACTTAAATTAGACACTGAAGCTACAATTTGGGGGGTTAAATTTACTAAATTGATTAAGGAACTCGGTAATTTTAGACTGAACTTGTTAAATTAGACACTGAAGCTACAATTTAATCCGAACATCGTGACTCATTGGGGCCTTGAACTCAACTTATTAAATTAGACATTGAAGCCACAATTTAATCCCAACATCGTGACTCTTTGGGGCCTTGAACTCAACTCAATAAAGTAGACACTGAAGCGACAATTTAATCCCAACATCGTGACTCGTTGGGGCCTTAAACTCAACTTATTAAATTACACACTGATGCAACAATCTAATCCCAACATCGTGACTTGTCGGGGCCTTCCCCAAAGTATTCGTATACGCATCATAGGGAGGGTACAGCCTACAGGTATGAAAGCTGGTCTTCTGAACAAGTTCAAGGCTTGGAATGTAGTAATCTTTCGATTCAAGAGAAGAAGAAGATGAAAGCAGTTTCTATTCTTTCAAGTTAAAACTCAATAGCTGAAACTAGTATAGTTTTTTAAAGAAGCAACTTTCAAGTAGTTCCACACCACCACACCACAGCATTAGTGCTGCTCGATTCAAAAGGACCACTTTTTTTAATTTTTTAATTTTTAATTTTTTATAATGCAATTTGAGATTGGGAAATCTACTAAAAAAAAAAATGAAAAAAAAATATAATAATTGAAAAAAAAAAAAAAAAAAAAAAAAAAAAAAAAAAAAAAAAAAGAACAAACAAAACATTGTTTGTTTGTCCACCAAACCAAAGCCAGTACACTAGAACACCATCTCTGAATGCAATATCATAACTTAACAAACAAACATGACAAAAATCATCAGCTACCCCCCTCCTACTATGTTGCAGGAGCCAACTGCTTCAACTTGGCTTGCAAAACTGCCCCAGCTTCATCCGAGATGCTCTTCTTTTTAGAAGCAACCTGCACGTTAAATTGAACTCATGTTTTCTTAAATGGAAATGGAAGTCAACAGCAATACAAAAGGAATCAAGCCAAACAAATTAGAACGAGAAAAGAAAATTCCCAACTCAGAATAATTGAGTTCCTTATGAATAAGAAAGAGATGAACAGCTAAATTATATATCAGATCAGAGCCCTCATTCGGGGGGTCATTCTTCAATCCCCAAAAGCAAACATTTTTAGGTTTTTCCTTTTGCTATCAAATTAAACACAAGCGAAATGAAATATACACAATCAAATCCCCCAAACAATTTTAACCCATTTATTCATTGCACAATTTGTAAAAAGACAAATCCCCAAACCTAGCAGCAGTGACCAAAGTTTAGGTTTTTTATCGCAAAGAAATGGAGTCAGGTACCAGTTATATAATTTTAGAATCGAAGTAGAACAAGTTCTTCACCAAAGTCTCGGCCTTTTGGGAAAAATGTCATGGTTAGGTTTAGAAATCAAACCACAAAATAAATTAATGGAATTAAAATAAAGGGAATTTTACTCAAAATTGAAAAATAAATTTGGAAGAAATTGCAAGTTAGAAACTGATAAAAACGAAAACTTGAGAGCGTACCTCGACAAGCTGGTCAAAATTAGATTTGAGCAAGCTGATCTTACGTTCGCAGTAATCTTTGGCCTGAGGCATGGTTTTCTCGATGAAGTAACCGGTGCCGACGTCGACGAGGACTTGGTGCGCGTCGTGGAGGGTGCCGGGGACATAAAGGGACGCCGTAAGAGGGACGAGCATCTTCTTGCCCTGAGGGCGCAGGGAGAGGTCGTGGAGGGCGGAGGAGGCGATCTCGAGGCGAGTGGTGGCTGTACGGATGTTGTTGAGGGAGTCCTGAAGAAGATTGACTTCCAAATCAGTTTGTTCCTTGACTGCCTTCAACTGCTCCGGGCTCAGCTTCTCCATCTCCGCTCTCACGTTCACGCTCACCGTCTTCTCCATCTCTCTCTGTATTTACTACTCTCTTTTTTCCAACACTGTCTGTCTCTAGTCTAGAGTCTACCCGACTGCCTGCGTCTCCGTTCGATATAAAAAGGATCCCTTTGTTTTTTTGAACTAACCGTATAAGAAATTAATTAAATAATATTGGCATCAAGGAGCCCCTATAGCTCAGTGGTAGAGCGTCAGTCTTGTAAACTGAAGGTCTGTAGTTCGATCCTGCATGGGGGCAACCGATTTTATTTTATTTTTTCCTAATTTGTTGGTCTCATTTATTTTGGTACCTCTAGTCTTCATTTGGTTTTTTACAATTTTTTTAAAATAAATCGAAATGGGAGTTTTCTCAATCACATGGGGTGAAGCTGAAGTTCCGTAGATCGAGGAGATTAAGTGAAAGCGATAGGAGAACTGAAGAAAGAAAATATCTCATATTATTTGTCCTGGCTCTCTCTTTCTCTACCAAAATATCTTGATCATGGACTTGGAGGAGGCTCTCGTCCCTCCCCAATCGTCCTTTAAATTTTTTTAAAAAAGAAATTATTTATATAGAATGAATATAGAACAAGTAAGTAGCTAGTGTACATGCTGTAAAATCCTCCACCTCTTATTTCTCTGTCTGTGTTTTGAAGTGTTAGATCGTCTTATCTACAAAGAAAGAAAGAAAGAAAGAAAGAAAGAATTGGTGAATACTTAACATCAGAAGAAATGGCCGCAGCAGTAGGAGCATGCCTTCCTCTGTTTTATACTAGTGGTTGTGGTTCAAATGCTATAACCAGATGCAGCAGCAGCTCCCCAATTAGATCAACCACAATCACTTCAAATGTTATAGCAAAAGTGTTTCATAATCATGATTACTGTTATAAGGCTAGCAGCAGCATGATTGGATCATGCAGGAGGAGGAGGGTTGCTTGTTATTCTGCTGGTAGTGGTACTAGTAGTGGTGGTGGTATCACAGAGTTTGATCTGTATGAGCTGATGGGGATCGATAGCAGTTGCGATCTATCTGAGATCAAAAGAGCGTACCGGACACTGCAGAAGCGGTGCCACCCGGATATCGCAGGGCCAGCAGGGCATGACATGGCTATCATCCTCAACGAAGCATATGCTCTTCTCTCTGATCCTAATTCACGTTCAGCTTATGATAAGGTATATAAGCTATTAATTAATTTATTGATTAGTTCCCTTTTAATTTTATAAGAAGAAGAGCATGGATATGTATATCTATATGGGTGGTGCAGGAGCAAGCGAAAATTGCAGAGCTTCGAGGGTACTCAGGGAAACCAATATACTCAGTTTGGTTTGGTTCAGAAAGCGAAGAAAGAGCTGTTTTTGTGGATGAAGTCAAGTGCATTGGGTGCTTGAAATGCGCCTTATGCGCTGAAAATACTTTCGCAATCGAATCAGTGTATGGAAGAGCCAGGGTTGTTGGACAGTGGGCTGATCCTGAATCCAAAATCCAAGAGGCCATTCAAGCTTGTCCTGTTGATTGCATCTCGTCAGTATCTTTACTATTTAGTATCTCTCTCTCTCTCTCTCTCAAAAACACATATATAGATACATTTTGCTTGCTTCAATCAAGTTGCTGATAGCAGCATATATATTAATAGGATTGTGGAGCGATCAAACCTAGCAGCTCTGGAATTTCTAATGTCCAAGCAGCCTCGAGGCAGTGTAAGAATAGGCATGGGGAACACAGCAGGTGCCCGTGTCTCCAACATTTTTGTTGATCTCAAAAAATTCCAGACCAGATTCCAGGATGCGGCAAAACAAAAAGCTTCCTCTACACAGACTTCCAGTGTTAGTTGCTAACTTTCCATTCCATTCAGTTCTGTCTATCTAATTCTAATGTATGAATGAGTAGCAATTATTTAGTACGTGTACTGTGTACATGTACATGTGCATGCTATGGTTTCATTCAACTTTCAGGAGACGGACCTTCAAAGAGAAGCAAGACTGTCAGCAATTCAAGCCATCAGATCAATCTCCAACTGGTTGTACTGGAAAACCCCCTATTCAACCTCAGCTCATCATCAGTCCACATCTCTCCAAAACTTTACCCAATCATCCATTGGCCCTACATATTCATCCCATTCCAACCACACGGATATCAGCAACCTCCTCCGAGAGGCAGCGGCTGCTAGGAAACAGGGCAGATATCAGCGGCGCACAAGACCCGTCCGGCCATTAAACCCACCATCATCCAAAGAGGAGGAGGACGGTGACTATTGGAAACCATTAACCAATGCTCTTCCTCATGCAGCAGCAGCAACAGCCTCCCCATCAACTCAGAACAACCCCTCCAACTCATCACAGACTTCACCTGCTCATAAACGACGGAAAGTCGACAAAGATTATAGATCAGTAGAGAGGAACCCCAAGCCCAACCCCATTAGATGGTTGGCTCCAATGGCACCAGCAATATTGATGGCTACCGTTGTTGGTCAATCACAGTCACAAGGAGACGGGCGAGCTGTAGGTAATGGTGGTGGTGGATTAACGGAACATATATATGGCTCTTTTGCATTGGATATAGTCAACAGTTCTTGGTTACAGATCATATTGGTGGCCATCACTTGGTACATCATTGGCACGGTCATTGTGGGACTTGTAGATGCCATTAAAAGCAGGCAAACTTAGGACACATATTTTATAATTATACTAAATATAATAATGAAGGTCTAAAGCACCACTAGCATTTTTTTTACTATGTCCCTTGTGACTACATCCAGCTTTATTATCCTTTCACAATCATTTCTCTTGCAAAAGAATCAGCCAAATAGAATTATCAACACGACATTTTATAAATAGATAGTTTGGTTTATAAAGGATATCTCTGGAAAACACACCAAACACACTGAATAACAAACATTTGCCCACCCCATCCAGTCTGCATAAGAAACAATTAAATGCAGTATGCATAGAAAACATTCAGATACATTAGCTTCCCTAAATCACCTATAAAAGGTCAACGTAACTCCATCCAAACTAGAAGGTTTTGTCTGAAATGAATTACATTTTCAGCAGCAGGGCTTAATAACGGTACTTGGTGGAGTAATCTTTGGGAGCAATGACCAGACCGCGCCCCTTCCTTGCCCCACGATACACCGTCTCAACAATGTCAATGAACTCTTGCTTGTCCTTGAGAGCCCAGTTGATCTTGTTGTTGTTCCCAGTGCCAAGGTCAATCATAATGTGCTTGTTTCTGAAAAAGAACATGACAGTGGATGGGTCATAGAGCTCATACATTGTGTTGAAATCAGGAACCTCCGTGATATCGACAAGGTAAATCACAGCAAAGTTTTTGAGTGTCTCAGCAACTGAAGCAAGCACTTCATCCATCTAATCAACAGGACAAGATAACAAATAAGAAATTAACCAGCAGCATTCAAAAACAGGGTTCAATTCATACAGGGATCAAAATGTGATTATAAATCGTTCTACGGTTTAGATTATATTAGGAGTCAGTTTGGACTATCAAATTCCGAGATTAGAGTAAAATTAACCCAGATTAGTCTACGCAACATTTATTTTCTTCTAATTTCCCTTAAAAGAAATTCCAACTTCCAAGTAAATTAAAAGGTGAAAAAATGTGACATGAACTACCTCAATCTGCAAGCATAGATCAAAGGTGAAAGATTTATACCAGGTCTTCAAGGTATATGAATGAAATAAACCCTAAAGAAAGAGAGCCACATATTTGCTAAAGAATAATTACTCGTTTGTTGTCTATCTATCCTCAAAATTACGAATTTTCTAAATAATTGAATGGCTTAATTCATCAAAAACATAAATCAAAAACAAGAAAAAAGAACAGAAAAAGGGAATTGGGGGTTTAGGGTTAGTGAAAGTTGCAGAGGGGGGAGATGGAACCTACCTGCATACAGGTCTCGTCCCAGTCGTGGCCGAAGCGGATGAGGACGAGACGCTCCTCCTCAGCGAGGATGGCCTGATCGACGGCCCATCCAGAGTGGAGGTGGGGCAGCAAATACGACATCGTTCCTCGCTCTCTTCTAGTTCTCTCACAAGAGCAGTGCCCCGAGTCCCCAACCTTTCTGGATTTCTCTCGCCCTCAGAGAGAAAAATCTACCAATTAATTAACACATTTTTTTGGATTATTTTGAAACTGCCCCCTGAACTTGTATGTTTGTCCCACTTTGGTACCTAAATTGTTTTTTTGTCCTAAATAGGTCCCTAAACTTTCAAAAGTATTTGTAATGAGCCCAGATTGTAACTTGTATTTGTAATGACCCTCCTGCCTCCCCTCCCCTCACTCAGTCCGTCCGTAATCCGTATTTGTTGAATTTCTTTTTTGGTTTAAGAAGAAAACAAGCACATAATTAAGAAGAATGAAGCAAGCAATATTTATCAAATCGAAGGCAATCAGTTAAATAAATTAAATTGAATTAAATGAATGAGAGTTTTGAAAAAAAGGAATTGAATTGAATTTACCTGCATGCAAGTGTCGTCCCAGTCATGGCCGAATCGGATGACGACGACACGTTCTTCCTCAGCAAGAATGGCCTGGTCCACGGCCCAACCTGAGTGCAGGTGAGGTAGCAAATACGACATTATTAATATTAATTATATATGAATGTATTGTATATCTGATCTCTCTCTCTCTCTCTCTCTCTGTTTCTCGGGAGCACAGGAGCAGAACAGGAGGCGGCCCTCAATGATGGATCTCTCTCTCATCTCATTTACAATATAAAAGGAGGAAATCACATGCCCATGGTGCCATTGTGGTGTCGTGACTGACTGATTGGTGACGACGATGGAGGAAGTCTCCAGAAGGATCTTGACCTTTCACCTCTTTTCTTTTTTCTTTTTCATAAAATTAAAAGAATAAAAACAAAATGGGTGGCCTGGCGTGGCCCAGCCATATTTAGCCACGTATACTTATGTAGTGGGAGGGAGGGTGAACAAGTAAATTTTTCAGAGTGAACTCTGGAACACCATAGAAGCAAGCAAGCAAGCACACAGAGAGAGAAAGAGAGAGAGAGAGAGCATAACCATGGCCCAGACCCACACAGACAGACGAGACAAGACAAGAAATTAACCCTTTAATTAATTCTCAAACGCTGAGCTCAACTCAATCACTCAATCACTCATTTCTCAATTCTAAAACTATGGCCTCCTCCTCCTCATACGAAAAATACGACATCAGAAAAAGAAACCCAAATCCAAAAGTGGCAGCTCTTCTAGTCATCGACATGCAGAACTACTTCTCCTCCATCGCCCAGCCCATCCTCCAAAACCTCCTCACCACCATCCGCCTCTGCCGACGCGCCTCCATCCCCGTCATCTTCACCCGCCACTCTCACAAGTCCCCCTCCGACTACGGCATGCTCGACGAGTGGTGGCGCGGTGACCTCATCTTCGACGGCACCCCCGAATCCCACCTCATGCCCGAGCTCAACCCCGACGCCCAGGACCACGTCGTCCACAAGAACACGTACAGCGCCTTCAGGAACACGCGCCTCCAGGAATACTTGCAGGAGAGGGGCGTGGAGGAGCTCATCGTCACCGGCGTCATGACCAACTTGTGCTGCGAAACGACGGCGCGTGAAGCCTTCGTTAGAGGCTTCCGAGTGTTTTTCTCAACTGACGCGACTGGGACGTCAGATCCGGAGCTGCACGAGGCCACCTTGAAGAACTTGGCTTACGGGTTTGCCTACTTGGTGGATTGCAACAGGCTTGAGGGGGGACTTTTTCCCAATCAACAACTTACTTAACCACCTTCTCCAAACTAAAATGAATGTTTATGTACTGTAATCGTCTCTCCCTCTCTAAAATTAGTGTGTAATAATGTATGTTTTTTTTCTTTTTTGGTTAATTTTATTTTCCCAGGAACTTTGTTTGTCTTCTATTTTGATGTGGGCTTTTTATTTATTTAATAAAAGGTTGAAGGAGATCTCGCTCGTGATGGATTCGGTTGAATTTTTATTTTACGATTAATTTGAATGGGTAGAGATATGGGCCACAGTGAAGCATCTGCATTCAAAAGTTGAAGCCCAGAGAGAGGGGGACGATCCAAAAAAGAAAAAGAAACGTGGCAAGCATTATTTTATTAGCAATAGGCCAAAACCATGTGAAGTTGATAAGAAACCGGACAATTGTAGGAGCCAGCCATACCCTGCCTGCAGTGCAATCTCAAATTCCCTCTATTATCCTAATCCTATCCATCATCAACAACCAACCTCAGACAAAATCTCATCAAAGTTTCAAACTTGAAACCCGAACCAATCCCCATCTCCTTCGCCCCTCACTTTCTCTCCCTCTCTCCGAAAGATTTGGTGGCCATGGAGACCCTTTGTTCTTCTTCTCTTTTGACTAAACAGGCTCTTCCTTTATCTTCAATCAACTTCGCAGGAGCTGGCTCCGTCTCAGTCCCTGGCTTCTCTTTGCCTTCCCTCAAGACTCGAGCTTTTCCCGTCTGTATCAGAAAACACAGTGCAGTTGGGATCCCAAGGGCCTCTGTCGCTGTTGAGCAGCAGACCCAGAAGGCCAAACTGGCGCTAATCAGAATTGGCACCCGAGGGAGGTACACTTTTCCTGTTATCGCCGATTTCTTACTTGTGGGTTTGCTCCTATTTCAGAATGTAACTTGAATTTAGCTCAATGACACCACTCATCTCTGTTTTCTTTTTGTGAATTGCTACATTTAGTTGTGCTCAATTGCGTCAGTAATTGGTTAGATTTCTTAAAAGTTTTAATCTTTCTCAAGGTTTTTCTTAGAGCAAAAGGTGTTATTTTAATTGTCTCTTGCGGTTGATTGATTGTATATGTCTCAATATCCTTCATTTTACAGTATGTATTAGTTTCATATTGATGGGTTTATTTTCAAAATCTTGTGCCATATGTTTCTCTATACAACTTATATGTATTTTTCGTGAGTTATTGATACTCTTTCTGGATATAGGATAGCCCACTAGCACTTGCTCAGGCTCATGAGACTAGAGACAAACTCATGGCATCGCATCCAGACCTAGCTGAAGAGGGGGCAATTCAGATTGTAATTATAAAAACAACAGGTGATAAAATACTGAGCCAACCCCTTGCGGACATTGGTGGGAAGGGCTTGTTCACCAAGGAAATAGACGAGGCACTAATCAATGGTGAAATTGACATTGCTGTCCACTCAATGAAAGATGTCCCTACCTACTTACCTGATAAGACAATTCTTCCATGCAACCTTCCGCGAGAGGATGTCCGAGATGCGTTTATATCCTTAACTGTATCTTCTTTGGCAGATCTGCCAGCTGGGAGCACTATTGGTACTGCTTCCCTGAGAAGAAAGTCACAGATACTCAATAGATATCCATCGCTCAATGTAAGCCACCATATTGTCAGGTGTCACCTTTACATACTTCATATTTAGGAGATTGTATGCTAGTTCATTTCATATTGCTTTATTCAAAGTTGAATTTGGCTTTCGGGTGCATTTAATGGAGCCGCCGGGGAGCAACCTTTCGAGCTATGTGCTAGTTTTTGAAAGTCATGGGCTTGTGTTTTTCCTAGGCCATTGGATGGATTCCTGACATGTTCTGTTGCTTCTCATTCATCTTTTGGTTAATATCATCTTGTAGGTGCTAGAGAATTTTCGTGGTAATGTCCAGACACGGCTGAGAAAACTCAATGAAAAGGTAGTCCAAGCAACCTTATTGGCCTTAGCTGGACTCAAACGCTTAGATATGACGGAAAATGTGACTTCAATTCTTTCACTAGATGAAATGCTTCCAGCAGTTGCACAAGGGGCAATTGGAATTGCCTGCCGAAGCAATGATGATAAAATGGTGCGTTTCAATCTTCACATTTCTATTCTGGAGCTTCCATATTGAATGATATTTTGCTTTCATACTAGCTGGTTAAAATACTTCATTAAATGGGCCAACGATACACTTGTGCATTTGTCTAGAAGTGTTATACAATTGCTAAAGCGAAGCAATTCTAAGCTAGTTTAGTTTGAATGAGTTGTAGCTTGAAAATCATGGATGAATAGAATTTAAGCAACAACAAAAAACTAGTGATATAACCTTTTCTCTGGTGATTGAATATTTATACATATATATATATATTTTTTATTTCTGTCCAAAACATTATTCAATTTTTTGTTGGTCTTTTGCTTGCAGGCTAATTACATAGCCTCATTGAATCACGAGGAAACAAGGCTAGCAGTTGCATGTGAGAGGGCGTTTCTTCTGACCCTGGATGGGTCCTGCCGGACTCCCATTGCTGGATATGCTAGCAGAGATGAGGATGGTAATTGCATATTCAAAGGGTTGGTGGCTTCCCCTGATGGAACCCGTGGTATGCTCATGCTCATAGTCTGAGGAAAATTCACTCAGTTGTCTAAGTCTAACCTTATTCTCCACTGTAAACTTAAAAAAGAAAGAAAAAATATCTGGCACTAATTATGCTTCCCTGTGTCTATATTTCAGTACTGGAAACTTCGAGGAAAGGCACATATGCTTTTCAAGATATGATCAACATGGGTAAGGATGCAGGCCAGGAACTTCTTTCACGAGCAGGTCCTGGTTTTTTTGATAGTTAAAAGTGAGACGTAATAATAGAGAGAAAGCAGCGGAAGTCAATGCCTCGCTCTCGTATGCAACTTTTTGTGATTGCAACCAACGAGTTCATTTATCATCCTTTGGGCCATCTGTTGTGTTATTAGTATTTTATCTTTTGTTGCTAGAGTGTGTGTTGGTACAATTTGAAGAAGGATCATTGTTTCATTGATTGTATATTAGAATTTAGAAGAGAAATCAGTGACACGATAGGCTTAGCTTATTTGTTGTTGTCTGAGATTAGTTCATAATAGCCAAAATTTTGTGACTCTCTCTCTCTCTCTCTCCCCCTATTCTGTGCAAGTTCACCAAGGCTTTCGATTTTTATTTGTTTTTCTTTCTTTCTTTCCTTCAACTGCTTGAAAGTTACAAAAATTACCACTTAAGGACTTGAAGTCTGTCTCTGTGTGACTAATAAAATTGACTAGGACTTTACAAATTCCAAAGAATCGTAAAATGTTGTATTTTTATTGACATGAAGAAGAGGGAGGGAGGGAGGGAGAGTGGTTAAATTTAAAATGGTTTAGATGGGAGTGTCCTATTAGCCAGGAAGTGTTCAACCAGGAGGAGCGACTGCTTTGGTGCAAACTCCGGAACTTGGTGACCTGCTCCTCTAATTGTCACAAACATAAGCCCATCGTACGCCACTCTCCACCCGCCAACCTATCAAAATTTGAGATAATCAATTCAAAAACACGATCAGTAAACAATTTATTTTATTTTAGCATTCTGGACTGAGTTAGCAACAAGGCAGGAACCGATGAGAGTACCTGTTTGTTGTTGTACCAAGGAGTCCAATCTTCATTAATCTTCAATCCCAGCTTTTTCAAGGCGTATCTTGTTGATGTTACTGGAACTCTCCCATCAGTATCCCCACTACACAAATGTCAATGTCATGTCACCAAACCAAACGCAGCATTTCATTCATTGAATTCATCCTGCAAATAACATTAGTACGACAGCAAAGCTACCTGTAAATCCAAACCCGGAGGCCACTCGCTACAAGCTTTCCAATCACCGGAAGAATGGAGGGTGGTGCATCCTCCCAGAAGGTGATGTTATCACTGCAGTGAGTCCATGGATAGGGAATTTTGGTGACATTGGCATGCAGTGCCTTTTGAACATCCGGCCTATTCAAATACACATAACTGTATTCTGATGCACAAGGGTCATAACCTGCTGGTCTCTTGTGCCTTACATCCTGCAAATTTTCACTCTCAATCTCATTCATTTTGCTTTGTTTTGTTTTGTTATGTAATTATACATGTAATGGGAAGGAAGGGAACTTACAAGTCTCGAAAACAGAGTGGGGGCGCCTTGCATGGTGCGGGATTGCCTGGTAGCGGTGGTGGCGCTGCTGTTGTTACTGAGGCACGTGGGAGTGTACAAGCTGTACATGTCTATGATTTCGTAGACATCAAAGTACTCGTCTATCAGCTTATTACACAGTCTTGATAACTTTTTCTCACTGAAGTCGCATTCGTTCTTGATATCCTGGTACAAGCGATCAGAGATGACCGCATGATCCCACGCGTAATCAATCATTCCCTTCTGATCTGTTTCATCGTCTATTACTGCATTCCCAATCTGCATATTCCATTGCGTGCAGTCTTCATGTTCATTTGTGTAAACAAACCAAAAACATGAGCAAAATATATATATATATATAGTAGATGATAAAAGCTCACCATGAATCCCTTCAAGTTTATATAATTCTCCTTGGACAGGTTCTGGTTTCTGTCAACGATGAGCTCAGAAAGCTGTGGAACATAATGCCCTGTAAAATGCATATATATAAAAAAGGATAGATGTATAGTTAATTAAAGTTTCATGATACTAAACACAAGCTAAAACATAAATAAATCAAATGAAGTAAGCAAGCAAATAATAATTAAGAGCTTCCATTGTAATTTGTAATTCTACCTGCATAGCTTTCTCCTGCAATATAGAAGTCATGAGACTTGTATTCTGGAAACCGTTGAAACCAGTTGATGAGAAAGTTGTAAGAATCCTCAGCTGTAATTTTATCGCCAAGTTGCCCGATATCTTCACTGGTATTCGTGTAAGAAAATCCCACTCCCACGGGAGACTCCACAAACAATAAATTGGCAGCTGAAATTTACACACAACACAGAAAAAAAAGAAGAAAAAAAAGGAGATCATTATTAGGAAAGAAAATACAAATGTTGTTGTCTTTAGAAAGTTAAAATTCAGCCAACCATTGTTCCACGTGTAAGGGTTGAACTTGAGCTTCGGTTCGCTGCCCTTTTGAACGAAGAAAGGGCCTAACTCCTCTGTTGCTCCGTACCCAACTGATGAACATCCAGGCCCTAACATTTTTGAGATTAATTCGTGAACAAAGACTCAGTGAGTCAGACATTTCATTTTTCCATAAATCGTTAACTTTATTATTTAGTATTATTTATTCAGTTGTTAATACAAGTTACATATACAATTGCATTTATATAATATAATCATTTTAGGGTTTTCACTTAAAAATATGATAATAATAGAATACACTATATGTATCTGTTTGGTATTGTTTATTTGGAGTGATAAGTAATTTATTAAAAAATTTGAGAAGACTAACCCGTTTCGTAAACTATGAGAAAATAATTTATTGTTAAAAATTGATGTGAAAGAAAACTATAATGAAAAGCAGCTAACGAGGTGGTTTTATTTTTTGACTATACAGTAATCAGTTTCGAAGAGGCGCTGAGTTTAATGATTATGCGGGAATCAGTACCAACAACACTTTTAACAAAAAATTTACCAAACACCAAACTGCTTTATCTTACAATTGATTTCTCTCACAACAAATTTGACAACGATTATTTTCACAACACATTAATGCCAAACTGAATATCTCCCTTCTTTTCAAATTTTATTATTCTTTAATGGAAAAAGTAGGGGTATTATTAGGTAGAAGAAGACGGAGAACAAGTCAAAACAATCATTATTATATATTATATTATATTGCTGTTGAAACTATTAATATTCTTTGTGATATATATATGTTTTCACTGAGGGATCTCTCAAATAAACTTATTTGAAATACACCGTTATAAGGCCCGCTCTGTATTATATTTCACTAATCCAAACTGTCTATTTTTTAGATAATAATTCAAAGATCATCTCTACAAAAAATCACTTGAATCCGATATCATTTGACCACTCAATTGCATTATTGAAATTTTAGTACTTTCTTGAAACACCGTATTCAATGATTTTGTAGAACACAATTGGATGTAGAAACGGTTTCCGATTTGTCTAATTATTTGTAAGGATGATAAGTGAATATAAACTTAACAAATGGATGGTTTGGATAGTTGAAAAAAAAATCTTAGGGGCCCTAAAGGGTGTCCCTCAAATAAGGATCCCTCAATAAAAGGGGATTATATATATATAGTTATTTTTTTATTTGGATGTCCGCACGATATTATCGTGCAGATACTATTGTAAATAGACATGAAAGCAAGGATGGGTAGTACAAAATACATGACGTTCATACAATAATAACGTCCAAATGTCCGCATAAGAGAATTTCTCTCTCTCTCTCACTATTGTAAATAGACATGAAAGCAAGGAGGGGTAATACAAAATACATAGCGTTCATACAATAATAACGTCCAAATGTCGGCATAAGAGATTCTCTCTCTCTCTCTCTATATATATATATATGTATTGCCTTACATTGCATACGCAATGTATCCTTCTATTTATTTAATATCGTTTATAGGAGGTTTACAAATTTGTATTCGGTTAAAGGTCCCCTTCTAATTGGACCCATTCATATGAAAGACAAATATAAGCGCATAATTATTAATATGGAAAACAAATTTGATGACAAGGACGTTGACAAATATACAATAAAATATGAAAAACTCAATTTCATTATAGATACAAGTTAAACAGTACAGATCATATATACTAATCTACCATGAAGATAGTAATAATCATATTTGATTATGACAGGTTGTTATTGTATTAACAATTCCAAGTGAGACTATATTTGGGGTAATTCTGCTGATAAATAGCAAGAAAATTAATAAGAAAATAAACTAAAAATCTTCAGGATGCAGCAAAGCAAGATGATATGAAATTTTTTCCACGAAAAAACAAGTTAATTTATAGGGTAAGAATTTGAAGAATTTGTGGTAGGGAAGTAAGAGAATTAGGTATGTACCTCCGTTGAGCCAAAGGAGGAGGGGTTTATCTTGAGGGTTGTTGATTGCTTCAAAGAACCAATAGAAGAGCGCTCTTCCATGAGTTTTGTTGACGGTAACATATCCGGCAAAGTGCTTAAAGCTCACCGGAGGCTGACCAGGCAGTCCACTCACTTGGTCTGCTTTTTGTTGTTGTTGATGAGCTGAAGGTTCATGATGATAATGAAATCTGCCGGCTGAAGTTTGTGTAGAAATGCTAAAAGTAAGCGAAAGAAGAAGAATGTTCAAAGGAAATATAAACGAAGACAAAGCCATTAATTGGGTTGGGACATTAGCTTTCTCTATCTATCTATATATATATATATATATATATGTGTGTGTGTGTGTGGATAATGGATCGATGAGGCACTCAGTCAGTCACAGGCACGTGACCAGTAGTATTGCGACTGGTCCAAAGTGTAAGGGACCGATGAAAGACAGACGAACAGAAGAAGCCATGTCCATATATATATATATATATATATATATATATATGTATATATGGAGAGTGTGGTTTAAATTTATACAGTAGTGAATGATCCAAAAGACAGATAAGAATTGTCATCGTTGATGATATATGGAGTGCCCTTGTTCACCAAACTACAAAAACATATATATATAATATTTGTATTACTTGTCTTTTATATTTTGAATTTCTTGCTTGCTTACATTTGAACCAAAGGGTAGTGTGCATCTTGGACTAGTCATTCGCAGCCATGAACTAAAAGGCAAGCGTGGGATATTAAGGGATCTACTTTATTTACATGCACGCACGACATCTAGAAGCGATCGGAATACACTTAAATAAATATTTATGTGAAAATTCCTCTATATTATTTATTATATAAAATTAATTAGAAGGATCAAAACGGTAATTTGATTTGATCGATGTGAATTCATTCAATGTTATGACGGAGAGATTTGCGGTTGGCTGAGTCATTTGCTTTGAATTGTAACTTCATTTTCTGACCGTGACATAATACTATTATACACTATTTGATCTGACCAAAGGTGGACAGCTAGTTACAACTTACATTACGTACATTACATGTATAAAAGCAAATATATATGTATATGTAAATCCCAAAGGAATGCTCGAAGGCTCAAAGTCAAAGCCGACAAGGGCCGGCTTGAGTGCCTTGTTAGCAGTATTTCCGATCAATAACACAATGATATATGAAAAAATTATCATATGTCACACGTGCCATTGCGTTATATTGACCAGGTAATAACAAAAAGTCATATCTTCGTTGCATAAAAGTGTTTCTCCATTTTGTGATCTCTTGAAAGTGGGTCGTGGGTCAAATCATCCATCCCAATCTATTTTCTCGTCTCGGGTTCCAAATTAATTAAAAACGTTAAATATATGACTTTCTTAGAGCACTTCTAGCGGGGGGGTCTTTTGTCATGGCAAAAGGCAGCCCAGTCTTAGAATAATGCCCACATCAATAAAGGCTAGTTTGGGCAAGAATGGGTCCCAGTTACTCGGGTCAATCCAAATGCAAGAATTGCTTGGGTTGCTGCTTAGGGGCATTGACATCATCATGATGTCAGCAACCAATTGAAATACCAAAAACACTATTAACAAAATTAAAGAAAAAAAACCAAAATTTTCAAATTTTTATTATTATAAATACCTAACCATATTCTTCACTTCACACACCAAAACTCTATACAAATTCATCTCTTCATATCTCATGTGAATAGTGTCTACCCTTACTTGTCTTTCTTTTTTTTTTTTTTTTTTTTTTATGCAAAAGTTTAGGGGGAGGGAAGGCTACTCCATCTCAAGGTCAAGGCATATCAAAACCTATTTGAGGAATTATAGAAGGGTCTTAGCCCATTTTTCGGTTAAAAAAGATTACCCACTAAGATGGATTTTCAGTAGCGAGATTCGAATCTAGGCATAGATAGCAAAGAAAAAGATCCTTACCAACTCAACCAACTCTCGTCGGCAGTGGAACTCGAACTTGCCCTTGCTCTTTGTCATGACACAATTGATGGAAGTACTCTTAATATATTATTTTTTAAAAATAAAAATTTCTTTTATTTGCTGATGGCTATATATATTCAAGGATGACCAAGTAATAAATTAGCTGTAGCGCTAGCGCATGACATGTTGATTGAAACAGTTGCATAATTTGCCAAGATCGTGAGAGAGGTTCTCTCGTCCATACATGCCAATGCCATCATTGCCATGTATAATTCTCTTCCAAGAATAAGAGCACAAGAAATAGCGATCGATGCGATGGTCCATAATTATTTTTTAGGTATGGAAGGAAAGCGCAGAACATATCAAAATGCGACAGATGGCAGCTTCTTGTTCGCCAAAAAGTGTCTGATGATCGCTTCGGGGCAAATGTGGGCACTTTGGTTTGGTGGCCTGCGCCTCACACGGTCAAGAAAGTCAACCCATCATGCCCAATGCTCCACCCTCCAACCTATATAATATATATATATATATATATATCATTTAACATGTTAATTATTGCGTCATTAATTATTAATTCCAAATTAAATTGTTTTAAGATTATTAGAGAGTTAAGAATACTTATTAATAATAGTAATTACCTCTCTGTGAGGAAACAAATAATCAAAATTAATATATAAATAATACAAGGCTTCCTGAACATGGATAGGGTAATGCTAATGCACGCACCTGCAGAAGATCCATGGACAGGCTATTTTGGTTACATTTGCATGTAAGGCTTCCTGAACATCTGGACGATTAAAGTATGTTGTTGCATAGTTCTTTGTACACGGATCATAACCTCCTCCTCCTCCTCCTCCTCCTCCCGGCACTGGCGGACCTAGTAAGGCGCAAGGAGGTGCAACTGCACCTTCTCTCGCCGGAAAAACCATTGTAGGTGCTTCAAATTGCCCATTTGCTCAACTGGTGTACAGATTACCTTATTTCCATTTTCAATATTTAAGTAAATGTCTTTGTCCTTTTACTTTTATTTATTTTTACATTACTCCATTTACTTAAGTTTACAATGTAAATAAGGAAGTACCCCCATTTGGATTCAAATAAAAATACTAGAAAATCAAATTCCCACCAAATCAAAATATGAAAATTCGGTTTTAGTGCAAAATACGATTTAGGCTAAAAATGATAACTCTTTAAGTCAATATATACTTCATATTAAAATCTCATAAAATCAAGTTTTCTTATTTGATGTGTAAGGAATAAAAGCCGCCAAAAATTATCTTGAGAAAATAATTATTCCAAAAAACCATTTTTTATACTTAGTCAATATTGCACCTCCGCTAAAAAATTTCTAAGTCCGCCAGTGCCTCCCGGTATTCTCCGCAAAATCTCTTGATTTCTTGTTCTCATCGAATATAACCTCAGCCACACGTATCCTGAGTACTGCTGGAATTTCACGGGAGGCTGCCCCGGCAGCCTTTTCACTCGGTCAGCCTCTTGAAGTGCCTTAGTTTCTGGGTCCAGTTCCCACCACGACGACGAGGAGGAGCAGGCAACCCCAAAAATGCATAGAGAAAGGCACAAAAGAAAGGTCAAGAGCCCCATTAATTAATATTATAGCTAGCTAGTAACTTATAGAGATTATTATTGTATGGCTCCCACGTTCTATTAGAGAGATAGTACGCAAGTTGGTATCTCTATCATTTTTCTTTATATAAAGGCCAGCAAAAGGCTATAGGTTGGTGACAGTCACTTGGGTCCTATAATTAAGGTTTGTGGAATATGGACGGACGGATGAGAATTTTCACAAGTAAATGTTTTGCGCATTGTAATTCATGGGAAGATAGATACATACATAGTCATACTCATACATACAAATACATAAAGGTGAAGCTTCTAATTCACACAAATGTTGTTAACAATGTATACATATCAGTCGTCTTCACCCTTTAGGCCTGTTGTTGGATTCAAACGCTTGTTCTAATTCTAAAAGCTCTAGAAGCTACTCATCTTGTTTCTTTTTCTTTCTTTTTTTGACCTCCTTCTCTCTAAGAAAAGAAGTCTCAATTCAATGAAACAGAAACGAATGGGAAGGACCATAGTAAAACAACAAAATAGGAAAGGCCTTGTGAATGCTATTTACGGTTTGGACATTCCATTGTGTGAGCACGTGGTGAAATTGACGGAGCCAAAGCCTATATTTCTCACAGAGAAGTGTATGCATCAAGATTTCAGTAAATAAAGATAACCATATTCATCAGGTAATGCTAGTCTTGATAATTTTCAGCTTTTCGGGCCTTCAAAACTCAAAATGAAACCAATCAAGAACCAAAAGTAATACACTCATGTTTAGAATAGAAGAGGGAACCATCCTGCATGGACGTAACACATAAAACACAAGATGCCAACTTTAACAAAACTTAGCTCCACCTCCTTCGATCTTCCTCCTCGTCAACAGGAGTATACCACCCTGGCCGACGCTTAGAGTTGCTCAACCTATAGTTCAGAAGAACTTCTTCATCAGAAAGTGCCCTTGTAGCCACCAGAACAAGAGTCTTCAAAACAGGAACATCTGATCCGCCATTTCTTGAACCCCCAAGTTTGAACCAAAAGCTGCCAAATCTCTTCATCTTCACTTCTTCTGCATCTCCAAATACCACATTTGGAATATAGACTCTCATTTCATTTTCGGTCAATGGGAAGTCATAAGGGCAAATCATAACATTTGGGGCCATATCCTTTGCAGGGTGGTTAGCAAAATGAGCCAAAGCTAATGGGTTCCTCCCCTCTAGAAGGTTGCCCCTATTTCCCAGTTGCCTTTGATCCAAAGGCTTACTAAGGAGTTTCCAGAACCGGTCTGGACCTTTCTCACCTCCCTGCATATTAGGCCTGATTTCTGGTACAGTTAAACCATCCCAAAAATCACGGGTTTCACCCCCAGAACCCCAAGGTTGTGCATTGATCACAGTCCCGTCATACCTTGTGATCAGATATGAGTTTTGTGCATTAACTCTTGGGTACCCAGGAATGTAGCGGTAATAAGCAGGGGAATATATTACACCAGGGTACACAGCCACCACAGCACCAACATCACATTCGCCATTTAGAAATAAACCTTGGCCTGCTTCCTTGTGGGGTATTTGAGAAGGTTTGATATCAAGCGTGTAGCCAATGAGATCTTTTAATCTTTGAGAGACATCAGCACGCCCTAACGGCCTTGTCTCGGGCACATCTGTGCTGAAAATCATAACTAATCAGTACTGAATAAAAAAGCCATAAAGTAAAAACAGAAATCTTCAGCAATCAGAAAATCAAAGAGTGGTCATTTCTTGTGCTTAAATAATTAAGGGGAAAAGAAAGCAGAATTGAGAAGAATGATTTAGTTATCACATGGATTTATTTAAATAATCAATCTCCCAAGAAGGCCCAAATGCGGAAATTTATTTGCTGCTTCTTCAGCTATGACATGACTCGCACCTAACTATTTAGGCGACACCCAGCGTTTCTCTAAAACCGACCAAAACTAAACTGAACTCTACTCACTGGGATTAGTCTGATGAGACGAATTAATTTCATTCAATACAGCAAACAAGTAAAAGAACTAACATCACTTAAGTCCACAAAACATTAAACTTCAACTATTTTAACCACAGGTCGGGGAAGTCCGAAAGTGTACCAGATGCAAGTTAAGGTCGAATTCAAACTTTCAGAAAATTGCTGAGAAGAGATGAATAAGATTGGCAAAAAGAAAGAAAAAACCTCACCATGATGTTTAACTGATGGAGTATTCCTGCCAATAGCAAAACTGAGACCGCTTTGTCGAGGAGCAGGATTTGATTGTTCAGATGATTCAATTCCCTCATTTATCTTCTTAACATCAGGGAGAAGAAGTTTATCCATAGACATGCAGAAGCTCTTAATTTGGAGATGAATGTTTTCTTGGACTTGCTTCTGTTGATCAGCAACAGGGGCTTTACTAGCCATGTCAATGATCTCATCCACATCTGCCTCATCAGCATTCCTTCCCAAGCGATTGTAGCTGGATATACAAGTTTTTCATAATCAACATCCAAGATAACTCAAAAGAAAAAGTGCTGCAGCATGCAAAATATCAGAGTGGGAAAGGTAGCAGCACCTATATTGACAATGAAGCTGCATTGAAATTCAACATTGAAATTACTTCAAATTTAATATCGAATTGTCGGACTAGGTTTATAACAAGAAAGTAATGTAAGCTTTTTGCAACTGAAGGACTTCAATGGTGAAAACATTAATAGTGGGCTTTCATATCGAAGATGCTGATGTGACACCAACCTGGTATATAGGAAGAGACGATTAATATCTGCTTCAAATTGTAGTTGCCTTGGATTCTTAGAAAGCATGGAATTTTTGGCAAGAGTCTTCACAAACTGAAAATTAAAAAGGTCTAAAAATTAAAGTGTGATAAGACACTGTTGATGACAACATTATAAATTGAACAGACACACAAGACAATATAGCATGGTGTAATGCGGTAGCCGTTACATAAAGAACAAATTCCAACAAGAATCGAAAGTGTTTAAGCATGTCTGTCTCATTAAATTCAAGCACATTATTTTCTTACTTCTCTTATTCTCTCCCTTCCCGGCGCTTAATATCGGTCATTGTAATCCAATTCCAACTGGGCAACCAACCACTAGGAATCTGAATCTCAAAGAAAGAGTAGAGTTTGCTTCTTTAGTCCTAAGGTGCAAGTATGCACCTTTTAAGAGGCTTGTTTGCGAAAGTGCCTAAATTCCTCAAACCGTGTGGATATTATCATGGAAAACTCACCCCAATCCCAACCACTCCCCGAATTCAGAAAAGAAGCATTCCAAATTTATTTATTTAGAGACTAGAAATTGTAATGCGTAAACAGAGAGGAGGAAAAGGAATGTTAAGGAAATGGATAGAGAGAGAGAGAGAGAGATGCATATTGATATTGTTGTTACCTCCTGAAACTTGTGGAAAAGAAAAGCCATTTCACTACTCAACAGCAGACTCAGTAGAGAAGACGATGGAGGATGGAGGAAGCTGCTCTCCTCTCCCAGCCCAACCACTGCGATGCGACTGCAATTCCTACCTGTTCTACTTCATTTGGAGGCTCTTCTACAGAAACCAAACCTGCCAGTTACCAAATCTAAAATCAATTGGGTGGGGCATCGGATGAAAAACAAATTGGGCTGTAAAATCAAAATCTTCGTGGGCTTTCCTTGCATAAAATTATAGGGCCTCTCCTCTCGATGGACAGGATAGACGGACTTACTGACTGAGGCTTTTAATCACCTTCGGTCCAAGTCCAAATCCAAGACCAACCATAATCAAAACTCTCTGTTTTTTTTAGCTAGTTTTGTTTGTTAGGAGAAATAATAAATAGCATTTCTCAATTAATAAAATAGGAAAATGCTGTACTCTTTCTATTTTCTCTTGTTAGATTACAAATGAACAAACATGTATTTTTTCTTACTATTTTAACTCAAGAATACCCTCATCATATTTCTTAACACTTGACACGTGTCTATAAGTATTGTTGAAATTTTTGTGAGTATTTCAAAATATAATTAATTTATTATTTGATTTATTTAAAAATAAAATTATTTACATATTTATATATATATATATATATATTGAGAATGAAAAACTTGTTTTTTTATATATAAAATTTAATTGGACGTTTGTTTTAATGAGCCCACAATTGCTATTTTCATGGATACTTTTAATGATATAGTTGATGATAGAATAATATATATAGTTTAATTTGTTTCTTGATGAACATATATAGTGTACTAATTAGTGATTAAGGAATATTCATTGAAATGATATATAATTAAAGGGAACACATAAATAATATTAATATTATGTAATACATATCTTATTGAAATGGGATGGGATCATGGGAGGGTAGAATTATTAAGGGTTTAGGGTTTAGGGTGGAAGCGAGAAGATGGGAGGGTAGCATTGGGAGATAGGAAATGGGTGAAGAGTGAAAGAGACTGACGAGGTGCAAAGGCCGGGACCTGGTGGCCTGCTCCTCTCACTGTGGCAAATGTGAGGCCGCCGCCCTCCTGATACGTCTCCACCCAGCCGGCCACTTGACCCTCATCAAACCATGCCCTCCATTCTTGCTTTACTCTTAACCCCATCTTTTTTATGCTGTACCTTGTTGATGTTACCGGCACCCTCCCATCTGTGTCCCCGCTGTAATTTCAACATTTAATAAATTAATCATCACCATCATCGTTACTCAATTATACATCTATATATCTATGGAATTGATGGATTTACCTATAGATCCAAATACGCAAGCCAGCTTTTAAGAGCTTCTGAATGACTGGCAGTAGGGTGTCGGGGGAGTCATTCCATCCCTTTATAACGCCACTGCATATATATCATATACATGGCACAACAAGCAAGCTATATTAAATGCATTCTTCACAACTATATATTTGTCTCTACTGGAAACCAACTTGCTTAGGTTATGTCCCCACCCACCCACACGAGTCACGACACCAACGTTGCTGTCAATTGACAAATATATATATTATATTTACCAACCAACTTTGTTGTTTTGTTTTTATTTGATCAATTTCTACTAACTCAAGACAAGTCTGGAGGCCAAACAGCAACAGCTGGCTAGGATGACTTTAGGTGAAAGGGTACAAGAAATGAAAACGAGGTGTCAAGATGATTTCATCCCTCTCTGATAATAGTAATAATTTTTTAACAATTTTATCAAATAATTGTGTGTGTGACTGTGTGGGGAGAGAGAGAGAGAGAGAGAGAGAGAGAGAGAGAGAGTAAATAAAAGAATCACTGCATGCACGGTTTCATTAAATAGAATCTGAAGAACCGGGGGCCGTGTGTGGCAGTGGAGGAAACAGAAAAGAAAGCTCCACTTCATTGATTTCACAGAGACATCATGCTTGCTATTGCTATACCACCTCCAGTCATTTCTTGAATCAATGATATTTCACACAGCTAATGAATTAAAATAAAATATAGTAGTTACTAGCTGGTGTTTATTATTACCTGCAAGGGGTGTAAGGATAGGACAGTTTGGTAACATTGGCATGCAAGGCCCTCTGAACATCCTCTCTGTTGAAATATTGCTCAACATAATTCTCTGTGCAGGGATCATAGCCTGATGGCAGCGTGTGCCAAAGCTCCTAATTAAACCAAAACAACAATACCCAATTATATTATATGAGAGAGAGAGAGAGAGAGAGAGAGGTAAGCAGAGTGCTTACTGCATGCATATGAAGCTAGCACATAGCATAGCATGCATGAATTAAGCGAATTAAGTGATGAGATAAAGTTGAGAGAGGGGTGGCTTAGTAATTACATGTTGAGTGAGGAGGCGAGGTGCAACAAGAAGTCTGATGGAGTTATACGTTGAGGCTTTGGCTTTATTGGAATTAGAAGAAGAAGAAGAGAGGCAGACAGGTGCATAAATGCCGTAGATGTCGATATCAGAATAAGCTTGTAAGAAGGCTCGCATGTGGTCATTGCAGTGCTCTGTTTGGTTATTTTCATGTGCAAAATCGCATTCATTGACTAAATTGTAGTGGAGCTGGTCGGAGATGATGGCATGGCTCCATGCGTAGTCAAACATTCCACGGCTGTCGGTTGGACCGTTGATCACAGCATTCCCAATCTAACCCCACCATTTAAAAATAAAAAATTAATTAATTAATTAATAAGTTCATCAATAATAATAATAATTAAGTAAATGTAGGTATAGGTACAAGGAAGAAAGCAGGCAGGCTCACCATGAAACCTTTGAGATTAATGTAGGAGGAGGAGGAGGAGTGTTTGTTTCGTTGGTAGATGAGGTCGGCCAGCTGGGGGACATAATGACCAGCATAGCTCTCCCCAGAAATATAAAACTCACGAGACTTGAAGGCCGGGAATCTCTTAAACCATTCCACCAAGAAAGCATACGAGTCTGCGGCTGTAACTGCATCACCCAGCGTCTCCACATCTTTTGAGTTGTTTGTGTAGGAAAATCCCACTCCCACAGGTGCCTCCAAGAAGAGCACATTTGCAACTGATGATACAATATGTCAACAACGGTAGAATGAATAAATGAAACAATATTTATATATCTTTGTTTCTGGTCTGGTGGGGTCTGGTGGTATATGGTTTGAGTTTGAGGGCTAGCAAGAATGAAAATGAAAACCTTTATTCCAGGAGAAGTTGTTAAGGATGAGAGTTCCATTGCTCCGAACAAGAAATGGGCCAAGTTCTTGTGCAGCTCCATAAGCTACGGATGAGCAGCCAGGTCCTGCATTCATTTTATATACATTTAATTTAACCCCTTTAATCTAAACCAATTAGTCAAGTAATAAAAAAAGGAGGAGGAGGAATTAATGAATGAAATTGGCTAGTAGTGGGTAGTGACTCGTGAAATTGGCTAGTATTGGCTATTGGTCATGTCCATTGTCCATTACCATTACCCTACCATTACCAAAAGAGAAAGGCAACAAAAATGGGCGGATAAAAACTTGAAATTTGAAAACAAGGAAGAGAGAAAACTATACTGGGTCCTACCTAACCTAAGGCTACCACAAGTAGATTTCTCTAGGTCTTCCCAAGGCTACTACACAGTGACTCACTAGTCCGTCCGAGTATGAAGTTTGACGTCCTTCCAAAATTAAAAAGATCAAGTTCCAAACTGGAGAAGAGTTGCACAGTGTTTTTTAAATTTTTGTTCATTGATGACCGGACAGGACAGGACCCTAAGATATTATATTAGGTTGGGCATTCGACCCAAAATAAATAAATAATTAGGTTGGGCATGGTTATGGGAGTTCACTCCTGGTTATGAACCTATGGTATGGTATGGGCAGGAGGAAGCAGGCAGGAAGGCTGGTTAAAGATAACGGCGGGAGGGCGGGCGGCGAATATTCCTTACTGCAAAAATGGAATATTTAGACAATGGGAAGTTGAATCCCTGCCTGCGCTAGCCTATGTGGTATCTGTTCTCTTCTGCTCTGCTCTGCTCAGCTTCAGAAGACAGAGGACCAGAAGCAGCTCACTACACTATCTATCTACTCTCTCTCTCTCTCTCTCTCTCTCTCTCTTGTTCTGCTTAATTACTTTGTCTTGTTGTTGTTGACCATAAGACATTATGATCTCGAAATTCTAAACAATAATAATATAAATAGCATTCAGATTTCAATTCAACATACAAATAATTCCTAGTGGGATGGCAAGCAATGAGTCTCTGCTCTCTCCCTCTCTCTCTCTTGGTGTTGTAACTTGTAATTAGGCAGAGACACAAACAAACTGTGTCTCACATACGCAATTCAAAAAATTTAAAATAAGAACACTTGTTTCTTTCTTTGCACGGGCGATGGAGAGGGCATAGTTTTAACTTCGAACTTATCCCAATTCTGTCATATATATATATATATATATATATATATGTATCTTACTTAGCATAATTAATAATTAATTAAAAGATTAATAAAATTCAAAAGATAATTAATTTAAATTGGAGAGACAGAGAGAGAGATAGAGGTGACCTCCATTGAGCCAAAGGAGGAGGGGTTTAGAAGAGGCATTTTGTTGGGCATGAAAAAACCAGTAGAACAAAGCCTTGTTGCTGCTGCTGCTGGTGCTGCTGCTGGTGTTGTGAGAATTATGATAATTAGGTAGTTGGACGTAGCCAGCGTAGTGGGGGAATGAGACCGGCGGCTGTCCGGGCAAGTTGATGACTCTGTCTGCTTCTCTAATTACTTCTAATTCCGCTTCTCTACTCGTGCCATTGCCATTGCCACCACCAGCTATGTCCTCCACAGCAAACACTACTAGAATCTGAGTACACCAAATAAGAATAAGCAACAAGTTGAACAGAGGAACAAGGAGGAGGCCCATTGCCATTCCGCAGAATAATCACACACAAACAACACCTGCTCTCTCTCTCTCTCTCTCTCTATCTCTCTATCTCCATTCTCTTCTTATCTAATTTGTGTATGTGTGTGTTTTATTTGGGTGCAATTTGCGTGAATGAGACTGTGAGAGTCAGAGAGAACATGGAGAGAGAGAGAAAGAGAGTTGAATGAAAATGACTAGACTACAAAATGCAAGGGTCCGTTATATTAGACTGACAGACGCACAGAGAGAGAGCTTTTATATATTCTAAATCTGTAGACGGATATCACTTTTTGCTATACGTTGATTAACTTTTTCGCGTGTCGTTGGATTATTGACTGGGATAGCAAAACAGTGTTTTTCTTGTTATAGGTAAGTTTTTCTTTTCTGAATCTGAGGTTGGAGTGGGCAACAGCGTGGGACATGTTCCTGACAGACATGGTAAAAATGATTTCTCCACTCTCTCACTTCATCTTGTCCCTTCCCTTTACTTAATTTTTCCTTTTCTTTTTTTGGATATCCATTCAAACTCAAATCAAGAATATCCTTTCACACAGTGTGCCTGCCAGATTTCTCAAACCGGATTTCCTTTTCCGCTATAAAAACACAAGAATATTCGAAATATTTATTCATTTCTTTAAATTCTTCTTCCTTTTCAAAATATTTCTTTAAATTTATCACTATATTAGATTGATACTTCTTTTTTCTGTCGTCCACTCCACGCAGACATCTTCTTTCCACCCCAAAATAAATAAAGCAACAAAATCATTCTCTAAAAGATTCCAAGGTAAATGGTTAGAGACAGACTTGCCAAAATTTACCATGCGTGCTATCATCAGAAAGCTTTCCTTTTAGAAAAAATAAACAAGAAATTAAAAGCTTTCCTTAAAGATAATAATATCCCCAGCCCAGCCCAAGTGTAAATGGCTTATTTTCTTTATTTATTTCCGCAATCAGATTTGGGTCAGCATCAAAGGACAGCGGCATGCAGTTGAGCTTGAAAATAGATTGGGCTTTGGACCTCAAAAGATTATGGGTCATCCTATTCCCATCCTATTTGGTTCGGTTGGTTTCCTGGAAACACGATTATATTTGACAATTAGTGATTTTATTGGCACCCCATTAATTGTTCTTTGCAGTCCATACTAATTTTAAACATGAATAACCTAATTTACTCTTGTAAAAAATTACCTCATTTTTACTTACAACTCAATGGCAATGAACCGAAATATATTTATTTTTTTAGTAACTTATTGTCGACCACAAATTTAATGTAAGCTATTTTGATCTTACTCCCATTGAAGGAACAAAAACAAGGTGATGCCCTTAAAATAAATGGCACATCATCCAATGTGTTGGTCATCTCACCAAAAGACATGAAATATGTTCGTTTCGAGATGCCACCTCTCAATGAAGGTAGATACAACAATCTTATTTGCATTTCGATAAGAACACCTAATAAGTTGCTCTAATCCAGACCTTTGAATGTACCATTTGAATATACCATTATTTGGATTAGCCCACCAATTCCACTCACGAATGGTAGATGTCTTTGACATGCACCTAAGGAGCTCACGTTCCTAGTCAAATACAAAAATAATATTTAGGTTAATTACGATGAACCAGACTTATATTCTACTTTCTATTGTTACAGTAAAACAACTTACCTGGTTATTCTAAATTGCAGTTCCTAATTTTAAAACTCATAAGTAAAGATGGATCAATGGGACCTACTTGAGATGGCTCAGTAGGCTCAACATCTACCTCAACATTAGTATAATTAGTAGCACATACATCTACAATCTCTGCGTCAACATTACTATCATGCGTAGCAGCTACATCTTCAACCTCTGTGACAACATTACTATCATGAGTAGCAATTACATCTTCAACCTAAGTAGTTTCCTCAAAGTGCTCTGGGGGACCATGCTGGGGTTGGTCCTCTTAAGGGGCTAACCTCACCGCTTTATGTCTCCTCGCTGAGGTTGTGGGACACTGTCTATCAGGTCGAGATGATGAAGCCTCAGTCGTACCTCTACGAGTCCTCTTCATATCTAAAAAACAATATTAAGTACAAACTCAGTAACGAATTCGGTAGATGATCACTGAAACATTAAACGAATTTAGTATAGTACCACTGAAAAATGGAAACAAATTCGGTGGACTACCACTGAAAAACGAAATCATATTCAGTGGACAACCATTGAAAAATGGAAACAAATTCAGTGGATTGCCATTTAAACAAGGTAACGATTTCAGTGGGTTTACACAAATAAGTCAAGGAATGAGGTTCATAAGAACAATTTTGGAAGAAAAATAAGGTGTAATGAGCAATTTTAAAGTTTACTAAGGGGGGTGTATTCAATTGAGATTTTAATAGATTGTTTTGAAGCTTAAAAACACGATGGTATCCAATTATGATTTTTAAGTAATCAATAAAAATATGGTGGTATTTAATTAAGATTTTTAAATAATCAATCAAAGTCTTGTGGTATTCAATTATGGCTTTAAAAGATAAGAAAAAGTATGATGGTATTAAAAAACTTACCAATTTTGAGGTATTTTGTTAAATGGCGTATTGTGTGAGACTTTTGAGTAAGTGATATAAATATCAAACCCCATAAAAAAAAATTCCCACCCTTCTAGCCTGATTCTCACATTTTTTTCGTTTTTGGGGAAGATGAACAAATGAAAATAGACAAGGTACTCATGTCTTTATGAGGGCATGGTTTAACCATGCTTGATCCTTCTGTATTTTGTGGATAGACTCAAATAGCTGTCTTTGTTTTCTTTGCTTTCTCTAGTCTATCTTGTTTTCTTTTTCTCCTGGTGTTTGGTTGTAGGACGTGTTTCCCACCTTTCTTTTGGCTTCATGTCTATACTGTTTGTTTGCTTTCATCTTATGGATATTCTCTTTGCTCAATAAAAAAGGAGACTCAGATGGCTTACCTTCAAATATCTAAACAATAATTTCAGATACATTGCTTTCAATAGTTGTTCATATTATGCAATATGCGTGCATTTTTCTCAATATATTTTCAACTCGTTTATTTCCTTTGATTTATTTGTCTTTCTTTAGTCAATTTGTGGAACCAATTTGAGTGACATAGCTGGACCATTTTGACTTGTTTTCAGCTGTCTAGTTTCTTATTGAATTGATTCAATTAACATTGTCTATTGTAATATTTATAAATTCAATTAATTCAAGAATTTTCCTTCTTATAGCTTGTTCCTATGTCAATTCTTAGTTCTAGACCAAGTTCTCTATCCAAAACTTAATAGCTGTATGATTTTAGTTTAATGATAGTTATATTAGAAATTTTGGGACCGCTATTGTTTTAGTTCTAGAACAAGATGATTTGATGAAAGTCATACATGACCGACAGTAATAATGATAACTTGAGCTAAGATTGGTGTAGCTTCAACTTTCTGCTTCTAAGGCTTGGCATCCTTTAACTAATGAATGAAAGATGGCCAACCCAAATTCAATCCACACTTTGGTGAAATCTATTTTGGAGAATACAAGAAAGTCCTACATGAATTAAAATCATAAATAAAATATTGTAATTACAATCTATTAATATTATAAGAAAAATCATGTAATTACAAATCATGCTAAAATCTATTACATTAAAATCATGTAATTACAATCTATTAAAATCTCAATTGAATACACTCACCTAAAATTTAACGGGGTGTAAAAAGAATGTGGGATAAAAAGAGTAAATTTTGAGGTGCCAATAAAATCAACCTTTGACAAATCCTGTCACCCAACCCACTTACATGATTAAAATATTTTATTTGAGTTTATTGTATTGTATTAGGCTATTAGCTAGCCAACTAACTAATTTTAATTCATTCATTTATCAACAGTCAACACGAAACTTTCAAATATAACTGCCCGGGCTTTGGCCACGTATTACATATGCATGACGCATGCATGCTTTATGTTATGTTGGTCGGCCTTCTATTTCTTCTATTTTTTTTTCTTTCTATTTCTATGGACGCAAGAGTGCGATGATATAATCATTCAGGAAAAGTAAAGCTCAATATGGTCTAGCCCACTAAAAAAGTGTCTTAACCTACAGATTAGAAGTCTTATATTCGAACATCCATGACATTCATCATTTCTTGTGTGAGAAACTTCATCTCTTATAATTTAAACTATTGATTGTAATTTTTTAAAAAAAAAGTAATGATACTAATTAATAATAAATAATATTATAGTAGTACGCTAATAGGAAAAGGAAACTTGATAAATTAAAAGTGTAGAAAGAGTTGCATCGTAGGTTATCCGTCGCATCCACTTCTCAACCTCCATTCCATAGTCTCCTCTCTCTCTCTCTCTCTCTCTCTCTCTCTCTCTCTCTCTCTCTCTCCCCTCTCCACTCCAAAGTTTTATCGTACTACTTTCTTACAAAACCCTCCATATTTTAATTCCTAATCACTACACCTACCTTAATTCCTATCTGTATATAATAATATAATATTCCCCAAACTCAAATTCACTAGTTTTCTGCTTAATTACTCGCACTAAAAGAGAGACATTATTCATTCGTACACGTAAGAATGCATGCATTCAGTTACCTGCTTACTTGCTTTAGAAAACAAAGAAAAGCAGGCAAACATAAAGAAATATGTATATATATATATATATATTGCAGCAAAGTAAAGCAGCCTGCCACACGTACATTTCAGCTCACCAAAATAAAAACCCGTTGGGTAAAATATACAAAACATGCACGCCAAGAAACACACACTCCACAATTACAAGTCATGAGTGATGAGATGACCACCTTCTCCTCCACTCTCCAGACTCCACCCCCTCATATAACACATGACCGCCCCCACCGTACCACTGCTCAACCTAATTAACCAACCAACCATTATATATTACATACATATATACTCTCTCCTTCTCAGTATTAATACCTGCATAACCCACTCTCTCATCACATATCTCACATGCCCTTCTCCTCCTCTCATTCAAACAAAATGATCACCCCTCCTCCTCCTCCTCCTCCTACCACTAATCTCACCTGCCTCGCCTCCTCTGAAAACTTTGTAGTCGGAAACTTAGTTGCTCGGCAACTCTTTTTCCTCCACCATATCCAAATCTTGGAGCTCTTTCTGGCTCTCTTTGTTTTTGTAACCATACACTCCTTGAGGCAGAAGAGGCAGCATGGCCTACCCGTTTGGCCCCTGCTTGGCATGTTACCCTCTCTCTCTCTTGCCTTAATTCGACCCCAAACCAACCTGTATGAGTGGGTTTCCGAAATTCTTTGCCGTCAAAACGGGACGTTTTGGTTCAAAGGCCCTTCCTTGAGCAGCTTGAACTGCGTCGTCACTTCCGACCCTCGTAACTTGGAGCACCTACTCAAGACAAAGTTCTCCATTTTCCCCAAAGGCCCTTACTTCAGAGACACCGTTCGGGACCTTCTTGGGGATGGCATATTCAGCGCAGACGACGAGACCTGGCAGCGACAAAGGAAGACAGCCAGCATTGAATTCCACTCAGCTAAGTTCCGCCAACTGACTGCGGATTCCTTGTTCGAGCTGGTCCACGCCCGCCTCCTACCTGTCTTAGAGGACTCCATCAAACACTCGGCTGCTGCAATTGACCTCCAAGACATTCTTTTGAGGTTAACTTTTGATAACGTTTGCATGATCGCATTTGGAGTCGATCCCGGCTGCTTGCAGCTGGGGTTACCCCAAATACCATTTGCTCAGGCATTTGAGGACGCAACAGAAGCAACGATGATACGCTTTGTGACCCCCATGAGCTTGTGGAAGGCCATGAGGTACCTTAACTTGGGGGCGGAGAGGAAGCTTAAGATGTCCATCAAAGGAGTGGATGAGTTCGCCGAGGATGTCATTCGGACGAGGAAGAAAGAACTTGCATCATTACTGCTCAATAATAATTCTGGTGGTGGTGTTACTGAAACTGATCATACGAAGAAGCAAAGATCAGACCTGTTAACGGTGTTTATGGGGTTGAAGGACGAGAACGGAGAGGCGTTTTCAGACAAGTTCTTGAGGGACATATGCGTCAACTTCATACTGGCTGGGAGGGACACGTCATCAGTGGCGCTGAGCTGGTTCTTCTGGCTGCTTCATAAAAATCCGGAGGTGGAGCACAAGATTCTTCAAGAACTGTGCAGGATAGTGGGTGCAAGGTCATCATCAGATCACGACCGTCGATCTCATGCCAACGATGGTGATGATGAAACTGTAGTCTTCAAGCCAGAAGAGATAAAGAAGATGGAGTATCTTCAGGCAGCTCTCTCAGAGGCTCTAAGGTTGTATCCTTCGGTTCCACTGGATCACAAGGAGGTAAATTCAATTGCGCATCGATCATTTATTTATTTATTCTTTTATTAGTTTGAACACAATTCATATATGGATTGGTAATTATTCTTTTATATAATATTCCAGAAAATAAAAATAAAAAAGCATTTTGATTGGTAATTATTTGTTGACTTGAATTGAATTGATTAATGGGTATATATGTATATATATATATATAGGTAGTTGAAGATGACATATTTCCGGATGGAACAATACTGAAGAAGGGAACAAAAGTGATATACGCAATTTACAGCATGGGGCGAATGGAGGCAATTTGGGGAAAGGACTGCAGGGACTACAAGCCTGAGAGGTGGCTACGACCTTCGGACGGCCGCTTCATGAGTGAGCCGGCCTACAAATTTACGGCTTTCAATGGCGGTCCTCGGCTGTGCTTGGGGAAAGATTTCGCTTATTATCAAATGAAGTTCGTTGCTGCCTCCATCATTTATCGATACCATGTGAAGGTGGTGGAGCATCACCCCGTGCAGCCAAAGCTCGCATTGACAATGTACATGAAGCATGGCTTGAAGGTCACTCTCCAAAGGCGTGACCATGCTGAGCGCCAAAAGTTAATCAATAGTTTGCAGATTAATCCTAGTATATAATTAGTTAAGTGTCATATCCTATATATCTATATATTATATGGTACTGTTCATACTATGTATCTTTTTTTCTGTTTTTTTGTTTTTGTGTGGTTTTGTTTTGGGGTGATCTTGTTGTCTTTTACAGATAAATGGTGGTATTTCCATACCCATAAAGATGATTGAAAATCTGTAGAGTATATAGATATAGGGTAGGGATGCATTTGGGAATATGGTTATATTTGAATAAATAATGGAGTTGTGTGTACGCTTGGATTGTTCAAAATTTGGATTCTTCCTCATATACATTTGAATAATCCACATATATTTGTTCATTTCTCTTTCTCTCTCTCTTATATAATCATCACTCAACGTTTACGTTGGTGTAGAGATAAGAGACTGAGTACGCAAGCAAGTGATCTATCACTGAAGCAAGCTATATGTATCTAGTGAACTTACCTTTCCAAATTGCTATTAGTTCCTGTTCCTCCCCCAAAGAAAGGATAGATATATAATGAGCAATTCCTTCCCAAGTTGTGTTGGGTCGGGTGGGCCCACGCACAAGCTCCTATATCCTATGGGAAAGCTAGTATAGTTTTTTGGAAAAAACAGTTTTGCTTCTATAGTTTTGATTTGACAGACGATTTTCATACATTTCATTTCACACTTCATTGCTTCTGTCTGTTCTGTCGGCATTTCATCAAATACGCAAGCCTCCCTCAAGCGTCAAGCCTCGCTGGTGGGAATACGAATTACGTAGGACTAGAATAGGGAGGTTTGGCGACCAAATCATGACCTCAGTCAACACTCTTTTCACTGCAGTCTGCAGTTGGGTTTGAAACTTTGAACTCCCACCCGCCAACGTGATGCTTCTTTCTCTGTTTGAGGTTGGTGCATATTTTTGCTTCCTCTACCAGCATACCTCGGTCCGTACTCGACCCTCACCTTAAAGTTAACTAACATCATGACAATACAAGAAAGATTACTTCTAAACTCACCAACTTTGTTTACCAATTTCTGTTTGTCCAATGATGTACCATTTTTGAATTTATGCAAATATGAACCCACTTTGAATTTCACATTTCTAACAGATAAAATACTTAAATGTGCGCTAGCACATAACCTGGGAGAAAATTTGGTGAATAAGATGTGGTGACCGTGAGCAACAGAAATCAGGATGTATTGATCCAATAGACTCGTTGAAGAAAAAAATCCTAGAAGAGCTGGTTCTCATTCCTACTACACTTATCAAATCTTCATCAAACAAAAAACAAGAGAACTGTAATGTTTTGAATTTTTTTCCACTCCCTTGGTTGGTGTTCGTCTACATAGCACAGCCCTCAAAGAAAAAACTCATGCTATAAATATATTTTGTAAAACAGTTGCATAAATTCAAGAAATAGGTTTTGAATATTATATCCCGCATCTTGAAGCTGGCTCCAGGAGCAAAATCAATAAGTTCAAACATAATCAGAAAATTCAACATCGTTAGCATCATGTATGCTATAATTCTGTTTCCTTATTCTGGTGTGCGACAGAGTTACATCTCACTTATCTGAGAGTAAACTTACCTCATTCAAGCTCTCCCATCCCACTCTTCATAGAATTCCGCAAGAAACTCCTCCATGAACTTGTGCCTTCTCTCAGCTCTCTTTTTCCCAGCCTGAAATCAATGTTCAAACCCCATAGCACAAATTGATAATTCTTTACATTTTTCTCGTTATTCAAAAGATGGATTTACCACCCGGCTATTCTCATTGTACAGATATTATATATATGCACTTTAGCACAAGCACAGATGAGACACGAAGATGCATGATGGATGCAAATGAGGAAAATTCCATGTGAGGAATGTGTAATATCATGCTTCTGTTTCAACAAATTTACCTTTGTTTTCATCAATGCCTTTAGCTTAAGAAGCTTCTCATGAAAGTGATTTACAGTAGTCTGCTCATCATTGTTCACGTACTTTTCGTTAGATAAATCAGATTGTGGCTGAATGTTAGGATCATGAAGCACTCTGTTTCTACTTCCACCAAAAGTAAAGCAACGAGCAATTCCTGTACCAAAAGACTACTTAGGAGTGTGCACCAGCGTGAAATGGCATAATTTGTTCTATTGTCTGAAGCATTTTTTAACAAACTTCACAATGGAGATACCTCAAACAAGAAAGGGGAATGGAATAAGGCAAGGAAAGAGAAATATATGGACCAAATCAAAGCGAAAGGTCATAGCCAGAAAAACAAACACAAACACACAAACACAGAGAGAGAGAGAGAGAGAGAGAGAGAGAGAGAGAGAGAGAGAGAGAGAGAGGGTGGAAAGACATGAAACTTTTCTGTCTTTCATTATAGGCAATTAAGAAGACACCAAAGATCGTTGGGGCATAGAGCAAACAGCTATGCACAACTGTTACTTTTCCAGCAGTAATCCCAATTTTAATTTTACAAAGAGAAAGTAGGTAGACAAAATCCAATGGTTTTGGAACCAAGCATTTGATTAGCAAGTACAAATTACCAATAGCACCAATTGCATCGAGACGGTCAGCATCTTGTACAACCCCAAATTCTGGAGGAAGATCATTTTTTGCCGACCCTGCCAGCTCATCTTTGAAACCTGGAAAGTAGAAGTACAGGTAGAGCACCAAATGAATGAACAAAGGAGCTAGCAGAAAGATCAGAATTGAACAAAAAATTTTAAAAAATACAATGAAATTGCAAAATTGCATATGATTATTAAGTGGTATAAAACATTACATGGCGAAAACAGGGGATGCATATTTGAGTGCATGTGTTTACACACACAACAGTTTCCTATATGGGAAAGAGACATGGCGTGGACACTGATGCAGTACAAAATGCTGATATGGAGAATATACCATTAAACTCAAACAAATGTAATCAAGATTATATCAGCAGAGCAGAATAGGGAAGAAACAAAGTTGAGAAGGAGCAGCAACCAACTTACAACTTACCCATTCCCTTAATGATCCTTAAAATCTTCATTTTGGAACTCTCTTCTATGCCCTCCTCGTCAAGAAAGTTTTCGACAATTTTTTCCTCTGAGGGATCTCTACATTCCAACATTAGCCATAAGGATGAATAGATGCAAGAACCAGAAAAAATAGAAAAGAGAAAAAGGGAAAATAAAAAGGTAAAAGAAAAGAAAGAATGAGAAAAATACAAACCTCAAATACTTATAATCACCTGCAATGAACAACCAAGGACTAATATGGTCAGTAGGATATATAGGATGAGAACAGGAAAATAAAACCATGGAGAACAGAATTTTGCAGAAATGGGTTTGTTTGTGTAGATAAATGCATACCATTATTATGAGTTGAGTTGATTAGTACAGCTCACATAAGCAAGAAGGCATGTGGTTACATGTAGCCAAAGAGAAGTTAAAAGTAAAGATTTAGGAATGGGCGCATGTTTTGCAGTATGAATCTTCCCCCAAAAAACTCCATATCCATTATCCACCCATATGTAATCCATTTAATTGAAGCACACAAAAACAAGCTTCAAAGTTATGATCTTAACACTGACCTATATCATGGAGAAGTGCAGCAAGTTCGACCTGCCGAAGAAGAAAATTATCGATTCACAAACTTTATAAAAGTCCTTCAGTTCCAAAACTCATTTAGACAAGATATCAAGAAGATAATAAATAAAGGAATGAATAGTTCGAACAATTTGCATGGTGTTGGAATTGGAGGAGGGGAGGGAGAGGCCTTGTTCTTCACGGGCAAGAGAGAGAGCGAGGTCTCTGACCCTCCTGACGTGAGCTGCGTCGTGGGATGCATCATTGTCTTTCATGGCTTCCTCCACCAGCTTCTCTGCCTTTCTCACCGTCTCTTCCCATGAACCCACTGACTCCATCGTTCTCTTCCCTTCCCTTCCCTTCCCTGCTTTAATTTCTTCTCTCTCTCTAGAGGGCAGACACTCATCGATACTTGGTATTTGGATTGGAGTGGAAAATTTGACTGGTAGACTTGCAGTTATTTTTTTTTCTAGTAAAGGGCTTGCTCTGCTCCTCCTCCTCCTTCTCCTTGCCATTAGGATCCGATCCATCCAAGTTCGGGTTCGCATCGTCAGGCCCAAACAGCTAGTGGTTACTTGATGTGGTCCGGACCCACCTTTGGATCCCTTCCCTCCCCCGGGCTTCAATTCAAACACCTCTCCCTCAATCGTGGTCCCGTCTCCCGCTTCTGTTTATTTTTCTTTTCTCAATTGATAGCTATTAAATAAATACCAACACAAATACAATAAATAAAGGGAAGTGATTTTCCCAATTTCCTTTTCTTCATTTACAATATTTAAAAAAAAATACTTTTTTAATCAATTTTTTTATTTTTTGTTCTTTCTCTTTACTATTCTACCCTTACCCAACAATTTCCTTTAATAAGAAGACATGTACAATCACTTACTAATATTGTGAAAGAATAAAAATCTAAGACTATTATGCATACCTTACTCTCTGCATATACATGCTCCTAAACACAGTTTGGTTAGTAGCATTCTTTGGTTCTTCTATGTAACACCCCGACCCAATCTAATTGTTTTATTTAAATTTATTTATTTGTGAAATTCCAATTTTGCCCTTGGGGGTAGGGGTACTTTGGTTACTTTTTGTTCGAGAAGGAATTTGGGGAAATAAGATGTATCTTTGCATAGAGCTCAGCGATACGAGTTCGTAGACAGGCGGCAGGTTCAATTCATAGTTAAAATGAAAAAGTTATGATTTGCGGAAGTGCAGTGGCACAACCGTAATTTTTCCAAAGTCAGATTTTTAAAACCAGACAGCTCTCTCTCTCTCTCTCTCTCTCTCTCTCTCTCTCTCTCTCTCTCTCTCATATTTTCTCTCCCCGCGACGTCGGAACTTTGACTGGAGGTTTCGTCGTCGTCGTCGGGCGTCCGTTTCATGCGAAATTGGTTGCAAAAGTTTTCTATCAATGTCCTCTCCCATTTTCCCAGCTCAAAACCTCAAGCATTTCGTACTGGATTGACATAAATTTTTGGTATAAACTTCCACCGTCACTGGCAACATTTCCGGCCACTTCAAGTCTCGCCACCGCTTGGAACAGGTAGTTATCTTCTCCATCTTGCTTTCCCCTAAGTCGCAACACCATTGGTGGTTGTGGCTACAATTGCAAAACTAGGAAGTTTTGGCCTAAATCCTAACGGATTTGGCTTCAATTCGCCTAGTTTCGCCAACTTTTTGGCCAGGGTCCAAGACCAAAAATGCTCATCTTGTTAGCATGAATGTTTTGGTATAAGTAATGTACAGTGGAAATTTTTCGAAACACTCACATGCTGCCGACGAGTGGCGACGTGGGCCATCTTGCAGCTGCCTATTGTGTTCTTGAATGTTTCTCATGTCGTCCTAAGTACGACGATGTGCTCGGATTTGAATTTGGTTATCGTTTGACTATCGAACGGATATTGCGCACACTATGTGATATTCGGGTTCGATAGGTTCGGACCGTTCGATCGGTTCCAGTTTCAAATATGGTGTTCTCAGTACCTCTAGAATCGTGTAGGAACTTGCGGATCGAAAATCGGAATCCCGAATACGCTGAATCAATGATTCTAAGTTTAGGCGAAACGATCGTCGTCTGATCATGCTATTGGCTTGGATCCGAGCGCTTGATCGAGACCAAACTTTCGAGACTTGTTTAGTAGACTTTGTTGGACCTATATGAAATTTCAGATCAGAAATCGAAAGTCGTGGGCCCGACGGGCCCGATTGACCAGTATGGGAAGTTTGACTACTCGGTTGACCATGAGTCTTTCGAGACTGTCTCATCCTTCAAGAAGTACTAGAATAACCCTATAAACTTTCTTAAAGGTTGTGCACACTTCGAGACCCAGGAACTCGAGTTTTGAGTTAAAGTTTGTTGTTTGGTACATTTTTTAATTAAGCCTGTTTATTCTCTTGAATAGGTACCCACACTTCACGTACTCCAAAGGAAGAGCCCTCTCAGGATTGAGCAGCGTTGGACTTGTTGTGAGTGGACATTGTTTTAAATGAGCATTATTTTTCCAATATGTAATTGCATGCATAAATGAGATTTGATTTAGAACTTGGTTTATTGGGATTATGGGATTTGATATATGTTTTAACTATGGCTTTATAGTATCTTATAGGATTACTAGAACTTATTTTTAGTTATAAAGTATATGGATTGTGGGTTTTGGATTATGATTTTATCAGAATGTGATATGGGATTTCCAGGGATTATTATTATTATTAAAGTATATATTGGGTGATATTGGGTTTGTTTATGAAATTTGAACCTGGGATTTGGTTATATGGATTTTGGATATTTTATCAATGTCTTGTGGGAATTTTCGTAATTGGTCATACCTGTTAAGTTATGAATTTTGTGTTTTGAATATTACGTTTTGGGTTATACGATTTTCAGATGAGTTTACGAATTTGAATTTTTCATTAATATGACTTTTGTAAATTTCATAAGGGAGAGTGTATTTTATTATATATTGTTGAGGTAGTATTAAAGATATGGTTCTCATTATGGTATGCTAAGGTACAAATTTAATAGAATAATTTTCAAGTATCGGTTGATATATATGTATGCATACAAAGGATTTTTGTGCTTGGCATTATTTTCTAAAACTGAGGGGTTATTTATGTTGCATATAAATTATGTTAAACACTTTGTTTTCGTCCACTCACATTTTATGTTTTGTGCCCCCATATTCTAGATATCCGAGGTCAAAACCACCATGTCGAGGCATCGCGACGGTTTGCTCTATAGGAACTTCTTCTTTATCTTTTTCTACTTTTATTTTTCCCTGGGTTGTAAACGTAAATCCTAAGATTGCTCTGTTAATTCCCCTGTAGGGTTGAAGTTGAAGCCCGAGGCCTATCCTGTAAATTATGTGCTTAGCATTGTGTGTGTTGCATGTTGGGAAGTTATTTTTTGTTGTTTTTAATAGGTGGAATTTTTTTGGTAAAGTCCACTTTTCATGGGAGATTCTACCGAAATTTCCACAGAAGTCAATTTGTTTATTGGTTTAAATTAGGGCTACATGGCTTTTTAGTAAAGTGGGTTCGGCATCGGGTAGATGTCGAATGGGAAGCAGGGCGTCACGGATTCTAATGAGGAATCCGGGGCAAGTCCTGTAATCTACTTGTAAACATGTTAGCTCAAAAAATGTATTATCTATTAACTATAACAAAGATAAATAGCACTCATATACTTGGTAAATAAAAAATATAAAAAATTGGCGTACAAATACTTACATTTCTATCAATTTCCATTTTTGTTTTTGTTTTTTGTTTTATTTTTTGTTAACTTTTCTTAATTTCAGTTATCAAAACCTTAATGTAAGATAATGGTAGAATGGAAAAGAGAAAGAACAAAAAAATATATTGATTCTAAGCTTTTAAAAAGCAAGATAAAGTGTAAGTGAAGAAAAATGGAGTGAGAAAATCAACTCCCTAAATAAAATTTCCATTACCTTTATTTATTGCTAAATTTCCAATACATGAATTACAAAAAGTGATTTTTGTAGAAATTTCACTTGAACTTATACATCAGTTTCAATTTATCACCTTAAAGAAAAATTTGAGAGAAATATCACCTTAATTTTTCAAAATCCATTATTTGTCATCTCATTTTAACACCATTCAATTTTCCATTCATTATAAGGGTATTTTAGTCTTTTTGATTTAAAGGTATTTTAAAAATGAAAAAATCATTCTTAATTTTTTTTTATATCTTTTAAACAATTAAAATTGAAAGAAAAAAAATCTCACATTCCCTCATCCCCTATGCGCCACCAGCGAGTCCAACCAACCCCGTCCACCTTGAAATCCATTCCCATTCCCTCTTCATAACCCCTTCCTCCTCTATGTACCATGAAACACCTACCACACATAAATTCCCTTAACCCACCCAAACAGAGTCCACCTTTTTTTACTTATTCTTTTATTTTTTATTTTTAAAAAATAGTATTTTTCCATTTCCATGCTGAGAGAGAGAGACATAGAGAGAGAAAAGGAGGAGGGGGAGTCCAATGCGATGTGTTTTGGGGCTGGGTGGAGTTGGGGTTGGGGAGAAAGGGAGAGCTATTTTTCTTTATTTCTTTTCTTGAAAATGGAAAGACTAAAATACCCGTAAAAATGGATGTCGTTAAAGTTGAATGACAAATTTGACGGAGTAACAGCCTTTGACGGCCCACAACATTGCGGTAGGAGGGGGCTTGCCTATCAACCTGCTTTGCCAAGAGGTGGCAGGAGCGCAAAGATCTAGCCCAAACCTACTTGGATGAAGCAACAAGGCGTATGAAGGGAGTATGGATTTTGAAAAATTAAGATGAAATTTCTCATAAATTTTTCTTTAAAGTGACAAATTGAAACTTATGTATAAGTTCATGTGATATTTCTACAAAAATAAATATATATCTCATGTATTTTCAATTTATCTAATATACCATCTTTCACGCGTTTTATACCATGGAGAACAGAATTATATGGGACTGTTCCAATATTGATATAAGATTCATTATAAGGGCAACAATTGACAAATGGTTAATACTCATCCACACATGCTAACGAATCCCTCAAACAAAGGTTATCTACAAAAAAAAATTCAATGAGCGAAATCGTTTATTTTTCGAGTCTTTATTTATGGGTCATTCTTAGAAAAAGAAAAATAGACAAATTTAAATTGATTAAGACATCTAGCTAGTTTAGCCAATAAAATAGACGAACATGATACATGTATAAATATACATCGACCAATCAATTAATGGCGGGCTACGTTAACTTATGGCATGCACCGCCACTCATGAACCTTCTTTAAAAATTAAAATGATCGTTTTGCAGGTGTTGTGTAGTTTAGTATTAGTATTACTACTATACTGTAGTAAAATTCTTGGCTAGTTGGTGTTGTGTAGCTCGTTCAGAATTCCTCTCATTATATATATAGGTCAGGATCGGGGTCAGGATGCAGGCCAACCGCATCCATAGTCAAATTTGAAAATTGACTTATAAAGTGGTGTTCCACAACCAGCACAATATTATAAAGTAAGTTCATACAATCCATGATCAATCACTAGAGTCCGCTATAAAATGCTTATGTAGAAAGCACTTCTAGTTATATATGAATTTTGACTTCAGTCAACACTCTTTTCACTGCAGTCTGCAGTTGGGTTTGAAACTTTGAACTCCCTCCAGCGAACGTGATGCTTTTTTCTCTGTTTGAGGTTGGTGCATATTTTTCCTTCCTCTACCAGGATACCTCGGTCCGTACTCGACACTCACCTTAAAGTTAACTCACATCATGACAATACAAGAAAGACTACTTCGAAACTCACCAACTTTGTTTACCAAATTCTGTTTGTCCAGTGATATACCATTTTTTCATTTATGCAAATATGAACCCACTTTGAATTTCACATTTCTAACAGATAAAATACTTGCATGTGCGCTAGCACATCACCTGGGAGAAAATTTGGTGAATAAGATGTGGTGACAGTGAGCAACAGAAATCGGGTACTATACACCGTCTCATAATCTGTGGATACCATTAGGATGTATTGATCCAATAGACTCGTTGAAGAAAAGAATCCCAGATGAAGAGCTGGTTCTCATCGAATTGATTACTTATTCCTAGTAACGGTTCCTACTACACTCATCAAAGCTTCATCAAACAATCAAAAAGAGAACTGTAATGTTTTGAATTTATTTCCACTCCCTTGGTTGGTGTTCATCTACTTAGCACAGCCCTCAAAGAAAAAACTCATGCTATAAATATATTTTGTAATACAGTTGCATAAATTCAAGCAATAGGTTTTGAATATTATATCCCACATCTTGAAGCTGGCTCCAGGAGCAAAATCAATAAGTTCAAACATAATCAGAAAATTCAACATCGTTAGCATCATGTATGCTATAATTCTGTTTCCTTATTTTGCAGTGCGACAGAGTTACATCTGACTTATATGAGATAAATCAAATTAAGTAAACTCACCTCATTCAAGCTCTCCCATCCCACTCTTCATAGAACTCCACAAGAAACTCCTCCATGAACTTGTGCCTTCTCTCAGCTCTCTTTTGCCCAGCCTGAAATCAATGTCCAAACTCCATAGCACAAATTGATAATTCTTTACATTTTTCTCGTTATTCAAAAGACGGATTTACCACCCGGATATTCTCATTGTATAAATGATATATATATATGCACTTTAGCACAAGCACAGATGAGACACGAAGATGCATGATGGATGCAAATGAGGAAAATTCCATGTGAGGAATGTGTAATATCATGCTTCTGTTTCAACAAATTTACCTTTGTTTTCATCAATGACTTTAGCTTAAGAAGCTTCTCATGAAAGTGATTCACAGTAGTCTGCTCATCTTTTTTCATGTACTTTTCCTTGGACAAATCAGATCGTGGCTGAATGTTAGGATCATGTAGCACTCTGTTTCTACTTCCACCAAAAGTAAAGCAACGAGCAATCCCTGTACCAAAAGACTACTTAGGATTGTGCACCAGCGTGAAATGGCATAATTTGTTCTATCGTCTAAAGCATTTTTTAACAAACTTCACAATGGAGATACCTCAAACAAAAAAGGGGAATGGAATAAGGCAAGGAAAGAGAGATATACGGACCAAATCAAAGCGAAAGGTCATAGCCAGAAAAACAAACACAAACACAAACAGAGAGAGAGAGAGAGAGAGAGAGAGAGAGAGAGAGAGAGAGAGGAGAGAGGGTGGAAAGACATGGAACTTTTCTGTCTTTCATTATAGGCAATTAAGAAGACACCAAAGATCGTTGGGGCATAGAGCAAACAGCTATGCACAACTGTTACTTTTCCAGCAGTAATCCCAATTTTAATTTTACATAGAGAAAGTAGGTAGACAAAATCCAATGGTTTTAGAACCAAGCATTTGATTAGCAAGTACACAAATTACCAATAGCACCAATTGCATCGAGACGGTCAGCATCTTGTACAACCCCAAATTCTGGAGGAAGATCATTATTTGCTGACCCCGCAAGCTCATCTTTGAAACCTGGAAAGTAGAAGTACAGGTAGAGCACCAAATGAATAAACAAAGGAGCTGGCAGAAAGATCAGAATTGAACAAAAAATTAAAAAAATACAATGAAATTGCAAAACTGCATATGATTATTAAGTCGTATAAAACATTACATGGCGAAAACAGGGGATGCATATTTGAGTGCATGTGTTTACACACACAACAGTTTCCTATATGGGAAAGAGACATGGCGTGGACACTGATGCAGTACAAAATGCTGATATGGGGAACATACCATTAAACTCAAACAAATGTAATCAAGATTATATCAGCAGAACAGAACAGGGAAGAAACAAAGTTGAGAAGGAGCAGCAACCAACTTACAACTTACCCATTCCCTTAATGATCCTTAAAATCTTCATTTTGGAACTCTCTTCTACGCCCTCCTCGTCAAGAAAGTTTTCGACAATTTTTTCCTCTGAGGGATCTCTACATTCCAACATTAGCCATAAGGATGAATAGATGCAAGAACCAGAAAAGAAAATAGAAAAGAGAAAAAGGGAAAATAAAAAGGTAAAAGAAAAGAAAGAATGAGAAAAATACAAACCTCAAATACTTATAATCACCTGTAATGAACAACCAAGGACTAATATGGTCAGTAGGATATATAGGATGAGAACAGGAAAATAAAACTGAAAACCATGGAGAACAGAATTTTGCAGAAATGTGTTTGTTTGTGTAGATATATGCATACCATTATTATGAGTTGAGTTGATTAGTACAGCTCACATAAGCAAGAAGGCATGTGGTTACATGTAGCCAAAGAGAAGTTAAAAGTAAAGATTTAGGAATGGGCGCATGTTTTGCAGTATGAATCTTCCCCCAAAAAACTCCATATCCATTATCCACCCATATGTAATCCATTTAATTGAAGCACACAAAAACAAGCTTCATAGTTATGATCTTAACACTGACCTATATCATGGAGAAGCGCAGCAAGTTCGACCTGCCGAATAAGAAAATTATCGATTCAGAAACTTTATAAAAGTCCTTCAGTTCCAAAACTCATTTAGACAAGATATCAAGAAGATAATAAATAGAGGAATGAATAGTTCGAACAATTTGCATGGTGTTGGAATTGGAGGAGTGGAGGGAGAGGCCTTGTTCTTCACGGGCAAGAGAGAGAGCGAGGTCTCTGACCCTCCAGACGTGAGCTGCGTCGTGGGATGCATCATTGTCTTTCATGGCTTCCTCCACCAGCTTCTCTGCCTTTCTCACCGTCTCTTCCCATGATCCCACTGACCCAATCGTTCTCTTCCCTTCCCTTCCCTGCTTTAATTTCTTCTCTCTCTCTAGAGAGCAGACACTAATCTTTACTTGGTATTTGGATTGGAGTGGAAGATTTGACTGGAAGACTTGCAGTCTTTTTTTTCTAGTAAAGGGCTTGTTCTGCTCGTCCTTGCCATTAGGATCAGTGGCGGACGGATTAAGAGACAAGAGGGGTCGCACGATCCCATGAAATGGCCGGGAATATGGCTGTGGACAGCCTGTGGAGGTCTGAGTAGACCGCATGACTAGCTGCAAGATGACCCCAAGATGCACGCAAGGTGCTCGACGAAATGCCATAGAGCCTGCTGCGCGCTTGAGCTGGGCTTTTTTCTTTTTCAAACTTCCTGGCCAAAACGACGTCGTTTTGGTCTAACCCAAACCCCTCCTCCTCACCACCACTACTCCGCCGGCGCCACCCATGTTAGTAGAATTTGTATTTTTGATGAAATTGATATATGTTCTTCCAGCATTTCAATTTTGGTTGCTAGTCACTGCTCTAGATTTATTTATCAATAACTTGATCTACCTAATGAGCTCCCATAAAGTCAGATAACTGATCTTTGCTAAAGCGGTTAGAGAGAAATTTGTGCAAGATATATGTGAGATATATTGAAATAGACATTGCTGCACCTGAGATCTTCAAAAATCTTGTGATTGTGTTTTATTTATTTATCTATATATATAAAGCAAAATGCAGAGAATGATGAAACATTCAAAATACTAAAAAATATCATTTGTTAATCCAAACATTAAGAATTAAAATTATTAATTAAATGAAGATAATATGATAAATTCACACTTTTTCATATTTTTAAAATTAAAATTAAAGAAAAATCAGATAATGAATCCTATTTTTATGGAACACAACTACCCATTATCTTTTTTAATTCTAAAATAAATTTAATTTTTTTATAAAAAAGAAAAAGAAAAAAAGCCTCTCATTTATTTTTATTTTTTTAAAAGCCTCTCACACGCGCAGAAGCGCGTGCGCGTGTGCGGAGAGGCTAGTTTATTTATAATTTTTTTAAAAAATAATTGGATAGGAAATGACTCATTTATTCTAAAAAAATGTCTCAACAATTTAATCTACAAAAATTTTGACACTTTGACACTGTGACCCTATCACCTAAGAGTTCTGGATCCGCTAATGATTAGGATCCGATCCATCCAGGTTCGTGTTCGCATCATCAAGCCCAAACAACTGGTGGTTACTTGATGAGGTCCCACCTTTGGATCTCATCCCTCCCCCGGGCAAGGACCTCTCTCTCAATCGCGGTCTTGTCTCCCGCTTCTTTTTATGTTTCTTTCTCAATTGATAGCTATTAAATAAATACCAACACAAATACAATAAATAAAGAGTGCTGCTAAATTAACATTAAAATTAAATGAGTACACTTTACCACCAAACTATTTATTAAATTACTAATTTATCATAATATAAAATGACCAAAAAGAATGTATTTAATTGTGAAATAAATACAATTTTAATAAGTATATCATACTCACCATATTCTGCTTAATCAAATGTCAGCCATCGTTATCAATTGAAGAAAATCTGGTTGTTTCGTCCAAAAAAAATAATCACTAGACTCACTGTTTGCTCCTTTGTACAACACAACAGAGGAGAAAACAATATTTGGTGTCATAAAAGAAAACAAAATTTCATGCAATATATGTGTAGGAAGGGTCAAAACGCAACAATTTACTGACTTGAATAAATGATTTCATAACAAAATTTATAAACTATCACAATAGCTGGCTCATAAATTTACAAGTTCTTAGGTGAAAATAGCAAAAATGGATTCACATCAGCCGTCTCATAATCATCAATTTCTTCAAGGTAGCACCCTACTCAAATGATGGAATTGACCAAAATCTCCTGCTCTGAATTAATTTCAATCCTCCCAAAAAGAAAAAGAAAATCTTAGGAAGATTCATACAAAAATTACATATGGAATCTTTGCATGGACATTGAAAACTTTTTCTTTGTTTTTGTTTTTACCCCTACTATGACGTTGCCCTATTAAATCTACTCCCATATTAGCTTATGAAATTAAAGATTTTGATGCAAACTCAAAATCTGAAAAGAGGGCACGAATTTGTGTAAAAATAGAAACTTGGTTTGTGATTGGTATTAGAGTGTTGTGTGATAAAGTGTATTAGGGTGTACCAGGGGTATTTTTGGTAGTTAAATAAGGTTATACTTAGTTAATTTTATATTTTGATTAAAATATTAGGGTATACTTAGATCATATGGTGCATTGAGTTAATTTTATGGTTCGTTTAACAGCACTCTAAATAAAGAGAGGTGATTTTCCCACTCTCATTTTCTCAACTTACACTCCTTCTTGCTTTTTAATACTTTTTAATCAATTTTGTTTTTTTTTCTCTTTCCTATTCTACCATTATCCTACAATTTCCTTTAATAAGAAGACATGTACAATCACTTACTAATGTAATAAAAGAGTAAAAATATGAAACTATTATGCATACCTTGCTCTCTACATATCTATGCTCCTAATCACAAGGTTAGAGCATTCTTTGATTCTTCTACCTGTAAAAAAAAAAAAAAAAAAAAATTGGTGTACAAATACTTACATTTCCTATCCATTTCCAAATTCCTTTTTTTTGTTTTTTGTTAACTTTTCTTAATTTCAATTATCAAACCTTAATGCAAGATAAGGGTATATAATAGGAAAGAGAGAAAACAAAAAAGAACAATTTTGATTAAAAAATTTGAAAACCAAAAAGAAGTGTAAGTAAAGAAAAGGAAAGTGAAAAAATTAGCTCCCTAAATAAAATTTCAATTACCTTTATTTATTGCTAAATTTCCAATACATGAATTACAAACATGAATAGATGTCTCGTGTATTTTCAATTTACCTAATATACCATCTTTCACGCATTTTATACCAATCATATATCCACCACCAATATTATATGGGACCGTTCCAATATTGATATAAGATTCATTATAAGTCCCACAATTGACGAATGGTTAATACTCCTCCACACATGCTAACGAATCCCTCAAATAATGGTTCCCTAATATATATATATATATATATATATATTTTTCAAACGAGCCAAACCGTTTATTTTTCAAGTATTTATTTATGAATCTTTATAAATAAATAAATAAAAATTAGGCAAATTGAAATGGATGAAGACATCTAGCTAGTTTGGCCAATAAAATAGACAAACATTATTTTTCAAGAAAAAAACTATAGTAACAACCATCTAATTGAGTGGTAAAATGACTTTGGATTCGAGTGATTTTTTTATATATATGATATTTGATGGAATATCTAAAAAGTAAACGGTTCGGATAATTGAAATACAATGTATGGTAGACCTTACAAATGTGTCTTTCAAATAAACTTATTTGAGTGATCCCTCAATTTATTGTGTGTGATTATTATTCTAATTTGTGCATATGTAATGACACGTTACTTGTAACACAAAGTTAATTACAAAATATGAAGTACACAACAAATTTCTATGCATCTCATGTGGCATTACCCTACATATCATAAATAGCCGCTGAATAAAGGAAAATGATAAACGCACCCACGATTTATAGAAAATATATTACTCTATAGGACGTCGGCATACAGGTGGCTTTCTTTCCACGCATGCATCATAGCAATATACGCACATATCTATCTGTAACATGTACACATATACCATGCAGAATGAATAATATACATCGACCAATCAAGTAATGGCGGGATGCGTTAACTTTTGGCACGCGCCGTCACTCATGAACCTTCTTTAGAAATTAAACTGATCGTTTTGCAGGTGTTGTGTAGTTTATTATTAGTATTACTACTATACTATAGTAAAATTCTTGGCTGCTTGGTGTTGTTGTGTAGCTCGTTCAGAATTCCTCTCATTATATATATATGTATATATATATATATATATATATATATATAGGTCAGGATCGGGATCAGGATGCGGTTGGCCCAAATATGTCAAATTTGAAAGTTGACTCAACAACCAGCACAATATTGTAAACCCCTTTTGTACTGAATTTTAATTCTCTCCATTTCTCACGCATAATCCTAAACTCTTCGCTTCCAGTACTAATAAGTTTATACAATCCTGAATCAATCACTAGAGCCTGCTATAAAATGCTTATGTAGAAAGCACTTCTAGTTATATACGAACGTGTTTAAAAAAGTTGTTTTATTAGAATCATATACTAATTTTTATTAAAAATCAAGTGGTTTATAACTCATTAGCAGCGCACTTGAATTTATAAACGATGTCAGAAGACGTTTTTAGTTACTTGAAATTGTTTTTATTAGCCTTTATAAAAGTAGTCTAAATATGTCAACTCGGTGAACTTAAAAACAACTAGTGCTTACTGTCTTGGTCAGATTTTTGCAAGTAAGGCTAACATCTAGTTGAGTTGATAACTTGAGACCAGCAATGGGTCAATTTTTATTCTTTGTTTATCTGGGCAAGAAGATATGGTTGAGTGACATAAAGCAAAAAACGTGGCAACCACACAGACACACATATATATATGAACTATGTAATTGAAACGAAAGAAAGTTTCCTTTGTGTTTGTTTTTGTTTTCTTTTCATTAATGGAGTAGCTGGAAATTTGAATATCATGATCATCACATCATTGAACCCAAAAAGGAAAGAAAAAGGAATCCAGATACTCGTCCTATTCACCTATCGCAATTACTTTTCAAAAAATAAAACGAGTTATTAAGAGCCCGTTTAATAACTATTTTAATTTTTAATTTTAGTTTTTATTTTTTATGCTAGAGTATAAAAGAAAATGAGAGCGAGAATGAGAGTGAATATGAGATTGAGAGAGATGATATAAGATAGGAGGATGAGAAGAATGAGTAACAAAAGTGAAAACAATTTGAAATAGATTTCAGTTTTTAGTTTTTGTTTTCACTTTTGTTACTCCTCCCTCTCATCTCCCTTTTTTCTGATATATTCAAGCACAAAAAATAAAAATAAACATAAAATTGAAATAGTTATCAAACGGGCCAAAAATTTTCATATTTGAAGATTGTTATGAATATTACGGAAAGCGTATGATAATGAACAAGTATATCTGTAGTTAAAAGTCATGCCAAGCCTATATAAATAAAGATTCAGTTTGGCTAACTAATATGAGATCCATAAATGTCACTCTTGAGCCAGCTCATGTCAACATAGTTTCTCAATATAATATCTTCAGAGATCTTTCAAATAATAAGCAAACTTCATACTTTAATTCACAAACTTACTTAAGATTTCCTGTCGAAATAAAACTATAAATTTCATATTGATTTGTTTGTATATAAATGATTTGGATTACCCTAATCAGTATATATGGTTGCAGGCAGTTCAACCATATTAATTTCAGGCCACGATGGGCTCAAGTTAACAAGGTTGTGACTGGATCTGGATTGCATAAATAAGAACATATTTGCTATTCGCTGACATGGTTGATGGACGTCCCAACTCGACTCAATTGAAAATGTGATTTTTCTCTAATTTTTTTGGGCCAAGGAAAATGTGAATGTGTTGAGGAGAAAATGCGTAAGGAAATACAATAATAATAATAATAATAACGGCACTAGGTTTGATGAGAGAGAGAGAGAGGGGTGATGAAAACGTGGACGACGTGAAAACGTGTAAGGACTTGTTCCTTGGCCACCAAAGTCTAAGTCATAAATGCCTATTCCTAATTAACTCGTAATAATTAACCAAACCCCTTCTTTAAACAATTAATTAACTCTCTCGCAATAAAAATGAATCCTAAAATCAAATATATTGAGATATAGCCGTCGACGCCTAGAGCGAGAGAGACAGAGAGAGAGCGCGAGCGAGCTGGGGTGTTATGTTCAACGCTCTCCCTTCATGGCGATGGGGGAATTGGTCCAAAAGAAAACCAGCACCACTACTAGTACTGATACTCCATCTCCATCTCCATCTCCATCCAAACCCAAAACTAAATGTTTCCTCGGTTGCTTGGGATTTTCCCGGAAAGTGAGCAGCAGCCGGCCTACAACTAGCAGATCAAAGTCGTCGTTACCGGAAACCGATTATATCCGATCCCATCATGATCATGATTATCTTCATCAACAACACCAAATTAATAAGTCTAATGATATCGAGATGAAAACGAGCACTAGTAGTCGACGCTGGTACTTGATTTCTTGGTCAAGCTGGAGGTTTTGCGCCAACAAGTCGGCCACCAAAACCGTCCCCATCGACGCCTCCGGTACGGGGACTGGCAAACGGCAAGTTAAATTCTCTTTGAAGAAAACAAAGTCAAAGTCAAAGTCAAAATCTGAGTCTGGTAAGCTCGTCTCCAACGCCGAACGTACAGTCTCGGTCACGGACGCAAAGCCGCCGGGTGGCTCAGGTCAGAGAGAGGATGTGGTGCTGCTGTCTCCAGTCTCAGACCCGGAGCAGACCCAAAAACCACCTCCACAGGTATAATTAATGAATTCCCTTATTTTTTTTAATTCAGCACTATACTAATTTAGTGAATTAATTTTCTGTTGGTGGCTGCAAATGTTTTTAGACGACAAGCAACACGATCATCCTCGAAAATAGGAGGAGACAATTGGAGTCTTCCAAAGACGACACGTGTCAAAAGCGGTTGTCATTTTGCCGGAAATTTGATTCTCTAAGATCGGGAGGAGGAAGCCAACCCGGTTCACCGGTTAAGCAGGAGGAGAAGAAGCCCAAATCCAGCGGTCGTCGAACAGCCAGCAGCGCGGTGATGTCGCAGTCGGAGTCTTCCCCCAGTCAGAAACGTCAGAGTGGACGGGCCTCCAATTCCGCGCTGCCACACAATAAACATTCCTCCTCGTCCTCGTCCTCATCCTCCGGTCGACTGTGAAGGCGAAAGCAGATGATGATCATCAACATCAGCATCAGGCCGTGGTATTAATGGCGAGCAATAATAATAAGAAGAAGAAGAAGAATTTGGACCCACTGGTAGGTATGTCCATTATTGCGGTGACGCTGATTATTATGTTATTTTGGGGCCGATTGTGCGCCATTCTGTGTACGTCCGCATGGTTTTATTTCTTCCCTCGCTTCACATCTTCTTCAGCCACTGCCACTACCACTGCCACCGCTAGTATTATTTCGGGCTTGGATTTGAATTCCGAGGAATACAAGAAGAAGGTGGTCTTAGAGGGATTCCTTGAAAGGAATAATCACCGCAATAATAATTGAAAACATCATATCATGTTATGTTTTGTCATGTTATGTATGCAATATATATGTATATACTTCGGCAGACGCGCTAGGTTTGCTCGTTTTTCTCCTCAAAATCTTCTTCTTTAAGTTTCCCATTTTCTTAACTTAATAATTGGTTAGTTATAACAGGTGAGGTGATCATATATATAATATTAGAGATATCCAAATTTAGAATTAGTATTATTCAAGGCTACGTCTCTAATTGGGAAGTCTATCTACAATCTAGACAACTGAAAGGGGGGTTGGTGTATGCCAACGCCACCATCACACTTTCATTTCATCCTAATACGCCACTGGGTTTGTTTGCCGCAAACCACGTCGAGAATGGATGCAAGCTCGGTCCGAGTCCTTTTTTATTTTTGTTTTCAGTCAACGTGGATGTTGGTTCTTTTATGCCAAGCTCAATATATTCAAACTTTGACCTTTTCTTATATCTCCAACTCCATCTAGGCCCTCGGTTCAAATTCAATTTTCTTAAGCTGACGGCTTTGCTTCATTTAGTTTATACATAAACCTAATTCTACGTTTTGTGTTAATTATGTTTGTTGCAAATATTATTAGCCCAAGTTTAAAAATTAACATTTTCAAATTTAATTGATCTTGTTTTATCTACATATATCACCTTTAAATGATGATATAAAAAATGAACGGTTCTAATTGTAACATATGTATAATGATTTCTACGAAGATTCGTTAATCATTAAATAAGTGCAAGTGGAGTGGAGGTGCACTTTGGATGTTCTTAGGCTTTAAACATAGTCTAGAACATTAAAAATAGAATAATGTTACTCTTACTACATTTGTATACTACATTCTCATACTACTTTATGTGGTAGATGAGGTGGATAACCACATCAATTAAAATTATTTAATACATATATATATTATGATTTATTAACACTTAAAAAAAAAATTGTTAATTAAACTTTCTTTATTAAAATACACTTCATTGATTTAATTGATATGACATATAATATAGACATACCACATCATATGATATAAAAATGTGATAAGTGTAGCATTACTCTTAAAAATAAAAGAATTACTTGAAATGTATGACATATTTTCAATCAATCATGATTTGATAACCCATATTTAAAAGCAAAATTAAAAATTGAGATTTGACCAATTTTAGTTTTACCAATAATATGACAACTTTGCTTGATAAGATTTGAATTTCTAACCAACGGGTGATAAAATAATGATTTTAGTCAAGAAACTGTTGAATCTCCTAAAGTAGCCAGCGTTAAATCTTCGGTATGAAGTGTTAGCTAGCCCTTCCTTGGTTATGATTTTGGTTATTTACCCGTTTATTTTCTATTATATTTATCTGTATATATTTTGTTTGACATTAAGAAACTGTTTGCATCATCGTAGAACCATGGTTGGTATTTAATAGTTTATCCGACCACACAGGAACCAACCCACAACACAAGTTACCCGAACCCGACCCAGATCATACCACATAGGAACCAACAAACAACCCACAACCCAAGTAACCCGACCCAGATCCCAAACCACACTCTCTCTCACTCTCCCCAACCCACACGCACAAGAAAAACACTCTGACTGAGTAAAGATTGAATCCATAAACCCTATATCCCCCATTTGCAAATCAGTCTCCTTCTTCATGCTCATGATGAGGGGCCTAATCTCAAGCGCGAAGCTTGTGGCAAGTAGCAGGGCATGGGTTAAGCCATGGGGTACGTCTTTGCGCAGCTACAGCTTGATCCCAATGGTTATAGAGCACTCGTCTCGAGGGGAGCGAGCATACGACATCTTCTCTCGCCTTCTCAAGGAGCGCATCGTCTGCATCAACGGTCCAATTAACGACGACACTGCCCACGTCGTCGTTGCGCAGCTTCTCTTTTTGGAGTCTGAGAACCCATCCAAGCCCATCAATATGTACCTCAACTCTCCCGGTGGCCATGTCACTGCAGGTCCATTATCATTTATGCTTTCCTTTATTTATACTGTCGACTTTTTTTCTTTCTCTTTATTTGCTGATGGGTTGTGTGAAATTCTCATGTTTTAGTTTTTAGACATTGTCTTGAATAATATGAATTGCGAATTAGTGGGTGAATCGATGTCTGATTGTAGTTTCGAGATTTTAGGACTCAGGAATGAGATTAGTCGATTTTGTTTTTCTAGATTATGACCCATTTCTAACTTCCATTTTATTACCTGATTTACTTTTGTATGCTTGTTTGTTTATTGATAATTACGAGTTGAAAGAATTTATTTTTATTCGCGGTTTCTGTTTTCTTGAAATTGAATTTTGATAATTGATAAGTTTATTTATAAACTCGTAATGTTTATATATTTCTAAGATATGCGGAGAGTGAATGTCACTTGAGATCTTTTCAAACTGCTTCTATGAAAGCTATCTGATATTTGAAATTATTCGGTTAGATGATGATTGCAAATCGTTAGGTCTGGTTTGTATAACCTACATCTTAAGAGAGCATTGTCAGAGAGAAAGTGTGGGATTTTCTTATGACTTCACAATCTACTAAGATGTTGAGTGTAACTTGGTTTTAAGAACCCTTCACAAATGTAACTGTTAGAAAAGTAATTGACATATGTAATTATGAAATCATGATATGGTTGTAGCATTTCAAAAGTTTTAGAATCATGGTATAATATCTGCTACTGATGATGGATCCAAGTAAAACTGGTCTTTCAAATTTCCATTGTATGACCAATTGCACCATATATCACCAATGTTAAAGCACTCATGTAAAGTAATTGTATTTTGTCACACGGTCCTTTTCACTGTAATATTTCATAACATCTGAGCTCTGTTTGGGTTTATGTCAACTAAAATGAAATCCTAAATGTCATTAATTTGTAAGTATGAGTTTAACTAATTGAACGCTTCTTCCAATAAGATGATAAGCAGTGGGAGTTAAGTAAGCAATTAGTGCTCTAAGGACTTGAACAGATGGTAGAGCATTAGTAAGCTAATCCCCGGAAAAAAGACAAAAAAGGCCGAGGGTGATCAGGCTTTATAGATGATTTCTGGGTAAGTTAATTGTCTCGTATGGGATTATAAGTTTTGTGAATGTAAGGAATATACTGTTAGAGTTTTGGTAAGGTAGCTGTAGACAGAAAAGATTCTTAAGGGAGTAGAGTTTTGTGGTAACTAAATAACTTGTGCTGACTGATGGACGAAAATCTGCACAAAATTATGAGAAGATTAAGAAGAAAACAAACTAGATATCATGCAGCAATGTATAGAATTGTGTGATGCACTTCTTCACTTTTTCTTGAAGTGTCTCAGTATTTCACATGCTTAAAAAGCACACAAGTCTCAGCTCCATTACATGGTCACAACAAGAATAAAGAAAACTATTTTTCCATCTTTGAATCTACCGTGTCTAGAAACTAGAGGCTTTGGAGCTGAGACTTGCATGCTCTTTAGCATAATCTGTCTCCTAAAGAATATAGGTAAGACTGAACTGGTAGGTAGAAATTGAAGGGGAAACAAGACCTGGCTAAAGCCAAACTTGGTTATGATGTCCTCAATCGTATTCCATCAAATTTGGATTAACGTTTGACTTTCTTCTAACACTTGCTTTCATCAAGCCCTTTTTCATATTTATTTGTTCATTTTGAGGTGAAGAAGTCAACTAATTCTAAGCCTTATAACAGCTACTTGGGGTAAAAAACATAAATCTTTGTTGAAAATCCGGTTTTAGTTCAAATGATTGCGATAAGATACAGAGCTGCAAAAAGTTGATGCTACAAACTTTGTTACAGTGCTTATGTTTGTCCTCTTATGTTGGTATGTTCTAATTCTTTAATTAGCAGATGCTTCTAATTTGAATTTTGAACAGTATAGTTATGTTTTGTACTGCACATAAATAGATGGGATTCAGCAGGAAAAGATAAAAATAGATTAAATAGATGAGACTCAATGCATGATTTGGTTGAAATTCACCAGCATTGTTACATGCTAATGATTGTATTTGTTCATACAGGTCTTGCAATTTATGATACCATGCAGTACATTCGGTCACCTATCAATACCATTTGTTTGGGTCAAGCTGCATCAATGGCTTCCCTTCTCTTAGCTGCGGGTGCCAAGGGCGAGAGGCGGTCACTCCCAAATGCGACAGTTATGATTCATCAGCCTTCAGGTGGGTACAGTGGACAAGCAAAAGACATGACAATTCACACGAAGCAGATTGTTCGTGTGTGGGATTCCCTTAATGCCTTGTATTCAAAGCATACAGGGCAATCCGTAGAGATAATTCAGAAGAATATGGATAGAGATTATTTTATGACCCCAGAAGAGGCAAAGGAGTTTGGAATAATTGACGAGGTCATGGATGAAAGACCAGTGGCTCTGGTGACTGATGCAATTGGCAATGAAGGCAAAGAAAAGGATAAAAGTTCAAAGTAGGAGGATCAGAGATTTGGGTGTCAGTAAGGAAGTAACCATCACTCTTTCTTAGTTTGGTCTTTTAGTTTGACAGAATTATATGTTTGATGTTACAATCCTGAAGTCAACAGGTTTGCTTCTCTTGTTAGCATTCATTTGGATATCAGTATTTTCTGCTCATTTTGTTACATGACATGCTCACCATACAAAGGAGAAACAGTGTATGGCCTATCAGTAAGTATCAATATTCAATTATCTGAGTGATGAGAGCCATCTTGATCTTGTAAAGACCTTAAAGATAAATTTTTGAGGGCGGCAGGTTACGAAGTAAAACATAATATAAATGAGTAGTTTTAAATAGTTTTTAGATTTTATACCTTCTTGTTTTTCTTTTCACTTCATAACTTTTGTAAGTCTCTTCTTATTTAGCATCATTCCCCCCCCCCCCCCCCCACCCAAAAAAAAACACGGAGTCTCTGCAAACCTGTGTTCTCTCTCTATTTTTAAAAGTTTAATCTAAATAATTTGTTGTGTAATATTTTACCCTTTAACCTAAATACTTCGTTATTCAGTAGTTAACTAAACTTTATTTTAATTTTTTGGTTTCTGAATGTTTAATTTTTGCTCTTCTCCCTTAATATTTGTGTATATATATATAAACGATGCAGATTACAAATTCAACAAACCCATCAAACCTTGTTAAGCCAAAATTCACCAACAGAATTTCTTGATTAGAGTTATCTGTAATGAAATAATTTGATATAGAATTGATGTGAAAAATTGAAGCTGCTGTTAAATCTAGAGTCTCGGGATTCATAATAAAATAAAGGGAGCTTTAGTAATATACCCAAAATGGGACCTGAATTTATAAAAAAACCCCACATAGAATACACTTTATAAACACACCCAAAATCCATTTATTATATAACAAATTAGTGTTCAAGTTCCTATAAATTACAGGTCTGCCACTATCAAGCCCAACACCAAACAAACTCAAAAGACACCCAAAACAAACCCAGCCCAAACTTATAAACAAGCCCAAACCGTAACTTTCGTCCAAAAAAAAAAAAGTAAACCGTAACTTTAAAAAAAGTAAACCAACCGTAACTTCCAGCACGCGCACTTTCATTAAACGTTCTCTGCAAAACGTCTCTTCACTTCACTCATCGTCTTCATCAAGTCAAATCGTCTTCATCAATTCGTCTTCATCGTCGTCGAAACCGAGACTCCATAACCACCACCAAGATTGATCTCGTTTCAAAAACAAACTCCAGACACTGACCAAGACAAAATTTCAGAGAACCATTTCAACAAGAAAACGCTTCAAAGGTAAGACATTTACAAACCAAACCTTTACTGTAATATTGATTATTTGCTATAAAGATCCAGTCTAGGGTAATAACAGTATTTTAGATTCGAATGAAAGACAAAATCTTGAAACTATATTGGATTTCACTATAGGACTGACTGCATAGGACCATTACTTTAGTCACTAATTTAGCGGCTAGCATGCTGATTATTGGCTATAAAGTTCCAGTATATGGTAATAACACTGATTGTTTCCCTATGAAATACTATTTCTAAGGCATGTCTACCACTGTCAAGTTCCAGTATAGATAAAGTTCCAGTATATGGTAATAACACTGATTGTTCCCTATGAAATACTATCTCTAAGGCATGTCTACCACTGTCAAGTTCCAGTATATGGTAATAACACTGATTGTTCCCTATGAAATACTATCTCTAAGGCATGTCTACCACTGTCAAGTTCCAGTATATGGTAATAACACTGATTGTTCCCTATGAAATACTATTTCTAAGGCATGTCTACCACTGTCAAGTTCCAGTATATGGTAATAACACTGATTGTTCCCTATGAAATACTGTCTCTAAGGCATGTCTACCTCTGTCAAGTTCCAGTATATGGTAATAACACTGATTGTTCCCTAAGAAATACTATTTCTAAGGCATGTCTACCTCTGTCAAGTTCCAGTATGGGGTATTAACACCGATACTTTACTGTCGTGTTCCTATTTCTAATGCAGGTATACCAATTAAAAGATGAAGAAAGAAAGAGCCAGAAGAAACTCCAAAACAAAAGGCCAACAGTCATCATCCAAAACAACAACAAACAAGAAGCCTACCAGATGGGAGGACCCAAATTATGTGCAGATCAAGAGCAACATGCTCTCTTTTGCAACAACAATTGACAACATCAGACAGAGACTTGAACGTCGGCACGATGTCTTAACACTGCTATCAAAGACACCTTTTTGGGCATTAATAGAAGCATATATCCAGAGAAGGTTAACAAAGGTAGAGTGCATGAAGTCTAACTACGACATTGTGAGACTCATACAAGTTTATGACACAAAGACAAAGAAGTTCAAGTTTAATGATGTTGACAGCGAGATGAAAAGCAATGATGTGGCTGAAATTTTTGGCTTGCCAAACAGTGGCAAGAAGTTACCAAGCACAACAACCTCAACAAGGCCAAATTGCAGTTTGTAGAGAAATACTTCGCGCGGTATAAGAAGATAACAAAGACTTCAATTGATAAGTGCTTGAATTTGGCACTTGAAGATGAAACAGAAGAGGGTGCTATGGATGTAACAAGATTGATAATCCTACAACTCTTCATGACCAATCTATTCTGCAACTCTGGTTGTACACTTGCTTGGACATATACAACCACAATAGACACCTTAGAAGAGATGGGGAAATATAATTGGGCTCGAGGAGTTTTGGACTACATGTATTTTGGATTAGAACAAGCAAAGAAGAACAAGAAGGACAAAAAAAAGCAGCCAAGCGTGAGTGGCTGCCTAATCCTAATACTGGTAAGAACACAAATCTCCAAACTGCAAATTCGTAGCATTATTCTAATGATATGAATTGACACGTGATATTTCAAAAAAATATTGTGCAGTATTGGCTGTGTCAAAGATCTAACCTGCTCACTCCAATTCCTGGAAGAGAACAAATGACACCAGCTGCTGTCAAATGGAGTCTTCAAGAACTCAGCGCGAAGCTTCATCATCTAAAGAACAACCAGATAAAGGTACTCTTTCCTCTCAAATAATCTGCAGCTGATATGACAACATTGTTAATACCATGTCATGTACATACTTGTTAATACCATGTCATAGAAGTAAACTATGAATACCATGTCACAGAGGTAAACTATGAATACCATTTCATAGAAGTACACTATTAAAACCATGTCATAGAATTACACTCTTAATACCATGTCATAGAAGTGCACTCTTAATACTAACTCTACTCAACAAACAGATAAAAAGCACTAAAGCTCAAGAGCCAGATGATGATTCTGAAGAAGAGAATGAAGAGAATGATGATGATTCTGAAGAAGAGAATGAAGAGGAGGATGATGGTGCTGAAGAAGTGAATGAAGAGCATGATGATGATGCTGGTGAAGAAGTGAGTGAAGACAAGGATGATGCTGCTGAAGAGGTGAATGAAGAGCATGGTGATGCTGCTGAAGAAGAAAATGAAGAGGAGGAGGATGCTGAAGTGAATGGAGACCATGATGATGCTGCTGAACATCAAGTCCAGCAACACCACCAGGTACAAGAAGACCTCCAAAATGAAATCCCAGAATACCGGAATTCAACGTTGTTTGAGGAAATTGTTAGATCAGTACCAGAATACAAGGAGGATGAAATACAGCTTACAAAAGAGTATATGATGGCGATCAATAATGCTGCTGAATATTGGACGAAGAAAGGAGAGCATCAAAAGATCCGTGATGCAATAGCATCTTGCATTAAAAAGAATAAATTGATTCAGATGCTGTACAATGAAAAGAAGAATTATTGAAGCATCAGCAGCAACTGCAGAAGATGGTTAAGGAAGCAGCACATCACAAGAAAGTCATACAATTAGATGTTCATCAGGAAAAATCCTACATGACAAAGCTGCAGCTAGAAAATGATCAACTTCTTGCAGAGAAGATTTCCTACTTGGACATTATTAATGAAAAGGAAGCTGTTATTGTCTCGATGAGAACGCCGATGGAAAAACTCCTGAAAAGTTAGTTATCATGCAAGCAAAAGAAGTAGGAACACGGCCGTTGCGTTCTGGCATCAAAATAATCAAAGACAGAAAAGACAGAAAGCCTGCAAAGAAACCAGATTACACATACCCCGAAGCACATAAGAAAGGCCGAAAAAGAGCAAGCCAAAGCGAAGATGAAGCAGCCAACAAAAAAAAGGAGGACAAAGATACATACCTTCAGTTGCACATGTATGAGGTCTACAACAGGCTGGATGAAATATCAAAGAAGAAGTTGGAAAATTACTGGAAATCTGCATCTGATTCTGAGGAGTAAGCCAATCTGTCACAGATTACACTGTTAATACTATGCCTTAGAACTGTCATAGAATTACACTGTTAATACTATGTCATAGAACTGTCTTGTTATTAAACTATTATGAGATTATCATTTTTAAACAACATTATTGTCGCAGGGACGCTTTTTACCTACAAAATAGGACAATATTGTACAAACATAACATTGAAAAGCTGATGGGAGATGGTCCAATTTCTGCACTAATCATCGATGCTTATGGAGAGGCACTTAATGATGATGCGAAGCAGAACCCTCAGAAACAGAAAAATGCATATTTGTCCGCCAATAACTATGTAAGATCACATCTAATACATCAATTTTATATCATCAACATGCTCACTAATCACCAACACATGACTTTTGCAGATGTTTTTGCGAGGTGCCTCACACAAGCTGACATATCATGCTTTCTATATGCCACTCCTAGAAAATATTGGAAGAGTTGATAGAGTGTTCATACCAATTACAGATGAGAACCACCATACGCTGCTTGTCTTTGACACCGGTGCAGCAAAATGGACACACTTCAACTCATTCAGGGGGACATCAGAACAAACTCTCCAATATTATCACAAGAAGGCAATTGTTTTGGTAAGTAAGACTGGTGATTAACACTGTTAATACATAGGACACTAAATTTAAAGGAAACTAAGCACATACTTGACTATGATGCAGGTTGAGACAGCAAATATATTCCTCTGTCTTCTTAAGGAATGTGCTGCAGTATCACTGAAAACAAAACTCGTCCAAATTCCTGATTTTGATGCCAAGAAGCCGAGAGGGCTTAATGAAGCTTCAGCTAGAATGATAACAAAAATACTTGCCAGCAACGAACTTACACCAGAATATGCTCAGACAATGAAGTATCTGATTTGTCATGATACTACTAACTTCAAGCTGACTGAGAACAGAGAATGTCCCCAACAAGCAAACAATTCGTAAGTTACGCAATAACAGTGAAACTTTCATCCTATTCAACTAAAAAAATACTGAAATAACTCCTGCATGCGTATCTCTATTATGCAGCAATGATTGTGGCGTCTTTGTCATGCACTTCATGAAGCAGCTTTCCAAAGACCAACAAATAGAATCAGATTTCAACAAAGAAAAGGTCTGGCAAATGAGAAAAGAAGTCCTCATGAAAATTATGAGCAATGAAAGAAGTTGGATTTCCATCAAAGAAAGAGAAGAGAGAAATGCAAAATAATGAAGTTGTAATCAAATATTTTGCCAAAATTCTTGCTTATATTGTAGTTTCTTAGGACTTGTGTAGGTTTAGAACATTGAAGTAAAGTGATTTTCAAATTCAAGTTATGTACTTATTCAAAAACCAGTTTATTTACGTGAATTAACAGTGTATGTAACCTGAAATAATGGTCTCCATAGCACTAAAACAACTAAAAGGTGAACTACAACAAATAACAACGCACTCTCAATTCAATGTTAATGCTATTTGATAGAAATAAATTGTTAATACCATGTCATAGAACTATCTTTCAATTTCAACAATGGCATGAACAGTGAGCATTAAATAGTGTTCGTTCATTTATAGATTATTCAAACAGCAGTAATGCTTAATTCATATCAAACTTCAAAACCGAAATTTGCAAAATACCAAAAATGGTAAATATTATGTATTAATACCAAAAATTCAAAGTGTATTCATATGCAGTGACTGCTATTTCACCGTATTAACAACTTGCATATCAATTTCTATTCCTTTCAACTATGATTGTCATTAATCAATCACATAGCACTTTAACTAGTTAAAAACTAACTACTCTCATTCAAGTCTTTATACTCAGAACCTTTACATCAAATAGGAACCTTGCAAGTCCTCCTATTATGACGATCACAAGAACCGCATCTCTTGCACTTCACCTGCCTTTTAGTTTCACTGCTTGACTTGAAGCGCTTTGTCGGAGGTCGTCCCGGAGGCTTTCTTGTATGAGGAGGTAGAAGAAAAACATCTGCAGGAGGAGGCTTCTCAATATCAGGTATGGGAAATATAGGGGTTGCATAAGTAGCCTTATAAAAGTCTGCCTTGTAATACTCATCCACAAAGTTGTACAAACATAACCCGGAATGTTGGATAACTTGAATCGCATGCTGACACGGAAACCCAAGCAATTGCCACTGATAACAGGAGCAAAACCTCTCGTCCAAATTGACCATAACACTCAAATCAGCATGAACTTCAAAAACAGATTCACTCGCGCGACATATCCTCCAATGACGACCCTTTGCAGCTAAATTCTTCAACTCATCCTCAATAACAGGACACAAAACACTACTCCATTTCTCGGATGCAAGCTTCCTCCTAGAAATCATCTCCATCATTTTGATCCTAACAGTGTCAATCATCTCATAAATTGGAAGCCTACGCACATCCTTAATCCATGAATTAAAAGACTCGGACAAGGCATTACTAACCTCCCCATACCTCTTTCCCGGAAAAAATGCATTAGCAAAATTTTGGACAGGGAGATCAGCCAAAAACTTATCAATTATTTTTGAACCGCCATCATCTCTTAATTTTTTCAACGTATCTTGATATTCCTCAACAGTCGGTGCATACAACAACTTACAAAAAAGCCATAAAATATGATCCTTGAAAGAGGAACCAACAGCATGCGGATACTTCTTTTTCAAGTTCTCTTTCAAATGATATAGACAAAAACCATGGGGAGAAGCAGGAAAACAGTCCTAACAGCATCGATAATAGCACCATGCCTATCAGAAATGAATGTAAGTTGCCTACCTTCATCAACCAAGACTTCAGATATCCTTTGCAGAAACCACCTCCAATTATCCACGGTTTCACCGGATACAATCGCAAAGGCAAAAGGGAATACTTCTACAAGAAACAGAGAACTATATTAGTTAGTTTGAACTGTAACAGTGTTACCACATAAAGCAGAGTAAAACTACAATGCATAAAATACTCAGATGCAGGGTATGAACAGTATAGAAACTGTTCATACCACTCAATGGAAGTCAACAACTACAGCATTTACATTTGCATAACTACACTGTTCATACCACTCAATGGAAGTCAACAACTAGAGCATTTACATTACATACCTTTATTTCCATTCTTTGCAGTAGCTCCTAGAAGAGTACCCTTGTACTTGTTTGTGACGAAAGTACCATCAATGAACAGCATAGGCCTACACCACCGAAAACCATCAATGGAGGCCTTAAAACATATAAAGATCCGCTGGAAACGAGAACCATCCTCGCCACAGTCAAGCACACAATGAGATCCGACATTGCTGGCCTTCAAAACATTCACATACCAAGGCAGGTGAGCATAAGACAACTCCTCATCACCATGCAAATCCTTAGTAGCCGACTCCTTCCCATACCACGCAACATGATAAGGGATATCCAATCCATAATTCTCCTTCAAATCAGTAATCAGCTCAATAGGCCTTACCAAAGGATTGCTACGAACCTTATCTTTGACAATTGAAGACACCAAACGAGACCCCATTGCCTTATTTCTCTTCTCACGGATCAAACCACTGCAACTGTGTGCATTATTTAAGTTCTTAATATAAAAAAATCCATTTACATTCGACTTAACAGCATGCACATGCCACTCACAGCCATTTGATTCCTTCTTAGCACACACAGCAGTAACACGACGAGGCTCATTTTTCAAATATTTCATCTTAAAACCATTCTCAATCGAGTACTTAGCCAACTTATCACGGAATTCACAAACTCCACCCTCAAACTTCTGACCCTCATGAGTAATATAACCCTCCCAATCAGTAGACAAATACTTACGACCTCCACAACTACCATATTTGCCTAAATATTCATTTCCATACTCACTGCTAATACCATCAAAATCCATACTCAAAGAAGAAGAAGAAGCTGCATTTGAATCAACAATACTACCAGTTTGAATTGAATATTTACATGTATCCTCATCTTCTGCAAAACTGTAATTGTTAGGAACAGCCTCCAACAAAAAAGGAGAAGCAATTATGTTCGTATTAACAGTTTGAACATAATTCACTACAGCCTTATCCCTAACAGCAATGTGAATTAATTGATCCTTCGTCAGTCCACATACCATAAACATGATTTTCAAATCATCATCCAATTCCAATAAACAATTGGAGCAATCCGTATAAGAGTACCTCAACTCAAAATGACCTAACTTCAGCTTGAACCTACTACACAACTCGTTGGACAGCCAATCAAAAGTAGTAGTTGAAGACAAAATAAGCATTAAAGTTCCACCACCATAGGTGCACTTTGCCACTCTCGAATCATCCATATCTATACAAAAAAACAACAAACAAAACAAAATGACTACTAGCAATAACAGTGGATGCCGGGTATTAACAGTGAATTATAGTCGACTCAAAAACCAATAGTGCATAAACAGAAAAAACACGAATATACTCAGATTCAACTGAAAAAACCTCAATTAATATGAAAACCAAATCGAATATCACAAAAGTTTCACCACACCTCAAATCAAAACACAAGAGCAAATCCACAATCAAAACGAATCTGAAATCAATCCAAATTATAAACAAAAAGAAACGAAAACCTAATCAGCAACTTAATTAATCGAACATGAAATCACCAAAAATCAGACTACAATATAATCGAATCCTCAAAAAACGAATATGAATTCACAAGAAAAAATCGAAATACCTCAAAATCGAAGATCACAGATCGCACCAAGCTCCAATCGAGTCTCTTGCAGCGCAATATCAATCCAAAAATTACCAAATCAAACAGCAAAGAACAAAAAAATTGAAGCAATAGAACTCCAATCTACACCATACTGAGCTCAGAAGAATCCAAAAAGAAGATCTGAAACCACATCATACTGAGCTTCGTTCGAAGAGGTGAACGAAGCTCGCTTCGTTCGAAGAACTGAACGAAGCTCGTTTGGAATATTCGATCTGCTGAGGCTGCCAAACAGGTTTCTGTTATGAGGTCACCAACGTAAATTTTCAAATATTCCTATCCTAGCTGGCGAATTTTGGGCCTGTTTCAAAGAATTCAGACCAAAAGGTCAAAACCGTAATCTAACATAGAAAATAAATCCAAAAATTGACAGCTGTTGGTTTTTGGGTTTATTTTGGGTGTGTTTATATGTTTTAAATAGTCTAGGGTTTTATTATAGTTTCATGTCTAGAATTGGGTGTTTCACTAATTTTCTATAAAATAAATAGATAAAAGGAGTTTATTATTAAGTAGAAGACCAATAGCAACCAAGAAAGAAAGAAAAGAAAGACTTTGGAACTCGTTGCCACGTACACCGACAGCACATAAAACCATCACTCGGAGCGAGTCCCGACCAACGTCCATCTTCCATCTTCCATCTTCCCAAGTTCCCTACCCAAACAAAAAACAAAGAAAAAAAAGAAAGGGAAAATTACCGATAGGTCCCGTTCTTATTCGGGCATTCACATTGGTGCCCAACCCAAAGCCCAAGCCCTCCTTCTCACAAAATCTACAATCTCGCTCTTCGACCGCCTCGATTCCTCTCTACAATCTGCCTTTCTCTCTCTCTAACACACACACTCTCTCTCTCGTTGGCTCTCTGTAATTGCGAATGCACAACCCTGTTGCTCTATCTCATTTTGTCCGATGACCTAGTGCCTTCGGCGCCGGAGCATCCACCGGCCGTCAACCACACGCTACGATTCCAATTCCGAGTCTCTGGGGACTTGTATAGGGTTTTCTTAAGTGCTTCTGCGATTTGATTGCGACGATTCAATTAGGGTTTTTCCTTTTGCTTTCTAAGATTGCGGCGTCCACGCCATGGCTCCGGGGCGTAGACGCGGAGCGAACAAGGCCAAGGCCAAGAGCCAGTTGAGTCTCGGCGATCTTGTCCTTGCCAAGGTCAAGGGCTTCCCCTATTGGCCTGCCAAGGTCTGATTTTTAATTCGCTGTCGCTTTCTCTCTTTTACGGATTCTGCTTCTTCATCTACAACTTTGTGTCTATATGGTTTCCGCCTCTTCATTTACGACTTTGTGTATATGTAGTGTTTCTACTTTACGCTTATGTTTTTGGTTGTGTTTGGGCATTAGGGTTTTCCAGTATATGTTTTTGAATTGCTTGTTGATCGGTTTGCTCCACTTGGATTTGACTTTTCGTAGAATTGTGATAACTAACGAATTTTCATAGGCTTTTGGACTTGTGTGTTTACTGAATGGGACTGAACATAGTGAGGCTTTCAGACATTATGGATATCTTGCCCTTAGGTCTGTTTATATGATGGTCGTCTAAGTTTTTAGAGTAAAGTATTTTTCTTTTTGTCATATCTATTTAATTTATTGTTTAATCTATATTGGGTCTAGGATTTGTTGCACCGAGCTGGTATATGGACCATGAACTTTCAGTAATTTGGCATGTTTAGAATTGGTTGTTTTATTTATTTGTTGTTAATAGTAACTCCGTTAGATTTTTGGGTTATAACCAATTTGATTGGCATTTGAACTAGATTTTGTGGGTTTGAATTTTCAGATTAGCAGGCCTGAAGATTGGAAGAAGGTCCCTGATCCTAAGAAGTATTTTGTCCAATTTTTTGGAACAGAAGAGATGTAAGTATATCCCATTTGATAATTTCATATTAGTTCATATATGTTGAATAAAGTCTGTTAGTGAATTGTTACATGTACTTTGGAAAACCTCTTATACATGGTGGTTTCATAACAAGAAATAAGACACTAATATATTGACAACCTAGGGTGTAGATCACAGAAAGGTGAAATTGACAAATTTTTTGGAACGAAAGAGATGTAAGTATATCTTATTTGATAATTTCGTATTAGTTCATGCATGTCAATACATTCTGTTAGTAAAATATGTTACATGTAAATTGAACTACCTGTTATACATGGACTTTTAATTAAAAAGAAGACACCAGTATAGTTGATTGTAGATATGGAAAGTTGAAAATGACAACTTGTTTTGCCAAAATGAATTCGTTTATCTGATTCATCTCTATCTAAGAACACAGTGAAAATACAACCTTTGCATGTGCAGTTTAGTAAACTTTCTCTCTTCCAGTTTATTTTTCAAATGGAAAAGTTCACTTATGGAATGTTAAATCAATTGTTGCTTAGGATTTTCTTGTGATTCGTTCCGAATTTTTATTCTAGTATCATTAATACATGTGTTTTTTATGTTAGCCCTAGAAGCTTATCAATAGAAGAACAAGATTGAAATTTTTGCCTGCAAAGTAGTTTGTCTTGGTAGATGAAAAACTAAGTGATTAGGGTTTTAAAAGGTGGAAGATTGTATTTTGACTATTTAGTTCCTACTGGTGCAGAAAAGGGCCCAGTTTTGGGAAATGTTGCATTAAACTGAGCAATTTGTGGAATTGTGTCTCAAATTTGGTGTTGGACCAATGAAAAAGGACTGGGTAATATATAGAGTTAAAATAAAATAAGCTTATGGTTTAAGAAACCGTTTTGTAGTTAAAGAATTAGAATGTTTATGGTTTTAAAAGCCTTTACAATGGTGCACAAATGAAAAGAAAAGAATAAGATCATATGGGTGTCCTTTTCTTTCGCTGTTGGAGAAATTTGTGGGCATATGTTGTTAGAAGAATTGAAGTGAAAGATGATGAATGAACAGAATTTAAACTCTCTTCTAATGCTTTGGTTTGCAAAAAATGTTGGAAGGAAAATAGTCTAAACTTTCTAGAAAACAATTCACTAGTGAAATTTACATTTTCTGACAACCAAACACATACACGAAATAGTTTCTTAATTTGTTCCTTCCTTTTTGTTCTTTTCAATTACTAAAATCTTGTGGCAAGTGTTGAATTGTGGCAGTCTGCTTTATAATCCTCTACTGTTTTTCTCGGTGAATTGAAAGTTAAAGTTAGACTTCCCGCCTAATTAATGTATTAACTGGCCTCTAAATATGGTAAGTTTAAAGCTCGATGTTTATTCTAAATCCAAATTGAAATCACTTAAACCACACCAAGAGCCTGTAATTCCTCGTGCTGTGTCTTTTGCTCCGTTATCATTTTCTGTGCTGTCTGTTTCGTATTTTTGTGCTGGTTAAATTGGTTGCTTCTGATATCTTAATTTGCTTCTTTTTTTTGCCCACTCCACAGAGCTTTTGTTGCCCCTGCAGATATTCAGGCATTCACTAGTGAGTTAAAAGTTAAATTAACAGGTCGGCTGCCAGGTAAAACAAAGAATTTTTCCCAAGCTGTGAAGGATATATGTGAGGAATTTGATGAGTTACAAAAAAAGAAATCAAATGATTTGAGGGATGATACTGACCCTGGATGTGAGGTTCCGTCTGTTAATGGTGTAGAAAATAATGGGGTTGAAGTCGAATTAAAGGATGGGGGTGAGGGTACGCAGGACTCCAATGGAGAAACACTGAAGGAAGAAGAAGGCATAGGTGATTTTGGCTCAAAGTTGGAACGCTGTTCACAGATCCGAGGTGAAAATGGCATTGAAGATGTAAATCCATCTACCTCATGTGGAGCAAATGAGAGTTCATCTCCAATAATGTCTTCTGAGACAAAAAATAAAATGTCTGCAGTTTCACAGCCAAAAAAAGAGGTATTAAAGAAATCCAACCCAGATAATTCTTGTGATATGAAGGAAGATGTTTCCGGTAGTAAGCATGAAGAAGATGGTGTTCGCACTAAGAAACACACTGAAAGACAGAGGTCCTTAGCAAATGGTCACAAGTCTACGAAGATTACTGGATCAAAGAGAAAACATGATGTCGCAGTTGAAGGACACAAAAATAGCTCTTCTGTGACATCATTGAAGGAGGATGGCTCTGTCTTTCTTGATCGCCCAAAATCTGGTGAGCGACTGAGAGATGGAACAAAAGGCAAACTCGGCTCTGGTGGCAGGAAGAGGGAATTTTCACCAGATGCTCGTAAATCAGATAGTGGTATTAGGGGTGGGAAAAAGGCAAAAGACCTGCGTAAAGCCAAAAATCAAATCGAGGTGGTAGATGATGTGAAGGACTCTGTGGATGATCCTGTGGATCAGGCCAAAGACAAACTTTCTGGAAGGACAAAGAAGGTTCACCTTGCGCTTGGAAAGCCTAATTTGGGATCAAATGATATTTCACATCCTGCCAAAAAGTCAAAGCATGTAGACACAGGGGACAATGCTCCACGGGGTTCATTCTCTAAAATTGTAAAGAGTCTATCTCCAAGTTCTGATGTTGTTGATGACAAGACAGTTAAAAAATGGGATTTGAAAAAGTCGAATTCACGTGTGAAAGGAGAGAACCATTCCAGATCCCAAAATAGTATTGTTGGACCAAACGCTCCTGGTGATGAAGCTGCGCTACCCCTAACAAAGCGGCGTCTTCGAGCACTGGAGGCTATGTCTGATTCAGATACTTTGGTTTCTGATGATAAAATGGAAAAGGATTGCATTCTGAAGAATGATACTTTGGTTTCTACTGATGTCAGAGTTACAGCAGTTCATACACAGAGAAAGCGGAGAGCTGTGTGCCTCTATGAGGAGGATGAGGAGGAGGAAAAACCCAAAACACCGGTTCATGGAGGGTCTTCCCGAAATATTAAAGGGCCTTCATATTCTTCAGATGCTATGAAGAGCACTGATGAAAATCATGAGCGTTTGGATACTGCTCAACAGAGTACCAAATGTCCTGCTGAGTTTCAGGAGAGCCGCATGAAGGAATCAGGTTCCCAGTCAAACAGTAGTTCTCTGTCACCTAGCAAACCTCAAGCAGATGAAGATAGACCAGAAAGGAAACCTCAAATTGATGAAATGAGGCTTGAAAAGGCAGTGCATGTCTACCATAGTCCAGCAAAATCAGAACCTGAGCAGTTGTGCAAGGAGGAAAAACCGACTTTGACTTCTCCAAAAAAGTCTCCTCAGTCGGTTTCTACCATTAAACCAGTAGTGGAACAGCAGAAATCCACAAAACCTCTTGTTAAAGTCTCTAGTACTGGTATTCAAAAGAAGACTCAGGCTGTGTCTGGCAAGAGTTCAGGTTTAGTTTCATCTCAAAATCATGCAACAACTCAAAGAAATAGGCCTGCCTCTTCTGGAGAAAAATCTAAACCTACTCTACGATCAATCCCTCATATCAATGACACTGCTCTTTTAACAGAAAATGCAACAGAGTACATTTCGTTACCTGGTGAAAGGTATGCATGTTTTTATTCTTTATTGTGTTCATAGTTTTTGGTTGTGTTTTCTCATTTTTGATTTCATTGTGTTTTCCTAATAACAGAATGGACGTTGGCAGAGAAGATAAAAGTGGCTTGGTGGATTCTAGGACTCCGGAATCTTCTATATCTATGAGGCATCTTATTGCAGTTGCACAAGCAAAGAGGAAACAGGCTCAGTCACAAAGTTTCTTTCTTGGAATTTCCAATTCTACTCTTGTGTCTAACAAAGATTTGCAAGGGAGGAGCCCCAGCCCTTCTGAAGTTCAGGGGTTTTTGTCCACTAGCAGCAGTGCATTGCAGGCGGATCTCCCAGGATCTAATCAACTCACAAATTTAGCTTCACCGTCTACTCATGGTCGTCAATCTGCATCACAAATTCAACTTGATATTGAGGAAATCTCTGAAAGAAGAGTTAGTTCTGGGCATCAAACTGCTGGAGGATCGCTTAGTGGCGGCACTGAGGCAGCTGTTGCTCGTGATGCTTTTGAAGGAATGATAGAGACTTTGTCAAGGACTAAAGAAAGTATTGGTCGGGCAACTCGTCTTGCCATTGATTGTGCCAAGTATGGTATTGCCAATGAGGTAGGCTCCCTAGCATGTTCACCTTCCTTTTACCTGGTGTTCTTTGATTTCTCGCAAAGATCCTTATCACTTGATATTTTATTTTTTTTTTTTTTTTTTTTTTTTTTTTTTTTTTTTATTGATTGATGATTGATCAATATCTAATATCAATTGTATGTACAGTATAGACCTTGTTATACTAATATCGTTTAATGATTGATTTTTCTTTGTGGATAGTACTCTTATAATTTGCATATACTCTGTAATATGCATGCATTACATTTGCCAGTGTACTATTGTTAAAAAATAAGTGCAAAATGTTTTTGTAGTGAAAGTTTTGATTTGCTATACTCATTGCCCAGGTCTTTTTGAGTTTCAAATCTCTTGTCTACACTTACCATAACCAATTAATAGTTCTAGTCATTTCTGTTCCAACTTTCATCTGAAGTTGAGAAAAAGAAACCTTCAAGTAGCAGTTTGCACATTCCTTTCTGTTCTGCATCTAGATTTGTAATTTATGTGTGTCAAGTTGGCATATGTTTTTGCCTTTGTCCTTATGCTGACAAATGTAAAACTCCCTATGCTGACAAATAAATAAATGGTAACTGCTATCGCAGAGGTGGTAATGTACTTTGAACATGACCTGGTTTGTTTTTGGAATTTATGAAGTATATCACACACCAATTGAAGAATATTATTGCTGACAATCATCATGTTGATTGGAAGATACTCTTTCAGAATTTGAAATTTTGACTTCCTCTTTTATGCAGGTTGTGGAACTACTAATCCGAAAGTTGGAGGGTGAGCCTAGTTTTCATCGTAAGGTTGATCTTTTCTTTCTTGTGGATTCCATCACACAATGCTCGCATAATCAGAAAGGTATATGCCATCACACAACTTTTTCTGATAATAGATATTCATGCCTCTCTCTCTTTCTCGCTGGTTGTGAGTGCTTGATATGGTATTTCCTTCTGAAATCTGTTATTAATGGTAATTATTTTTTGTCAATATACAGGCATTGCAGGAGCTTCATATGTTCCGACAGTTCAAGCAGCATTGCCACGTCTTCTAGGTGCTGCTGCTCCACCTGGTTCTGGTGCTCGTGACAATCGTCGTCAGTGTCTTAAGGTAAGTGCAGTCTTATATAATGTTACATGAACTTCTTGTTTGTATACAAGATAAAGTGAAACAGACTTCTCGTCCAGGTTTTACGGCTGTGGATTGAGAGAAAAATCTTTCCTGAATCTGTCCTTCGTCGCTACATGGATGATATTGGGGTTTCAAATGATGATGCAACTGCTGGTTTCGCCCTTAGACGTCCATCTCGAGCTGAGCGTGCTGTAGATGATCCAATCAGAGAAATGGAAGGAATGTTTGTGGATGAGTATGGCAGGTAAATATATTACTTTTTTTGTTTTTTCTTAAGAGTTATAATTGTACTATTTTTCTTCCTTTCTTTGTTGTCCTGTAAAGAGCTGATTCTAAGGTTCTGTTTGCTATTGCTTCTTGACCAAATAACTTACATGCGTGACCATGTAAAGGACATGGCACTTATTAGATGGATATTAGCTTCTCATTAGTGAATTAATAATGTGGAGAAATTTAAATGTTGCCTTTATATACAAGCAATTCAAGGAATTTATAGTGCAATTATTGTATACATGCAATTCAATGATTTTACTTAGAATATAATTTCTCTAATTGCTTGTTTAATTGGGTATTAAAGTTACATTTATTTGTTTTTCCATTGAGTATTCCCCAAAGAAACTTGCTTCTATTATTTTGCACGGACTCTCTGGTATCTGATACGTGTAGTTCTGTGTTGCTTCTTGTGTCAGTAATGCTACATTTCAGCTGCCTGGCTTTTTATCTTCTCATGCATTTGAAGATGATGAAGAAGAAGATGAAGAACTTCCTAGCTGTTCATATAAGGAGACTAGCCATCCCTCGCCGGTGGAAACCACTCATGCTTCTGGGGAGTCAGAAACGTGTGCTGTGACTCCAAATGATAGGAGACATTGCATCTTGGAGGATGTGGATGGTGAACTTGAAATGGAAGATGTTTCTGGACATCCAAAGGATGAAAGACCCTTGTTTGTTAATGGTTCTTTTGAAAGGGATCCACAACAGCAGGGATCAGATACAGTCACAGAGCCAGCTTCAAATGTTTGCAGTGAGTTGCCCCCTCTTCCAGAGGGTTCTCCACCATTGCCTCTTGATTCTCCTCCTCCTCCCCCACCTCTGCCTCCATCACCCCCACCACCGCCGCCGCCACCCCCGTTATCTCCATCACCACCGCCACCGCCACCCCCACCTCTCCCATCACAGCTACCTCCTCCTCTACCACCATCAGGTCATCCACCATTATTTCCTCAGTCATCTATACCAACTCAGGCATCATTACTATCCCAACAGATGCTGCCACCTCAGTCAACAATGCATTCTTCCCCACAGGTGGCATATCAACTTCCTGTACCTCACGAATACTGTAGCAGTAGTGTAAGACTTCTTGCTTCCCCCCTATCAATCGCACATTGTTGTGTGTATATATATATATTATATCATATAACACATTATTTTTCTATACAGGGTAACCAGCTTGTCCAAATTGCTGGAAATGCTCCTCACGGGGGCCCTATTGATGCTGCTGCAAAAAGCGAGATGTTTCCACAGCAGCAAGCTTGCTTTATTCCTACAGGAGTATGTGGTCCTCGAGAACCTTCTGGATTTAACTCGACGAGGCAATTAGATCATGGACATAATGACATGTTTCTAAGTGCACAAGTCTCTCAACCAAGCCAACAATTTCAACAAGGTAATACCCCTTTTCCTCAAAGGCCTTTACCTCCTGCTCCACCACAAAATCCATCCAGTCATTTCTCTTATACAAAGCCCTCGAGTCAGCAACATCCTCAGCATCCATACCATGCTCCATACTCTTTGACTCCCCTCCCTGATAGTCAGAGACGATTTGCCGATGAACAACGTGGTGTTTGGATGAATGGAGGAAGACCCCCACATTCGGGACCACCATTTGGCCATGAAGGTATGGGTTTCTGATCCAGGTGGCTATGCTATCCCTTAAGTAGTTGCCTGTCTATTTCACGTTGAGCTTTGTGTAACAAAACTAGAACTTTTGCCAATATCATTGTTGAAATGTTTTTTCTCTTAGAGCCCAGTTGACTATAATGAGTAATCCGTTGTCTGCATTAGATCATTCTTAAAAAGAGTAAATCTCTATGTTATGTTTTTCTTTTGAATTTCTCTCAATGCATGCCATAGTAATCATTTTTAATTTCAACCGGATTTTTACTTTTAGGTTCTGTTTGAAACTTCAACCGTGTTTTAACCAACGTGGGGCTTGATGTTTGCCTGATTTATGAGTTTTCTGTGGCATGTATTTTGTTGCAGGCCTGTTTTAAATGAATCTGAGGCACACATGGTTACTGCTAGACATTCTGTTGATTTTTAGTACATTTAAGTTTCTTTTCATTCATTATCATTTGTATTGGCATGTGGTACAACCTTCTTCTAGCGGCCAGTCTGTGCTAGGCGATTCCTCATGCCTGTGTTTCTTCTGTGCCTCTAGTGTGGGAGAGAAACCCTATAGTTTTTGTGGAACAGTTGTGCAATTGGGGTCTTTGGTTTCTAACATTTTTTAAGGGTCTCCTTTCTTCTGGCTGATTGTGGATTGCAATTGTATTATTTTGTTGAGACTTCATGCATGCGGCTCACATGTTTTCTCTTTTCTTTTCGTGCGCATATGGTATTTGTAAAGTTTTGATTGCTATTAGCTCATTCTAGTTAATGTTTTTATTGTGATGGATCATGGCTCCTTTGCCTAATTTAATTCACTTATCTACCGAAGCATCTCTAGATATATTATATTTGGTGCTGATATGGCAGGCTATTTTCGTCCACCGCTTGATAGGCCGCCAACTAATAATATGGCTTTTCAGCGTTCTGCCCCTAATAATGTTCCATCTGGAGCTCCAATATCAGGTGATCTTGACTTAAACTAGTTGGAAGTGGGCTTGCATGTTTTAAGCAGACCAGGCTACTGTTGCAGTTATAAAATGACTTTCTGACTGCATTTTGTCCAGGTCATGGTGCTTCCCAGATCTTGCCATGCAGACCAGACATATCTGCTGTTAATTGTTGGAGACCAGCTTAATAGTGAAACTTAGCCCTACTTTAATATTCTTGTAAGTTTTTCTTTTTCTTTGGCTCAAAATTTAATGTTGTATTTTTGTAGCTCTCTGAATGGCTCCATCATTCTACTATTTTATTGATTCTTTCCTTATTGAAGTCTATTTGTTAATTGAAATTGACAGCCACCTCATCCTTTAATGGATATGTTGATAATCAACTCAAAGATTTTTTAATCAGAATCAGCTCAAAGATTTCAAATGATTCTTCATCCTTGACTTATAGGAGCCTAATGTAGTCTGTTTTCTTCTCATCTTTCTTATAACCAGACATTAAAACGAAAAGTTTGTGCAAATTCATGTGCTGCATTTCCGACTGTCCACTGCGTCCATCATCGCTTAGATAGACAATGCTCTCTCTCTCTCTCTCTCTCACTCAGTGATAAATCTGTTTATTTTCTGGCAATTCTTTTCAGCATTGACGGTGGCGTATCAATTAGCAACGTCACATGATGCTGTGCTTCAAAGTTGGATTCATTTTGTATACAAAACCCTAGTACCACTTGAAGTCAGTGTTGAGAACTTGTGGAGGCTCTTGGCAGGACTGTGTATATTGTAATTTTTCCTGACAAATGTATCCCGAGAACATTTGCTTCCAAGTGTATGCCCATGTTTCTTTCTTGGTTAGTACACTTGATTCTTAAGTTCATAACTGATGTAATTATTCCCAATATCAAATAGATAGAAAATCGATTTTATGCACTGACCTTTAGTCTTTGATGAATTTATTTTGCTTTTATCTTTTATATGCATAGTTATCCTACTTTTCCCGCTATCTGTTGCATCCTATAATATAATTTGCTTCAACATTCTGTTAGTTCCAGTTGGCATCCTTCCCCCTCTTGGATCGGCACATCCTGGTTTGTGCATGCATCTACTAAACAGTCAAAGATTTTAGTATAGAAAGGCAAAGTTGCCTCCTCCAACCAAAACCTACCTGTCCATGGGTCCAAGTCTTTCTAAATTAGTTTCTTGTGGTAATTGTAGTATTCACATTTTGGAATGTCATTCCATACCGAAGAGAAATCTAGTCATGTTGTCAAGTTCATGCATAATTTAGAAAGTTTACTTTTTCTTTATAGAATCACCCTGAATGTGCTGCCTGCCGGATAATACTTTCTTTCTCTCAGGCTAAGTTTTTGGTTATGGTGATTTTTATGGAATCTTTGGAAAGAATTTAGATTACTCTTTTGGTTAGATGGAGGGCATGTGTGGTTTGTATCTGCATTGTTGCTAAGATTGGGTGGGGTTTATTGAAGGGTTCAGGAACATAAGGTTTAAGAAGTCAAGAATAAACTGTGGAAAAAACTTTAGGAAAACGTAAAGGATTAAGGTGTAATAAAGGTTTCAGTCCAAAAAGGTGTAACAAGGGTATAAGGTTTCAAATCTTACACGAAGAAGAAGAAGAAGAAGAAGAAGAAGAATACCTCAATGACATTAACTTGGTTGAAAACCTGGGCCGGAATGTGCTGTTCTGGAGTTGGTTTGTATTGGAGGATAGGTGTTTAGCATATTGCACATTATTGAGGAGATAGGTATGGGTCAAAATATTGTCCTTGGCTATGTAATCAATGAAATGGTGTGGACTATGTATAGTCAAATCTATTGATGCTTGAAATTACTGGGTTATACACTAATCTTGAAATTAAAAGAAAAAACCCAGCGGCATAAAAAATGAAAAAAAGACTCCTGGACAGAAACACTTGGTGGAAGCTGTGTTCAAGCTTTAGGACTCGTCTTCAAATTTTCCTTTTTGGTTTCCAAACCACAAATCCTTACCACCTTATGCAAGTCGCAATGGGTTTCTCTTTTTATAATGTGGTTAGTGTGTGCTTACTCAGACGGTGATTGCAATGTGCAAATAATTCCTTCCATACATTTTGGCTAAAAAGTTCTATATAATAGTTGAAGTCGGTGGGTGTTGTGATTGTGGTGAAATGTTAGTTATCTGAGTTAAGCTTTGAAATTGGATTCTGGACAGTGTTTCTCTTTCTTTGTTTTCCTTTTCATATTTGAGTATATGTAGATATTTGGTTTAACTTAATGAATGTCTGCGGTAATATCATCTTCAGATACCCTTTTATATTTTTTATTGTAACAAGGGGAGGTATATGATAAGTGAATGCTCCCAGGTTGAGGCAGCCTGTGAGATGTTGATGAAATTTGGATTTCTAATGTTAGGGAGTTATGTTAGATGAGTGTAGGACGAACTTTTTATGCATGGTTGTTAGAATAAACCAGCCTTGATTGTTTGATCAGATTTAGAATGTAGGAAGTACATACTCTTCATATAGTTGATCATTGCCATATTTTTGTTGGAGCTTAAGTTTTTCTCTTTTAGAACCAATTATCAGCATTGCAACCTTTACTGTAAAGCTGAAGTTACCAAAACTTGGGTTATGTTTGATGTGTTGTTTACTACTTGTTGAAACAAATTCATCTAGAAACAAGTAAGTTCTTGTTTGATCTGCCGCTGTTATAACACCACAATATTTGTCCTATGGTTGAGAAAGGAAGCTTAAAGATTGTTTTTTCTTTTTTGGGATTACATCAACTCAAAAAATTTCTTGATTTATCATGTTTGAGGCACATCTCTGTTTTATGCCTTCACTCTACACCTGGTTAATTCAAAGTGCAACAGATGTGGATTTTTATTTTAGTGTTTGCTATCTGTATACATGTTGTGCAAATTAATTTAATTAATTTTACTTGATGTTGCATCGTGTCGATGCCATGTCATTTATTTTTAATGTTAATTTTTTGTAATATGTGGTACGGTACTTGTGGCTAAATTTGTGCATTCTGTAGTGTTGAAGTTACATGTTTCGCATTTTGTGCTATGGTAGTGTTTAAAATGTTTGTGTAGATATTTGCACATGAGTTCTCCTCTGTTTGGATTTCCTAGTTCCTGTTATGTTTTTCTTTTCTCAATAAAAGTGTGAAAGCCATGTGTGTTTTGTATTTATTCTGGAATGTTTTTTTTTTAATGTGAGACTAAGGTTTCGTTGTAAGGCCTTATTTTTCCCTTTAAGATTCTGAAATTATAGTAGTTGACATCTGAAAATACATGCAAGTCCCTGGAATTGTAATGATAGATAAAATAGCTGAAAAGAAGAATGGAAATAAGTAGGAAGTGAAAAGAAAAAGAAATAAATATTGAACTGAGAGTTTTGATGAGTTGTGTGGTTTTACCTTTATTGTTGATGGGGAATTTAGTTTGGAATGACATCATAACTGCGCATACTGTTACAGGTTTTGGCAAAAGATTAAAACAGATACATTTTTTGGGGTTTTGTCACTGTCAAAGGAAAAGGAATCCTACTTCCTGGCAGATACACATTGCTGTAAACCATTCAGGTACATATTTGACATGGATTTTTGGACCAAGAAAAGGATCATAAATATTGTTAGTTGAGTACGGTTTTGATGCAACTGTATATGTACCTGAATGTTTTGAAGAAATTACAGATGCTTTATAACTGCTGAAAGTTTTATTTGATAGTTCTCACAGATGCTTTAATGGCAGCGATTTTTCATTTAATGCGCAAACATCCGATCCGAGCATTTTTGTTTACACTATTATGTTTGATTATATTCTATTGTACACTGAGCATCACAAAATGAAAAGAGGTTCTTTGACTGCTGTTGCTTCTGGTTTTTTTGTTCTTTTTCTTTCATCATTTTTTTACCTTGATTCATTTTCGGTCTTTTTTTTCTTCTTCTTATTTTTTGTTTAGAGATTGGTTGAAAATCTTTTACACAAAAAGTTGCAGCACTAGTTTTACCAGCTAATGACCGACTTTTATTGTTTAAAATCTTTACTTCCACTGCCACCCATTTGGAGCTGGGGTTTAGGCCCCAGGCATTGTTTTATTTGAGAGGTCAAGGTCATGTTGATACAAGTATTTGTAGTAACGAGGGTAAAACAATATTTCATTTCCTTTTCCTGCATTCTCAGCCGTAGATAATAATGCAGGAGGCAGGCAGGCAGCAAGCATGTCCACCTTTTGTTGCATCTAATAATATGAATGAGTCAGTGTTTTCTGCTGCTCCCAAACATTGTAACTCGGTCTTCATTTGAAACGGACATGAAGCTCATGCGTATGCTATTACTAACATGAATTTATTTATTTATTTTTGTAAATGAAATTGGGCTAACTTTTATGAGGCTGGAGAGCGAGAAGTGATCCATTTCACTCATTGGATTGGAGGAAGGTGTGTCAAACATGTGTCTGATTCTGAAGCCAATAATAACCATATGATTAGGGCCTTTGGGGCTTAATAATTCTCAAGCGTCGGTATTACTGTCACCTCCGCCAATGCCGATGCCAATGCCATGTGGGCAAGACGTCTATGCATCCAAACTTTTTTTTCTGCCGCTCAAATTCGACTGTGGTGGTTGTGGTAAATGAATTAATAACCATCCCATCCGCGCGAAAACACATGAATTTTGATGGTTTTGTAGACTTCCTTATCACCAAATATGGAACCGGGTAGGATGGTGGAGGATTTCGGCTGCGGACTGGTAATTTCTTCATTGCCTGCTTTGCTGGTTTAAATGAATTAAATATGTATCTCTCTCAAAATGTTTCCATGCTAAACTCTTTGCTTTCATATGTTCCTCGTTACCTTACAGAAGAGAAACAAACGAGGAGAGTAGGCAAGTTCGGCACCAATTTGTAATTCATTTCACTGCACGTGATGTATTTTCCTTTGGAATTTCAGATCGTCCATGGACCATGAGTCTTATATTTATGACAACTCTTCCTTTAAACTAGTTATTGTTTCCGACCAAAAAAAAAAAAATACTAGTTGTTATTGTAATACCACCACCCTCACCATTTATGGACTCACTGTCTCACTCGCGGCGGTACAGAGCTGTATTAAGTTTCTAAGTACAGATACTAAGGAATACCACGATTTCGCTATATATTGCACCTTTAATGAAAGATGGATTGACTTCAAAAAAGAGAATGAAAAGATCATTCAAAGCCGAGGATGATAAACCTAAAATAAAACGGTGTGACATGAGTAATTTCAGATTATCAAAGAAAACTTATCAACAGTATACGAGTATATTGATAAGATCAATATTTTACGTAGAGGTAAGCACATTGATGATCATGAAGACATACAAACTGCTGAAACAAGATCAGAAATAAAGAACATTAGATTGTGGCTTCCGTGCGAAAGTAACACAAAAGAATAATAGCTAGTATGATATATGATGTTATAAACAGATCCCCCCAGAAACCCAAGGAGAGCCAGAACCAATATACATCTTCTATAATCTGGCCAAATGCTTACAAATTTGTCTGGAAAATATCCGGTAATCTTTTGTTCGCACTGCGCATGTGATCGCTTGCTCCTTCCAAGCGTTCATCCATGGCTTGAACTGGTACCTCTTCCTAAAGCTTGGAACTGTTTTCCATCTAACAGGAAATTCACATGTATTTCAATGATTAATGATATAGGGTCTTATTCAAATCTTTTGCCCCCCTTTCTTTTTTCTTTCTATTTACCCCTTGAAGGCAGGTAATGCATGTGCAAAAACATGGATCAAAATTGGCAATTAGAGTACAATCAAATGAATTAATCAAGTGCAGCCTTTCTTCGACCTGTTGGCTTAGGCAAACCATCAAATATTGGTTTTCTAATGGCTGCAGTTGAAAATACTTGTAAATCTGGCTTCAAACTCCACTTGGAAGTTGACCAGATGGATGCAGAACTGCTACTGTCGTGATCCTGCAAATTTGATGTGCTTGACGACTTCCTCACTCCAGACAACCCGTCTGTTATAAAAGAATCACCCAAACCCACTGGTATAGGATTCAAGCCACCAGCTTCAACATCAGTTCCTAAAGCCGTTCGATTAGCTGCTTTGGGTCTAAGGGCCAAGCACTGCCCTGTAAACGCTGAAAACCCGGCAGTGCCACTGCCACTGCTACTGTTATCTCCCAACAGCATCTCAGGAGTGCGAGAAAAGTCAGCTTCTGATTTCTGACGCCTCCTAATTAGTTTTTCACCAAATTGATCAGAGTCACCCTCTCTAGTTTCCGTACCAGGCATGGAATCCGAAAGTTCACCATTCTCATCCAGCTTAACTAAGCTTCTTGACTTTCGACGTTGGCCGAAAGGTTTGTCAGAAGCTGGCGACCCTCTAAGGAAGTGTCCATTTTCTAAATAATGGCCACCTCCATTTTTGTAGACTGCCATTTCAAAACCTTCAGTTATGGACTTCTGATTTCTTGGTTTCAGCCCGTAATAACTTTGTAAAGAGTCCATAGCCGGGGAGGCTTTCCGCTGAGGAGTAACTCTAAGGGACCGGAATGATTCAAACATATCACCTTGTGTGTGGCGGGGTGGGGTCTGGTCAGAGCTAGTCTGGCTGTGTAAATAAGTGTCAACACGGTAAGCCACAAAGGAACCACAAACAAAACAAGTAAAAGAAGAAACTACCAGCAATACTATCCACTTCGAAGTATTAAATTGTTACATAACTTGAATTTTAAGCAATATTAATAGAGTACGAAGAGACTGAATACTTATTGTTGTTCTAAGTTTACATGTTATAGACATTTTTGCGAGCAGAATCTATAAATTGATCTTGTAACAAAATCTTGACATATGCTTTGGAAACCTGCAGATAGACTTCTGCAGGGAAATGTACTACGAGTAAACATAAGTAAAAAAGAAAAAAAGAAAGATTGTTTTCTAAATAATCACCTTAAAATGCATCCCAAAATAAGTAAACTTTGTGATTGAAGCTTCCCCTTTAGAAAAGGAAGCAACATCTGGAATGTGACATAAATGCCTGTTGAACTAATTAACACTGACTTCAAGAAGTGCATTTCCTAACAGTCTTTCCAGATCCTCGACCCTAGATTAGTCGAATAACTAGAGGTGTTAATTATGTTTATGGACACAACATTGACCTAAAACCCAGTCCTCATATCTACTTTTAAAACCAAAAGCATATCCAAAAGAAGAGGGCTTCCACAGATACACTAAACAAGTGGGGCCTTAGATATCGTTTATGGACCCAAAGTAATCTCCAGTAGCAAGAAGAAGCAGAATGGTTGGCAAACCACAAGTTGTTACCAAAGAAGAAGAAAGTATAGTAAAACCAATTAAGAGTAGAGACATCTAATTACCATGGTGTGTTGGAACCATTTGATAAACAAGGGGATGGACGATGCCTCCCAGGTAGTGGAATCTGAAGAAACCTGAGTGCAAACATTTGACGATCTGTAACAAGGCCATTCATCTTTTTGATGTCGGCCACCTACAATATCATAAAAAATACTATATTATTTTATTATTTTTTTGGAAAAAAAGAAGAAGCTCAATAATCGAAAAAACCAGCAAACAAAAACCAACCTGATATTAGATTGGGGGAAAAGGAACATACACGTTAGTATCAAGACAAAACAATCACACCCCTTGGACTAAAAAGCACAATAGAACTCAAAGAATCATACGCACTGTCATTGACTGCCTTAGCTATCAGCCTTATATATTTCTCAGCATCCAGCAAATATTCAAATTCAATTAACCAACCACAACAAAAGAAAAAGAAAACCTAGCAATTCTAAATGGTAATTCAAGCATAAGAAGTCCAATTGACAGGAAAAAAGAAACGAAAAAACGGAGATGAAGAAATGAAAATAGGAATGAAAGTACGTACCTCAACGCCGTATTTGATGGCGACACCAGCAAGCGTGTCAAATTTGGAAACGACGTGTTCTATATAACCTGCACCTGCTTCTCCTCCTCCAACTCCACCGACCAAAGCGGGAGACGAAGATGACGGAGAATAAGATTGCTGCAGCGGTGATGGCGGCGGCGAAGAACTCGGCAGAAAGAGTGACGAGGAAGAAGACGACGACATTGAATCGTTTTTAATGTTATTTTGATATCGGTTATGTAAATGGGATGATGAAATCACTTGATCTGCATGATGACAACAGAAGTGGCTTTCCATCTGCGTATCTTCTGCCAATCACAATCTGATGTCGTCTTCCTAATCATCTCATCTCTTCTCCAAATCCAAAATCAATTACAATTACAAACATAAGAGTGAGATCGTTGAATTCGTCAAATAAAATTGGGATCCCCCACCCCAGACAATGAGAGATCTAATGGTAATAGATTAGATTGATTGATGTAGCAATCAAAGATGCACCGCGCTTTCTTCAATTGAATGCTTTGTTGGCTAATTGCTCCCTCAGAATCTCTCTGATCATCAGGTGAGATTGAGAACCTCTCTCCTCCCTTCTTCCCTGAAATTGAGTCCCTCTTTGCCTCTCTCTCCTCTCTCTCTCTCTCTCTCTCTCAATATTAAAAATTAAGGATTAAGGAGAATTAAGGAGGATTCGGGATGTCACGCCCGCCCACACTCGGACTATTTGGGTTTGTTATTATTTTATTAATAATTATTTTCCATGTTATTTATACTCTAATTTTATCTGACAATTTTGTTTTTGTTTCAGACCCCATTTCAGTTACAACTTACAACTGGCAGAGCCCCCTGCTTTTGGATTCGGATTTCTTTTCTGTTTTCTGTTTTTTTGCCCTTTTTGTTGTTTTGTTTTTTTTGAGAAATAGCGATATTTTGTTGTTTTGTTTTTATCTGAGAAACGAGCGGTAGTTTGATAATTAATAATATAATTAAAAAAGTATGAATAAAATTGAAAATAATAATGAAATTCTTATCAGTCAGTTAGTGCGCAGCCCAGCCCAGCCCAGCCCAGCCCAGCCCAATTGTTCTCAAAATGGGCTGCCTTTTGTTTGTTGACCTTCCGTTCCGTTGAGCCAACGGAAATCAAGGAATACGCCACACGCCAGGAAGAATTTTAGGATTGACAGGGTGATTGGACTGGACATAATTTCCCAAGATTAGTTTCGATTCAACAACTCAGTCAGCATTTGACTCCAACATTAGAGAAAACGTTAACTTAGAAGAGATCTAGTACTACTAGTAACTAGCTTGGTTACTCCAGAAGTTGATTCTTCTTGTGGATGTAATGATTTGCCTAACTTTGCCGCAAAGTCAAGGGTCAATGCTTTCTTTTCAAATTTCTACCATTTCTTTCTTTCTTGGTGTTGGTGTCCAAATTTGTATTAGAAAGAAAACAAAAAGGAACATTGATTTGTGGTTAACTGCCTAGACAGACAAGGGCGCTAATTGCTCTCGTCTCATCATCGACAGCCAGTCAACGAAAATTACAACTAGTCGCCGTTTTCAGTTTTCAGGGCAGGGCAGAAACTCTACATGCCATGTTGTTGCTAAAAGTCTCATAGTCTATGAGACTTTGACAAAGAAAAGCATCGAACTTGTGGAGAATTTATGCAACCCTAATCTCGTGAATAATAATAAAAGAAACTGACTTATTTGCCAAATCCTAATCTCGTGTTCAGGGTGGGCAGGCAGGGACCAAATCGTCAGGCCATCTTTCTACTGCTTGCCTTACACTTGCACACTGATGATTAGTAAATACAGAATCAACAAACACACGTTACTTTGGCAAAGAGAGGTGGTCTTAACTCTAGAGACTTTTCAGTTTTCACGTTATCTGTTGGCCTCCCCAAATTCCCTCTCTCCCTCTTCCTCTCCTCTCCCCTCTCCCCTCTCCCCATCACCGGCACTTCGCCGGACCTCTGCCATCGATCCGCCACCGCTCCACTCCCTCCTCCTTTAATTTTTGGTTAGTCCACCTTTGAGATGATGTCTATAGTCTGTGGTCAATGGTAGTTGATGGGTCATAACACTGCTCCATGCGTCACCAGCCCCAACTACCTCCATAATCTCTTATAGGACCATTATACCGTGATGATGTTGATCATGATATGGGTCTTGATCAAGCAGTTATGCGGTTGTTATTACATGTGTGAAATTACCTGTAGGATGACTAAGAATGTCTAGAGAGGGTGAATAGGCCAATTTAAAATTATAATCAATAAATAAAAATAAATTTCAGTAGCAGGATTGATATGGCTTATCAATCCTGAAACGTGCAAAGTATAAAATAAAGTAATACACAGAGAATTATTTTACGTAATAAAACCCCACATCTAGGGAAAATCCATAGGATTTCTCAGTTCAAAACAAATCAACTATAGAACGATGATTACAATAAGTACTCACACAATCCTAAACACATTCTAGATAATGTTTACCGACTTCTTCGTAACTCAACTTCTGTCACGGGATGATCTTTTGACACTCCTTATGTTGAACGCAATAATGGTCACAATTGCCTCAAACTCGCAGGAGTTCTTCTAACTCTCATTATGTTGAATCCGATACTGGTCACGATAGATTCAAGCTCACCGGAGAAAAACTGATATAAAGGTCTTGGTGCTCTCAACCGTATGAGTCACCGAACATGCAAATGAATGCAATATGAATAATAAAAATGTTTGATAAATCACCAAGTAAACATGGAACACTTGATGATTTATCTCAAATAAAAGCACAGCTTTCTTAAACGTTTAAGTACACAAAATTATTGTTGAAAAGCTGTAGATTTGGAAAAACACAAAACCTTGTTTTTATATAAGTTTTCTTCACTGGAAGAAACTTACGCTTAACCCAAATCTCTAATATTCTAAATGCAAGTCACGTGAAAATCAACCACTTGCTGAAGAAGGAAGATTTTGACTAATCACAATATCAAAGGAATCCTTCTATGTTTAGGACAACTATTAATAGCATCTTGACTCCTTGATATTATGATATAATTGATAAAAAGATTTCTAAACAACCAAAACAATTTAGAAAATCAAGGGAATGTTAAAACATGAAAGTAGGAGAATCAAATTGATTTAGGCCAAATTTGCCTAAATGAGATGAGCTCATAATGGGATTCTAATTTATTAAAAAATAAGAAAATAAAATCATATTAAATGCCAAAAACGTTCCCATCATGTATGCATGTGAAATGACATGTCTTACCCTTCAGATCAATGTCTCATATGTGTTAAGTCACAATTCTGGAATTCAGGGATTGCTGAGCTGTCTTACTCTTGCAGTTTTTGGAAATCAGAGATATCAATTTTGTTTCAACCCTCTAGCTAAAAGACACTTCCAAACTTACACTAAGTTCTAGGAAATGCCAACACATTTTCATACTAACAATGTGTATTGATCAAAAAACCAAAGAGGAGGGAGTCTTGCAGCGGTGAAGAGGTAATGGATTTGCTGCATAGGTTCGGCAGAGTACCGGCAATGGGAGGAGAGGAAGGCGGGAGAGATGGAATTGGGGGAGGTCAACAGACAACGTGAAAACTGAAGAGTCTCTAATCCAGTAAGGTTAGGTTTTTTTAATTAATGAAAATAATAAGAAATTGATATGTAAAAAAAAACTAATATAATTTTAATGAGTTAGATGTCCACCTCAACTGCCATGTGAGATGATATTAAAATGTGGAATAATTATGTGGTCAGTATAGCATTACCCTAAGAGCAATTCCACCGCTGTAGGCCAGCCTAAGTAAAAAGGGGCTTGAGGCCAATTTCTAGGTTCCAACGCGAGCGAGTAGCCTGGACAAACGATGGGGGCCACTAACCCAGGCAAGCCTAAAGGTAGATCAAGCCCGAGCTAGTGACCGAAAGCTGATGATGCTAACAGTAAACAAAATTTGAAACTTCCGTGCGCTAACGCTAGCCTGTTTTCCGCCAACGATTAGAAGTCACGTGGCTTGTCCGTTCGTAATTTGTCCTCCAATCCAACGGCTGCCATTTTTTGTGTTAAACAAATTGTAAAAAAATTCGAAATTAAAAACAAAAAACAAAAAATGCCAAAAAATTATGAGTTTTTTTTTTCTCTATAAATACATACCAATATTCTTTACTTTCCACACCAAATCTTCATACAAATTCTTCCCATTCCAATATTATTCACTTTCCAATTTTCATTTGTGTAAAAATACAAATGGCATCTTCCATTAAAGCCGGAGAGTTGTGGACAGCCATGGAAGATGTTTTGTTGTGTGAGTGTTGGGTCCAAGTTGGTCATTGTCCGATCACGGGCAACAAGATGAAGTTCTCTCATATGTGGAGAAAAATTCATGTCGAATTCTATGAAAGATCGGGTTCGGCTCGTACGAAAATGACATTTGCTAGTAAGTGGAAATTTTTGAATAAAGAGTTAGGGAAATGGAGAGATGCATTGGCAAAAGCAAGGGATAACGTTCGAAGAGGTGAGGTAAATTATTTGTAATTGTCGTTTTATTAAATTTACTTTAAATTTAATGTCCTATTTTTTTGAAATTTTCTTGCATTTCTAATTTTTTATTATAGATTATGCAAGCACAAATGTGGTTAAGTGCCATTGACCGAAGTAAAAATATTTCAGCAATCACCAATGTTGGGAGGTGGTGAAAGATTGTTCGAGATTCAAAATTATTCATACTGGTCCGACCATTGTGTTGAATGAAATGCTACTCCATGATTCAACTGCATCGGATCGCCGTTAGAGTCCCCAATGAATCAAAACTCATTACCAAAGGGAGCCAAGGCTTATTTGGAGAAAGGCGGCAAAAACCAAGAAATAGAGTAATTCCACCAATGATACTGAAAAAAATTTGGGGCAAATTGCTCTGAACGGCACAATTTGAATTAAGAGAGACATGAAAAGAGATGTGGATGAGAAGGCAAGAGATGAAGCATTTGCAAGAGAAAGGGAGTATGCACACAAACAAGACATGGACAAGAAGGATCGAGAAACTATGACCATGGATACGAGCCATATGTCCCTTGAAACGAAGTTATTTTGGAAGCTAGAACGAAGGGATGTTATGAGAAGACGATTTTTCCATGACTACGAACCAAGCAACACTGATGGGTTAAATGATAAAAACCCTTAGGTTGTATTGCTTGTCTTTTATTTAATTGGTTAAATGATGAAATTTGAGAAGTGAATTTTATAATAAATATGGACACGTGGCAACCGAAAATTTTATCCGAAATGTGAGATGTGAAATTTAAAATAAATATTGACACGTGATAACCGAAAATCTTATCCAAATTAATCGTTTAAAGTAAATAAATAAATAAATAAAAGTGAATAGGATTTACCATTTGCCATGGTAATGGATGGAAACACAACAAGCCTTTTGCAAGGGTTGACATTATTTACGTGAATAGTAACATCCCTTATCTCCCTTTGCCCTTTGCCATGGCAAATGGGTGGAAGTGCTGTAATAAAGTTACTAAAGGCTAACAAACACGAAATCTACAATGAGCAATGCGCATAGAAATAGAAACACAAACACTTGTTCTTCTCTAATAGCATACGATGATGCACAATCTCTTCCTCTATTCTGTAGTGTTACTCTCTAAGCTTGCATCTCTCGTACATCCTTGTATTCGTGAGGACACCCATAAACGAAATAGCACAACATCCAAATCCAGCTCAACCTCCGTGGGACCCCCATAAACCTTGTAGGGAAGTCTCTTCATTACAGTTAGCCGCAGTACCTACTTGGTGTTAACAGCATTTTAAGCAACAGGGATATTAGGTTCCCCTAAATTCACGAAGGCCTCTGCTCGGGCCATGCGTGCCATTGCCGCATTCCAAGACACAAGATGGTTCATAAATACATCCACATACTTCCCTCTGTCATTCTGTTAACAAGATACCCAAACATCATAAAAATAGGGCCAGCTGGTGGAAACAAAGTCAAGTTTGATACTACTACATACCTTGTAATCCAGATAATAAGCATGCTGCGAGAAAGTGAGCAAAGACACTATCAGCATGTTTAAGAAAAAATTTCATATATCTCTCTCTCTCTCTCCACAAGAGAGAGGGAGAGCACATAGCAAAGAGAGATACAGAGTGAGAGAGACATTTACACACCTCCCAGAGATCCAAACTGATTATGGGCTGCAGAACAAGGTATGATTAATGCCAACTTTTGAAATCAAAATGTAGAAAATAACATTGGGAAAAGTCGATTTTACTTACTATGTCATCCCAGACGAGTGGGCAAATGGCATTTGAAGTTTTAATTATCTGAAGATGTCTCTCTTCTCTCTTCACTGGGAAAAAGAAACAAGGAAAACTATCAGTAACCAGAGGAGTTGATTAGCAAAACAAGGCCACAAGATGAATACTCGGTGATATTTATGCATTTCTTCCATAAATATCAATATCAAGCAAGATACAACCTGATACTCAAATACTAAAAAAATTATCATTATTTGTATCTACAAACATAAAACAAATAGAACACAGCGTGATAGGCCTTGCTTGACTCAGCCGTACACCATCACAATGAATACGAGGAAATTTCATTCTTAGAAATTCTAAACGCATAATACTCACAAAAGTTCAGAAATTAACTTAAGAAAGGACTTACAAACAAGCCAAACCCAGCCAGAGCCAAAAAGTGTAAGTGCTGCCTCTACAAACTTCTCTCTGAAATTTGTAAAGGAACCAAAATCCTTTTCAATCTGCTGAAGGACGCCTAGTTTGGGCATGTCCCCGCCTCCAGGTTGCATGGATTCCCAAAAGAAGTCATGATTCCAGACCTACAAGGATAAAGTTGAAGGAGAACATCTCATAATCCCGAAATTAGAGACGGAAAACAAAGTAAATTTGCCTTGTTGTTCAATATCAACTATCAAGAACATGTCCATTTGAAACTTTTATTAATGATATGCCCAAAACGGGACTTTAAGTTTGATTCCCAGTCTCCAAAGAATATGAAACTACACAAAACATTTAGAACAATCAATCAGGATAACTGAAAATTTGAACAAGCTAAAGCCACAGTTATGCTCCAGGCTACATGACTAGATTAGATGTTGTCAGGTAGTAGTAATGCATTTAAACCTAAGAAATTCAATCTAAATGTTTCCTATCATTGACCAGTGACTCCTAAGAAAGCTCATCAAACCATTTGAAAATGATCCAGTCAAGAAAAGTACATAAATTAGCTAACAATCTTGCAGATACCTGAGCAGCGTTGTTGAATTCAGGTAAAGGATTCCCATTATTATATGTTGCTTTGACAAGTTCATCAAAACTGTAGCCATATAGTATGTCATTCTTCTCCAGCTGTTTGTTCAAACCTTCCACATAGTTACGATGATGGCCTCCCCAATGAACTTCCAGTGTCCTCTGACTCATATAGGGCTCCAAAGCATCCTACAAAGAGAAACAGTGCAGTTCAGTCAAGGAAGATCACTGGTCATGGAAAGACTTCTAAAAACTGCTACAAACTGAACGGCACAATTGCAAGGTAGAATGTTATGCATATACGTATCTGTAGTATAATTACATATTATATTTTATATGTTCCAAAAATTGCTTTGTATCAAATTTCAAGGATGCAGCATTTGGAAGCCTGTTTAGAGCTTAAGAACTGACAAAAAATAAGCGGCACAGCATGAGATGGATAACTCCAACAAGTAAGGCTTTCAGAGAATCAAATTCAACACCACACGAATTTCAGAAACCAAATGACTGCATTACCAAAATATCTTGCAAGGCCAATGAGGTATAAGACTTTGACAAAGGCAAATAGAAAACCAACAAACTTCTTTAGAATGTATCAAGCATGCATCATGCACCTAATGTGATACTTGAATCTGACTTATCCAATCTGATTTCAAGTCACTAAAATTGGTTTAGCACTGGGCCTTACGAATGGGGTGTTCTCTGTTACTTAAGCAGTTAAGAACAAATATCACATAGTACGTAGTTCAATTACAGGTTTCATCTTGTATACTTACAAATTTATAAGGAGGTTTCTTCAAGCCATAGTAAGCAACAACTTTAGAAGCTCTTTGAGACCGGTCGGGCCGTCTTCTCTGCTGCGTACACTGAGTACATAGAGATTCAACAGACACGCATTTTATGTAGTCAATATAGCATAAAAGAAATCAACCATGAGAATAGAAATAGAAACAGTTGTTCTGAACAAAATAGCCACATTTTATAGAAGTTAAGAAGCACATCCACATGATAATATATACTAACCACAATATTCAAATAGCACAATTAAATAGTCATAACAAGGGAAAAGAAATACGGCAGGACAAAAAGCAAAATGGGAAGTGTAATGAACACTAAACAGACAAATAGCAAAGAGGATGATAAAGAAAACAGCACGTACCGGATGAGGGAGTATGGGACTCTTAAAAGACTGAGAAAAGTCGGTCGACAAAAGATGAGAGCTTGGAGCTGAAGGACTATAAGAACAGAGTATCATTGCTTTGCTCCTTTAATTTCCCCTCTCTCACTTACATAAGCATGTCTGCGAAATCACGGGTTATGGCTCATTTAATTCAAATTGGAGATATACCAAAATAAATAAATAAATAAAATTTGAGGGCTGAGATATACTTGAACAGCTAAATATAAACATAATTTAATTTTAAAAAATCTCACTTTTCTTTTATTTCTTATATTTTTCACGAAAACTAAACTCAATCTTAACGCTGCTAATGAAATCTCACTTTTCCTTCCTATGCCTCCATGAGGCTTTCACAAGCAAACCCAATAAATAGTGGTATTAGGCACCATTTATCAAATAATGGAACTGTGAACCATTTTTCCTGCTTAAATGACCCACTGGGGGGTGGTAACATTTCTATGAAGCATTTCCTCAAACACATGAGAGAGAGAGAGAGAGAGAGAGAGAGAGAGAAAAGAAGACCTTGGTGGTGTTGTTGAGCTGCGGCCTCCAGTGGGTGAGCTTTCCAATTCCCGCTACAAGTATAAAAAAGAGTAAGAAGCTGGGGTTATCGTTTTGTCAGCAGTTTCCGTTCCTTCGATTTCTTTTTCATCCTCTCATCATTGCTAATTTGCAATGTGACCAGAAAAATCATTGTTCATTGCACCGAAGGTCCACCAAAACAGAATTTGCAAATAACTCCCTGGGGAACCAATTGGAAATGTAAGGAATTCTGAACGTCGTTTCTACCCCTAATTCGTTGACTATATTACGGAACAAAGCACGGGCCGCTGCGGATTGAGAGAGAAACTCAATCGTAATAGCGGCTTGACTGCAACTTCACGTTGTTATTATTACTATTGCTCTCTTCCCTTGTAATTTTAGTAGATTGGAATTTGGAAGAGAATTATGAACAATCCGATTAAAGGAGAGTTGCTAATTACCGAATTGAAAGTTTTGTATTTGTGTTTCAGAAAGGAATAAAGATATCGTGGTGATGCTGGTGACAAACAAATTTCACATCTAAAGCATGACATTGAGTCATTGACCCCGAAGGAAGAACCACCATTTCTATAGACATAATATTTGTTGTCGAATGGTAATTCATATTTGTATTAATTACAGCAAAATTACAATATCAAATGAGTGACACTTTGACCCCCTCTTCACAGCTTTTGATACTTGATCATATATGTATATCAGCACGCAGTACAAAATTGCAAGCACCGTTGATCAACCTGCATATATGCACATGTCAATAAATAAAATTTTCCAAAATTTCTAAATGATGAAATGAGATATTCCAACAAGGCCCAAGAGGAGCCACAAATAAATTTACCGTGTGTAAATTACAAGTTTACAACTTCATCCAAGATACCGAAGCAAGACCCCATCGTTTCCCAGCACAAATCCTGTAGTGTCATCGATAAACCTGCACCAATACAGGAATTATAAGAGCTTGTCTGTTACAGATAAACAAGAGCTCATGCTCATGTGATGTGGACCTTCCATTGAATTGCTAGCTCTTTCCGATTTGGTGCAATATATCTATCAGATTCCAAATCCACGTGGTTTTATCTATTCTTTTGGCCTCCAACTGGAGTTTTCTTATATTTTGAAGTGGTAAACAAGGGTAAAGGAGATTTTTCATACTAATAACTGACAAGACAAAGGTGTGTGCCTTGTATTTGGAAGATGTTCGATTTGACCAAATTACAAATATCAAACACAGACAATCTTTTTGAAGGGTTCTACTTACTTTACAGAGTATAGATTTGCTGCAATGTTGTCAGCTGCTTTGTCACGGGTCCATGTCTTGCCACCATTGGTAGTTCGCAACAAAATCCCACTCCCCCCAGCTGCCCAAGCTTCATCCTGTATAATACAAACAGTCACTAAACATGTAAAAAATGGGTTCCAGAAACTAGAAGGTTGAAAGATTAAATTTCGAAGCTCATTTACAATGAATGAATTACCTTTGATCGGTACCCAACATCAAGAATGCCAAAACCCCGGCTTTGGACTGGAACTTCTTCAAACTCCTCTGTTAACTGAAACAATAAACAATAACTTTGCTTCAACAATAAGAGAACACCAAGGTTATAGGGTGAATTCTTCTTGCACCTTAAGGTTACAGGGTAAAGCATTATTCACTTACCCCTGTACCTTTACTCAGATAAAGTCCTCCTCCACGAACAAGAAGCCAAAGACCACCGTCAGCTCTCCAACCCATGTTTTGAATTCTTCTTGCAATCGTTCTGTTATGTGGCTGCCAGAATGGCTGAAAAATTATAGGCAAGGAATCACAGTTAACATGAGTGCTTTGTGCATATCCCACATGAAACTAAAAAATTTAAATGAGAACATGCATAAAGCCAACACAGGATAATTAAGAAGTTATTGACTACCAGTGTCACAAACAAAATGACAACAGTTTCTAAAATGCATATGACTTATGAGCATACAATTTCAAATAATTAATGTCATCAAAGTGAATGACTGCAAGAATGCTACAAATGAGTCCTCATGCTTTGCAGATACAACATGTGGTTGATCATTATCAAAAACTCAATTAAGCTTCTATTTTCTTCTTCCCTATTTTAGCCTTATGTAAGGCCATCTTTTCCATCAAATCTTTGACTATCATGCCCTGCCCCCGTACTTCAATGATCAACATATGTCATGTTGAGTCTCCTCCAACCTGTTTCACTCCTTAGGAATTCACATTGGTGTAGTAGTAGCAGCCAATGCAACCACAGCTTTTATTTTTCCACAATAATTCAACTACTTAACAAAAAAAACAAACCCCTAACAACATGCTTCCCTAACCTTATTGTATCTAAATTTTTGGGGGGTCAAGGAAAAAAAGACAGCCACAAAAAAAAAAAAGAGTAGGAGAAACTTGCTGCGTGGGAGCCGTGGGAGCACAGCCAGCTCACCAAGGCTCCCAAGATAGAAGTTACCACGGCTTGAGACAGCCACATAGTTTCCATCAGGTGAGCGGTTCACTGAATTAAAAGTTCCTGTGTAGTAACTTGCACCGCTAATGCCACTAGAAACTGTTCTGAAAAAGCAATGAAGATACATGAATCTTGTTGCTTTTATACCATTAACAAAAGAGCAGCATGTAACCAACTCAAAAAAATGTAAAGAACTCAGGAAAATTAAAAGAAATTATCACATGTCTTCACGATAAGTAAAATCTTAAAATTGAAATTATTTTGTTGGAATTTCGAGTTCTTAAATATATTATTCAATCCAACCACTAAAAGAAAACTTCCTTGAATGGTTAAGTAGTCATATAGATTTTAGAAGCAAATTACCTATTAAGAGTAGCTGAAACAGTCTCCTGAACAGCAGCCTTCCAGTTGTAGCCTCTATTTGATGTAATATAAATTGCACCTTCGTCAGTCACCATCTCTGCACTCTTCTCACCAGTTGCCTTTATATAAACCTGGAGATATCATAACAGAATCACTTATTTCAGCATGCCGATAGGCTGTATATCCAAATGGAAGACAAAATTGATTACATCCTTTGATTAAACAATGACAAGGAACCAAGATTTACTGGAAAAAAATATATCCTAGGAAGGAAGGATATGTTTTCATAATAGAATCAGCAACAAAAGTTCAATGCAGTTAGAAACATGGGGTCACTCAATGCTTTGTAGCCTCTGATTGCAACATACGGGTGAGGAAGAAACAACAATTTATTCCCCATTATACTTCATACTCAAACCACACCTTCGAAATATCCATTTCCATTGCTTCGAAATATTGAGATTAAACGAGTTGTAATGTATCTAAAATTGATACGTATGTGCAGAATTATGGCGAAGATATGTGTAAGAGAAAGCTTTACCATATCTCCAGGAAGCTGAGAGCTTAGCGGTATCCTTTCCCAGCTGTTTCCAGAATCAGAAGTGTGCAACAAAATTGCAGGTTTTCCAACAATCCAACCCTCCTTCCCTTTGAAGCTAATGGAATTGAATCTGTAGTTGAAATCTTCGTCTTCAGCTGACGGAATTGAACGTGGAACCCAAGTGTCTCCACCATCCTTTGTCTCTAAAATGGTTTGCCTGGTCCCCAAAAGAAAACCTACCCACAACAATTAGCCCACGCTCAAATTTAATTTCCTTGAGTTAATTCCAGCTCATGAATTTTTCTGAGGAACCAAACAACAAAGTGTAGAAAGAAAAGAAAGATGGTAGATGGAGCAGTGGAGTGAAGTGAAGTTACCGTGCTTAGGGTCCTCGGGCACAAAAGCAATGTCTAGAAGGACGACGCCGGGGTCGATAGGAAGGGACACTTTCTCCCACTCGGAAAGGGCGGACTCTTCCGACTTGGCCGGTTGTACGGATCCAAACAACGGCAGAGTAGTGAGGGTCAGAGACAGCGCCGCAGTCTCGGAAACAAAATGTCTGCGACTCACCAGCGAAGAATCAGACGAGGAAGAGGAAGCTCTAGCAATATTATTGAAGCGAGGCAGAGATAGAGAGGTTCGGCAATGACGAGGAGTGCTTGCGAATTCAAGAGAGGGTTTCACCACAATTATTGGTTTGGAGAAGTCCGTCGTCAGTTGCAGAGTAGTCGCCATTTTCATGCTCACTCTCACTCTCCCTCTCTTTCTCTCTCTTTCTCTTATCTCTCTTATCTCTCTTATCCGGAAGAAGAAAGTATCTTCGCGGGTGATTTGAGCATCCATGGGAATATCCACGTGGATAGTCTATTTAATTTGGTTTATAATATAAAATTATGTAACTCGTATCAACAATCACACAGGAGACGGGGGATGTAGCTCAGATGGTAGAGCGCTCGCTTAGCATGCGAGAGGTACGGGGATCGATACCCCGCATCTCCATAGTTTTTTGTTATTTTTTCTTTATGTCTTAAAATAGCAGTCATAATGGTCATAGCTCAAAGCTACGTTTGTGTGTAATAATACTAATTAAAACAAATTAACTTGATGTCAGAAAAATACAGTGGGAATCAACATGCTTAATACCTAAGCAAATAATGGATGTAGTTCTTATGAAATTGATTATGATAATTAATTATGAGAGAATCTGACGAAGTGAGGAAAGGAAACCAAATTAACGTAGTACTAGTAGCTGATTAATATTCTTCCATATACATTAACATAATATTGAAGTTGTATGCAGCTTGTGTTGGAGGGAAAGGTAAAGAACTCAGGGAAATGGGCAGAGTACAAGAGGCATGCAGAGGAGTTCATATGCGCGTGCATTCAGAGAGGAAGCTACAACGTGAACCGGACGCCCGGTGGCTTGCTCTGGTTTCTGCCCTGGAATAAGTTCAATATATTGCCACTGCCACCTTAGCCACCACTGTTTATTCCATTTACTTGGGGGCCAAGCACGCCTCCCTCAACTGCCCTGCCGGCTCTGCTACCCCATCTGATCTCATTGCCTCTATCAAATCACAGGTCTCACAACAATCAATTCTATTCTATATTTAATACAAATAATGCTATTTGTACTATATTTATGGACCGCATTACTCTACATCTAATAGAAGTGGGTTCTCATATTTGTTTCTGTTAATAATGACTAACTTTGACTGTTGTTAGGTGGGTTATATCTTGGGGGTTTCGAACCTGATAAACATGAGTTACATGGTTGGATTCGGAAACGGAGGAAATTATCCGAAGCAGATTCATCACAGAGGAGCATCAATGATATCAATCAAGAAGGACGCTATACCTGTGACATGCAAAGGTGGCTTCGAGGAATGGTTCCACAAAAACGCGCCCAACCCCAACGTGCTGGACGGAGCCGTTGTGAGCCCACAACTGTGACCGATGCCCCATTAGTTGGTGTCTTTGCTCACTTTGCTTAATTCATTCACAACAATTTGCAAGCATTATTTGTAATTTGTATGCCTACCATACAGTCATCCATCAAATGAAGTGAAAGTTAATATATAAACAAATTAAAATTTTAAAAAAATATATATATATATATACATATTTTTTTTGGTCGAATGAAACTATATATTTCTATTTCACTATGTACACAACAAAATTTAGACCCACCAGACAAGGGGCACAGACAGTTGTTCCTATGATAAAAATCGATAACTTTCCTATTGCACTCAAAGAAGAAGAAAAAGAAAAAACTCTATCTTTCCTAGAGATTAATAGAACCTATTCCTTTCCCTCCTTCCCTTTGCTTTATGTTGATCTTCTCGTGTTCCAGAAAAGGAAAAGAAACAAGGAAGAGAGGTGATTCTCGTTACCCAAAACTAAATGTATAAACAGAAGAAATGCACAATCCCTTCTCTGTCCATAGTAACAAGGTGATCATGGCCGAAAAATTCTCATAGTTTTTGAGACCTGGAGCCGACAAAATGGACACCTGGAAACCGCAGAAGAGCACCGCCGACAAAGTACATGACCACAAGGAACTATAGTTATGTCAACTTCAGCAGTCAAGCAGACCCGACAAAGCCATGCTGCTTTTGCAGTATCAGCTTCTTTTGCTGCCACATCAGCTTTTTCCTGAAATTTAGTTCAATAAACATGCTTTCTTATATCCTCCACAATCAATTTCTCCATATGCTAAATCTAATAAATATGCAGACTTATATCCTCCACACTGAAGGCCCAAAAATAAAACATGAAAGGACAAATAAGCCTCAGCAAGTGCCAAAGTAAATCACTTTGAAAGTGATCCAGCTCATATATAAAAACATGGTCCCTTGAGATTCATAGCGCACCAAAATATTTTCTTCAAAGCAACACATATGCAATATTATTCCCCTATATTCAAGCAAGATTGCAGTGTTAGATAATAAATTGTATAAAATATGTATAGCTTAATAGCATACCTGTTCAAGCAAAAGTGATGTCTGGGACTCCTTTAACTGTTCTTGCAGCGTTAGTGTTTTCTGCAGCAGGGACTGCTTCTCCACATCCATATAAATCCCAGCTGCAGAAAGCATCTCTTGTACTGCTTGCACCAGTTCTCCAGCTGATACTCGGCCATACTGGAGCTCTTTGCCAGCTTGCAGCTGCAAATGAAGAAACCATTTTGAGTTCGATACTTGAAGGAATACAACTGAAAACTGCTATAACACCTAACTTTTTTCTCAAACTTTTTTTCCCAATTCTTTCACATTGAGTGACTCCACTGGTATCACAATATTATGGATCTCGCCTCATGTGAGAGTTGGAAAAGAACTGAGCTCCAAAGTAATTTTAAATCAAACCAAGATGTAAAATATGATCGTACTATCAATAATATTAAACACGTAAAGCAATCAATTCAGTGGAAAACATATAACAGGGCTTAAAACAATAATTTTTCCTGCATGGATTAAACATCTAGCTATTGTGCAAACTTTTGAACGCCAAAAACAAAAGTATTAAAGAGAAGGAAAGAAATCAAAAGGGGAAAAGAGAAGATAAAAAGTAGGTGATTATCTTTAGGCAAAGTCCACTTCTTTCTCACACGAATATGGCTCTGGAATACTTTGTATGGAATGAGTCTTCTAAGGAATTGAAAGAAGGATCAAGTATTGCAGAATAATCTGAATGAGAAAAACCTTACAAATATAACACTTAAAAGAGGGGAACGGCATGCCAAACCAACTCATAATGGGGAGTAGATGGCAACATCAGAGGGGTACAAACCTGAGAAGATCTTGCTTTGCCGCTTCCAGAAGTTTCTGGCATTTCGATGGGAGTTCTGTTACGAACTACTGTCTGACTATCATCCATTGGCATTGGTGAAGTCTCACTGCCCATTGCTATACTTCTGAATGAGAAAACATGTGAAGAAAGAAGAGGCTGCATCCCCCCTGTTGAGGTTTCCACCTTGAATCTGTACAGTGCTTGGCCAGCTGATGGTCTGACATCATCTGGAACTCTACCATATTTGAGCTTTTCTCCATTTTGAGAGCGCCATGCCACTATCTCTCCAGCATAAAACGGCCTCAATGGATGAAATTGTACTTGATGAACATCTTGAGGCAACAGTTCTTTGCCTATCAAACCATTGCTTCCACTAGTGGCTTCCATTTCTTGTTTGTCAGAACAAAGCTTCAAAATATCAACAATTGCAGTTTCAGAGCCTCCAGGACAGACAAATAAAGATCCAATAGGTAACGGAGTAGGGGACCCTAAAACCAGGCTCACAACAATTGCAATAACATCAAAAACTGAAATATAGGGTGGTGGTTCGGAAACTAAAATGCTGGTGTTAGACCGGTTAATGAAGTAAAGTGTCCGATGCATGGATCCATCAACCCACTCTGGAATGATTGAATCCTTAGCCGCTTGTGTAATGTCTACTGACTTTGGGAGAAGCAAGAAACGAGTATGAAGGCACTTAACAAACTGCAACTTTTCTGCAACAGCTTCTAATAAATTTTGTATGTTTCCCAGAGATAAATTCTTAATTGCAGGAATGTAACTAGACATGCTATTTACAACGGTCCATACAGCACCCTGAAGTGACTTGCTCAACAATTTCTCTCTGATGGCTACTAATGGAACCGAACCAATATAATCCAAAGTCTGCAAATGCTCCTGATGATCTAACTCCTACATTCAGAAAGCATATTTTACATAAAGATAAAGACAACTCTACTTTGGTCAAACAAATAAAGGAAAAGTAAAAAGTAATTAAGTTTTAGAAGATCATGCTACCTCAATGACTACATCAGACAGCTTTTTGATGCCCAGGACAAAACATAATCTCTCTGGAAGATCTGGGTGAATAAATCTGAACCTTGAAGGGTCAATGCATTTTACAAACCGTGATCCATGGGAATCAATATACACACAGGATTTTGCATGAACAAGTCTGCAGCTATCATCAGGAACTATTGCTTCTGATGTCCAACTGGGCCCATTGGACATGTCTTCCCCAATAGTCCCATCACAGATAAAGTACAAAATTTCCAGGACAGCCCGGAGTTCATTTGGATTTAGATGCTGATATCCACAAGTTCTCTGGAGATTCAAAAGAAGATCCCTCGCAGAGGCAATTGAAAATATGTCCTGAAGTCCCAAATCTTTGAGAATCTTCAGAAAAGGAAGATACAAAGTAGGAAGTTCAAATGCAAATGGGGATAAGTTAATTGTTAGACGGGCAAAAAGCAAGTTTGCTGTCACCAAGCGTGTTCCATTTGCAGCAGGTATAAATGGAACTCTCTGCAACTCCATTATATCTGCATAAACAGAAAAAAGATGAAGAACCTGTTATTCAAATTTATTCATCTTGATTGGGTGCAAAAGATGGAAATATTTTTTGTCTTTTGTTTTCTTGTAATCTTTTGTTTTATTCAATAAAAAATTTATGTTGCCTATAAACAAATACTAAAGAAGGCACTACTGACTTGGAATCACATCATGAAGTCAATTGAATAAGCAGCACAAACACTCATAAAGCCAGTACTTGATTTTAGCATGGCACAAAATATCTCTGCCAGATATACCTTATCTCAGATTTTTTTCATTTATTTATAACTAATCCTATTTTTGTCTACGAAAGGTAACGTAGCTGATTAACAGTAAGTAATGTGTATGGACTATGGAATGTAAAAGAGAGACTATAAAAAAGAAAGTTGGAAAAAGCAGAATTAACCAACAAGAAGCAATTTGCAGTTGAGATGAGTTATTTCCTCCCACACCAAAGGTTTTTTTGGACTGAAGGTCAGAAGTACTGATAATTTGTGAAAACAGAAGCTCAATTATATGTGAAGATTATCAATTAAGAAGGTGACACAAGACCACAATTGAAACGAAACAGGAATGGAATCTACCTGAAGAAGAGAGGGAATTCCATATCTTATCCAAGTACTTTAACACCTCACAGGAAGCTTCATCAATAGTCATCATGCCTGATGCAGTTGGCCAATGAGCAAGTGTGTCTTCACCACCATTTCTTCCAATAATCTGGGGAACAGTCATGTAAGCAAGGTTTTAGCACTCAATCCATCATAGTAGATGAATATACAAGGGACTACTAGAGGTACCTGCAAGTGTTTTAGTACTGTAGGAAAAGCTGGAGGGCTTCTGAGCTGGAGTGATCCCCAAGAGTACTCAGGAGGAACAGCACTTTGTCTTGAAATAATGGGCGCATAACTCCAAGCCAGAGGCCAATCCTTCAACAGAATAGCTTCATTATATGAAGCGAGTACTCTCTTGCCACCTTTTTTTCCAACGACATTTGGAAGGCCAAATTCAGCAGGTATGCATTTAATCTTGCCAAGGAGATCACAGAAGTTGTTGCCATAGAGGACAGCAAAGTTCGAGAAAATTGCTTCAACAACAGATCCAGCTAATGTCCATACTTCCATTGAAACTTCACTCTGAGTGTTGCTTAAATCCTCAAAATCATCCAAATCTCTGGACCTCATGCATTCAGTTCCAAGAAACTCTACTCTTTTGGCACATTCAAGTATTACATCAGACTCTGTTGCAGTCCGGAGACCAGCTTTTCTTAAAATGTGAAGCCACCCATCTGTAGTAAACCTTTCTCCTGGAAATTTTTTCCTCTCACCAGAGAAAATAGATGTTAATAAAGCATCACCAGGATCAAATAAATCTTTGGGCTTAGACAGATATGTGCAAAATTCATCGGCATTCCTTACAAATTTAGCCTCTTTTAAAGCTTCGATTACAGAAGAATCCATTCGGAGTTCTTGCCAGTTTGTGTAAAGATATATTAGTATATCCTCCTTTTCAGATTCAGGTTTACCTTCAAACCCAGGCAATCCAAACCTGATTAAAATCTGCTGATCATGCAATTCAGAGACTCCGAGTGCTCGAAGTAATGAAAATTCAACTGAACCACTGGAGTAGGACAGGCAGCGTTCATCATAGGGCGTAAGGAATGAACTTGAAGAGATAATACACTGATCATCACTGAGCAACCGTGTGTATGAACCCACAACTGTTTTATATATAGGAAGTGAACGTAAAACTTCAAGTTCTTCCACTCTGTAATTAGAGCCATTTGACAAGAAATCGTTAGCAAAAAGTGCAAAAAGTGCATCGCAATCTGAAGCTGAAAGGGAAGTAAGTTCAGGGAAATAGCCAGCATTTCTAGCTGCAACCAACTTGGAAGCAATAATTTGACCTAATGATTGGCCAGGAGCAGGGAAACAGTTGCATGGAGCAGCACAGTCCAGAAAAGCTATATCAAATATAGGTATGCTGCAGTGATTCAACAGTGATAACAACCAAGGGTGTTTGTTTTTAGCTACTTCAAAAGCCGATGCATAACCATGAATTGATTCAGATTCAGGCGCATCATTGCTTCCAGTTGCTCCAATTTCCAAGGAACTTTCTTCTGAAGTTGGATCAATAACCAGTGGTGGAATGAAAACCAAATTACGCTCCCTAACACGACATAAGATTGGCCGACCAAGAAAAGCAGGAATGAGGGGCCAATCAGAAAAGAGCAAGAGGTCTTCTGAACAGCCATTGAAATTTTTCCAGAAGAGTCTTATCCATTCGGGGGAAGGACCTCCTTCACCACCAGAGCTTGATGTATTATTCTCCCATGAAAACCAAGGAACCCATATTTGAGGCCATTACATGACTCACCCAGTTATCATGAAAAACTATCCTCATATGACTGGCCAGTAAGTGAAGAGAGAAACTTCGCAGTTTTAATAATGATTGTAGCACACCATTTGAAAAAATATCAGCCAAGATTGATCTATCCAATACTTTAGGGTGGACAAACTTTTCAGCCAAAGAAACCATCAATGACAGTTGCTCCTTATTCCCAACCCAAAGTTCAGTAGTACCCAACTTAGTTAAATGGTTTCCGGCAGTTGGGCATGGTAAACCCTTGAGCTCAGCTGCTATTGATAGAAGATCCTGGTCTACATTTCCATACATGCTGTTGCTGCTACCAGCAACCATGTTCCTCTGAACCAAGGGCCCCCCAGCCCTACCAATATCCTCAACAACTCCTCGGCCAAAATCAAATAAAGCCTTCCCCAAACTTGTCACCATTTCAATTGCATCTCCTGAACTGCTAGCGTTCTGAGTAGACAATGCAGGAAAATTATGAGTATTAGGGACTGAAACAGAACCAGGACTGCTACCAACAACTTGACTTTCCCTATGGATATAGTTTGTGTTATTGTGGTCAACTGTCAGAGAATTTCCAATGGAATTAGATGATTCTCTAATCTCAACATCAGACAAACAATACTCAAGAACATCTGCATACATATCAACTGATCGGAGAACAAAAGATGTTGAAGAAAGTCTTAAAAGATTCCGAACCATTTTAGGTTTTACTTCCCGAACTGCAATCCCTAGGGCTTGGATTTCAGTTACCAACTCCCAAGGTACTGAAAACACTGGGTAGTGCTCCTTTACGAAGCTGCAAACTGTTGCTGGAAGCAACTTACCACCCACCCCATTCCCTGGTTGTGAAAGAAACATACCCTCTTCAGCCTTGGCTAGGTTTCCAGAGTAAAGCTGCCACACAGGAAGGTCAACAACACGAGCATAGAAAGGCCTTATCACATGTTCAATTATGCATTCCCAATCTGATTTCAGCACTTCCATTGGAACTAAACTACAGTCGTTTCCTTGTTGTGTGACCATATTACGCCCATTAGACCTTGGCCAAAAGGAATAAATTTTATCTCCATAAGCCTTCAAAGACAGGCTGATTGCACGACCTGCACTTGATTCAATTGCAGAACTCGAAGCATCTCTTCTTAACCTCTGGATTTCCAATATCAATTCAATGTAGGAATCACGGACACATGACATAAGCTCCCTGTTCCAAGCTTCCATTAACCGATTTCCAGCATCAGCCTGTGCCTCTTCCGAAGCTTCTTTGTCTTGGTAATTAAAGAGGGAGCGACCTCCATTGTGACAAACCAGGAAACATCCAAGAACAGTAACAGGTATATTTATACCACCGGACAGAGGAAGGGGGGACATGATAGAACTTGCTAGACAAACATCAGCAGGATGGCCATCACGGGATATATGTGCTGCAACACCAGCAACAGGTGTTAAGTTGTATGCCAGATATCGCCTGCAAAGAAGTAAGTGGAATCCATCAAGCACATTATAGAAATTTATCAGAGAAGTACAATTTGTTAACAGGATATTCTCTGTATCGGCAAGTTTCACAGCTCGATGATTCTAGCCGTACTTAATAGTTAAAACAAGATAGTCTCTATTTGTTTGAAGTCGTTACTGAAACCATAAGTATATTACAGATCAAACTATTTCCCAGTTGACCCAACAGAAATGGAACATTTTGAATGCAGGAATCCAGTCTAAAGAGCAAAATTGTGTAAATCTTGTGACAGTTCAAGTTATTGTCTGTAATAGATGGGAATGGAGAAAAATGAAAATTAAGCACCTCTAAATGACGGAATGCCACACGTTTATGATTTTTTATTCTTAGAACTTGTATTTATCACTCAAATTGTAGAAAAACCAAGCATCACATCAACTTACTGATGCTGATACCTTAATACAACTTTATACATCAAGTTGTGAGTTTTGCCCTGCCTAGAAATTTACAGCTTCCCCAATCAATTATTCATCCCTCAAAGAGTTCACCTAATTAAAGGGAACCCAAATTTAACAAAGGTAAATCATCACACATATATTTCCAACTTTTCACTTCTAAACTGCAGACTGTGCAGTGACAGATATAGGAAAGAAATCTATATCCACGTTCTTGCATAACATACCTATCAAGAGCCATATTTCTTGTTTGTCCAGAGCCTAGGCTGAGTGCAACGAGCCATCGGTCAACAACTCTTGCTGCCCCATGGTTCAAATTTACATCTATTACATGCAATTTTGTTGCAGCATTGGAGCTATTAAACAATCGAGATATTTGAAATTTCCTCCATTTCTTCTCTGAAAATGGATTTCTCATAATAGCAGATGACGAATCAATGCTAACTGAATAGTCCTGGTGTGGCTGCGAGTTTCCTTCCTCCCATGTCGAGATTGACACCTGATCATACATAAGACCACTGTACGTAAATGCTGTGATACATGGCTACATGCACAGAAAATTAATCTCTAACAATACCTGCATCACCGACTTTAAGAATATAAGTGATCTAGAAGAGTGCTCCAAAAATCTTTCACTAATCTGCTTTATTCTCCTTAGTCCAAGTTCTAGTTCATTATTCAAACATTCAGATGATAAAGGCATGCGAATAATAGTAGAATCCAATGATGGCCACGATATACTGGGACCAATCAGCATGGGATCAAATTGATCACGGAACCGGTCAGTCAAATTAGTACCTGAAAACCGAGCATAAAAAAATTTCTTAGTCTTCAATCTTACTCAGCATGAGATGAAAACAGAGTATCAAATTAGCAGATTGTGACACGATGTACTTATTCAGCCTTGTTCCAGCAGGAAAATGTCACCTGGAGTATGGTTCACTTTGGTACGTGGTAGATACACAGCATGTTACTTTAGTTAGTACACAGTTCAGAGAGTAGACTTAGCACACTACTTTGGATCATGGAATGCATTAGAACTGTTACTATAAAATATAGTTTTACCAATACATTACTTCATTATTTTTCTATTCAATCCTTTGTTGAACTCAGATAAATGATGCATTTTGGTTAGTCATAGATATGAAGTAAAATGGTGAGATCGGATATATTAATTTAGCTTTTTGGAGCACAATGCACCAGATGTTAAGTTTTATTGTTACTTATGCACATACTCTCAGACACCTTTCAGTAGGAAAATGATATACTAAAATCGGATGGTGTTGCCACCAAAACCATTTTGTTACCACCACCACAATCACACAACAAAGTGACCAATAAGACAAAAATACCAATACTTTCATCATTAAGGAATTTATGAGTCAATTTCAAGTGGGAAAGAAAATGAAAAGCTAAAAAGCATTATGAAAGTCATAAAGATCATCTGAGAAGTACAAAAATGGGTACCACCTGATACACAGGGGGCATACAATAGGAACAAAAGATTGAAAAATGAGTGGGCAATGAATAAATACCTATTAAAGAAAACATTTTTGCCGCAGGAGCACAAGTTGACGGTGCAGCAAGCACCAAACCGAGGGGATCAAACATGTATAAGTAGCCACCAGAAACAACTGAGAGTAGATCACAGACAAAATAACAGCTAAGCAAAGCCAAACCATAGTTAAGTGTATTGCCCCTTAGTCTCCATGGAGGTAGAAATTGGAGGCTACTTATTTCCTCTCTACTCAAGCTGACCCCTTCCAAAATGGCTAATAGGGCAGGCCCTTGAAGCTCACCTACAGTAATCACCAATTTTGTAAACAAAATCAAGAATAAAGTTCAAAATCATTATGCTTTACAGCTAGTAGAACAGTAAAAATTGATGCTTCACCAGGTTAACAAGTTGGTGAATAGTGAAAAAGGCTAATAACAGTACCAGACAACATTAAAATCAACAATTTATCTTTTGCAGCCCAAATTTATGAAGATCCCTTTCTCTATGAATGCAATCTATATATTAACTCGTTCAAAACAAAAAAGAAATTACAGATATTTCAGTTACCCATATTGTGCTGCAACAAAGACTGGCGAGGATGTTCCCTCTTGTCAAAAATTAGGTGAAGCTTATTGGCTTTGCAGCAATCTGCCAACTCAAGTAGGTCAAACAATAAAAGGTCATTGTCCCCATAAGATGTCAAAAGCTCTTTTATTCTAGCATAGTCCATGCATGGAAGATCTTTAGTCATGTCATTGTCAACTAAAGAGAGGCAGCGAAGTGATTGTACCCCCAACCTACTGGCCAGATCATTGCTGATAGTTGGATGTATAAAATGTTTCCCAACGGGAGTACTATTATCCATCCATGGTGCATCATTATACACAAGATTCCCAGCATGCATAAGAACTGCAGACGCGTCTGGAATTAAGATTGGAGTGTTAGAAGCTTCAAAAAGTGGCTTCTCTGAGCAACAGTCTGCTACAGCATCAAGGATACGATGGACAAAATTTAACTGATCTGTTGACAATGGGAATCCTTTCACGTCATTTTGCAATCGTTGCAAGACATGCATATAGTCCCAAATATCAAAACTAATTCTGACGCCTAAATTCAAGAGCAAATCTCTGAATTCCGATAATTCAGATGGAACAACATACAAATATGGAGTAAATTTCACAGGTGAGTCAAATGCAAGAGCATTTGGAACAACAAAGTTATCCCCAATCCAAACCCAGGAAACACCATCTAGTGCTGATTTTAGTTGCACAAATTCATCAGTGCCAAAATACTCTTGCATCTTAGAATAGAGTGCTGGAATTCCCTTAGAAAGTGCAGCATCAACAACAGGTACATCAGATGAATGTGATTTGAGCTGGCTATATAACTTGGATAGCTCAATCAACTGTGCAGATAAAACATTTATGTTTGGACGATCCATCCAACCAAGTTTCTTTTGTAGGTACAACGAACAGCATTCACCATCTAGTATATGCATTGAGCAGGATACCACAAACATCTGGGATTTAGGTCTCACATTGCTTGGCCGGGACACCTGATTACTAGACTTCAACCATGGGATTCCTTTTAGAGGTGGGTCAGCATATACAGGACACCAAGCAATAGCCCTCATTTCAGACCAAAAGTCCTCATCTGGCTGATCATCAATCAAGTTACCTACGAAAAAATTTATGTCCAGATCATCTAATATTTGGTTCCCAATTCTCTTAGGAGACTCATCATGCATACCATCGCCAGCCTCAGTTTCATTGTCGTTGTGGAAAATTGAATTCTTCAACTCATCAAGATTTCCTTCTTCCTCGGTCGAGAGCTTAAATGAAAGAGCATCTAAACAAACAAGTAGCTTCGTCGCATAACTTAGTGTCTCCGGTTCCCTAGAATCATGTAACAAAGAAACTGATCTAGCACAATCAAGTAAACCAGAATAGCCCAGAGTTCTTCTGAGTCCAAGCGTGACTAAAATATCCAAAGTTTCTGTATCTGAGAATTTCTCAGAAGGGAAAAAAACTTCTCTATGCAGCACCGTTCTTAGTGCAGGTACTCGAGGATCATAAAGCCTGTGAAAAGAAAATAGATTCAAAAAGCGTTATATCCTTAAGCTAATTGAAGGATGTATGGCATGTATGGTGAAGTAGAGGACCTTGAAACTTGAACATCAATGTACAAAAACACTCAAAAAGCGTTTATATAGATACGCAAAAGCAAGACATACATGTAAAAATTCTAAGCACCAACACTCAAAAGAGGTCTTACAGGTTAAAATGAGTAGGATAGATTATATCTAGGTCTTTTTCTGTGAGAAACGAAATTTACAATATACAAGGTATAAAGATTCGGGAAACAAGAGGTCCACCATCCTCTCAAACTTGATACAAATCGCATTAAACAAAACAAAAAACAAACAGCAGCTCCCCACTATAATATTAGAACAGAACAGCAGAGGGGTACTACAATTGAATCTACCAAGATGGATTTCATCTTGATTCAAACAGTACTAGAACTAACTCATGGAAATTGAACAATTTTGGACACAGTCATGCATCAATTTGAACTTGCTTATATATATAAGCCTTGAGAATAAAAGAACATTAAAGTGCACCAAAGACCAAACCGTAAGAATCCACTGTAATTAGTACTAGAAAACTCCCGCACAAAAAACTAAAATACAGAAAGAAAATAACAAATCAAAGACTTAAGACACCTAACTATATATCACAACAGAGCACACAAGTTATACCTGGAAGGTTGCTGCCAAGACCCGTCGGCTGTCAAAACAAACGGTATTTCAGAGAGTGCAGACTTCAAAGAAGTATCCTCTTGAACCAAAAGCTGTACGCCATGGAGAATAGCTGAAAGAGATCCCTGCTCTGAAAGGAATTCTGACATGTGGTTAAGAACATGATCTTTGTAGAATTCCATCCTGGAGGGTTCTCTAATCTCTAAATATCTTCTCAGAATAATTTTTTCCTTCTCTGATTCTGTGCGCACAAAGTCATCACTCAAAAAATTTTCCAGAATATCACTAGGTTTAAGCAATTTCATAGGATTACTCAAACTTACTAGTTTTCTACTTTTATGTGACTCAAACATAGGAAGGTGTTTTATGATGTCAATGTGTTTATATTCCATTTCCTCTTCAACAAACCATTTGGACTGAAGAATGAAACTCCGAAGTTCATGCATCTCTCCTTCTGATGCATTGTCGAAAAGCCCCTCAATGTTCTCTGGCCTATCTGCAACTGCCAGAAGCGCATTTAATAAGCCAATTGCTGTTGGCAACTGCACAAAAAATTTCAACTGTGGATGATCTATTGGGAGGTCTTGCCTCAGGAATACACATCCTATTTTCAGCAACAAAGATGACATGTTCTCACTCCACCCATCATCCTTGATTACATTTGAATTTTCAACTAGTTGCAAGAGGCAATGATTCCCAACAGGCAAAATTGGCCACTTAGAAAAAAGCGACAAGTCATCACAAGAAGACCTCAAATAGCTCCAGAGAAGTCTAATCCACTCTAAACTTGGTTGACCCTGCTGACCAGGAGCCCATGTCACCTGTTTTGCATGATGCCACTCTGCTGGAAGTAATTTCAAAAGGAGCTTCTCCAGTAAATGGCATGACAGAAAAGAAATATTTGAGGCCTCACTTTGGGCTATGTAACATAGCTTCTCATAAACTCCTTCTGGGATTCCGCAATCTACAAGTTGATTTGGAACCAAATCCTTGAGAAGATCATACTCATCACCTCGTGCAATATATATTCTTTCCCCAATCCCATTCTTGTCAAATGCTGTAAATGAACCATCAGCAAGGGGTAATAACGGCAAACCATACAAACTTGCAGATTCGACAGGTATCTTCAAATCAAGTAAGCAATATTCAAGGGTCAATATCATTGTGTTTCTATCCTTGAATTCGCGTTTCCTTCGAATTAATAAAGTTCTTAACAACTGTGGATTCAAAAAATGCAATGAGGGGCACACCTCAATAAATCTCTCAACAATTGGCTTAGAAACAGTGACCAGAGGTAGACCAGCATCTGATAATGCTTCAATTAGCTCATCTACCTTATCAAAATTAAAATCAGGAAATATAGCCTGTTTTGCTGAGATCCACTGGCCATCTCGAGCTTTTGTATGCAATACACGAAGACTACAGTCAACAATAAAAGCGTAGAGCTCCCGCACCACTAAAGCCCAAGGTTCTAATCCTCTTGTTTTAGGCCAAAGTGAAAAGAATAAATCACAAGGGCCAATCTCCAGTGCTATTTTCTCTAGCATGTGACCATAAGCAGGGGCAACAACACCTTCAAGCAGGTACATATTCCAATCTGAACGTTTTTTCCCACCACCAGCCATGTCGTTCCCAAACCAGATGTCTCTCCTATTTGATGATAACTCGAAATATGCATTAACATGAGCTGGAAGGCCAGTACTAATTGGAAGTGGCAGGAAACAGAAAGCATGGCCTTCAAAATCTTTCCTATCCTGCAAAGAACCTGTAGAGACTTGAAATACATCTGATGCAACAGCACAGGGATCGTTCATCTCCGGGATATCACTCACGCCCAATCCAACCTGGACAGAGTGTAAATATGCAGCAACGCATGCCCAGGGTATATAAGTATGAGACTTGTCATTCAAAACTGCAGATTTGTTCTTAGTTTGTGCACCACCTAGACACTCAGAGGTTATCCAGCAGTGTGATACATTACCAGCTGAGCTTTCTTCTGTAATTCCAATCTTCTGACATTTATATGGCAAATCTCTGTCCGTTGATTTTCTCAATTTCTTTAGGAACTGTTCTTTATCCAGTCCTCTCTGCCGACTTCCATCAAACAAGCTAAACACATCCTGCAACGCATTGGGCTCTATTTTGGGCTCACCATTGCAACGCTTATGGACACGATGTAAAAGTTGCATTTCATGTCCACTTCCTTCCTTCACAAAAACAGAGATAACTTTCACATTACGCAGAAAAAGCAAAGTTTCAGAAACAACTTTGGAAAATGATGCAAAAAGGGATAGGACATCATCAGGTGCATATCCTTCTTTCTTTATTTGGCTTCTGGAAGCAGCACTGGCACTCCTAAGTGGAAACCGGAAAAGGGTTCCAGGAAACGGCTGCTGCAAGTCACAGCCAAAGTGTAAGAAAGGAGAAAATTGATCAGGAAATTGTTCCATAATCTTTCTTCCCGCAAATTTAATCCGTAGGCCAGGATGAGATGGAGAGATCCCAGGCAAATTACAGGCATGAGGATCAAACATAACAATGTTTTCACCAGAAACAAATGTGGGAATGTCTGTGAAATGATAGACACAATTAAAACCCAGTCCAAATCTCCCAATTGCAAAAGGCTTCTCTAGTTTACTTTCTTGGCCAATGCGTGAGATTGCATAAAGATCTTGGGGACTGAAGACAGAGTCATTAAAACAGTACAACGCAGGGCCTTGCCAATCTGCCATTTCAGGTGAAAGAACAGAAGAAGTCCCATATTGAGTTTTGTCCAGGAGAAAGCTCACCTCAGAAGCTCCTGCATCCTCTGCATTTTGAACCAGCTCAAATAGAATCCCAGGTCCATCAGCATACATTTCAAGAATGTGTTTAAGTCTAGTTGTCAAGGCTTCATGCTGTCCAAAAGCTTCAGCAGCCCCAGATAAACTCAAATTCATTGAATCAGCACTCTCAGCTAGCAAGGTCCTGCGCAGAGAGCAGACGCCAAGCTTCTCTGCAACATCAATAGATATGTTCCCATGCACAAATTTCTGAACCGTTCTCCTTGCATTCAGTGCCACATTAGATGGACCACCAAAGGGGCTATCATGATCCTCTGAGCCAAGCAACCAAGGAGCATCGTTATAAACTAAGTCGGTGGCAGGATATAATCTGCCTGACACATCTGGTAAATAAATCTTAACTTTCTGGTCATGTATCTGAACTTCAGCCAGATGCTGCACAATCAATAAGGCTGCTCTCATTTCCTGTGCATCGAGAGGGGAGGATCCTTTCTTCAAAGCCATTCTACATAAGATATTAGCATAATCTGTAGAGTTCAAGAATTCTCGAATACCAAGCTCTAAAAATAGTTCCTTGAAAACAGCCAAATCGACAGGTATGACACGTATATAAGGAGCCAAATGAATAGGACCATCAAGGACAACCTCATCCGCAGTTGCAAATCCATCACCCACCCAGATCCATCGACTACCTTCAAGAACAGCCTTTACAATGTCCATCTCATCTGAACCAATCAACCCTGTCAGTATTGAATATATCCTTGGCATTGCCAAGGCTAATTCCTGTCGAAGAACCTGGTCATTCACAATCTCATTATTTTTACCAAGCTCAAGTAGTTGGGCTGCAATGACACTTCCACCAGGTGGAGAAGACCACCCAAGACTAGTCGATAGTGCTGTCGATGAGCACTCTCCATCAAGTATTCGCATGCTAGCTGAAACAAGCCACAGATCTGCTTGCAGTCTTACAAGCTTTGGTGGAGCAACCATGGATGACACGACAGGCCATGGTAAAGTCTGAAATGGAGCAGAAACTACCACTGGGCACCAGCTGATCAGCCGAAGATCATTCCAGAACTTTTCAAGTTCAGATTTCAAGTTACGAGGTCTGAATGCGGTTGCAGCTCGTGACAACATTCTGTTCATTGTTCCTTGATCATCATTTAAAGCATTGGGTATCCATCTCATTGCATTAACTTCTAAGTAGGACAGAAGCACCTTGCCTTTTAATTGCGACTTTTGCTGATCCTCATGCATTAGCCGTTCAACCTGTCGAGCACTTTGTATGACTGTCTCAGGGGTCACAGATGTTTTAAGGCCTAAACCGTGTAGCATGTCCAAAATACCAGGTTCTTGAAAAGGACCACAGGGAAAACTATCAGAATCCTCTAATAGTGCATATAATTCTTCATTACGTGGATCATATAATGCAGTAGGAGACCTAAGAGCACCACCAAAGGTCGGAATAAATTCCAAATTTTTCAAATAATCCCTGAAAGATAAGTCCTCAACACACAACTGTGGCAGGTTTTGCAGAATAGAAAGAACAATGCTGTCACGAACTTCAGGTTGCAGTTCCCCAACTCTATTCAACACCTGCTGCTTATAGAAGCGTGCTTTCCCCATTCTCTCAATTCCATAATATCTTAACAAAACTTCCACCTCAACATCTGAGGAGCTAAGGAACTCAGCTCCAAGAAAGCACTCAGGGATGTCTACGGGTGGTAAGTACTTGCGCGGATTTTCAAGATCGGAGAATTGGAAACTTTGAGTAGATCCATCACCATACACTTTATAAATAGGCAGCCTCGTGCAATTTCTTATGTCAGACTCATTCAAACAGTCTCCAAAATACCACTTTGGATCAAGAAGAAATGCACGAAGTTCGTCCCTCTCTTTTGCTTCCAAATTATGAAAACATGTTACTATGGTGCCATAATTTAAAGAGACAACATCATATATAGATTCCAGAATCCCTGAAGCATTACCATCACTTACATAATGAGATAAATCTGAGTGTTCAACTCCATAATTGGGGCTCAGAATCTTGCAACCAATTTTAACAAGTATTTCTTTCATCTTGTCAGAAAGCTTTTCTGCATTGATCAATTTCGATTGTCTCGAGGCTCTGTACAGATGGCAGGAAGTAGATGGCAAAATGGGCCAATCACTAAGCAATGACAGTTTCTCGCACTGATTCCGAAGATATTTCCAAAATAACACAAACCATGTTGAAGTAGGGTGATTATGGCAAGACTCTGGATCCCATAACACTTTGCTTTTATATTTCCAATCAGCGGGTACAAATCTTGGATAAAATTGAAGAAAATACTGAACATTGAAAATGACAAGATTTGCCTTTGAGGACTTTGCAATAGCAGAGAGTCTACTTAGTATGTCAATAGGAATATTCTTATCAATTATTCTATCATATATTTGTTTAAGCAGCATGAATTCTAAGTCATTGCAAATAAAGTATGAAATTCCTTTAGAGGCATCTGACAACGATCCAAATTCACCATTTGCCAATGGAAGCAAAGGCAGGTTATATGCATGTGTTCCAACATCATCATCAAGCAAATCTTCAAGACAATATTCCAACAATACAAGCTTGAAATATTTGCCCAGGGTAGAAACAGATCTACACTCTCTGAGAAAACATCGTACTGTATCAGGAGTCACCACCTTCTGCTGAAAACTGGAAGCATATTTCAAGAGCATGTTAAATAAAACGTTGGGCAAACACACAATAGGCATTCCTAGCACAATCAGAGCCTCACCAAGTTCCTTACTCTTGGTAACTTCCTCATCATGTAGAAAAGCTTCAACTGGCGACACCCATTTTCCACCTTCAAGATCTGAATGCAACACAGGAGCACTAGAAATGTTTCTGTATATATGCTTGACAAGAATACTCCACGGCTCTTCAAAAGAACCACTTGGCCATAAGGAATAGTACAAGTCCCTGGAATCTAGCAGTCCCCGTACACCAAGAAGAAGTTGCGTAAATGCAGGTGCCACAACATCTTCTAAAAGAAGCCTGTTCCAGACAGAACGGATTTTTCCACTTCTGTCCATGTCAGCCCCATACCAGATGCCACGACGATTCGACGAGACCTCAAAGTATCCATTAACTTGCACAGTGAGGCCAGTCCTAACGGGCAGAGGGAGAAAGCAGAATGCCCGGCCAAGCTTAAGAGCATCATTCTGTTTAAAATCATATTGCACCAATATAAGTTCTTTAGGATGTTATAAAGCAGAAAGTAATGTAAAAACTAAGAGGAAGGTAAAACTTATGAGAGACTGCACGAAATTGAAATGCATTGAAATAGAAAAACAATGAAAGTATCATATATAGCAAATTACATGTGCTGAATTATCGGATATGCAAGCTGCAACTGATGCCCATGGCAGCAAGTGAATATCATATTCCTTAGACGCAGTAGCTGCGAAGGAACCAATCCTACTGGATGCGGATGCCAGTGTCTGAACTAGATAAAAACTATCTGTCTTCTTCTCAGATTGGGTCCCAATTGTGGACTCACTTAAGAAGTCCACTGTATAGCAGTCCACCTGACTCTCCGTAGAGTTTACTGACTTGGGAAATCTCAACGCAGCTTGACGATGCCAAACAATATCATCACTGGCGGAACCAACAGAGCAGGAATAAAGCTTCCTGGGCTCACTGTCCCAGGCGTCCCACACATACATTTCAATACGCAAGACATTTTTTAGGAAAAGTAACGTGAAAACTCCTTCCTCATAGAGCTGAAGAAACAAGGAAGAAAGGTCGTCTTGGGTATACTCTTGCCTGGAAAGCTTGCTGGTTGCTGCCTGCTCTGCATTCCTCAGAGGGAAACGGAATAGAGTTCCAGCAAATTGTGTTTTCATGTCGCAACCGAAAGCACAGTAAGGAAAGAACTGGTCTTTGTACACAGAGATGGCTGAAGAAGAAACATAGTCAATTCGCTTCCCGGGATTGGATGCAGAAACCTTTGGAAGAAAAATGCCTTGGGGGTCAAACAATACCACATACTTCCCGCTCACAAACGACGGCAAATCAGTTAAATGGTACACGGAGTTGAATCCAACCCTAAAAATTAGACAAAAATTGAACAAAAAATCAGAAACCAGTCTCATTTTCCCGCCAATAGCAAGCATTGTCGAGCACCCCAATTTCTTTCCTGACCCACCAAGAAAACCAATGCTAATGAAAATTTAAAAACTAATAATTTACCCGAATCGGCCGGTTTTTGAGGCCTGGCCATGCTTGCTACTGCCGCCGATCCTCGAAATACTAACAAAGTCTTCCTCCGTGAAGACGGCGTCGTTGTAAGCCAAGAGCGCGGGCCCCTGCCACGGCGCCAGGGTCTCCGATAGAAGGGAGTCGGTACCATGAAGCCTGCGGTCGAGGCAGAGTCGGACGGTGGTGGCGCCGGCATCGTCAGCGTTCTGAATGAGCTCTTTGAGCACCGTCGTCCCCTCGGGATAGTTCACTAAAACCTCCCGGATTCGCCGCGTCAGGTCAACCTTTTGACCGAAGTCTTCTAGAAAGATCGACTCCGGTGTCGCCGCCGGAGACTCCATATTTTTACCTTGGTCTTCTCCGGCGAGTTTCTGATCCTTACCTTTTGTATTAATTGACTAAACAACCGCCATGGAATTTGAGGTAATTACTGGAGGACCTGTCGCCGTAAAGCAGGTGATGGAGTTCTCAATTCTGGGAGGTAGAGAGTACGAGAAAATGAAAGGGCGATTTTGGAGAAATCAGGAGACACCGACACTGAGAGTGCGTGTAATTTTCATGTAGAGATTAATTATGCAATGTTAAAACTCTAATTAATTAATTGACCCAAAAAAAACTCTAATTAATTACTGTTGCTTTCGAATTAATTATCCTAAAATTAATGGGAAGGCTTTGGTTTTGTCGTTTTGGGCCTAGTGGCCCTCTCCTGTTTCTGCAGCCTTATTCCTTGTACGGCCGGGTCTACTCGTATCGTATGGGTGAAGGCTTCTAACGACGAACGTGCGCATGTCGTATCGTGTGTGGTGCACGGTGCCCATAGTCGATTCTCATATGATAATAAATAATTCAAAATTCAAAGTTGGTTGGACGACATAATAAGATAGCAGACGAAATTATAATATCAATATGTTCACCGAAAAAAAAGGATAGATTTTCAATACGTTAGATTATATAGTACATTCCATTAGATGAATTTCAATTTTTTAATAATTAAGAAGGAATATTGTTATTTGCTCTCTCTAGAATTTGATTTTTTCTAAAATTTTATGATCAAGTGTCAATATTTCCTAAGCGTCCATTCTAAACATAACACAATAATTGGCTCATCACTTCTAGGGAGAAGCACATAGGAAGTGCTTCTCCATATAGTGTTCGTTTATGAGTAATTCTAGATAGGTCAGAATCACTTTTGAGAAAAACCATATCTCATGTGATTCTCCATATAATCACTTTAAGTGATTTTGAACATAAGCACCTCTCATGTGCTTCTTTATAAAATCACTTAAAACCGCTTAAAATGATTATTTGGAGAAGTAATTCTCCATATAAGTGTTTTTTAGCTTATCCATAATCACTCCCAAACGAGCCTATAATCACTTTAAATGATTTTGGGAAGAAGCACAAAAATTGTTTTTGGTTATATCCAAAATCACTTTCAAACAAGCCTTTGATATTTCTCACTTACCTATTAGTTGACATAAACTATCGTAGGTAACACATTTTGTCATACGGATAATAAACATGTTGAATTAGTACAGTTGCATATAACAATTTTTTATAATTAATTGGTGTTAAATTAATTAAACCTAAGCTTGTTGATATGACTCCACTTTTCTACGTCTTGCATCTTTAATCAGAAGATTGTGTGAGAATATTCGCTTGCTCGATTAATGAATTATATGTATATGTTTGTTTGAGTTTTGGACACACACAAATTCAACGGTTGATGAACGGTCGAGATGGACAGACAGGCTTGACCTTTAGCACCACCACCAATACCATATAGTTGAAGTTTCACAACAAACAAACATGCACAATTGAACGTGGGAAGCTCTACTTTAATGGCGTACTACCTGCAATGGATAAATTTCATATCCTATAATATTATATTGTCAATCAATCACAACGTGAGGGCTACTTCTATCAAAATGATTGCAGAACTTTCAGACCCAACTTCTTATCTCCTTAATGAATTTCTATATACTTTCTGCATCTATATATATGCATGCATAGAGGACACTAGTAGCCAAGCTAGCTAGACCTACCAAATATATCTTGGACGTTAATATTCCTTAAGCCATGAGGAACTGCAAGCTTACACCGTGCGTCTTGGTAGCATTGCTACTAGTTGGAGTTCTTCACCTGGAAGCAGCCATGGCCACGGACTTCACCTATGGCGAGGCTCTTGACAAGAGCTTGATGTTTTTCGAGGCACAGAGGTCAGGGAAACTGCCCTCGGACCAGCGAGTCAAATGGCGCGGTGACTCGGGACTCACGGACGGCCTTGCTCAAGGGGTAATTATTAATTAGAATAGTTTATATGAATTTTTACACGTATATCTATGATCAGGCATCGATTACATGTACAAGATTATGATATAAATTGTGTGCATGCAATGCAATGCAGGTGAACTTGGTTGGAGGGTATTATGATGCAGGGGATCATGTGAAATTTGGACTGCCGATGGCATTTACAGTGACAATGCTTTCATGGGGAGCTATTGAGTTCAGGAAGGAAATCACAGATTTAGCCCAAATGGGTCAAACCTTATGGGCCATCCGATGGGGCACTGACTATTTCATGAAAGCACATCCACAACCTAATGTTCTCTGGGGACAGGTATGCATGTTTGGCCGGCTGCATATCACAGACTAGTTTCTGTTTGGTCACCTATTTCATGTATGCATTTCTTCTGTTGAATTAATGAGAGCCTATAGCTGCCTGCTTTGGTATTGGTAGACCACCTAACTGTTTTAATTTGGCTAAACAGAAAATTAATCATGCTGGCGTTACTTAATTAATTGTAAACATATGATGATGATGATGATGATGATGATCAGGTAGGAGATGGGGATTCGGATCACTATTGCTGGGAGCGTCCAGAAGACATGACAACTCCAAGAACTGCATACAAGATTGATGAAAATCATCCTGGTTCAGACCTTGCTGGAGAAACTGCAGCTGCTTTGGCATCAGCTGCCATAGCTTTCCAGCCTTACAACTCGTCCTACTCTGCTCTCCTCTTAGTTCATGCAAAGCAGGTAATTAATCTCGTCATCTCAAAACACTAAATATATCATTTTATATTTGTTCTGCTATATATCATGTTGGAGTTAATTTGCCTCCATGAATGATTTCAATTTCTTTGCAACTTATTGCAGCTCTTCACGTTTGCGGATAGATTCAGAGGTCTATATGATGAGTCCATTGGGTCTGCTAAGAACTTCTATACTTCATCAGGCTACTCGGTACGTGCATTAATTCTATGTATATATTTTCTTTTTCTTTTCCAATAGGTCAAGCAAGTCACAAGACAAACAGTTATATCTTTGTTTTTATTTTGTAATTAATGAATTAATTTGATACAGGATGAACTACTATGGGCTGCTGCATGGCTCTACCAAGCAACGAACGAAGAGTACTACCTCAAGTATGTGGTGGACAACGCCGTGTATATGGGAGGAACTGGATGGGCTGTCAAGGAATTCTCTTGGGACAACAAGTATGCTGGTGTCCAAATCCTTCTCTCCAAGGTGTTGTTGGAGGGCAAAGGCGGTGCTTATACTTCCACCCTCAAGCAATATCAGGCCAAAGCAGATTACTTTGGCTGCGCTTGTCTCCAGAAAAATGAAGGCTACAATGTCCACAAAACTCCCGGTTAGAACTTACAACAAAAAACCATTATGTGCTTATTTGTTCCTAATTCAAATATTAGAGAACTAAACTTACTACTCTTTGATTTGATACTTTCTTCTTGAACTGAAAAACCAGGGGGGCTTTTGTATGTGCGTGAATGGAACAACTTGCAGTATGTGACTTCTGCATCATTTCTTCTAGCTGTTTACTCTGAATATCTCTCTGCTGCAAATGCCAAGCTCACTTGCCCGGAAGGACAAATTCAACCTCAAGAGCTTCTGAATTTTGCAAAGTCACAGGCAGACTACATACTTGGTAAAAACCCCAAGTCAATGAGCTATATAGTTGGGTTTGGCTCAAAATATCCAGTTCATGTGCACCACAGAGGTGCTTCCATTCCTGCTGTGTCTGTCCTGCAGTCTCTGGTTGGATGTGTGCAAGGATTTGAGACATGGTATCATCGCCCCGAGGCAAATCCTAATGTCATCTATGGCGCCCTTGTGGGAGGTCCTGACCAGAATGACAACTTCTCTGATGACCGCTCCTCTTACGAAGAGACTGAGCCTACACTTTCTGGCTCTGGTCCCCTTATTGGCCTCTTCTCTAAGTTGCAGAGTTTAAATGGAATTAATGTTCCAGGTACCCACCATTTTCACCATCAATCATCAATGTCAAATTGACTAATTAACTAATCCTCCTGAGACATAATTCTCTATCTAATCTGAGGTTTAATTAGCATCACCTCTGATGTTGCCTAATTCTTGAGTTTTTCTGTTACAGGTTATAACAGAGGATCACCATACTCCCATCACCAAACCATACCAAGTCCAAGTAAGTCTTCAATATTTTTATGAATTTTGATCTTCACTTTCCAGAAAGAAATATAAAAGATGGTCTGCATTGCTCATACTTTCCACCTTACAGGTCCCAATCAACATGAAAAACAAGTACCCAACAAAGTATCAGGTAAATTTGCTCAGTATTTTTTGCAGTATGAAATGCTATGATCAGAAGATGGTTGGTTGGTTTGGAAATGCTAATGAAGCAGATTATATGTTGACTTGGTTTTCTGCAGGCACCCCAATCAAATTCATTCACTCAATAAGCAACACATGGTCTATTGGAAAAATGACATATTATCGCCACAAGGTAATATTGAAGAACACATCGCAGAAACCAGTAACAGATGTTAAGCTGATGATTGAAAACCTGCAAGGGCCTTTATGGGGTCTCTCTCCAACTACGGAAAAGAACACCTATGAGCTTCTTCAATGGCAAAAGGTCTTGCAGCCTGCCTCAGAGTGCACTTTCGTTTACATCCAAGGTGGCCCTCAAGCAAAGATTTCCATCCTAAGCTACCACTGACCATCCAAAACAATATAAAAAGAGAGAAGAAACAGAGCCAACGTGAAGTCATGTTAGCAACTAGAGATATCATTGTGCAACTGTCTCGAGCAGACCTCTTCCTATTTCATTTCACCCCGCGGATGCAATGTAACACGTTTCTCAAGGAGACCATAAAGAGTCAAGCACCGACTTTTACTTGGCCAGGCAGACGCTTGTATCAAATTTTGATACCAATAATTTGTAATGTATACTTCTCTTTGAAAAAGCCGGCATTGCCCAACGGTATGAAAATCAAAGACCATTTACCATTCGTCTTTCCTAACAATGCAGGCCTCAGTTGAACACCCTAACTCAACATATTGTGCGTTTCTTGCCCACAAATGTCAGAGAATACAAACACTTTCTTTCTCCTCTCTCCATTAAAATATAATCAAATGCATGTGCCATCTCTTCCCTCCAGTTAGAGAGGTAAGTAATGAGGCAAATAAAAATAGATTCAGCTCCCCACATCCGGGTATATTGTGTTGTGAATGACAGAAGAAACACGCTACGTCTCAATTCGATTGAATTGACTGAGTATGCACACTTACAAAGGTTGAAAATTTTGAAGTAAAAAATACTATATTAATGCTCAAAATTAATTCATAACGTCAATTCCAGAAATTCCACTGATCACTCTCACATTATAGTTCATATCGAAGTTCAAGTCAAAACCAGACATGCCTTGCAAAATAAAATTAAAAATAATAATAATAACAGTTGAACAAAAGCTCCAAATCTTTCTCTTGGCATAACTAATCCTCACTGAAGGTAGTCTTCTTCCCTGCACATCAGATAATGGAAGTTATTAGAAGCTTAATTTAGAGTCACAACTGAAAACCGATTTTAGGCGCCATCAAAGTGCTTGTCCAAGTCTATTATGAAACCGATTTTGCATCTTTTAAGGAGGTGGCAAACACTAATTACCAAATGTTGCATATCGCATATCCAAATATATAAGCTACAGCTTAAGAAAAGTTCGGCATATCAAATGTAGAAAATGAAGAGAGGATAAAAAGCTTCGAACCTGTTCCAGGAGCAGCTAGATTTGGCTTGTTCGATCCTCCACGTCCTCCTCTACCATGTCCACCAGAAAAACCCCGGCCACCTCCACCTCCACGCCTACCACCAAAACGGCCACCACTGTCCCTACCACCAAAACGGCCACCACTGTCCCTACCACCAAAACGGCCACCACCACTCCTGCCGCCACCACCTCTGCCACTACCACCCAAATCAGCTCGTGGTTTGGCCTCTTGTACTGTCAAGGTGCCACCTCCAAATTTAGTTTGGTTAAGTTGTAGAGCTTTTTTGAAACTATCCCCATCCTGGAACTCCAAGTAAGCCATCCTGCAATTTTATAGATATAATTCATCAGCCTCAGACACCTAAAGAAAGATCAGGTCGAGCTAAGAAAATAGTAATGCTTTTTTTGGTAAAAATAGTATATAAAGCTTTTGCTTAGATAGTGACCAACATTCCTAAAAACCACATAAAGTAACATCAACCGTAGAGGAAAATATTTGACATCAAATAAGTAACAAAGGGAAATGAACCACCAAAAGAAATAGTACAAACCCCTTGGGTGCTTGAGTCTCATAATCTTTTGGGATGGACAACCTTGTTATCTCACCACAACCACCAAAAAATTCTTGCAGGGAGCTCCTGATCTGTAAAACTTAAACTAGTCACATTTGCACAAGAATATGGATATTATACCATTAAATACAACAAAGCTACAGATTCTTGTACAACATTACCTCATCCTCCCCTTGGGATGTATCAAAACCTCGAATAAATATTGTAGACTGGCCTTGTCCACCCTTCTGATATGAGTTCCCCTCTTTGCTAAAATGACCAATGAAGAAACAGAAGAAACAAAATGAATGAGATCATCAAATCAGCACATTGCATGTAGCAATTAAGAGTTAAAAAGTACCCGCTATGTGGGGTATAAGAACCCCTTTCACGAGCAAGATCAAGTCTCACTCCACGGCCCAGCAGCTCCACACCATTTAATTCAAGAGCCTGCAACAACGATGATTGTTACATTAGCGACACAGAACCTGGAAAGCACTAGAGCTAGATTCCACAAATCAAGAAAAAGATCCTACCTTCTGTGCTGCTTCTGATGTGGCAAATTCCACATGCCCAAAGCCCCTAAACACCCCATCTTCAGTTGTGGTGAAACGGACATCAACAATTTCACCAGCATCCTTAAAGAAATTTTCACTGCACATAAAGTACAATTAGATGAAATCCTCCTAAAAAGAACCACAAGCTTAAAATCACACTGCACATACACATCAGCCCGCTCAACATTGAATGACAGGTTTCCAACAAACAAAGTCTTGGAAGTTGTTGCTTCAGGAGTAGCAGGGGTTTTGGGCTGCACAAATATTATTACAAATTAGAACACAACAAATATCTTGGGCAAGCTGAAAATACAATCTACAAAGCAGAAAAGATCCATTACAGCTTTCTTCTCGGACTTCGAATCAGCATCTACCATTTCAACATCAGTATCCTGTTCACACAAAATTTTGTATAACATGAGCTACATACATTGAGACCATATTTCCAATCTTAATTGTTCAGCAATACAGTAAAACCTCTGTTTAACAGGAAATACATGAGTAGGGAAAATAAGTGAACAAGGTGGATACCAATAGGTAGCCCATTGTAACAAGACAATAACACAAGTATAAGCAACAGTTAATTACCTTTTTCTTTGGAGTCTTTGCAGGTTCATCCTCCTCTTCTTCTGATGATGAAGACTCATCAGATTCGCTACTATCTTTCTTTGACACTTGGGAAGGCTGCAAGAATCCACAAGTAGCATGACCATAAATTCCATAATCATTAATCCAATACTGTACAAATGGCAACTTCAACAAATTTTACACCCATAAAAACCAAAATTTCAAACCTTCTTTACTTTCTCTGCCTTTGAGGGCTCCTCATCTGAACTATCATCGTCACTATCCTCCTCTGAACTTTCAGAAGTGACATCCTTCTGAGCAGCTTTTGCACTTGGTTTTGCAGCATTTGAAGTAGCCTTGGTTCGAGAAACAATATATGCAACTTCTTAATCAATTACATGAATCAAGGTAAACTGTGAAGAGAATTAAAAAAAGATTTGCTGAGTGAAGTCACACACCGACACCTTTGGCTTTTTATTTTGAGGCTCATCATCATCGTCTTCATCAGAATCACTTTCTTCTGAACTCTCATCGGTCTTTTTTGATGGTTGAGCCCTCTTAGCTGTGGGGGCAACACCTTTAGCTGTTACCTGCAGCAAGAAAATCTTACTCACTGTCATGGGACCTCTATGAAGGCTAAAATAATATAAAACAGAACCATTGTTAGTCTCATCCTCTAGGAGAAACCTTTCAATGGCTCTAATGTCAGAACTAAAAAAACCTACAAAATTAAACCACAGGTATAACTTGTTCACTAGCTCCAACACATTCCAAAAGGAAAGTGAAAAGAACAAACCTTCTCATCCTCTGAACTATCTTCAGAGGAGCTATCAGTAGAATCCTCCTCCTTCCCTTTAGGAGTTACATCAGATACTTTATTCACAATTTCTTCCTAGACATGCTCAGAGAGATTAAAATTCAAACTAATTTCTAAAATGCATAAAGTATAAATTCACAATTTAAAATAATTAAACCTATATTTTAATTCCATTATGCAATTAAAATATTTAAGCATGGGCTCACACCTCATCATCATCATCACTCTCCTCTTCAGAGCTGCTACTAGTGTCCTCCTTCTTAGCAGCCACTGCTGGACCTTTCTTCGTAGCAGCAGGCACTTGGGAAGTACCCTTTGCAGGGGTTTCCTACAAACACAGGAACACACATTTGAGCATAGAAGCTTTTAATTTTATACGAATTCCCTGAAGCGTTAATGCGCATGCACAACTTAGAGGTACAATTCCAAATCTGACTAAGCTGACATAACCACCTAGAAAGATTATGGATCAAATAAAATACGCAAAAAAAAAGTATCAAAATCACACCGACTACACTGACTCAGTTTATATAATTACAACTGCAGCATAATAATCAAGGGTTTTGGCAAACCCAAAACTCACATCATCATCACTTGACTCATCTGAGCTGTCAGTTGAGTCATCCTTCTTCTTTGGAGCGGCAGTTGGGCCATTCTTGGCAGTTACCTTGGTTTTAGGAACCTAAAATCAGACAGATATACACATTTAGAAAAGCCAAATGATTTCCCATCATTTATATAAATCAAGAGTCATATTTAGAAACTTTACTCACTTCTTCTGATGAGGAAGAAGTGAGTACAGTTTTCTAAAATCAAATATACACATTTAGAAAAGCCAAATGATTTCCCATCATTTATATAAATCGGTAGTCATATTTAGAAAACTTTACTCACTTCTTCCTCATCTGATTCATCTGAACTGCTGGATGGAGCAGCTTTCTTAACACCAGCTCCAGCTGTCCCATTTTTAGCAGGAACAGACTTTTTTGAAGGAGCAGAAGGCTTGGAAGTAGGTTTCTGGAGTCATATAACGCAAAATAAGTATCTAACAAATAAATTGGCGTCATCAGCCACGCGGTCATTAAAGTAAAAAAAAACAATACTCACTTCATCAGAATCATCATCTGAAGAGTCAGAACTGCTGGATGGGATGCCTTTACCATTTTTAGCAGCTTTTGGAGCGGGTTTCTGTGAAAGAATAAGGTGATAAGTTATAATTCTTTAGTAGTACGAATAAAGGTAAATAGATCTATGTCAATTTGTATACAATTTCAATGTTGCAAGATCGTCATAAACCAAATATAGCTCTAACATTCAGGGAAAACTTTGAAAATCATTTTACAGCAATATAAGCCATTAACAAAGAAGTAAATGTGAAGATTTGTGTTACAATATGATGAAATCCAGTTCCCCAATAACCAAAACGATGTCCACGCCGCAGAACCAAAATGATGAAATCCAGTTCCTCAAGAAAACATAATAACACTTTTAAACATATAATCTTAAAAACTGAAACTTTATTAAGACATTTAAGTTCATATGTGAAGAAGTAATCAAACAGCCAATAGCACATTAGCCAACATAAAAGAATGCAAACAAATACAAAAATAAACAATAAACACAATAAATTATGGAATATACCTTTACATCAGAGTCTGATGAAGACAAATCCGAATCCTCAGAACTACTAGTTTCTTCCTTCTTCTTTTGCGTCTTTGCTTCAACTTTCTTCTTCTGAATAGCCTGCTGTACACCCTCATCCCTCTTCTGCTTCTTTACATTCACCGCCTTCTCTATCACATTCTCGGCTTCTCTCTTACCTTCTCAACATAACCACAACCAAAAGAGCTTTATAAGCCAATAGCCGAAAAAAAATATCAAAACAAACGAACAATGTAAAAAAACTAAACTTCAAATTATACCAGCAACCCATAGGGATATCATCCTCACACAGCATAGTGAGTAAACCCAGTTAAATTATAAGAAAATATTCTAAAACGTCAAAGAATTGATACCTTTCTTGACAGCCTTAGAAGGTGGGACTACAGCAGGAGCTGCATCGACCTGTACAAAAACATAACAATCTGGTTAGAAAAACGAAACCATTGAAGCAAAAGCAAAGACATCACGAGCCAAAACAGCTGGAAAGAACCATACTTTGGAGGCTGACTTCTTGCTTGATTTGCCCATTTGAGAGGGTAATCTAGGGTTTAGATATGAAAAACGAAAATAATATAGAAAAAGAGGGGCGGAGGCTATGCTCTGAAAAACCCTAAGGTTTAGGGTGTAGGGTTTTTGTGAGAGCGGTGGAAAGGAATGATAGTAGTACTCATCGATGCTCTCTATTTATATGATTTCGAATCGGTAAGGGGGTTAGGGTTTTTGACAGGTAAGCGTGTGCTTTTTTTTTTGTCAAGGCTTGTAAGCGTGCGTTTTGAGTCCTTTGAATCTGCACCGTTTATTCGTGAGATTATAGAATCAGTAACATTGATAATTTAAGTCATAATTGTAAAAAATTTAACTTCATCTAAAGGTCAAATATTATTTATTTTATTTTATAAATAAATGGGGCCAACAAGAAGTAGAAAAAGATATTGACTCGCAGATCAGAAGTTAGGTGTGTGTGAGAAATATTTTTTCCCTGTAATACAAATAAACAAATAAAAAGCCCCATAATGAACAAAATTTTGGAAGGGAATAAATAATAATAGGGGAATAATGGTAAAAAAATATTATAATAATATTTGAAATCAAACTTTATTGTAACATTGTTTTCAAGTAATCTACTTTGTGATTATATATGTGTCACTAAAAGTATCAGAAATTGAAATAATTCCAAATGTATGAGAAGTCATAAATATAAATAATTATAATACACATCCGAGTCCATTACTTATAAGTAAAAAGTGATAGCAATCTCAAAATGGCATTAAGTTGTCATGTTCTTCGTTTTTTTGGTTCGTAAGTCATTTTCTTAGTTATTAATTGGTAAAGTAGGTTTTCATTTGAGAGACTTTTAGTGCCCATTTGGTATTGCTTATTTGGGGTGATAAGTGATTTTTATAAATTTTTGGGAAGCCCATTCCGTTTGGTAAACTATGAGAAAATCACTTATTATTAAAAATTGATGTGAGAGAAAGTTATAAGGAAAAGCACCTAATGAGGTGCTTTAATTTTCTGATTATACAGGAATTAGTTTTGAAGATGCACTGGTTTAATGATTATGCAGCAATCATTTTCTGATTATGCGGGAATTAGTACCAACAACATTTTTAACAAAAAGTTTACCAAACACCAAACTGCTTTCTTTCACAGCTGATTTCTCTCACAACAAATCTGATAACGATTATTTTCACAACAAAGCAATGCCAAACTGGCCCTTAGCCGCAACATTCCAATACCACAACACAACTGTAATTGCTTTTAAAATATAATTTGTAGGTTTTGTCCTGTAGGTTTAGTGCTGGTGGTGAGCTCTCATTTTATTGGCTTCATTTGTCACAACAAGCACTCTTTATCAAATAAATCTAAAAATTAAGTTATATAGTCCATATTATACTTGTAGGCCTCGTTCGTTACACATAATTGTCTTGACATGGACTATATTTAGAGATTGTCTTGATTTGGTTTGGCTTGATCTAGGTTGGATAACACTTATCCTACATTTGGTGTATGTTTGGACTAAAACTATATATATATATATATATATATTTATTTATTTATTTATTTATTTATTTATTTTTTCTAAGTATATATATATTAAAATATATATATATGTTATTATTATTACAATATAATATATGCATCTTATACATTAGTGAGCATGAGACAAGGTAATCCTCCCTTCCACATGGGTTTATTAGTATCCTCATAAGGAGGTGTATTTGGTGGACCCGGTAGCAATCCCATTCAATACTAGGATTAGATGAAACAAATATGGGACTATAAATTATGATTACTAAACTTATACACATTTGAAAATGATTGTGATCTCATTTAAAGATTGAACAAGGTTTTATTGAAATATTCAAGCTACTTAGTTTATTTTTAAGTGAAAAAATAAAGGAAAAACTTTAAATGTCACTTGAACTTATACGGCAATTTCAATTCGTCACCTCAAAGAAAATTTTAAGAGAAACGTCACATTAATTTGTCAAAATCCATGAAATGTCATATGACACTAACATCATCCAATTTTCCATTAATAAATAAATAAATTGAACATGCAAGGGGTATTTTTGACATTTTAAAAAACCCTCATTCAAGCTCCTTATTTGGGACTAGTTAGCAATTTTCGCATATTATACACGTATGTACATATTTTTAAAAGGATTTAAGCCGTTTTACCCCCTAAACTATTAGGCAATTCAAACTTATCCCTTGAATTATTTCGTGTGCCGATTTAGTCATTCTACTAGTTTAAAATAGCCAATGTGGGACTTGTCATTAGATTTCTAGAGATTTCATCCATATTTATGTCTAAAAAGTGATGTGGAGCCATGTGATTCGTTTATTGAGGGCATTATAGTCCTTCCATGTGTTGACTTTGTATTTTCATTTATTGTTTAAAATAAAAAATATAAAAAAATTCTTCAATCAACCTCATCCCCAACTCGTCATGTTCCTCATCTATTGGCGAAAACAAACCGTTAACACCCACAACTTTCTTTCCTTATCCCACCCGCAACCACCCTCTCCTTCCCCAGCACCAATTTAATTTTGGGAGATTTTATTAGCACCCCATGAATAACCTATTTTACCCTTGTACACAATTACCATTAAGGAAAAAAAAATTAAAATTAAAATTGCTCACTACACCCCACATATGTTCCTGCAACCCTAGTTTGACTTTTTTCTCAAACTATCATATTCCTAAACCCTAAACCCTAGATTTATACGTTTATATTGGTGAAAAAATATATTGTATTTATTCATGAAGGGTAAGATTGAAGTTAGAGAGGCTTCGAATGAGGTACGAGTTTATTTTTTGGCGTTTTGTAAGTTTAGTATTTCATAATGGTCGCTAGTTGCATTCAGCACATCAGTACCGAACGCGACAGGTAAATTCGGTGCGATGCCACCGAAATGTTGCACCTTTTTAGGTTGGTTTGACAGGTCATGAACTTAATATTCGGTGGAGATCCACCGTAACATGGAATGTAGTTCAGTGGTTCACTACCGAACTTTTACCTGCATTTCAGTGGCTTCCAACTGAAATTTATTTATTTTTTCAGTAACTTATTGCTGACCACAAATTTAATGCAAGTTATTTTAATCTTACTCCCATTAAAGGAACACAAATAAGGTGACGCCCCTACTGAAGGCAACAATGTGGGAACATAATGTGTAATGGACTATAGTGATCAATTCACAACTTATTCGGTAATTATTTGTCTGAAATCCTTCTATATGCAAGAAGTTATTTAGGACCATCAAACAATGGAAGCAATTTAATGAGGATTGAAATATTTTGGTTGGTTCATAAACGGAGGAGGAATATTGGCGTTGTTTGCTACAGATTGAGTCTAAGTTCAGTGAATTTCAAAAAGCTCTTGAATACATACATGACAATTGGTTAAATCCATTTAACGATGGGTTTGTGGTTACTCTTTTTAATGTCAGGACTCGTCTTAAGTCACCTTGGTCACGCTGGAAAAGAAAATATTAATATGCCATGAGTTCTAACACAAACTTCATAATTAATCAAAACAACAAAAGTTCCATGAGTTCTAATACAAACATGCAATAACTGATCAAAACAACAAAAGTTCCATGAGTTATAATAAACGCATGCTAGCAAGTCAGTTAACCATGACGACGTTGATATGTCATGGTAGACCGTATGTTTGTACCTTATAAAATCTGTTGTAAGGTCTCAACTGCTTGATAAACTTGAGAAGGTCGTGTATGCAATGCAACTGTTTCCCCTAATGCCACGAGCGGCATAGTAAAGGACAACATACGCTCTTCACGCTCCTGTAACGAATTTGAATTCAATGCCTTAGTAAAAAGTACAAAATTGAAAAAGTAGAAGTCATACAAAATTAAAAATTTACCTGATAATATATGCTTTGCATTGAGGCAAATGGGTCAAATACAGCTCCATAATTAGGATTCTGGACAAACGGATATCCCACGTTGAGGTACCACTCCAAGTACCCAGGCACAGTATCCTCAAAGTGATCTTGGGGAGCCACTCTCTCACTCCCTCCTAGTTTAGGCCATGGGACGTTGTCTATTTGGTCGAGATGATGAAGCATCAGTAGTACCTCTATGAGTCCTCTTCATATCTAAAAACAAACAATATTAGGTACACACTCAGTAAACTATTTGGTAAATGATTACTGAAAAACAAAAACAAATTCGGTGGACTATCACTGAAAAAAGAACACATATTCGGTGGAGTACCATTGAAAAATCGAAATACATTCGATGAGAATCTCCTGAAAATTACAAACAAATTCGGTGGACTACCACTTAAATAAGGTAATGATTTCGGTGGTAACCCACCGAAAGTAAAATGTACAGATCAGGTTCAAATTCGGTAGACTACCACTGAAGCAATGTAACCATTTCGGTGGTAATCCACCGAAACTAAAATCTAGTTTCGTAAAACCAGGTTCGAACCATACACCCACCACGTTGAAATCAAAAATTAAAATCGAACCATACACCCACCATACACCTCCCAACGGTCAGAACCAATTGTTTATAATTTTTTTAAAGGAATTTGTTATACATTAAAAATGTAAAAAGAGCAAATAATAATAATAATAAAGTAACGTTTCAAATGGTTATGACCATTTTATATTCTTTTGAAAACAAAACAAATTTACATACATTTAAAAATGTTAAAAGAAAACAAAAACAAATGGCTAGCTGACGCCCACGCATGATATTTTCTCTTCTTAGAAAGTACATATGATATGTTCCGTGCTCACGCCCACGCGTGACACTTTCTCTTCTTGGAAAATACATACGCTGGGCCCACAAAAAATTTAGCATGAGCTATAATTGGGCTACAAGTAGCATGGTCAGAGGGCTAAATGGCTAAATGTAACCCTTCAAATTTAGCAAATTTTTTCTTAGTGCATAACTGGAGATGAGTTTTGCATTATTTTATGACTATAAAGCCTATGGCCAAGGCTAGAGATTGCCTAAACTCCTTAATATGACCAAGGCAAAGGAATGTTAAATAAAAGCAGTGTCCTTTGCTTTTCGCACAATTTTGTTCTTACAAGTTTAAGTTAGATTTGCACGATCAGCTGACGTTCAAGCCTACATAATATTTCACCACGCCTAGTTGGGACCGTTGGATGGAACGACCAACAAGAAGGTCAATACGATAAAAGTTAAAACTCCACCAACCCCTGCCCCATCAGTTTTCGGAATACAAAGATCTTTAGTTTAAAAACTTCCACTCCAGCTCTTTCTCTATATTTGTTTTCAAGAGCAGTGGTGAAAATATATTAAACTCAAACACACAACACGGATGTTAAAGCTCGAACCTAGAACCTTGTTTGGAGGAGCAATTACTCCAAGAAAAACTACACTAGTGGTCCTTGCTTTATATATGTCTTTAAAATACCAAGAAGAGGACACTCGGGTGGTCAGGCAGTACTATACTCGTTGACATGACTATAAGCGTTACTAAAACAATAGTTCTGGTAATGGTGTTATTTTACAGGGAAAGGAAAATTGAGAAAAAATAAAAAAAAATTCTATGAAACTACAAGATAGTACAATATTTGTTGAGGCCTTCTCTCTCATCCGCTCAAAAAGGATGAAAAAAGAGGGCTTTCTTCCTAATGTTAACTAAGCCTCCAAAGTTGGGATTTTATCTTCTTTCGTTTTCCTCCAAGAACGCATAAAGAACGAAAAGCTTCCGCAGTTGGGGGCTTTTTTTCTTCTTCCTCCACGAATAGATAAAGAGAGAAGCCTGCAAGGTAGGCCTTTCTCTCTCTAAGAATATATAAGGAAAAATAACTTTTGTAAGATCGGTTTCAAAAACCAAATGGTGATTTTCTTCTGCTTCCACCTTCTCCGTATTGTTCATTCCATTTCCTTAGTTCGTTCATGCTTGAAGCATCATAGGAAATTGATGGCCCAACCTTCATAATCAAATTACAAATAAACAATCGCCATATCAGTAATAATTAGTGCTTGTAATTAACAGAGATAAACATATTAAAAAACAAAAACACAAATGGAAGTGGTATGTCCAGAAACGTGTCCACATCCATGGGGAAGATAAAGAGTATTTGTGTCCGTCCTTGAGGCAAGGTATATTTTTCCCATGGTAATATGACAAACTTGTTGCTTAAACAGCCTCTTTGCGACCATTATGTCACAGGATAGTAAGTACTAAACAGAAAGGAATAACAAAATTATATAACTTAAGCTCTTTACCTTCGCTTTTGATTGAATAAAATCATCTAAATTAAGCGGCCTTAACGCTGGGGATACATCACTTCTGCTTTCCTGTATCGTACACCAAGTAGGGAAAGTGAAATTAATAAACATTTTTTCACGTACTGAAAACTCAGAAAATAACAGCTAAAACTTGTTAGATAAGTTTGATCATATAAGCATAAAAATAAAAATAAAAGAGATAACATCTCAAACACTCAAATGGAACCAACCAGAAATTGACATTATAAACCACAAAAATTCATATTAGATGTTTACTTCTACCATATTAGTAAGAACATCTTGGGCTACATGCCCCCAAACAGATATTGTAAGATAATCTCTAAAGGCATGTACCTTTTTTTCATCTTCTAAAAGTTCCTGGACAGGTCTATACGCAGCAGCAATGCAAAGGTTCTGAAAAACAATATCTTATGTGTGAGATATACCACAATGAAATTCCATGATTTACCATCAAAGTAATACCTTCAAATCGCTGCCAGAGTATCCCTCAGTTTCATGTGAAAGTTTCTCAAACTGGAAACCAGGTTCTAGATTCTCTTGAGCAAGAAATATTCTCAAAATCTTCATACGATTTTCAGCATCAGGTAAGTCAACATATATCCTACAAAGCAACCCAACATCACTTGGTAAAAATGTTTAAGCTTGAGTTTTTTTCTGTCAATATGAGCAGTACCTACTACCTAAAAAATTAGACAAACAATTGATAAAACCACCATAACCAATCTGGATAGCATTCTTATAAATCAACACACCTTCTTGGTAAGCGACGAATGACAGCATCATCAAGGTCAAATGGCCGATTTGTAGCCCCAAGAATAAGAATTCTTTGACTGTCTTTAGACCTCAATCCATCCCAAGCTGCCATGAATTCGTTTCTCATTCTTCTAGTTGCCTCATGTTCAAAAGAACCGCCACGAGCACCAAGCAAACTATCAACCTACAACATAAATTTATAACCAGATGGTCATAAATCCAGGGTAGTACCCATAACAATCATCAATGAAAACAACTCTTTTTCTACAGTATATAATGCTTTCAATCTCCATAAAATTTCTCAAATATATATTAGGAGGTTTCAGTAAACAAAAGGAACTAGTTTGTTGAACATCATTTTTTTCCTCGAAAAGAAAAACTCACCTCATCAACAAATATTATGACAGGAGCAAGCTTGCTGGCAAAGGAGAAGAGAGCCTTGGTCAGCTTTTCAGCATCTCCAAACCACTGTATTGAATTAATAAAAGTTACAAAGACATAAATATCTCCCAGATAAAAATCAACATAAAGCTCCTTATTTGTCTACGATTCAAGCACAAAACCAAACTCAATTCTCTCTCTCAAAATTGATATTCAAATTCAAATATATCAAGTTCAAAGAAGTAGAATCTAATCCTGTGCATAATGAAAATTAAAAGTACTAACCTTTTTTTTTTTTTGAGAAGAAACGAAATTTATTAAGCAAATGAGCACGGAGGTGGATATGGCAACCACCACCGAAGCAACAAAAACAAACACAGAGAGAAACAAAACAGCACCAAACCGTCCCAAACTAACAGGGAGGAACAAAACCGAAAAACCACAGAACAACACACCCCCCAACCCTCAGTTAACCGCAGCTGCCATATCCCTCATAATAGTGGAATAAGAGTAGTCTTTAAAATCTTTTGTAACAGAAGCCCACAAAGCTGCCCAGTACTTAACTCTATCCCAAAGCTCACTCACTCCCACTCCCTTATAGTCTTCAAAAATTCTCCTATTACGCTCCATCCAAATGTTCCAGAATACAGAGTGGACCAAACAGCCCCATAAAGTTGAAGTGCGCTTCCCCGTTCCCCAAACCACAAAGTGAGCACAAAGGAAATCAGAGCACCCTTTGGGAATCACCCAAACAGTCCCTACCTCCCTCCACAAGAGCCCCCAAAGATTTGAGGAAAAAGGGCAATGTAAGAAAAGGTGGTCCACATTCTCCTCACAATGCTTGCACAATACACACCATTGAGGAGACAGATACATACATGGTCTCTTCCTTTGGACAAGATCCGAAGTGTTAACTTTCCCAAGCGCCACCAACCAAACAAAGACTTTGACCTTTGGGGGAGACTTAGCCTTCCACACAAGAGAGAAAGGAGGAAAGGTGACAACCCTCCCCTTGTTGCGCAAAAAGGACTGAAAGTACTAACACCTTATAATCCCAAACATAAGCCAATATTAACTAGATTTTTTAAGCGGATTCAGCTAACCTATAAGACACCCCCTGGAAAGAATACATTGAGTCCCACAAGCACATTATTGTGCATACTAGATCTCCCAGATTAAGAAGGATAACTTTAATCCAGATTTAAAACATTGAAACACAAAAGTAATCTAGAGGACGTAATCCAGGAATTATACTGTTTGCTTTGGGGTGTTTTTTCTTAGGTGGGGTGGGGTGGAAGAAATGTAAAGAGTGCAACTTAGTCGTGGACAAGTGCATACAAGATACACTAGGAAGAAAATGCCTTAAAAAATAGATGAGGTTCACTAGCTTTTGCATCAGATAAGCGTGTAACAGTGAAAGTAACAGTCATACAGAGAAAACGTTTCACATATAATTAATCTTGACAAAGAATATCTATTTTCAAGCAAAAAACAATTAAGCTTGTTACTTAGTTCATGGAATTAAACGAACCAGTGGCAGATTTTAGATACTGGAAGGCATACCTTTGATGTTAGAGTAGAACCAGTTATACTGATAAAGTTCGCCCCAGCTTCTGTTGCAAGTGCCTTGGCAAGAAGGGTCTTCCCAGTTCCAGGAGGCCCAAAAAGTAATATTCCTTTGCAGGGCTGGCAA